GTGGGGTCAAGTGTCTTGCCCGAGGGATCTGGGATCAAACCTATATCTTTTCCTACCACTGAGCCACAGCTAATCCTTAAATGAGAAGTTAATCAAGACAGAACGCTTGGAAATGGCTGTGAACTCATTGTGGATGCTTTGCATCTTTGACATCTTTATATCCTTGAAGTTAAGGAGATTGTAAAAGTTTCACTCAAGCTCTTAGCAGCTTTGGTTGTAAATCCAGTTGAACCAGATTTCTCTCCTGCGGCCTGGTTGTGGCTGTTCCCGTTACACGTATGTTTAAACCATGTTCACCAAAACAAAATTGTAACGTAAAAACTCTCATCATTGAATAGGCAATGTAAAGACTCTCCAGCTGTCAGGTGCAGAAAAGAATGAAGTCTCTAGCTTCAGTTTTAAAAAGTTCTGACAGGCTGATCGATCACTCTGCTGGCTGCTTAAGGAGATCTGTTTTAAGGGCTCGATGCAGCAGCTGCCCTCAAGCTTCTGGGTGGAGCTTTCGGTTTGTGTGGATACCCTTGCAGACAAGGCCATCCCTCTTATCACTCTACTGATTCTGTCCTGTACATTAATTTCACCCAGAAATCTCACCATACCTCCTTCCTACAAAGAAACCCCACACTGAACATCTTTGTCATAAACTATGTTTTTAAAAGTCTGTTTCTGCAGGGTGCTGTCTGACTTTTCCACTCCATCTGCATCAACCCCTGCGGCATTGGAAAATAACTGCTTGAAATAGTAAATCTTATCTCTGATCATCTCATTTTTCAGTCAAGAGACATTTGATTTCATTTGAGTCTTTTTCCACTAGTTTGTTACATACAGGAGCTGTGTGTAACATTATCAAATTCCTTGTTGTTCAGCCTCCATATTAAAACCTTTTATTCACAAAAATTTAACTTTGTTACTATGTTTTGTGTTTAAAGGTTTGTCTAAAACCATGAAAACATCTATAAATTGATTTTTGACTGTGTTTGATTATATACTGAAGATTTATCTGAATGTTGATCTCTTATTTCTTAAATTTGGCCTCTTTATTTCCATTCCTGGGGGTAAAAGTCACTTGTCTTTTGTTTGACTGAGTTTGGGGCATTTTGGAGTAAACTTCAAAAATCAACACAGAGTTGTATATTGAATACAAATATTTTCTCTGTTTCTGTGTGTAATAGTACGTAGGACATGGCCTCTGTAAACAGGCTTGCAGCTTAAAGCTGTTTGAATTTCATCATGTGACTCAAATTTGCCTCCTGTTCTACCGTAACAAGTTTCTCTCTGTGTGTATTTTCATTTCTGAACCTCTACAGTGTTTACAGCTAATAGCAATAGCAAAATAATCTCCAAAATTAAGATCTGTTTAACACACCTTTGAGACAAAACAAATAACATTAACAATAATAATAATAATAATAACTTCACTTATATAGCACCTTTAAAAACAGATGTTTACAAGGGGATCTAACAGTTAAAGCAAGGCAGAAAGAGGTTTCTAAACAGAGGTTTAGAAACAATGAACAGACAACTACAAAGTACCAGGCAACAAAAAGGAGTCTTGAGAAGAAGGAGGTCGAGCTGCGCGAGAAATAAGAGGAAGAAAGAAAGGGAGGGAGACAAATATCTTGTTAACTTCATCATATGTGTTTATTTACTAGATATTTAATTTAATTTAATGCGGTTTCAGCTGTGTTGATTCGGTCAGGTTGTGTGTCCAAACGCGTGCCAAACGCGTGCCAAACGCGTGCCAAACGCGTGCCAAACGCGTGCCAAACGCGTGCCAAACGCGTGCCAAACGCGCTCATCAGATCAGATATAGATCAGAATATATCGATATAGATCTAAATGTATGTGCTGACTCAGATTATTAGTTGTTGATGATTATTTATTGCACTGAAATGTGCCTGACACTGTGGAAACCTGCCAGTGAGGCATCGGTGACGTATGCCGATACGCCGCTGATTCTGTCGACACCTCCCCCTGCCACGCCACCACGCCCAGCTTGGCGGATCTCGGTTCCTCTCCGTGCGCCTCAGTCCATGAAAATACCAAACTGGCTGTACGCCGGGCTCCGCCAGACGAAAATACAACTGTGTGGGGTCCGCCACCCTCCATCGCCTCACCGGCATACACAAAAATAGAGCCCTCAGTGTAAAAGTCAATCTAGCAAACGTCAATCGTAACCATTAATTTAATCCCCAAGCAAGCAGTCAGTGAAACAAGTAGTCCTAAAGCCCCTCTGATCAAGAAAAGTTTCCTTTTGGACACATTATAAACTTAAGGATCATAAATCCATCCTGAAATGAAGTAGGGGTCAGGTGGTCATAAGGAACCCTCAGAATAAGGACAGAGACTGTGTATGGATAATTATAATTCCTGCATAAAGCAAATTTTGGACATTTCCAGCATCCATAGTTCACTTGGCAGTTGGATAGAATTCAAAACCTAAACATCATATCTTTTTTAACAACACTGCCTTTTGTTGGCAGGAGGACAGGCAGTTTTCACTGACTGGTGATTTTTTTTTATTATTGGAGCCGTTTGATGGTAGTATGGCTCTAAAGATACATAAGTCACATGACTGTATTTGTGACATTATTTTGTGATACAGCACAATAAGGTACAATGTGATATGTTACAATATTAAGGGAATTTTAATCTATTCATGAAAAGAAATATATGATAACATAAAATACAAGTGACAGGGCACCATGCCATGAGTTTTGATATTGTGTGATCAGACAGGATACAATAAAGTACCATTGACCTCTTTAGCTGCCACTAAACATCTGCCTTTTTTTCACTTTTTTCCTTTTATTTACATTTACCCTCCTTGAACTTTTGCACTTGAATAATTTTTGCATTTTTTTACATTTCTAAACGTCTTTCTGTTTGGCCTGGCTGTTGGTTGTTTATTCTGTTCGCCTAATGAGTTCCTGCCTTTATTTTGACTGGCAAAGCATTTTGTAAACATCTTCTTTTAAAGTGTCATATAAATACTTTGATTGTGTTTTTTACCCTATTGTTGCAGAAAAACATGAAAATGACAAACATAAACAAATTATTGAAACATAGTCATAGAGCTTATTTTCTGCCTTATCGACAGTATTGGGAACTTTTTGAAGAGAAACTTGCCACCATGGGAACACGTTTTTTTCTGTCTGCATCCCACCACTGTGGTGACGGCTGATATGAAACTTTTAGTGACATAAACTGTCCAACAGCTGCTCAAGTAACATCACTCATGAGTTGCAGCTTAAAGTATTGATACATCATGATGGGAGGTGCTTGCCCTTTGCAGGGGTTCCGGTTAACTTAGCTCCTGTCCTGGATTTGAATGCAGAATCTTCACTACTGCACCACAGGCACACCTCGCAGAGCTTTTTGTGGGTCCTCTCATCTCATCTTTTGATTATGGAAGTTCAAAAGTGCAGCTAGAACTGCAGAACTGCATTCCTTTCCTGGCTGGCAATGACAGCCCTTATCTGGGATTTAAATGCAGAATCTCTGCATTGTGGAAATCCCTCACATTGCAGCCACGCCTGGCAGAATTGGTTTTTGTAGGCCTTTTCACTTCACCATTTGAAACTGGAAGTTCAAAGCACAGATAGGCTACAGTATGAAGACTCCAGTTCTTTGTAAGTTGACCACAGCTACCTCCTTTGTGTGAAAATATCAAAACAGATACACTAGATTGTAACTCACTAAGAAAGCTTGAGTCCAGACCTCTTGGACCATCACTTAGTGCCAAATTGTCTGCCCTGTCTGTTTGGTATGAGGCCAAGCAGAAAACAAAAGAGGTAAGTTATCAGGAACCTGCAGGGCTTTTCACCCTTTCATTGATATTTCTCTTTAAACCATTACCACATCTCATTTATTCACTTAATGTTTCAGTTTTTTATCAAATAAAAACAAAAACTTATTCATGTGAACAAATAGTCAATTAATCCTAAACCCTTACCTTGTAAGGGTATAGGATTAAACAAACCGAATCTCCTGAAAGAGCGAAACAAAAAACAGAATATCATTCACAAATACAGCAAAACTGCAGGATGTGTGGAGGATGGAAACATAAATGGATAAACCAGATGGCTGAACTGAAAATGAATATAGGCTGATGATTGAACTGAGGACGGAGAGATGATAAATGAATAAATGGATGGTGAGGCGAATAGATTGATGAATGAATGGATAGAAAAAAACAGGTGGATTGTGAGGTGTGTGATTAGACGAATGGCTGGGTGCACTGATTACTAGAAACGATGCTGATGGTTGGATGAATGGATAAATAATGAAACAATTGATAATGGCTGATGAATGGATGGATAGATGGATTGTTAGACAGATGGATGAATGAATATGAATGAATGGTTAGATGGATTGTGAGACAGATGGATGGATGAATACGAATGGATGGTTAGATGAATAGATGGATGAATAGAAAGCTGGGAAGATGGATGGATGGATGGATGGATGAAGTCATATGAAGTTTTAGTGTCATTTTAATTGAGATGATGCCATTGACAAGTATCCTCCCTGTTGTATTTGTTGATGAAATTATTAAGCTTGATACAAAAAAAATAAAACAGATTTAGTTTTCAATTTTTTATTTTTTGATTCATTTGCAGAGGAACACACATCTTTTCTTCAGGTTGTTTTTAACATATCACATCTTTAATCTTGACAACTTTCCTTGACTTGGAAAAGGAAGCAGACTGAGTTTTGAGGTGTGGATCCTGTTAAGGGTCAATGGATGGGTCAGATTAGTAGAGGACTTTCAATCAATGAATGGTGATTGATTTGTGTAAAACTAAAAGAGCAGCTGCATTTTATCAGATTAATTGGTGTGGGATATAGATGTGGCAGGACATCAAATCAGGTCTAAAGCCAAAACTGAGATAAATATCCAGCTTCTAGAAGACACTCTGAGATTTCAATCATATTCCAGCGGTGGAAATTCATCCTCTGCTTCTTCATGTTCTTCCTCACAAAGCTGAAGATGATGTTTACACATGAACATGAGCATGAGGACTAGAAGGAAAAGAAAAGAACAAACTTAATTCAATATTGACATTCTTAAATCCAACTGGCATTTCCCTTTTGTGATGGGCTTATCTGTATTTTTGTTTAGTGACTAATAGTGATGAATAGCAACATTTTTTTCTGCTTCAATACCAGATTTTTCTATTCACTGACTCAACAGGTTAGGAGACTGTATTAGCCAGGGATACACAAATGGTCATTTTCAGGGTTAGTTATTCCACTAAACAACCATTACACTTATTTGAACAATCTCCAAAACCAATCCGCCGTTAACTGATGAATTTTTAGTTTAGTGGGGCCAATGCTCATGAATGGATGGACAGATAGAGAAAAGTCTTGTTGCATTTAAACTTGACTTAAAATGAGAAGTTATATTTTCTTAAAAATCTGTAGTGTTTCCTTTTTTCTTCTAGTCTTGCAACTTTTATTAAGTAAGTGCTTATGCTTTAGATTTCAAAACTAAAGTCCCCGTGATGCTTTGTGGTTGAAGATTAAAAAAAAAAACACTTGAGCTATAGTGAGTCCATACAAAGTCCATGATCTGTTCTGGGGTCAGCTTCCTAAAACTGTGTATGAGCCATGTTCAAGTTAAACAGACATGTTTGACCGCTCATGAGTTAACAACAGGACATAGCCAACATTAGTATTCAGCCACCACTGGCAGATTCAACAAACAAGGTCACCTCTTAATCCATAACACCAACTTTCTTCATTTTAAACCTAAATCTGGTTGCGGGATAATAAATCTTACTTTTGAACCACAAGCTTTCTTTGAACAGTTTGACAGATGCTACATAAATTGTCCGGAACTCAGAAAAGAAGGATTATATCCTTGATTCATACCCCATCTCCACGCCAAGATCCTCCATCACGCACTGTTCCAGCAAAAAGGACAAAACCTGGGATGCAAGTTGTTCAGGCTGAAAGTAAAAAAAAAACAATTAAAAATTAAGGCAAACTGTTTCACATAAGGATGCAAAAAGCTGTGAATTCATAAGAAAAGACACTACATGTTCTTCGTGTTCTCCTACCCATCCACATGCGTGCAGCTGTGACTAATCACTTTGATAATAAATATAATACATCACGTCATACCTTGGCAGCCTGTTCAGCAGCTAAGTGTTGTGCCTCTGCCTCTGAAACGTGATTCTGTAACAACATGAGCACACCTGATGAGGAAAACTTCATCAACACTTAAATAACATGGATTGGAAGTAACTGTGTTTGTGTTAAGATCATCAGGGTGTAGCTACACAGTTTTTTCTCATCCTAATGAAGATTCAGAAAATGCTCTGGATCAGATCAGCTTCTGAGATTCACATGTCTATATGCAACATTTTTTATCCAGATAGGCTTTATTAGGATTATATAGGATTTATTCAAATAATGCATGGTCCATGCAAACATACTGATGGCAAAAATAAGTGTAATGGGGTATAAAATAAGGAAAAGACTGATTACCAATGCAGTCTTGATTTGGTACATCTGATGGTCAGTCAAGTGTGCCCTGCAACAAAAAAGAAAGCAGGAGAGTGAGTGTTAATCGAGTTAATCTAAGAAAAAACACAGAATCACATCAACTTTAGAGCAAAGATGTCCAACTATCCAACAAAAAAAACAAGATCCCTGAACTGTTGATCCTGCTACTGGAGATCAGACTGACTGTCAGGCTTTTACTTTTAATTCTGTTGGATGTAATCCAAGTGTGGGTTTGTTAGCTTTAAAGGCACAAAAACTCAAACACAAAAAACTGAAATAATTTGGTTAGTATAGCTAAAAAAGTCCTTTTGAAGTACATGTATATAAGTGACTGCATATTAGTCACCAAAATCACACTACATCAAATTTCTTGTAGTAGTATGAACACATCAAGATAACAAGATTGGTAATCAATTTTTTCTATATGTACACACCTCGATAGAGCCTAATCAAAGCTTTAGGAGCATGCTACCAAGTTCACACATGGTGCTTTGTTATAGATACTAAACAGCATAAATGTGCAGTAGGAAACCAGCAAGGAAAAAAAAACCCTGACAGGAGAAGACTGGATGTTAAATAGATGAGGCTGTCATGTTGTCTCTGCAAAGTTACAGAGCTGTGAAGTTGTTGGTGTTTCATGAACTATCACAAAGATGGATTTATGTACCACACTGTGCCAAAGTATCAAAACATATGTGGGTGTGGACCTAACTTCAGGATGTGTTTTCTGGCATCTGTTTGCAAGACTTGGACTGAACTTAGTCTCAAGCTCTGCAATGTTGGAGGCCCACTTGACAGCTCTGTCACCCTGGAGCTGGAAAGTCCTCAGGTTTCCCTCCTCTCTGCTCTTTGTTGGTTTAGTCTGTCTCTTGAAAGTCTTTCTAAGTCTTCGTTTGGTTGTGCATAAAGGTCTTGGCTATTTTTTCTTCCCAAAGACAAAGGCTCCAGAAAACAATGGGGAGATATTAGTCAGAGCAGTTTGTGCTTGCCACTTCACTGATGATTCATTTGTAAACAAAGGCCAGTATGGACTGGAGAAGTGCCCCAGCTGTTACTGAAATCTGGAGCTGTTCATCTCTACAGATCTGAAGCACAGAGACACAAGCTGAATATTACTATTGCAAACATTCAACATGGAGCTAGAGGCACAACTTTACAAAGTAAAAAGTAGCACCCACAAACTGTGTCTCACTTTCTATCTGTGTAAAGCAGCCAAAACAAAGAGTTTCAGTCAGAGGATGAACAGAGCTGAAATTAGGGTTTCACAGACACCAGTTTAAGAGCAGTTAAAGCTTCTTTGTGGGAGTCCAAGACTGAGATAAAGAGAAGCAAACATAAGTAACATAAAGTCTCCTTAAAATGAAGAAATAAAAATGGGCCTCAAGTGCACTGTTGGCTTTGTGGTTTAAGGGCCTGATCCACAAAGGTCCCACATAAGGAGGGCTAAATTGCGTGTGCAAACTAAAAATTTGCACGTGCTATTAGTGGGCATGATGCAGCTGATCTACTATCACTGATGTTTTTGCACAAAAAGGAGCTGTCTCGTCTGCAATTAATGCAAAACTCTGCCCCGAACATTCTGACCTCCCCTATTCTTAAAGCTCTACATTGGCTGCTTGTGTCCTATAGGATCTGTTGCTCCCAGGCTTTAGAACGATCTTCCTCTCTCTCTTTAATAGACTCTGTTGACTTCTTTAAAAGCCAACTCCAGACATATTTATTTGCTCAGGCTTTTGTTTAGTTGTTTTGGGGCTCCTATGATTGTTAATGTTGTTGTCTTGGCCTGTTAAATTTGTATGTTCATTGTTACTTTTTGTTTATGTGAAGCACTTTGTGACTTTTTGTCTGTGAAAGGTGCTATATAAATAAAGTTTACTTACTTACTTACTAACTTGTAGGCAGACTAACATCTCGAAGTAATGTGGTTGGGGATTGGGTTTCTTTGCCATATATACGGCTCAGTCAGACTCAAACTGGCCTCTCGCTAACTAATTTGTGAATTGTTTTGGTATGTGATGTGACAGGACAATCAGGAAAAGACCCTTAATTAATTACCTGAGAGGAAGCTAGGAACGCCTACTGTATCAGAGGTGTTTTACTGAGTTTTAAGTGAGTTTTTAGTGAGTTTGTACCCTTTCAGCCGAGCAACTGCGCAGTCCACCAGCAGTTGCAACATTTCCTCCTCTGTCATGGGCTGAAACAACAAGAACACACAGTTGAGCCTCAGCAGATGGCTGGTCCAACCCAACATCAGTCTGAAATAACCACCATGACTTCACCATGAGATTTGACCGGTCATACCTCAGGTTCCTCCAGTGGCATTGATCCTCCGAAACCAGAGGGAGGCATATCAGCACTAAAGCAAGAGTTACAGGAGGGGGTAAGCAGGAGGCACAAGACTGATAGTTATCAAACTAGGCTTTAAAATAAAAAGTTTCTAACAAATTTACATTAAAAAAATGAAATTTTTGAATTTCAGATGTGGAGAAAAGTTCTCAAACTCACCTCTTGTCAGCCACAGGGTTTGCTCTGACATCTGAACACACGGAACAGCAATTTAAGTTGCAGTTTAAAGCACACATCAGCAGATCTGCTTATTATGATGCACTGTGTGTGTGTGTGTGTGTGTGTGTGTGTGTGTGTGTGTGTGTGTGTGTGTGTGTGTGTTATTACACAGAATATAATTTTCTTTCCCCCCTGCTTGCAATGTTGACATTTAGTTACTGTAAGACTGGTTTGTGCTCAAGTCCTCCGGGGGATACACTGTTTGAGCCGAGCGTCATCACAGCGACTCTCAGCCACTCTCCCACCAAATGTGTACAATGCTACTGCGCAAGTGGTGGAGTGCATACAACGCTACTGCGCAATGTTGGTTTCAGGAAGTGGAGAAAAAGGTGGAATTACTGAGAGCTTTTCGGCGTCAATTTTTTTTTAATTAGTCATTTTGCTCTTGAAGTTGTTAGTCAAGGGTCCAGACTCGGCCCCCCGAGTCCTGAAGTCAAAGAAACACCCCAGGACAGGCATGCTAGAGTTAACCATACTACAAAGAAGCAATTAAAAAGCTCTCTCTAAACCAGGATGAATTAGAGTTTTGACACAGGGCTGTTAACTGTAAAAGAGACATTAAACAGCAAACATCTAATGTTAAACTGTGGCTGCTTGTGTCTTTCTCACTGATTTACATGAGAAAAAGTTTATGAAGAAAAATATCAAAGAAGTAGAGGAAGAAGGGATTTCTACTTCCAGTACAACCAAGTTACCTGCATGGTTGTATTTTGAGTGACAGAGAAGATGCACAGTAAATGTCCAATAATCCACCCATGACATCTTTGTTAAAGAAATTAAATCAGATTGGGAGGCCATAAGTGAGATAATGTGATGGCCACTCAAGTTAGGAAAGCATCTTTAATTAGCAAAGAGCACACCATCAACAGGATACAATTGACTCTTTCAATCCAAGTTTAAGATGTTCAAAAACAAATGTAAGGTTGGGGAAATTGTGCAAGGATTGATTTAATCTATGTGGATATTCTGAGTAGTTTCAACATTAAGTCTCAATAAAAAGTTTAAATGAGACAGTTCAGAGCATTTCAGAGATAAACTGACGAGTGTGTTCTCAGTGTGGTTTGACTTCTCACCAGAAACAGAGAGCAGGAAGAGTCCAGCTGCCAGAGCTGTAAAACACAAAGACAATGTAAGCTTAAAAGTCTCAGTTAGACTGTTGTCTCTCTTTTGTGGTTCCTTTTTGTTTCTTTAATATGCCAGCAAAAATAGAGGGTATGTTTATTATTATTATTATTTTTTTTTAACTTTTTTTTTCTTTTCATAACACAAACAAGAGATCATATACAAACATTCGGTCACATTGAGCAATACGAGCTTGCCACAGACTGATAAACTTTTGTTCACAATCTACAACAATTTCAACTCTCTCCCTCTGCATCAGCTGAAATCAGGTATGTAACCCATTTGGCCCAGTAATCTTTCCCCTTTTGTAATCTCAAAGTGAAAGTTAAACATTCCATATTGTAGATGTCATTCATTATATTTTTCCATAGGTTCAGGGTGGGAGGTTCTCTAAAAAGCCAGCATCTGGTTATCGCTTTTTTACTTGCTACCATGAGGATCTTAAATAAATATCTGTCCCTGTTATGTAGATCCTTTGATATATTCCCCAAATAAAGATATGATTATTTAAAAAAATAAAATAAAAGTTGAACTGTGCTTTGTGTTTTTCAACTCTACATAAGCAGTATTCTGGTCCCCCACCCACCCAACCACCCCCAACTGTTGTGTGTGATAGTTTTTACTGAGCCAATCTTATGAGTTGTTGTTTTTAACCAGCAGTGAGAACAAATCTGAGATTGAACTGTGTCTTCACAAAGAGGATAAAGCTTTAAAACAGTAAACAGAGGGTTTAAATGTATACTATATGCCCCTCTGATTTAAAAGGAGGGGCTAGATAAGATTTTTTTGCTTCATCCTTCACCATTTTGAACATAAATTCACCTATGTCAGAGTCTTTACAGCAAGTGTGTTGTAAAAGCTTACTACTTTGTGTGCTTGTATGAATATATAAATATGATTTACTGTTATTTAGAAACTAAAACCCTCATAGATATGAAAGAAGACATTGTTGAAATAATAAAAGGTAATGTTCTCTTGCTCTGGGATTTTTTAACATTGTAATTGCACAGAAAATTTTGTTCCACTGCTGTTATTGCATATTGTTAATGTAAATGTGATATGAAGTCTGGTGTGCCTCGGTCTACTGCATATCATAGATAAGCATGATGTTTTATTTAATATCTAAGCAGATGATACTTAGCTGTTGCTGTCAGTTAAACTTTATAATCCTGGTAACAACTGTGTCTGATATTAAGAACTGGAATTTTAGAAACTTTCTGCAGCTGAATTGAGCTCTTCTGGCCTTTCTCCCACCTATATACCCCACCTGCTAAGCTGGGATCCTCAGTTGGAAACCTTCAATTTGGACCAAACACTAGACTGATACTAAAATTTAAAACTGATGTTAGGATGTTATGTCAGCTTAGTTTATCTCATAATCAGATTAAAACACTTCACAGGAGCATACAAAATTTAGATTTTTTCAAAGAGCAAAATTCATAAAGAATTGTAAATGATCACACAATGATCGTGTGTGACAAGATTATTTGAATTTCACTTGTTGTATCGCTACTGAAATAAACACTGACTCAGGTTTTGAATTTGAAGCATCATGATTCTAGTAAGTTGTCAATTATACATTCAAATATACAAATAAATAAGCTGCTTACAATTATGATCAAGATTTAATGTATGTAAGGATATTTGTAGTGTGTAGTTCCTGGTTAAAAACTGCCTACAAGTTTGATTACAGAGGATGTGGAAGTGCTGGTTCAGCATCCGAGAATGACCCAAATATTGTTGCTATGAGAAAACAGACTCACCGACAGTCAGCGTGATCTTTGTGGTCATCATGTCTGCAGTGAGAAGCGTCTCTTCTCTCCACGAATGTGTTATCTCCACTTTGACACCTGCTCAGGTATATACCGTCTCCATCGTTCAAGCTCCTCCCCCTCCTCTGGGCCCTTTCCTGGATGTTTTTTTTGTTTGTTTGTTTGTTTGTTTGCATTAAGCTTCATGTTGACTCTGCTTTTGTTCCTGGGGCAAATTCTGAAACTCTGACATCTAAACTCGTAATCTACTCAGCTCTGGATGAGACTTTTTGGCTCCTACTCTGAGTCTGTTCCCCTGAGCTGTTTCCAGACAGCTATCTACATACTACCAACAAATATTCAATGCTCCTTATGTGAATCTTGTACAGTCAATAACAGTCAGCTTGGTTCTTGTATGGTGTAAGCAGCTAGGATACCCAAACTGCTGGAGATGGAGCTATGAGAAACTTCAACTTTTGCCCCTTAACAGTTCAACTTTTCAGATTTTCTCTTCTTTACCCAGAGATGAGACAGCCTTTTCTCTGGCCACTATGCTCCTATGAGTTTAATGGCCCTGTATCGCTGCACAAACTATCATTGTAATGGGCACAGACTGAAATAAAACCTGAAATGTGTGACAAAATTATGACTGGTGCTTTCTTTGTTGGAGATTATCTGATCCACAAAGCACATAAGAGAAACATACAAACTGAGCTTTGGTGGAATTTAAATAAGTTATTAAGCATTCATTTTGGACCCAGACCTTTTTTATGCAAATAAACCAAATGTTAACCTCCTCTTATAACAACTTAGAGCTCTGTAAATGTCAGAGAACTCAGCAGATCAGTGTCTGGAGTTTTGACTAGAGAAAGGTCCCACTCTTCCTTGATAAAGGATTCAGCTGCTCAAAAGTTCAGGGTTTCCTTTGTCCTATTCTTTTTTGTGTGTGTGTGTCATGAAGCTCTGAATATTATAAATATTTTCAATGGATGACAAGTCAGAACCGCAGGCAGGCCGGTTTATCAGCAGGACTCCTCTACTACATAGCCATGCTGTTGTCATACATGCAGAATGCGGTTTGTCATCGTCTCGCTGAAATATGAAGGTCTTCCCTGAAAAAGTCTTTGTTTGGATGGCAGCAGATGTTGCTCTTAAACTAAAGTGACCAGACGTCCCCGTTTTCCAGGGACAGTCCCAGTATTGGATGACCTGTCCCCGGCTAAAGCTGTCCCCCGGAAATGTCCCCAATTTAAGCATTTCAATGGTTATTACGATAGCCGAGTAGGTAGGAAGTACGAGTAAGTATGTTGTGCGCAGTCCCTTCGTAAAAACAACTATTTTTACGGGGGTCGTGCTACTACTGAGTAGTACCAAGATGTTGTCTGTGATAACAGCTTCTCTGAATGTCCTTTTCATACTCAGTCATGTTATGAACCTGTTGGAAAATAACCTCATTAGTTTGGAGGTGTTCTCCAGCAGTTTTGTTTTAAAGCAGTATGCAACCATTTACCTGTTTGGTTGTTCCCCTGAGAACTTTAATGAAGCTTTAATTAGCTCTTTTTTTCCTAAAACAATTCAAATTTCGTTTGTAAGACAGAAGTTTTGCTCCCAAAAATATTTGTCCAAGTGGCACTAATGTCAAACACATATCTCTAGTATCAGCTGTGGGGTTTGTGTGGGTTTTGGCGCCCCCATTCAGACTTCTGGACATTAAAACTTGGGTCTCAGACTCAAACCAATTAACACAGGGAGACTAAAGTGAGTGGCCAAAATGAGCTTCTGTGGATTTTTGGGGGAATATTTTTCCCGAAACTTTTTCTAATTTTGAGAAAATTATCCCGTTGATTCAGAAAAAGATGAACTTTTCCTTAAATGGACCTGATATTGTTTTGTAGTGAATATATAAAGCTAATTCATTGTGATTTCATCATTTTATAACTCCTGCTTGCTCAAGAAGACGCTTTATGATGACATGTAATATGTTCACCTATGATATTTGACATGATGATTACTCACTATCACCACCTCTTGGTCTGTCATACCTATGAGTGTTTACAAGCATCAGCATTCTGTCATGGTGACAGAGAAATATTCAAAAACATATCTGGTGTGGGCAAGAGTAAAAAACTTAAATGTCTGCTAGTGTAGATGCAGCCTCAGATATTTTACCCAATGAAGGTAAAACAGATTTTAAACAAGTGAGCAATGATGCCTGCAAACAGATTTTTCTTATTTATTGTGGAAATGATCTTATAATTGTATGAAACAGATGCTCTTGAAGGATTTCTTAGACAAACACTGAGTTATATGAATAAAATTTATATTTTCTCTTTCCCTGTTTGTAGTATTCTGTGAGATAAAGCTTCAGTCAACACTGACTGCTTAAAGCTATTTGAACCTCTTTTAAATTCTTAACGCATTTTTAATGCATATTTTTTAAACTACCTACAATTACATGATTTTATATTAATTATAATTATTTTGATTTTATTTGTTGAATTCTTCAAATAATTCTTCATGTAAAAACACAAATTCTAAGGCAGTGAAAGACAAAGAGGTCAGAGTTCACACTCAGATACAATGAAGACACCTGCAGTTATGTGAGCAGCTTAACATTTTTAAGGGCATATTTCACAGCAGGAGCGAGTCTATTATAGAGGAGCACTAGTAATAAAATTTAACAGACAGATCCACCCTTTATTTACGAATTAGGAGGAGCAGAATGAAGAAAGAGGGACAAAGGTTAAAACACACAAAGAGCTGAGTGAGACATCAACCAAACTGAAGACACTGAAGAAGAGAGCCATTGAGCAAACACAAATCGGAATGCAGTTTGGACTTGGGTGATGTTACAGGACTGTTTGAGTAAGGAGAAAATGTCAGCAAACTTTGAAGCTGACTGACCTTCATTAGGTTACTTCATATCCGCTTGAAAAATACCTCACAGGTAAACTGCTGCCCCTCCCTCCCCCTCAGACTCTTCTTCTTTCAGCACTGAAAAAAGTTGACTTAATCAGTGTTGACCGAAGTTTATTTAGTTTCCCTGAGGGCTTCTTCATGCTGACCTCCAGCAGCTCTCATGTTCAGGTAAGTACATTTTAGGAGTTCAAACAAACAAGCTGACAGCTGGAGGCTGTTTAAACTACATCTGAATCAGAAACTCACCTGTCAGGTGGGAAAAGGCACATTAGCATAATTTCTTAGCTCACATGATTTGAAAATAAATGGGGTAAAGCCTGGGAGCTACTCCCTCCCTGTTTGCGCCCTCATATTTCATGCCACTTTTCCCCTCACATGACATCATTCTTCCCAATCTGGCGCTCTATTTAAGCTGCAAGATTTCAGGCTTCTCCCTCTGCCCATCAGCACTCTGCATGCTTTGTTCAGTCGCCACCACAGTAACATCCACCTGCAGGATTTGGGGATGTAAAAGTATCTCATCTCTCCTTAGACTCTCAGCAGGTAATCCCCATGGTTTAGATAATGTACGGTCAACAGATCAATGGAAAATCTGTCATCAACATGGACAATAAAAAGTTTCTCAAAGCACTCACCTGTATGTCTGTGTTAGCCCCGCCTCCCGCATTGAGGCATTAACCAGTTTGTTCAAATGCTGTTAAAAAAAAAATCTTCATAATGTCACCTGGGAGCGAGCCGTATTTATGTGTTACGAGGAGGCCTGGTAGTGAACAAAACCTTTACAAAGCCAGGATGTAAAAATGAAACCGTCCGAACAAGTGACATTGTTTTCATCCTTTCATGTACTTCCCTTTAGCACCTGACAACATGTTTGTTGTTGTGGTAGGTAATATGTCAAATGGGACAGCAGCTGAAAGGGGTCAGTTCGCCACCTGCCATAGCACAGGAAAACATGCTTCTGTTAATGATTCTTGACTCATGATTCTTGGTTGGAGCTTAACCATAGCCTGACTTTACTGTGCATGCAAACATTATGAGTGTTTAATAAGCAAAACAACTAAAACAACAGGAAGAACTGCTGAAACATGATGCCAGCTCTCCCATGTAGAAAAGTTTTCACAACACACTAGATGATGACATAATGATGTTGAAACTGATAGCTCCCCATTTTTTTAAAAGCATTTTTTGGCAGGTTTTTTGCTTTTATTGGTAGGATCGGTTGGAAGTATGGGGCGATAGCGAGAGAGAGGGGGGAGGACATGTGGCACACGGTCGGGGAAGGACTCGATCCAACGATCGCCGCATAAGTGGGGCATGCTAACCGGCTCGGCTTCACTTTTTACTGGTTTTCAACCACCAATTCCTTTCAGCTGCTGGTGAGGCAGAAACAGTGGGTGATTTGCCATCATATTTAAGGTGACCATGTTTTAATTGAAAGCAGGTCATACAGGGGTATAGACAGACACCTGCAGAAGTACCTTTGCTGAGCAAGCTAATACCATGATTCAAAAACACATTAAACGGTAGTTAGCCAATCAAATTATCAAAACATGTCCTCTGGAAAAGAAGACAAGATAGCCTCTTTAATGAGTGTAAGTCAATTTATCACAACAAGCTTTAATTTTCTTTGTTTATTTTATAAATAATTGGTAACTGAAGCCCCTCATCTGCGGGCCTGGCTGTAGTACTGCAGCTGTGCAGTTTAATGATGGAATAAGTGAGCTTTACCTCCATGATGTCGCCACTTGCTCATAAAATGATTACTTGGGCAAATATGACACCATGACATAACAAAATGATACAACCGCACATTTTTTAGGACAGTGTGTGAAGTTACATTAAACTTACATCTGTACTGCTGCGGTCCCGCCTGCTGCTGCTGCTGCTCCGACATGGTGCACGCTGCTGTGGTCAGCCGGCGTTCGCGACACTTTTAAATAGGCAGAGCAGCTGGTGGCGCTAGCATCACATGCGCTTCTACAACCTTTAAGAGGACGAAGAAGAAGCCCGCGGTGCATTTTGGGTCAGTAGCATGCCCGTAGGATGCACCGAGACCAACCTACAATGTGGGCGTGTCTAGCATCTGAAGTAGTATCTGAAGTAGCATGCTACTCGCTCCGGTGGCCAATTCGGACATGCTAGATACTACTTCGACTACTACTTCGACTACTACTTGGCAATTCGGACGCAGCTTAGGTATCTGTCAAACAAAGATGGCTTTCACCAAGGAGACAGGAGTGTCAGTCCTTAGTGAAACCCACCACTGTGTTTATACCTGATCATAAGGATCACTTAAAAATTAAGTTATAGACTGTCAGCAAAAATAAAAGGAATTCGTCCAACCCAACAAGGAAACCATACTCATACCACAGAGATTTTCTTGGGGGTTCAGACCAGATCAAGTGACTGAACAACCTAGCAATGCAATACCACGCAAACCAGTGTCTGGTAGTTGTGACGTTGTGGGCAGGTGTCAGGTCCTGCTAGAAAAGGAAATCTGGATCTCCATTAAGCTTCTCAGCAGATTGAAGCATGAAGGTTTCTAAAACCTCCCGGTAGACTTTGGGCTGTGTTGACTCTGGACTTGATCAAACACAGTAGACCAACAGCAGCAGATGACACGGCACCCCAAATCGTCACAGACTGTGGAAACTTTACTCTGGACCTCAAGCACCTTAGATTCTGGGCCTCTCTGATCTTCCCTCAGACTTTGGAAACTTTTCTCCAAATGAGATGCTAAATCTGCTTTCATCTGAAAACAGGACTTTGGGCTAACAGTAGCCCACACCTATTTCTTCCATAGACTGTATATACTATGGACAACTTGGTTCTGCCTACCGCCTGTATATGGATTTGAAGCCAAAAAGCTCTCGGTATTTCCGGGATTTTTCTTCATTTCCTGAAACCAGCGCTGCGCAGTAGCAATGCGCGCATGTGATGATGCTCAGCTCAAACAGCGTGTCCCCCGGGAGAGCTATGCAATCCCTGAACGCCCATAGGCTGTATCAGGTGTCAATCATAGCCAACAAGAACCCCCTAATAACTTTTAAAAATGGAGCTTCACAGAAAAAAAGAGGACTTGAGCACAAACCAGTCTTACAATAACTACATGTCAACATCACAAGGGGGGAGAAAAAATTATGTTCTGTGTAATAAATTTCTAAAGTTGGTCCACAGCCCCATAAGCTTTGCTGGCGGAGGCGGGATTTATGACCTATACTGCAGCCCATCAAAAGAGGGTGCTGTTCTCGGAGTGGCTTCACCCAGCAAGGAGGCAGACTCTGTCCATTCTATATACAGTCTATGATTTCTTCCTAGTCCAGATCAAACTCTTTATGATGTTGTCTTTGGCTCAGGAGTGGTTTGACAGGAACTCAATGCTTGTGGTCCATTTCCCGGCCTAGTCTGGGTGTAGTGGCACCAACTCCAGCCTCAGTCCTTGTGAAGCTCCTCCAAGTTCTTGAATCTGCTTTGTTTGATGATCCTCTTGAAGCTGCATTCATCCCTGTTGCTCATTCTCCTTTTCCTCCCTCTCTTTGCCCTTCAGTTAGCTTGAATGAATCTGCTTCCATAAAACCAGACTTTTTAACAATGACCCTTCTAGCAGACCCTATGACAAGTCAGGACTACATGGAGGTCAGTTCAGCAGCAGGACTCCCTTACTACAGAGCCATGCTACTGTAATACCTGCAGAATGAGGTTTGGTATTGTCTTACTGAAATATACAGTGTTCCTTTCTCTGCTGGCTTTGAATTGAAAGCTGATAACAAACCAAGTGGTCCTTGAAATGTAAGGAACACAGTGCCCATGATTTCCAAAAGGGTGTCAAATTTTATTGATCAGACCACAGGACAAGTTTTTTTTACTTCAGCACAGAGAAGTCTCTGCTGTTTTTGCATCATGTTTATATCTGGTTTCCTCTTTGCATGGTTGAGTTTTAACCTGTATTTGTGGATGCAGTGATGAAGTGATTTTGAGCCCATGCAGTGACTCCAACTCCAGAGTCATGTCCATTTTTAATTCAGTGCTGCCTGAGAGTTAACAGCCATAAGTCATTATAACTTGCATTGTTTTTTTTTAACTCTCTGATTAATGTTATGAGCTTTGACAGCTTTTTTCCACAAAACACACACTGATGAAAATATATTTATTTTCCACAGAAACAGCATTGTATCATAAACTTACAGTGAGTACACAGCCTGTATACGGTTTATCACTCAGACTACAGCTGATCTGTTTGAACATTAATATCAGGATTTTTTTCAGGCAGACTGTCAAACATCTGATGGTTTCAGCGTCTCCGATGCGAAACTTTGCAGCTTTTTAATGTGTTTTTGTAGAAACTGTGATTGATTCGGGCTTCAGACTGTGATCCTACAGAACAAGAATCAGAAGAAATCATTCAGGAGTCCTAAAATGTAACTTAAAGTTGTCCATAGTTTGTGACTTTTTTTCCCGGGGTGACAATCACCTTCGCAACTTGTTTCAATATTCTGACATTTTAACCCATTAAGTTGAAGCCATATGCATTAATGTATCAATGTTATAAATGCTTTTTTTTTACTAATATCGAGTCATGAGCTCTTCGTCAACAGTCTGAATTCTGACAGGCTTCAGGTTTGAGGTGGTTGGATACCGGTAAAAAGAAAGAAAAAACTAAATGTCATACAACAGCACTGTTTAACTTTACGTTGTGTTTACCTATTTACACTATAAATTAAACGGTTATATTGATTCAATTACCAATCACCAACCTGTGAACATAATGGACGAACAAACCGGAAAACTGGTGATCAAATGGTTTTATATATTAACTACTGACAGTTGGACCTGCTTTGATCTGGTCCTTACTGGTCTGCACTGGTTTCTGCACCGTCTTGGCTTGGACCCGACATCTGCATGAAGAGCTCTCTCAGCTCTGTCATGTCATCATCGGGGGACTGTATGGATGAGGCAGGTCGCTGCTCACGCTCCTCAATGAAATCCCACAAGCGGACACTATTCATGAACTGGAAAAAACAAATATGTTTAGAAACTACAAGTCCCAGACTCACTGACTGTTGAACTAACATTCTGGATCAAAATAAAAGAGGTGTCATACCCGGACGTTTCCCTCTGAGCTCAGCTGTTTGCGGGGTCGCTCAGGTTCTGGTCGGGTCCCATCAGGAAAGGCATGAAGATACAAACACTTCCCTCCAAACGGACATGACCCTCGACCCTGATCAAAGTACTTGCAGGCCTTCTTACTACATAGACCAAAAAAAAAAAAAAAAAAAAACTGGAGTTAGTTCAGAGCTGTATCATCAGATTTTCAACCTGCAGAAAAACTGTCTCCAATCTAGATCCGTAGCTGTCCCTGGCTTGGCGTAATATGTCCACACAGTTCATATGAAAGAATGAGTAGATGAGTGACTATGAGGCCGGAGCGCTCTCCAGGCTTTGGCTTCCTGGGGAGTACAATGAGCGCGGTCTACGAGAGGCTCCTTCTCAAGCTTAAGTGCCTCCTTGAGCAGAGAGGAAATCGCAGGAGCATTAAAAGAGGTGGATCCTCAGGAATTCCAACTAACCGTAGATTGTTGCACCAAATCTCGCCTCCAAATCCTCACATTTATTGTCCATCTTTATCTTATCCAATGTTGACAGATGCTCCACTTTAGTCTCTAAGGTAGTAATATCGTCAGTGCAGGGGGGAAAGCCATGTTTCCATTTCACCTACAGTGGCCTTAAGAGCATGTTCATCAGACTGGTTGTTTGTAATACTGCCAGAAAACTCCGACTTCAATGCCAGAAGCTCTGTCTTGAGCTTCTCGGTCAAGGTCGTTTGAAGCTCAGTTTTGAAAACAGTCGCCATCTCAATGTGGAGTGACGAGAGCAGTTTGGCCTTAAAGTCGGGGGGAGGAATGCCGCCTGCGGCTCCGTCCGAGCAGGAGGGGGAGTCACTTCATGTCGGGGATACGGCGGGCGGAGAAGGCCGCGTTGGTTGTGTTGGTAGTTTAGCTTTTGGAGGCATTTTGATCGGTAAGAGGCCAGGATAAACTTGAGATTACAGTGGTGGGGAAAAAGATACAAGAAGTATGCCTAAAATTGAATTTGTAAAGGTTGTTGCAGGAGCTCAGAGAGATACATCAGTCACTACACCGGAAGTCCTTGAGCCAAATTTTTAAAAGAATACTTTTCCAATTCCTTCTTTTGTACCTGTGGATTTCCTCCACAGGCAGAGCACATTTGAAATGTCAGTAATTGTTGCGTATCATGCCTTTAATGGAGGTAAAATTGTGAATTAGATGACTCAAACTGTGGTCAACATTTTATATACAGCTTCCAAGGCAACCAGTGGCTTACCCAACTCCAGACTTGAAAAGTTCTATCAGGTGATCTTTGTCATCCTGGTCTTCCACCCAGTAGACAGAAGGGATGACGAACTCTGAGGCAACGCGACACTCTGGACATGCCCTGAGAGAGATTGACAGAAAACACTTCCGGTTATAATACAGACTTTTAAAAAGTTTTCAGATATCACAGACCTTGCTTTACTGAACAGACTCCGCCTTGTCCCTGCACTTATCTCCCAATGGTACCCCTCCTTTATCTTCTAACTAGCAGTAACACAAAAACGATCTCTTACTTGATGATCTTGTTGCTGAAGTTTCTGGTGCAGCGCCACTGTCGGATACAGGCCAGACAGAAGACGTGACAGCAGGAGGACAGGATGCCGAACCTGCGCTCTGATGGATTCAGCTTCTGCACCACCACCTCCATACAGATGGAGCACACCTAAATGAAAAATACGATCATTGTTTCTGCCTACAAACAACATGATCAGTAATTAAATAACCAGGACACCTATTAAGAAAGTGTGTAAAATCTACGCCTAGATGCGCTCAAAAATGCTTCGGTACATCTAACACCTTACACCTGCAGGTCTTGACACTGCAGTTTGATCATTGCAACAAACGCACAGATTACCCCACATTATGATCAAACATCTACATCAGTCAGTGGTCGCTGTTGTATCGTTTAAAAGAGCTTGAACGGAGGATGCATGTTTAAGTTTTGTTGACAACACAATGGCAGACTTGACCAGCAGTGCTGCAGTTATTTCATACTCCCGATTAATATCCAAACTACAAACATTTTGTGAAGATATGCATAGCATAAGAAAGTATTTGTTAAAATAACTATCAATAAAGGATTGTTCTACAGTTCAACATGGAGTCCTCTGTTGTTATTTTGGATTGATACATCTAATGATGAACTTAGGAGACATTTGTCCTCTTCCCAGAAAAAGTTGCAAAAAAGTTGTGACCCTGTCAAAATCATCATGAACGCTGGCTTTTTCACTGTGAACAGGTTCTCCCTGGTCCCTACACCCTTCAAAGCTCAGGACTTGGTGTCCATGATTTCAAACAAAGGCAACAAAGTCAATGTTCACTGAATAAAATCTCTTGAGAAGGTCTTGCTTTGAAGAATTTTAAGGTCATCTAACTGTATTAAAAACATTTCCCAAATTTGAGAGTTTCAGTTCAAGGCCTGGGTGACCTTTGTATCTTGAAAACTACACTTTCTGCAGCCCTAAATATTTCATCATGCTATTAACTGGTTTTTAATTAACCTCATTACATAATAGATGTTCCTCCTGCCAATTTTTAGCATTACACATAGCACTTGTCTGTTCCGTTGTTCCTCTAACAACTTTTTGAAACATGTTGTTGGCATCAAATTCAAAATGACCGCGTATTTTCCATTAAACAGTAGTATTTCTAGTTTCAACAGTTCATATATGTTTTTGTACTAATGACAGTTAAATTAAGAGTTTAATTGATTTGTAAATCATCAAATCTTGTTTTTACATTTGACACAGTGTCACAACTTTTTGGTATTGGGTTGTAAAGTTGGAACAGTCACTCATGTCACTCATACCACTTATGCAGGCACACACAAGATACGAGACCTCAATTAGTGACTTAACCCACCTTGTCCTGGCTCAGCTGGGCAGCAAATGCCTTCTCCATGTCAGCTTCAAAGGCCAAAAGACACATCTGCAGTAATAGAAATTATTAATAAAATAAAATATCCAGATTTTAACAACGAACAGCTTATCCTTTATCCTGGATGGTCTTATTCTCAAATAAATTTGAACCTAAAATAAAACTTCACACACAAAAGTCAATATCTACAAAAATGAAAGGTAGTCTCATGGTCTTATAAATAATAAAAAAAATCTCTTACAACTAGTTCACAATGCTGAACAGATATAGAGCATTATCTTTTCTGTTGTTTTTGGTCTCAACTAAACAGCTCAAAAATCTCCTCTCTCATTTCTCTCACTCCTCTCTCTTTTCCTCTCCACTCCACTGTTATTTTTTAGGGGCATGTGTGTGAGTCAGCCTGAGAAGATATACACACACAGCAGAGCAGAGGGAAAGAAGAAAGGGATTCTGTACCTTGTCCTTTTTTCTGCTGATTTTTCCGCTACTGCATGTATGTGCTCTCTTAACTTCTAAAATTTTGATTTGAGAGGGTAAGAAATTTATTTGGACACGTTAGGGATATAATGCACACTAAAGGGACAGTTCTACAATCTCTGTGCTTTGGCAGATTGTCGTCACTTTTTAATCCTTTACGATCTAAGATCGTCAGATCGCACGCCCTAATCTGCAGACAGTCTATGAGACAAGAAACACCACATTTGAAGCTGTGCAGAAAACCTGAATACAATGCTGGGCTGAAGAGTCACAGACAAATCATTTAACAGTCATACAAAAAACAATGTCAGAGACTCCACCGTATTTCTCTTAAAGTCCTTTTTTTTAAAGGTTTTAATCTTATTTGTTCCACTTTGTTGAAACACTTCATTCCAAGCTACAAACATTGTGTTTGTCTAAACATACTTATGATCAGCTAGTTTGATAAAATCAACCAACATACACACCTTTTCATGTGCTTTCCTCTGCTCTGCATCATGGGGATGAAGCACTTGCAATCCGCACACCTCACACATGTTGCCGTGGAGATACGTACAGCTTTCTTCATAGTGACAGTGTCCCGCTGCAGCAAATGGACACAACTGGGGAAGTGGTGCCTGACAAGCCCCGCCCACAGGGGGAGGAACTGCAGAGAGAAGAGGTACGATTCAAAGAGAATCTGAGAATCATGCCTTACAAATGAAATCACCCCATCATTTACACCTATTTGGATCACTGATATCCAAGAGCCAATCAGAAGTAAGTATCTCCTGTAACTGACCTTGTTCCTGTGCTGAGGTGTCAAGACCCGTCCTAATGGCGTCCCTGTATGTCTGAGGAGCTGCTGCTGCTGCTGCTGCTGCTGTGAATCCCGATCCCAAACTGTCAACTGGTCCCCCAAACATATTGTCCACACCCAGGACTAGTAAAGAGAGAGGCAGAGAGATGGAGAGACAAAGATACAAAGAGACAGAGAGGCAGAAAGGCGGAGACACATGGACAAAGAGACAGACAGATTGAGGGATATCAGCCCCAGAGACAGAGACCAGGTTCTTGGTGAAATTAGAGCAAAAGCCCAAAATCAGTCTGGCTGCCTAGCTTGGCTATGCAGTGTGAAGAGTGATCTGAAACTGAATTCTTAAAAGGGAAAAGACCTTTAAACATGTCTCTCAGAGGAGATTTCACACTCTGGGGGGATAGTAGTTAAAAGGAATAATTGTAGGTTCAACCTTGTCCTCATTTCTCTCCAATTTGTTTTCACGGTTCATTGAGTAAAACTCATCAGAATTTTTCCAGAGAAACTGAAGGTATTACGCAGGTCTGTTTAAACTGGTTTATATTGAATGTAATCTCATAATCGTTTCATTTCTGATGACTCAGATTAAGTCTTTTTTATTACAGAAGGAGCAAGTGCTTGCTCCACAGGCTGCCATGTTGCACCTCCATTTTTTCTACTGTAGCTCAGAATAGACAAACCAGCAGAGGCATGTTGTAAATTACCAGGTTCGCTGAGCTAATTGTGCCAGAAGGAGAACAGAGAAAACAGACCAAGATCAGTTGGTGTCTCTGTGTTCAAATGCTGTTTCCCATCTTTGCAAAATACCTGTCTTTGCAGCGTGTCAAAATACATCTAAAAGCTGTAGTTTTTATACTGATAATCTGTAAAAGCAGTGGGATGATCAGTCTTGAAGTTTCACCTACTGTGTGTAGGACTCACCTCTGTCCCTGAGGACCATTGACTTCTTTGCTCCGCCTCTGACTGGAGCCCCGCCTCCAGCCCCTCCTACACCCGAATGGTTCTCTGAAGCTCCTCCCCCTCCTCTAAAAGAGGCCTTAATATGATCATACCTGCAAACCATTAAATACATACAGGAAGGGATGTACCAAAAGAACCATATTATAACTGCACCAGTATTTCAGACTCAGTCAGTTTTTTGGGATATCTGAGAGAGAAAGGTTTCCAACTGTCTTCCCATGTGCTTTTAACAAATTGTCTCCCGTTTCTGGACAACAGAGAAGCTTGCTCTGGCACCATCTAATTTCACTTTTGCTTGCACCCAGGATGATACTTAAATTTTTTACTTATTTGATCGCCATCTTCTGGGTAAAATATGGCAACACAACAAAATTCCTCTCTCTGGATGTACATTGATATCTTGGTCACACTTGTGTAAAAGAAACAGCTAACTCTTTAGGTGACAAATAGGAAATAAGATGGCTCTCATAAAATAAATATGAAGGTAATTTATTGTTTTAAAAAACAACACCTAAACAGGAAATTATTTAACAATGCCTGATTTAGTAAATGGTACCTGCGAGGTGAGAATTACCTTTGCTCTGGTAAGTTTTATCAGCTAGGTGAGTGTTACGTGTCTAAACTCCTCAGTTGAATATAATCTGCCCAGTGAGTATAACCTCTTGAACTTCAGATAAATGTGACCTGCCAGGTGAGAGAAAACTGACAAATGAGCATTTATTGCTGGGTGGATCTTTGCTTGTCAGGTGATCATTACATGTCAACTTAATGTTAACTTCCCCTATAGTATATTTGGCAGTGCGCTGCACTCCTGCCAACGGATACCCCCCGCCGTACCGACAAAATTCCAACCCATAAATTAAACTTGTACATTAATATATACATTAATTTTTATTTTTATCAAAACGGCCTACACAATATAATTTGCGCAATTTCAGACACTAAAGCTCACAATCATTTTGTTATTTCAAGAAAAATGTATCTCTCTGCTCCTCTGCGACAAACAGGGCTCTCCGCTCACTCATCTCTCTATCTCACAACATACACGTGTGTCTCTCACCTGGTCAGGTGAGTATTTCAGTTCAGTTTTCAGATCAGTGTTATCTGTATGATGAGTGTTACCTGCAGCGGTCTCCGTAGGCACACACTCCTCTCTGGTAGTACTTGCAAATGGTGGAGGGTTTACTATTTGCTGGGTCATGAGAGAACATACAGCGATTTCCTTCCCTACATACACCGTGCAGGAAGTACCTGAAATACAAAACACCTGTTACACGTGCTGAAAAAGGAGTGATATCTAACAAAAACACCAAACTCGTCACCATGGTAACAGAAAAAAAACGCTCTGCGATTGGCTGACAGATAATTTCAAATTTTTTGCGTTTTAAGTAGAGCCTCTATAAGAACCACTCATATCTTTAGAGTAATAAATGAAGCGTGATGGCTTAGCGAGTTATATACAAAAAAAATAAAAATTAACCTGCGTAACACATTAGCAAAATGGATAAACCGAAATCCGAACCTCCACTGCTGAGCCAATCAGAGCACAGCAGGCTTCACAGCAGCGATCCAATCAGAGCAAAGCTCATTACCATAAATGTTAATGAGCCAAAATCAGTTGGTTTTCCTGTAAGGCTTTGCAGGCATACTAAAAACAAACCATCAAATAACTTTTCAGCTAAAATTATGTTGCAAACATGATCAGAGGACATCAAGGATTATGAAAAAATGATAAAAATGGGTATGAAATTTTGATGGCAGGTCCCATTTAAAGGGGGTGCAGCAGTGGAGGTTCGGATTTCGGTTTATCCATTATGCTAATGTGTGCTAAAGTAAGGTGCCCAGATGTCTGTAATGATATCCGGGGATATTCGGTGTGGCGGCGGCTGGGGGGGGTGCAGGGGCTGCAGGAGCTGTGTGATCACAAACAAAATCTTGGTACTATTTATTAGCAGCGCATGCCCCTTGTCATAACCCCTGTAAGAACTGTTGTTCTCATTCTCATTCATGAAACGCTTAACTCGGGGACATTTTCGGGGACAGCTTTTGCTGGGGACAGGTGATCCAATTCGGGGACTCGGGACGTCTGGTCACCTTATGCCAAAGGCTAAAAATGGCAGGTATTAAACCATATATTTTAGACCCCGAGTCCGAAGAGAAGTGCAAGTTGAAAAAGAAGCCAGAGATCTCCAGCTGTGTTTTCTCATTCATTCTGCCCAGCTTTAACTTCATTTTCCCGGGAGTGAACCCAAGGAAACACCGGTCGTTTGGAAGAGACCCATAGCAGATACAGTGGTAGCTCGGTCTCGCTCTGGCTGGAGAGTGATGTTGACTGTGACTGGGTACGAGAACAAGAGAGTGGGCGCGGCTCACCGAGGACGCGCTCGTGAATAATAATGAGCAAGGTCTGCGTGACGTCAGAAGGACCTGCTTTTTCAATCGGCCTGGTTTACCCGTTTTTTTTATTTTAAACCTTTACAGAATGCAAACGACGTAACAGTTTGTTTTCACATTTACAACATAAGACGAACATAACATGGACCTCATCTGACACAAAAAACACAAAATTACATTTTTGATGGCAGGTCCCCTTTAAATCATTAATTTAATGATGAGAAGCCTTCCATTGTCATTTTTTGGTTGTAACATAGAGAAACAATAGGAAAAATGCTGGTTTAAGATTCAGATGAATTTTGTTCTATAGAAATATTCAAGATTAATTTTACAGACTATAACTTCCAGATAAAAACTTGTAAGAGGCACGAAGGACAACAAAGAGATCACAGGCTTTGGATCCAACAAATCATTCAGAATTTTCAAGCTTCCATATAACATCAAGAGTTGGGCTGGTGTTTTATTATGACTCTGAACAATATCTCTAACTGTTAAGCCCAGCACTTAATTCTTCGTTTGAGTGTATGATCTCAACAGCCTTCCTCATTCTGTCCCTTGGCTTTTCAGACACAGATATAGACACCTGCCTCCTCCTGCTCCTCTTCCTGCTCTCCTCTCTCAAACTGCCTCCTCCAGCTCTTCTCTCCGCTTCTCTCTCAACCTGTAGCTGCCCGATAGTTTGATCTGAGCTGCTTAAAGATGAAGTGAAAGTGAGTCGAGGGGCTTCATTCAAGGTAAAGGTCATAACAAGGGCAACATAGCAGGCAGCGCAAGCATAATGGTTTAGTCTTGACTATCATTTTTTTATGTTCCTGGGGGGCCGTAATCATGATCCTAAGTAATATCTGAGCTTCATCTAAAACCATGTCCTATGGTCACGGTGTGACACCATACCCTGATTATAAATCAGCCAATATCACAGACATATCAATTAAATGAAGGCCCTCCTTCAGAGCCATGTTTCTGAAGCGCTCTAGGAAGCCAATAATATCCTGACTATATGTTTATGTTTTTAGATCATTGGATATTAGACCCTTTACCCCAGATCCAATAGATGCGTCAAACTTTGTAATCCTTAAGTCTGAGAAACCTAAATAGAAAATCACAAAAATAATAAAAGCATTCAGTTGTGGTATGCAAATTTTGCTTGAAATGCTGAGTTCACATACTGATACAAATAGTTAGTGTCAGTTTATTGATTAGTGAGACTTTACAACTGGGGTTTTTTTTTTTATTCTAATTCATCATCCACCCATATATGAATAAGAAAAGATGTCATGTCATGAGTTAATAGACATTCAAACTAAACAAATCTTAAAATGGACTTAATCAGCTGTTATAGCATTCAAACAGACTATTTCTAAAAAGGAGCTTAATTAGCTGCTATTTCTCTCTTTGAACTGAACTTTTCCAACAATGCTCAAGTCAAACATACTGAACAGGACCCTGTAAAAGAGCACAGTTGAAGACTGAGATTTTTGGCCTGGTCACTGTCAGTTAGTGGCATTTCTTCATCTTTTTCAGTCCTCAGCCTAAGGTCTCTGTGTTTTTACCTCTGCTGCTTACTCTCCTCAGTTTTTGTGTCCTGTCTTGGTTCTTCCATATCTTTGATCCTCGATCTTCGATACATAAACTGATATCGGATTAACCTGACACCACTCTGCACACTGATGATCACTGTCAGTGAATTTTGTGATTTGAGCCTCTTCCTCAGAGAAAGTCTGATTTTCATAGTAACAGTCTTATCTTCATAGTAACTGTCTGATTTTCATACTAGCAGTCTGATCTTCATAGTAGCAGTCTGATCTTCATAGTAACAGTCTGATCTTCATAGTAACAGTCTGCTCTTCATAGTAATAGTCTGATCTTCATGGTAACAGTCTGATCTTGATAGTAACTATCTGATTTTCATAGTAACAGACTTCTCTTCATAGTAACAGTCTGATCTTCATAGTAACAGTATGATCTTCATAGTAACAGTCTGATCTTCATAGTAATAGTCTGATTTTCATAGTAACAGTCTTATCTTCATAGTAACAGACTGATCTTCATAGTAACAGTCTGATTTTCATAGTTACAGTCTGAGTCTTCATAGTTACACTCTGATCTTCATAGTAACAGTCTGATCTTCATAGTAACAGTCTTATCTTCATAGTAATAGTCTGATTGTCAAAGTAACAGTCTGACTGTCATAGTAACAGTCTGATCTTCATAGTAACAGTCTGATCTTCATAGTAACAGTCTTCTCTTCATAGTAACAGTCTGATTTACATAGTAACGGTCTGATCTTTATAGTAACAGTCTGATTTTCATAGTTACAGTCTGAGTCTTCATAGTTACACTCTGATCTTCATAGTAACAGTCTTATCTTCATAGTAATAGTCTGATTGTCAAAGTAACAGTCTGACTGTCATACTAACAGTCTGATCTTCATAGTAACCGTCTGATTTTCATAGTAACAGACTTCTCTTCATAGTAACAGTCTGATCTTCATAGTAACAGTCTTATCTTCATAGTAATAGTCTTTTTTCATAGTAACAGTCTTATCTTCATAGTAACAGACTGATCTTCATAGTAACAGTCTGATTTTCATAGTTACAGTCTGAGTCTTCATAGTTACACTCTGATCTTCATAGTAACAGTCTGATTGTCAAAGTAACAGTCTGACTGTCATACTAACAGTCTGATCTTCATAGTAACCGTCTGATTTTCATAGTAACAGACTTCTCTTCATAGTAACAGTCTGATCTTCATAGTAACAGTCTTATCTTCATAGTAATAGTCTGTTTTTCATAGTAACAGTCTTATCTTCATAGTAACAGACTGATCTTCATAGTAACAGTCTGATTATCATAGTTACAGTCTGAGTCTTCATAGTTACACTCTGATCTTCATAGTAACAGTCTGATCTTCATAGTAAGTCTTATCTTCATAGTAATAGTCTGATTGTCAAAGTAACAGTCTGACTGTCATACTAACAGTCTGATCTTCATAGTAACAGTCTTATCTTCATAGTAATAGTCTGATTTACATAGTAACGGTCTGATCTTTATAGTAACAGTGACATTCATAGTAACAGTCTGATTTTCATAGTAACAGTCTGATCTTTAAAGAAACAGTCTGATTTTCATAGTAACAGTCTGATCTTTAAAGTAATAGTCTGATTTTTATAGTAATAGTCTTATTGTCATAGTAACAGTCTGATCTTTAAAGTAATAGTCTGATTTTTATAGTAATAGTCTTATTGTCATAGTAACAGTCTGATTGCAATAGTAACAGTCTGATCTTCATAGTAACAGTCTGAACTTCATAGTAACAGTCTTCTCTTCATAGTAACTGTCTGATTTTTGCAGTAACAGTCTGATTGTCATAGTAACAGTGACTTTCATAGTAACAGTCAGATTTTCATAGTAACAGTCTGAACTTCATAATAACAGTCTTCTTTTCATAGTAACTGTCTGATTTTTATAGTAACAGTCTGATTGTCATAGTAACAGTCTTATCTTCATAGTAACAGCCTTCTCTTTATAGTAACAGTGTGATTTTCATAGTAACAGTCTGATTGTTATAGTAACGGTCTGATCTTCATAGTAACAGTCTGATTTTCATAGTAACAGTCTGATCTTTAAAGAAACAGTCTTATTTTCATAGTAACAGTCTGAGCCTCAAAAAAACAGTCTGATTGTCATAGTAACAGTCTAATCTTGACAGTAATAGTCTGACACACGACATGTTGCCTTATGATGACCAGAAAACGTTTAGAATATGTACAATGTCATGTTACATCAATATTACGCTCTTTGGCCGTTTATTTTTTACGAACTATGAACTCTAATAGTTTGATCATCGTTCTTTTTATAATGCTGACGTAATATATAAGGACGTATCGACCACCTTGGATTCTTTTAAACTTCACGTCAACAGAAAAGACAGTGTATAGCATGCTAACATGCAACAGTCTGACTGTCATAGTAACAGTCTGATCTTCATAGTAACAGTCTGATCTTCATAGAAACAGTCTTCTCTTCATAGTAACAGTCTTATCTTCATAGTAACAGACTGATCTTCATAGTAACAGTCTGATTTTCATAGTTACAGTATGAGTCTTCATAGTTACACTCTGATCTTCATAGTAACAGTCTGATTGTCAAAGTAACAGTCTGACTGTCATACTAACAGTCTGATCTTCATAGTAACCGTCTGATTTTCATAGTAACAGACTTCTCTTCATAGTAACAGTCTGATCTTCATAGTAACAGTCTTATCTTCATAGTAATAGTCTGTTTTTCATAGTAACAGTCTTATCTTCATAGTAACAGACTGATCTTCATAGTAACAGTCTGATTATCATAGTTACAGTCTGAGTCTTCATAGTTACACTCTGATCTTCATAGTAACAGTCTGATCTTCATAGTAAGTCTTATCTTCATAGTAATAGTCTGATTGTCAAAGTAACAGTCTGACTGTCATACTAACAGTCTGATCTTCATAGTAACAGTCTTCTCTTCATAGTAACAGTCTGATTTACATAGTAACGGTCTGATCTTTATAGTAACAGTGACATTCATAGTAACAGTCTGATTTTCATAGTAACAGTCTGATCTTTAAAGAAACAGTCTGATTTTCATAGTAACAGTCTGATCTTTAAAGTAATAGTCTGATTTTTATAGTAATAGTCTTATTGTCATAGTAACAGTCTGATCTTTAAAGTAATAGTCTGATTTTTATAGTAATAGTCTTATTGTCATAGTAACAGTCTGATTGCAATAGTAACAGTCTGATCTTCATAGTAACAGTCTGAACTTCATAGTAACAGTCTTCTCTTCATAGTAACTGTCTGATTTTTGCAGTAACAGTCTGATTGTCATAGTAACAGTGACTTTCATAGTAACAGTCAGATTTTCATAGTAACAGTCTGAACTTCATAATAACAGTCTTCTTTTCATAGTAACTGTCTGATTTTTATAGTAACAGTCTGATTGTCATAGTAACAGTCTTATCTTCATAGTAACAGCCTTCTCTTTATAGTAACAGTGTGATTTTCATAGTAACAGTCTGATTGTTATAGTAACGGTCTGATCTTCATAGTAACAGTCTGATTTTCATAGTAACAGTCTGATCTTTAAAGAAACAGTCTTATTTTCATAGTAACAGTCTGAGCCTCAAAAAAACAGTCTGATTGTCATAGTAACAGTCTAATCTTGACAGTAATAGTCTGACACACGACATGTTGCCTTATGATGACCAGAAAACGTTTAGAATATGTACAATGTCATGTTACATCAATATTACGCTCTTTGGCCGTTTATTTTTTACGAACTATGAACTCTAATAGTTTGATCATCGTTCTTTTTATAATGCTGACGTAATATATAAGGACGTATCGACCACCTTGGATTCTTTTAAACTTCACGTCAACAGAAAAGACAGTGTATAGCATGCTAACATGCAACAGTCTGACTGTCATAGTAACAGTCTGATCTTCATAGTAACAGTCTGATCTTCATAGAAACAGTCTTCTCTTCATAGTAACAGTCTTATCTTCATAGTAACAGACTGATCTTCATAGTAACAGTCTGATTTTCATAGTTACAGTATGAGTCTTCATAGTTACACTCTGATCTTCATAGTAACAGTCTGATTGTCAAAGTAACAGTCTGACTGTCATACTAACAGTCTGATCTTCATAGTAACCGTCTGATTTTCATAGTAACAGACTTCTCTTCATAGTAACAGTCTGATCTTCATAGTAACAGTCTTATCTTCATAGTAATAGTCTGTTTTTCATAGTAACAGTCTTATCTTCATAGTAACAGACTGATCTTCATAGTAACAGTCTGATTATCATAGTTACAGTCTGAGTCTTCATAGTTACACTCTGATCTTCATAGTAACAGTCTGATCTTCATAGTAAGTCTTATCTTCATAGTAATAGTCTGATTGTCAAAGTAACAGTCTGACTGTCATACTAACAGTCTGATCTTCATAGTAACAGTCTTCTCTTCATAGTAACAGTCTGATTTACATAGTAACGGTCTGATCTTTATAGTAACAGTGACATTCATAGTAACAGTCTGATTTTCATAGTAACAGTCTGATCTTTAAAGAAACAGTCTGATTTTCATAGTAACAGTCTGATCTTTAAAGTAATAGTCTGATTTTTATAGTAATAGTCTTATTGTCATAGTAACAGTCTGATCTTTAAAGTAATAGTCTGATTTTTATAGTAATAGTCTTATTGTCATAGTAACAGTCTGATTGCAATAGTAACAGTCTGATCTTCATAGTAACAGTCTGAACTTCATAGTAACAGTCTTCTCTTCATAGTAACTGTCTGATTTTTGCAGTAACAGTCTGATTGTCATAGTAACAGTGACTTTCATAGTAACAGTCAGATTTTCATAGTAACAGTCTGAACTTCATAATAACAGTCTTCTTTTCATAGTAACTGTCTGATTTTTATAGTAACAGTCTGATTGTCATAGTAACAGTCTTATCTTCATAGTAACAGCCTTCTCTTTATAGTAACAGTGTGATTTTCATAGTAACAGTCTGATTGTTATAGTAACGGTCTGATCTTCATAGTAACAGTCTGATTTTCATAGTAACAGTCTGATCTTTAAAGAAACAGTCTTATTTTCATAGTAACAGTCTGAGCCTCAAAAAAACAGTCTGATTGTCATAGTAACAGTCTAATCTTGACAGTAATAGTCTGACACACGACATGTTGCCTTATGATGACCAGAAAACGTTTAGAATATGTACAATGTCATGTTACATCAATATTACGCTCTTTGGCCGTTTATTTTTTACGAACTATGAACTCTAATAGTTTGATCATCGTTCTTTTTATAATGCTGACGTAATATATAAGGACGTATCGACCACCTTGGATTCTTTTAAACTTCACGTCAACAGAAAAGACAGTGTATAGCATGCTAACATGCAACAGTCTGACTGTCATAGTAACAGTCTGATCTTCATAGTAACAGTCTGATCTTCATAGAAACAGTCTTCTCTTCATAGTAACAGTCTTATCTTCATAGTAACAGACTGATCTTCATAGTAACAGTCTGATTTTCATAGTTACAGTATGAGTCTTCATAGTTACACTCTGATCTTCATAGTAACAGTCTGATTGTCAAAGTAACAGTCTGACTGTCATACTAACAGTCTGATCTTCATAGTAACCGTCTGATTTTCATAGTAACAGACTTCTCTTCATAGTAACAGTCTGATCTTCATAGTAACAGTCTTATCTTCATAGTAATAGTCTGTTTTTCATAGTAACAGTCTTATCTTCATAGTAACAGACTGATCTTCATAGTAACAGTCTGATTATCATAGTTACAGTCTGAGTCTTCATAGTTACACTCTGATCTTCATAGTAACAGTCTGATCTTCATAGTAAGTCTTATCTTCATAGTAATAGTCTGATTGTCAAAGTAACAGTCTGACTGTCATACTAACAGTCTGATCTTCATAGTAACAGTCTTCTCTTCATAGTAACAGTCTGATTTACATAGTAACGGTCTGATCTTTATAGTAACAGTGACATTCATAGTAACAGTCTGATTTTCATAGTAACAGTCTGATCTTTAAAGAAACAGTCTGATTTTCATAGTAACAGTCTGATCTTTAAAGTAATAGTCTGATTTTTATAGTAATAGTCTTATTGTCATAGTAACAGTCTGATCTTTAAAGTAATAGTCTGATTTTTATAGTAATAGTCTTATTGTCATAGTAACAGTCTGATTGCAATAGTAACAGTCTGATCTTCATAGTAACAGTCTGAACTTCATAGTAACAGTCTTCTCTTCATAGTAACTGTCTGATTTTTGCAGTAACAGTCTGATTGTCATAGTAACAGTGACTTTCATAGTAACAGTCAGATTTTCATAGTAACAGTCTGAACTTCATAATAACAGTCTTCTTTTCATAGTAACTGTCTGATTTTTATAGTAACAGTCTGATTGTCATAGTAACAGTCTTATCTTCATAGTAACAGCCTTCTCTTTATAGTAACAGTGTGATTTTCATAGTAACAGTCTGATTGTTATAGTAACGGTCTGATCTTCATAGTAACAGTCTGATTTTCATAGTAACAGTCTGATCTTTAAAGAAACAGTCTTATTTTCATAGTAACAGTCTGAGCCTCAAAAAAACAGTCTGATTGTCATAGTAACAGTCTAATCTTGACAGTAATAGTCTGACACACGACATGTTGCCTTATGATGACCAGAAAACGTTTAGAATATGTACAATGTCATGTTACATCAATATTACGCTCTTTGGCCGTTTATTTTTTACGAACTATGAACTCTAATAGTTTGATCATCGTTCTTTTTATAATGCTGACGTAATATATAAGGACGTATCGACCACCTTGGATTCTTTTAAACTTCACGTCAACAGAAAAGACAGTGTATAGCATGCTAACATGCAACAGTCTGACTGTCATAGTAACAGTCTGATCTTCATAGTAACAGTCTGATCTTCATAGAAACAGTCTTCTCTTCATAGTAACAGTCTGATTTACACAGTAACGGTCTGATCTTTATAGTAACAGTCTGATTTTCATAGTTACAGTATGAGTCTTCATAGTTACACTCTGATCTTCATAGTAACAGTCTGATTGTCAAAGTAACAGTCTGACTGTCATACTAACAGTCTGATCTTCATAGTAACCGTCTGATTTTCATAGTAACAGACTTCTCTTCATAGTAACAGTCTGATCTTCATAGTAACAGTCTTATCTTCATAGTAATAGTCTGTTTTTCATAGTAACAGTCTTATCTTCATAGTAACAGACTGATCTTCATAGTAACAGTCTGATTATCATAGTTACAGTCTGAGTCTTCATAGTTACACTCTGATCTTCATAGTAACAGTCTGATCTTCATAGTAAGTCTTATCTTCATAGTAATAGTCTGATTGTCAAAGTAACAGTCTGACTGTCATACTAACAGTCTGATCTTCATAGTAACAGTCTTCTCTTCATAGTAACAGTCTGATTTACATAGTAACGGTCTGATCTTTATAGTAACAGTGACATTCATAGTAACAGTCTGATTTTCATAGTAACAGTCTGATCTTTAAAGAAACAGTCTGATTTTCATAGTAACAGTCTGATCTTTAAAGTAATAGTCTGATTTTTATAGTAATAGTCTTATTGTCATAGTAACAGTCTGATCTTTAAAGTAATAGTCTGATTTTTATAGTAATAGTCTTATTGTCATAGTAACAGTCTGATTGCAATAGTAACAGTCTGATCTTCATAGTAACAGTCTGAACTTCATAGTAACAGTCTTCTCTTCATAGTAACTGTCTGATTTTTGCAGTAACAGTCTGATTGTCATAGTAACAGTGACTTTCATAGTAACAGTCAGATTTTCATAGTAACAGTCTGAACTTCATAATAACAGTCTTCTTTTCATAGTAACTGTCTGATTTTTATAGTAACAGTCTGATTGTCATAGTAACAGTCTTATCTTCATAGTAACAGCCTTCTCTTTATAGTAACAGTGTGATTTTCATAGTAACAGTCTGATTGTTATAGTAACGGTCTGATCTTCATAGTAACAGTCTGATTTTCATAGTAACAGTCTGATCTTTAAAGAAACAGTCTTATTTTCATGGTAACAGTCTGAGCCTCAAAAAAACAGTCTGATTGTCATAGTAACAGTCTAATCTTGACAGTAATAGTCTGACACACGACATGTTGCCTTATGATGACCAGAAAACGTTTAGAATATGTACAATGTCATGTTACATCAATATTACGCTCTTTGGCCGTTTATTTTTTACGAACTATGAACTCTAATAGTTTGATCATCGTTCTTTTTATAATGCTGACGTAATATATAAGGACGTATCGACCACCTTGGATTCTTTTAAACTTCACGTCAACAGAAAAGACAGTGTATAGCATGCTAACAGCTAGCTGCTATAGGCTAAAAACATAAGCACGAGGCTAATGCGTTAGCATGGATGTCCATCAGAGAGAGAATAAGAGACTGACACGCCGCTGACTGACAGAGGAGGACGGACAGAGGTCCACACTCACCTGCAGGTCACCTGCTGTTTGGTGCTCATCTTCCTCACGGAGCTTCAGGTGTGACGGCTGTTAACTTGTCACATTGGCGCTCCGTTAATACAATTCCGGTTAGATATTGAAGTAACAGCGCGAAGGTTCCGACGTAAGTCTTTTTCTTCTTTTGTGGTTTATTTTGGCGGTTGGCAAACAACAAAAAGGCGTATTACCGCCACCAATTGATAAGGAGTGCGGATCTTGACATTTGTCAAGACAAAACTAAACAGATAAATACATTTTTCAAAAAACGATATCTATATCTTCACAACGTAGATTCCGACTTAATCAATTTTTATAGGGCGTCAGTTAACGAACTACGACATTAAAAACACTTCTAAAATTCAGGAATATACCATATTTAACTTACAGAGACCAATCAGAATCCATCATGAGTGAAACATCTGTCAACAAAGACAAGGACAACCTACTAACTGAAACAAAATATGCCCAAAAGCCAGAAAAGTGGGACAAAGAGAGAGTAAAACAAGGTTCAACATAAACAAGCTTACCCTATCTGTTAAACAAAGTGTTATATTCAGCAATAACAGTAAGAATGTGAACCTTAATAACACTTGGTGGTATAGACATCTAAACAGTGGAGGAAATCACAATTCTGGGTGTAACATAAACTACAGGCTCTTTGGAAATCTCATTTGGTTGGAAGGAAAGAAATCACTACACAAGATGAAAGCTCCTGTGAGGTAGCCTGGCCGGGCCATCCTGTTGCGTGAATCACTTGATGTTCCTTCCCACAACAGTCTGGACTTCGGCCCATAGAGAGCGTGTATTCCCGATCAGACAATAACCGGGCCAATCAGAGACCGTGTTTCCACTGTTACCCGGACAACAGGGAAAGGCAGCCCCTGATTGGTCCATGTGTAGTGGTGACGTCCAACACATGCTGCGGGACTTTTCAAAGCCCCGTTCATTCAGAACGCCGTTAATTCTGCAGTTGACTCTGCAAAGTCGGCAGAAATCGTTTAGATCCGACGTCTTCTGCAGATATAAATCGTTTAGATCCGACGTCTTCTGCGGATATAAACGATTTCTGCCGACTGCAGTTGACTCTGCAAAGTCGGCAGAAATCGTTTATATCCGCAGAAGACGTCGGATCTAAACGATTTATATCTGCAGAAGACGTCGGATCTAAACGATTTCTGCCGACTTTGCAGAGTCAACTGCAGAATTAACGGCGTTCTGAATGAACGGGGCTTTGAAAAGTCCCGCAGCATGTGTTGGACGTCACCACTACACATGGACCAATCAGGGGCTGCCTTTCCCTGTTGTCCGGGTAACAGTGGAAACACGGTCTCTGATTGGCCCGGTTATTTTCTGATCGGGAATACACGCTCTCTATGGGTCGAAGTCCAGACTGTGGTGGGAAGGAACATCAAGTGATTCACGCAACAGGATGGCCTGGCCAGGCTACCTGTGAGGACCTTTTGGTTTTAGTTCATATCATAGACTGTATATAGAACATGTATATAGTATATACAGTCTATGATCGATATTGGCTACCCCCTGTCCACAAAGCAGTCCCTGCTAATCTTGTCCTCTAAAGGCTTGAGTGGTTATTTTTTTTTACCAAAAATTATATATATGTTCTGCTGACTTTTGACAGTCAAATGTATCATTATTATATCAATGGATAATTGTTTTAAAATTGTCATCATTTTTGTGTACCCTCACTGAATGAAATGAATGAATAAAATGAATGGATGGCTAAATTAAATAACAGATGACGTATGTCTTCTATACAGATAAAAGGTTTGGGCAAAACAGTGATGAAAAGTAGAGTTTGAAAAACTTGTAAGTAGGTCAACTATTTTAAGAAATAAGACTTTAGATCAGAGAAACTTATAGTTATAAGGTCTGAAGATTGATAAGTGAGTCGTGCTTGTGCAAATTAAAATTCCTGCGAGGGTGAGAGAGACCCTGATGCTTGACTCAGTGTCATGATTTTATTTATCTAAAAATGATTTATCTATACAGCAAAAAAAAGAAGGAAAGACAACCAGAAAGAAAAAGGCCCACCCAATTCGGATGTTCATTTCGATACATTAATTTGTTTCAAATCACATTAGTCTGAACATTTCTACAGAAGTCAGCATTAGATGAAGTGAGCAAGATTTCTGCAGGGCTATGTTGACATTTCTTTTCGCAGTTGGCTCTCCTTTTCTGATCTCCACAGTTTTCACACTTGTAAGCACAAATGAGACAGATGTTACAACCATTGACATTATTATCATTCAAAGGAGTATTAGAGATACGTTAAGAAGAATATCAAGATTTCAAGAATAAAGCTGTAAATGGCAAAACAAGAGTAAAGTTTTAATGTTTTGAGAATTAAATCATTACATTAAGAGAATAAAGTTGTAATTTCAGTCAATAATCAGCCACATAATGCTGTTTTAAAGAAGGGTAGCACACGTCTTAGCTTTGTGCTCAGTCTTTTAAGAGAGTCTTGAGACTAATTACAATATGGTGAGAGAACATCAGAGACAATTTAGCCAGACGCTTGGTTGGCTGCTCATTGTGAACCAAAACTACCACTTTATCACCACTTAATTCTTGTAAACTATAACTTTACCATGATTATATTCTTGAAATTGTGGCTCTGATTCTCTGTCATGTTACATCTACAACTTATGGTTTAAGTTGCTTTGTTGAATTCGAAGCTTGGAGATGCTCTCAATGGCTGTACTGCCAGTGCACGGATCACAGGACAGCATGTTGCTCATCTTTACCATATCAAAAATGGTTGAGGTTTAGACACTCCTCAGGCTGCTTCCTGCAGATTTATTTGATATGACACCACATGTGATCATGTTGCCATCTAGAGTTACTTCTGCTGCTGCTCTGAGTAAAAAAGTAGAAAACACACCCTTTTGTGGATAAGAAAGCCAGACACTAAGAATAGAGAGTAATATTAACTTTTAATGTACATGAAGTTTTCCTGTGTGTCTTACAGTATAGTCACATGCATGAGTGAAACATGATGAAGGTATTAATTTACACGTGATGGTTTTGTCTGCAACACACCTGATCTGACAGATTAGACACACACACACACACACACACACACACACACACACACACACACACACACACACACACACAGTTTGACAGCTGAGATGGAAAAAGCGTTGACCTACATTCAATCTGTCTGCTGCGCTAAACTAACGGGGCCTTTTAAAGTTGCATTCAGTGTCTGTGTTTTCTGCTGTCTTCAGGTGGACATTTAATGTGTTAAAGAACCCAGTGTTAGGTTTGTGTTTTCATAAAAGTGTTGAGACAAATGTCACACTGATTTGCAGTCATGACTGGATAATAAGGCCAGAGGCTCCAAACAAATAGAAGGTCAAGAATTATGATTATTTTCCTTTATCCTGAAAAAAAGTTAATTATTCTTAGTATGAATTATCGGTCTCCATGACAATGCTACCAACACAGTCCAAAGGTCGCCTATTTAGACATAAGCAGAAACGGGTGAGCCAGGGTCACATGGCTGTCTGTCAGACAGCACCTGCAACCTGATAGGCCAGAGCCACAAGGTGAAGTCATTGTATAGGCTGTTGCTTAGCAAACGGGTGAGATAAAGAGGAGGGGAGAAGAAAAAAAACAGACAGACATGAGGAGTAGAGAAGAAGAAACAAGTCAATGAAGAGCAAGAGGAGGAGAAGAAGGGAAGAGCAGAAGATTTGAGGAACTAAAGAAGAAAAGACAGCATTACATAGAGGACTAAAAGTACGAAAAGAGGAGTGAAAGACAGAGGAAAAGGAGGACTGAAGGCTAAGAAAGAGTTAAAAGAGGGCAGGAGCAATAAAAAGGAATAAAAAGGACTGGAAGAAAGAAAACAAGGAGACTACAAGCAAGAGTTCAGGAGTCAGAGGAGAGAGGGAGGAGGTGGACATGGATAGGAGTGTGATCCGGTTCAGTCACTGTCAGAAGGAGATCTTCTGTTTCTCAGTCCCTGAAGAGTGTCCAAGCTGTGGGGAGGAACTGAGGGGGAGCAGACTGCAGGAGGCGCCAATCAGCCTCCCCTCCCCCTTTACCAACGGACACAAGAGTTCCTGCTGTCTGCTGGTCGCACCTGCACATGACAACATCAACAGGTATATACACAGGTATACCCACAAAACAGGAAAACATAAGTTAAGGTTCACACATAACACATAATAACCAATTATTATCTACAAAAAACTTACATAAAACACACAAACAAAGATATCCAGATTTTCAAGTACACAGCAGATATCTAAATACACAGGCACACACACATGACAGATAACTGCACACTGGTATAGACCACAAAGTTACACAATAGGTTGATACAAATACAGAAATGGCTGACAGCTATGGACACACTAGTAAATACAAGTATTTACACAACAGGTAGAAATACAAAGATATAGAATATAAAAGGGTATAGAAGCACAGACAGTAAATTCACATGGGTTTTTAACCCAACATCATAAGGTAAAAAAGTGGTACACGCACAATCGTAACTATTGCAGGCATTCACACACATTGAATGAAAACATGTATACGAACAACAAGTAAGCACACACTTGTATGCACACAACAGGTAGATACACAAAAATAAAAAAGCAGAACAGACTGTGAGAGTATACCAAGGCAAAAGGAAAATATACATCGGTTTTCACAAAAAACAGTAGGTACGTGACAATAGTATACTAATGATGACAAAAGAATAAAACTCAAAGGTATACACTCTGAGCAAAGAAATACAGAAAATTATGAATTAAGATGCTGACACCAATTCAAAATGAACACACAATGTTTGAAAAAGTTGATAAAAATATAAAAACAAATATTGGGGGGGAAAAACCAGGGTATTGACACTTACAAAAAAAACATCATTAAACAAGTACAGTGAAATTCATATAAATACATTATCCTGGATATTATAAATAGTATAATTATTTTCAGTATAAATTATACTAACAGTTATAAATTCACCAGATAAAAGCCAAATAACAGAATTACGGAAACATTTATTTGATTCACAAATGAGGTGGACAAGAACAGAAATGAACATTGTGGTACACATACAGAGATAAACACACATCAGGGTTTAAATATCCAGTCGTGCATGTACACAAAAGATAAATATGTTGTACAAAAAGATATACTCACATACATCAGTACACCTGCAAGTAAACTTGGACACAACAGGATAACATAAAACAAATAAACACACAAAGATATAAATTACTGGTATATAAAGACATATTTACATGTACACAGCAGGTAAATATGTTCACCACAAAGGTTTATACACATAACATAAGAGGAGTATAAAGAAAGGCATAAATGTAAACATGCATACTGTTATATTCAGACTGGTAAATGTGTAAACAACTGGTTAATATTCTGTACATAGGTACACATAGTATACACACACACTGTGGTATACTAACAGGTACACTGCATGTAAATATATACAGTTATACACAAACACAAAAGTATAATACATGCAAGCACACACAGTAGGTTAAGGCCCTTATAGATAGACTTGTGAAAAGATACGTTTGTAGCACAAATAATTCATTTCAAAAGATGTACACAACCTTTACAGAAGAAAAATGTGAGTATTCTAGATTTTATCAAGGCAGGATTTAAAAGTTTCACAAACAGATGTAGACAAGCAACATAGAAAGTTGCATTTATATTCACACAAATGAACGCTACACAAGGCTACACACATAAATAAGATTGCTCTTCGATAACAGGGACACCAGTAAATTAGCAGTATAGACCAGTGTGCTTTATTTAAATAACTCTAACAAGTGTGTGTCATGCTGTTGATTCCTCAGAGAGTTTGGGGGGACGTCAGAGCTTCACACCGGTATCTCTAACACTACAGGTGAGACCCGAGGGTCAAAGGTCAGGATGTAACTTAACTTACTAGGCATACTAACATGTTAAACAATGATGGTGACATGATTAATAAAGCTGTATGTGTGTGTGTGTGTGTAGGGGTTGTGTATAACTACACTCAAGGTGGAGTACGTAAAGATCAGAGTGGGTGGGAGCGCTGTGTCAGTGTTCCTCTGGTTCGACCTGACATGTTCCACCTGCTGGCTCAGTGGGATCAGTACCTGGACCGTTTCTCCGATGGGCCCATGTGGGACCCTGCCTGGCACAGGTACATCTCACTCCTGACACAGGTTCAGAGGAAGATGACTTATCAGGTGCATACACTCCTAAAACAAGCAGAGGTACGCCTCATACCCGACAATCATACATGTACATGTCTCACCTGGCAAAGACACCAATACACCTGAAATTGATAAGTGTCACATCCGACATGGGAACAGGTAAAGCTATAAAAGCACATGCCACATTTAATACAGTTACATACCACAGCTGACACAAGTATGAGTAAGATAAAACAAGTATTTTTCACACCTTACAGAATAAAGCACCACTGACTGCACAGGTACATCTCGCATTGAGCATTACCACAGATAAAATCAGCCAGGTAAATGCAACACCTGACACATATATTGTCCATCCTTTCACTTGAACTCCTCACACCTGCCACAGGCACGAGAAACTCAGACAGGTGCACAGGTACATGTAATACTCAAATGGTTACATGGAACAGTTAGTCCTGATAGTCTGAGCAACCGGCACAAGCACGTGACACACACCACACAGGCACAGGTAATTGATATACGTAAAACAGGTATACCTTACACCTGTCCCAGGCACATATCACACTTGGCATTGAAACACCTAACACTCAGCACAGGTGTATGTCACATTTAACACAGGTATACTTCACACCTGAATCAAAATTAAGTTTACACCCAGCACAGGTACATCTCACATCATATGCAGATCAAAGTAACGTCAGACAGGTGTATGCTGCACAAAACCCAGGTAGACTTCACTTTTAGAACAGGACCGCAGAACACCTGGCACAGGCACATCTGACAACTGACAGGTTTGTTACACTGGGGAAAAGAATATTTTACATCTGTCTCTGATTTTCCTCACAACTGGCACACCCATCACAGATACATGGCACACCTGACACCTCTCTCTTTGTGTCCCCTTTTCACTTGTGCCCACCTGTCCTTCTCTTCTGCACACCTGCTGTCTATTCTAACCTTTCTATGTCTCCACTGCCCTCCTGTCACCTGTCTTTCTCTCACACCTGTCTACCTGCCTGTCTCTAAGGTTCCACGAGGAGGACCATAACTGCTTTAGTTTCTGTCTTCAGTTTGTGAACAGCGTCCTGGCGGCAGAAGAGCGGAGCTCCCTGACCAGAGAAACTTTCACTCATAGCTTTATCCTGCCGAGGATGAAGCGGGTATCCAAATACAACACACTGTACGATCACATCCAGAGACACCGGTACTATATGATTGACAGACAAGAGGACAGACAGGATGATACGCCAGTCAGCAGTTAAACCTTTAAGGACTGAGACAGATTTTCTCTGTTCAGTTTGATAAAGGAGGTTTACATGGGTCTGATTTGAGGTTCCATGGACTGTGGTCTTCTCGGCTAGCTTTGTTGTTTTTTTTTCCTCTTCATCACTCACAATGTTTCTATGGAAACAGTTTGTGTTCTTTTATCAGCCTTTTTTCAACCTAGTTTACTCCTGTCCTGGCTACTACAAGCAAACTATACAGTCTATGATACAGACACAGACTGTTAGGATTACCACGTCTAAAGTGTTAGTGTTTCATGCTAGATTCTTTGTCCACAGGGGCATCAAAATCTATACTAAGTGAAAGATTCTCACAGCTGCTTTTAAAGTGAATATATTGTTTTAATGTAGTGAAATAATAATAATAATAATAATAATAATAATAATAATAATAATAATAATAATAATAATAATAATGCATCAGATTTTATATAGCCCTTTATCAGTGACCCTTAAAGCCCTTTACATTGGATACATTATTTATTCACTCACACAGTCACACCATGGTGGTGGTAAGCTACTTTAGTCTCCCTGCCTTTAGTCTCCCATCAGTCTTTGACCACTCTCCGACCGCCACCAAACATCACTCACAATCATACACCAGTGGAGGACACACACTGGGAGCAAAGTGGGTAAAGTGTCTTGCCTAAGGAGAAGATAGGGCAGGAATCAAACTGCCAACCTTTCAGTTATGGGATGACTACTCTACTCTACTACCTCCTGAGCTACTGCCACCCATTTATTTAATCAGGAGAAAATCTGTTTTTTTTGTTTTGTTTTGTTTTGTTTAAATCCTTATGTCTACCTCATTTTACTTAGCAATCTAGCAATTTTGATAGTTCAAAGTATCAACATCATCTTAGATGACTACATGTAAAGTCCTCTTACATAAAGGACTGTATTTATGTGACTTAAACTGCATGGTCCGGACAGGAGACGGTAATGCAGGGTAAACCAGGGCATGTTTGACTGCTTTTTGCTAGTTAAGCAGCACACAATCAGAGCACTAAGAGAGGCACAGGGTGCAAAAAGGTAAGGTTAAGCACTTTGATTGTTCAGTGGTTTGATTTGGGTGTAAAACACATCAAACCAATCACTGCATTTGCTCATTCCCCTCAAAAGCCAGGTATGTCTGCAGGCAGGTGTGTTGTTATGGATACAAAAGCTTCAATAGAAACATTTAATTTCTCATCTATTTTCCCCCGAAAATGCACAGAAGCACACACACAGGGTACCATATGAATGAAGTCGATGCATGGGTTAATGTTCAATCGACTAAAACTATTCACTATGAAAAGCAGAAACAATCATAGTCTTTCCAAAATAACAGAGGCATGTGTACATTAACCCACAAGACTCAACTGTGTAACTCCAGCCATTATTCAAAACTGAGGACATGCCATCACTGTCAGAAGGATCTAATGATGTTTCTGTGTGCTTTATGTCAAAGAAAGGTGGGCTGCAAATCTTTGTTCACTTTTGGGTTTTTTTTCTGTTGGATTACATGGTTGTATTTCATACTGGGTGCATAACAAACACTGTTTGTTAAAAACAAAATACTACTTGGATTTGTGTGAGCATGACAGCAGCAAAAATTGTTGTTCACGTCACCCTCAGTGATCACAGTGTTGGAGTGTACATTTATGACTTTGGTTAACTTAAATTAAACATGTCTTTTTACATTTGATATCATCTGTAATAGTCTCTGGTATGAGAATGTTCCTACTTTGCTCTGAATAAAAAACAAAAAGGTCAATACAGTGCTGAAAGTCAATGGTACCAATATTGTAAACTCATTATTAAACATAAAAATGTTTTGGAAATGGAAATAAACTTTCAAAAACACAAAACAGGGCCATCATCTCTTTATATAACTGGCTGTTACACTCTTAAAACTCTTCTATGCAGCTTTGAAGCTCCACATCATTTTCGTTTTACTGCTTTGACTTTAAGGTCAAGTTTGTTTTCTGTGAAAGTTTTTAATGTATTGAAACAGACTTCAATCAAGCAATATTTTAAAAGGCCACTGCAGGGCTCTCAAGTTTTGAACAAAGCTTAGAGTGAGATTTCCTTGGTGGGGTGATTGAAGAAATCAAAAATTCAGCTCATTGAGGACATTATGGGGTGTACTCAGGATTTTTTAAATGAAACTTTTCCCCTCTTTAAAATTATTCTCATTATTCATGCATTATTAAATTCGTCAGACAAATCCAAACTCATTCAAACTGATTCACACCTTTCTGATACTTCAAACCTGTTCAACACTTTAGGACTTCTAATTATTTAAAATTTTTCCCACTTCAAAATCATTCTCATTATTTATGTATGTTTTAATACTTCAAACAAAATCCCAGTTCTACTACTACAATTACTATATCACTTTAACTTGTATCTTCACTTCTATCTCCACTGCTCTTGCTTCTCTTAATATTTTTTTTACTTCTACCACGAGCTCTACTGCTTTGACTTCTACTTCTTCTATTCAAAAACTACTTCTACTGCTTACATGACTACTAATATCACTAGTACAACTACCTATTATCATACTTCTTCTAGTACTTCAACTTAAACTTATGCCGCTTCTTACTTTTCTGTGTTTTAAGGTAATTTTCTTCCTTATACAATTTTTTTTTGCAATTTCAGACAGTTTTTCTAGCCTTATTTAGCATGAATGCAATTTTAATTTATGAAGCACATTCATACTATTTGTACTTCAGCAATTTTCACTTTCATCTAACTTCTACTTTTCTTTCTCCAGCTCTTTAACCAAGTTTACATTTAAACCTTCCTCCATTTTTTTTAGCAGTTTAGCATTGCTTTTTCAGCTTCCAGCACTCAGCATTTCCACGCATTTTCTGCAAGGAAATGCAATTTTTCTAGTTTTGATAATGCCTGTCACATTAAAGTCATAAACACTGTAAATATCTATGCACACATTTAATCCTTGTCGATGCATCGCTTAACCATCATGAAAGTCTCGACAGTAAGGCAAGTTTGTATGCTAATATTGTCATGAAATCTTACGGTCTCCATGTCGTAGATGTTGTCCTTTCTGTTCAGGTGTTGGTTAGAGGTGTTTGTCCGAGTCCTTAGTTGTCTGGTGAGGTTTTATTTACGATGAAGCCGTCAAAAGGTGTAAGTTCGTGAGCCGCATACGTTTTTCGTGCTATTCTCTTCAGATTTGGGGCTCTATTTTGGTGCCTCGCCGGAGACGTGCCGCAAGCGCAGCGTCAGTCAGATCCGCCGCGCTGACAAGGCGTTCCCAAGCACATTTTGGTATTTTGGTGAGCCGCGCAGCCCGGCGTAAGTATCCCCCCTCCCTAACTCAGCTCCTCCCAGCACCATAAGTCGTAGACGGGGAGGAGAAGGGCGTGTAGTTGGTTTAACACAGCCGAGACCTGTTTTCACCAATCACATAGGCTCCTCTCCTTGCCTTTAAATCCGCCACAGGCGAGGCGTATTACTATTTTCATGGAGTAGTCAAAGAGATCAAGAGATGTCTTAAGACAGTAATGCCACAAGATGGCGACAGAGGGCAGCTCCTCAACAAGTGTCCTCCACACTCTCTCATATGAGCACAGATGGATTTAGTGTGCGTAATGTTGGACCCACTGGTAAGACAAACACCCGTTTCCACAAATAAAGACACTCACATAAAGTTGCTCATATTCAAACCTCACGTGACAAAGGTGGGTTGAGCGCACAGATCACAACATAAACTCCAAAAATGGCATTAAAATCGGAACCATCTGTGCGTAAATGACCCATCGCGCTCCGTGGCCTGGCTCTTTCTTTCATAGATGTTGGCATATAAAATAAATTTGGCCCACAAAACTGAATATTATAATATCCGTATGTCGGCTTTAAGTAGATAACGCATCTGAGCACTGAAACAAATCATCTGTTCAGCTGCAGCAGCAGCAAGACGGACAGAGGACACGGAGACGTGTCCAGGTCGAGCTGTGCGAGAAATAAGAGGAAGAGGAAGAAAGAAAAGGAGGGAGACGAATCACATATCTTGTTAACTTCATCATGTGTGTATATTTACTAGATATTTAATTTAATTTAATGCGGTTTCAGCTGTGTTGATTCGGTCAGGTTGTGTGTCCAAACGCGTGCCAAACGCGCTCATCAGATCAGATATAGATCAGAATATATCGATATAGATCTAAATGTATGTGCTGACTCAGATTAATAGTTGATGATGATTATTTATTGCACTGACATGTGCCTGACACTGTGGAAACCTGCCGGTGAGGCATCAGTGACGTATGTCGATACGCCGCCGGTCTATCAAAATACTACAAGACCAGCTGCGTTCCGCCTTGCGCTGAAAGCTGACCAGGTTTGAATCGGCGAGCTTTCAGCGCACTTTACACGCCGTTGGCGAGCACGAAAATGTCACTGCGCCAGCTGATTCTGTCGAAACCTCCCCCTGCCACGCCACCACGCCCAGCTTGGCGGATCTCGGCTCGCCTCCGTGCGGCTCATGCCACGAAAATACCAAACTGGCCTTACGCTGGGCTCCGCCAGACGAAAATACAACTGCGCGGGGCTCGCCGCCCTCCGCCGCCTCACCGGCGCGCACGAAAATAGAGCCCCAAGGGCTCTATTTTGGTGCCTCGCCGGAGACGTGCCGCAAGCGCAGCGTCAGTCAGATCCGCCGCGCTGACAAGGCGTTCCCAAGCACATTTTGGTATTTTGGTGAGCCGCGCAGCCCGGCGTAAGTATCCCCCCTCCCTAACTCAGCTCCTCCCAGCACCATAAGTCGTAGACGGGGAGGAGAAGGGCGTGTAGTTGGTTTAACACAGCCGAGACCTGTTTTCACCAATCACATAGGCTCCTCTCCTTGCCTTTAAATCCGCCACAGGCGAGGCGTATTACTATTTTCATGGAGTAGTCAAAGAGATCAAGAGATGTCTTAAGACAGTAATGCCACAAGATGGCGACAGAGGGCAGCTCCTCAACAAGTGTCCTCCACACTCTCTCATATGAGCACAGATGGATTTAGTGTGCGTAATGTTGGACCCACTGGTAAGACAAACACCCGTTTCCACAAATAAAGACACTCACATAAAGTTGCTCATATTCAAACCTCACGTGACAAAGGTGGGTTGAGCGCACAGATCACAACATAAACTCCAAAAATGGCATTAAAATCGGAACCATCTGTGCGTAAATGACCCATCGCGCTCCGTGGCCTGGCTCTTTCTTTCATAGATGTTGGCATATAAAATAAATTTGGCCCACAAAACTGAATATTATAATATCCGTATGTCGGCTTTAAGTAGATAACGCATCTGAGCACTGAAACAAATCATCTGTTCAGCTGCAGCAGCAGCAAGACGGACAGAGGACACGGAGACGTGTCCAGGTCGAGCTGTGCGAGAAATAAGAGGAAGAGGAAGAAAGAAAAGGAGGGAGACGAATCACATATCTTGTTAACTTCATCATGTGTGTATATTTACTAGATATTTAATTTAATTTAATGCGGTTTCAGCTGTGTTGATTCGGTCAGGTTGTGTGTCCAAACGCGTGCCAAACGCGCTCATCAGATCAGATATAGATCAGAATATATCGATATAGATCTAAATGTATGTGCTGACTCAGATTAATAGTTGATGATGATTATTTATTGCACTGACATGTGCCTGACACTGTGGAAACCTGCCGGTGAGGCATCAGTGACGTATGTCGATACGCCGCCGGTCTATCAAAATACTACAAGACCAGCTGCGTTCCGCCTTGCGCTGAAAGCTGACCAGGTTTGAATCGGCGAGCTTTCAGCGCACTTTACACGCCGTTGGCGAGCACGAAAATGTCACTGCGCCAGCTGATTCTGTCGAAACCTCCCCCTGCCACGCCACCACGCCCAGCTTGGCGGATCTCGGCTCGCCTCCGTGCGGCTCATGCCACGAAAATACCAAACTGGCCTTACGCTGGGCTCCGCCAGACGAAAATACAACTGCGCGGGGCTCGCCGCCCTCCGCCGCCTCACCGGCGCGCACGAAAATAGAGCCCTTGATCTTCAGAAATGACCGCTCTCTTTTGCTTGTAATGATTTAAAGTTTTTACATCGTTACAGGTTACCATGGAGATTTAAAATGCTGTTTACCTTAGAAAAACCCTTACACTGGTAGGTTATATCTAAAAGTTTAATATTATCTTTAATTTACTTTAATCTCAATAGAATATAAATATCTCTTGAAATAAAGTGGAGGTTATTTTTCTTCAACTAGTTTAAGAGTTTAAAAGCATTTTAATTTAAAAACCTTCCTTATTTCGGTACAAAACGACAACGTTTTGAAAACTATAGCTAAGTAGGCCTTTGTCTCATAGGTAACCCAACAAAAACCGGAAACTTTGTGTTTCATTATAGTTTCCACTGAAGCCTTTACTTTAATTAAATTCAGTCGATTTTCTTTAGAAGGCTACTAAAAATAGTCTATATATACTCCTATCATATCAATATTTTAGAGCAGTAACTACATCTGTAAAGCACTTTGTCCCCCTGTTTTAAAAAAAAACCCAAAGTTGATCATTAATCATTGTCATTGATCATTGTTTAATCTGTTTTCTTGAACATTAGAGTGCACATGAAGAATCTATTATTGAGTTGAATCATCCAACTATGTTATTACTTCTGCAGTTTTGGCCTCAGGCCATCTTCACTTAGAAAGGGGCTTCTTGGTGTTTCAGGATTTTAAGTGAATGTGAAAGATCAGGTTCATCTGCAATTTAAGAACAAAAACAGTACAGTGAAATACACTTTTAGCACTCTGACATAATCTGAGAAAAGCTAAAGAAAGTGTGGGGCACAAACAGAAAATATTCTTTGTACATTTGAAATTAAAAACCCGGACTTCTACTAGCCTTGTTCTTACTCGACTTCTTTCGGGGCAAAAATAAGAATTATGTTAAAATAAAATGAAACAACACATCAAGTCCCAAATTTCTGTGAAATAACACGCCATTTTGCGGGCCAGCTACGCCAGACCTGAGGGAGGAACTAGACAATGAGGAAAAGATTTCCAGCCGGAGACAATTACGGTAACACCATCGCGTATGCATGCTAAACAAACCTGAAGTGAGTTTTTCTGAATGAATGAAATCAGTAAATGATGCAAAAATAGTAAAGATGCAAACTAGCTGTTCTGCTAACTCAGTGTTTGAAAATTAATGCAATAAGGTAACTAGCTAAGAGGCAGAATCCCTCAATAGATCCTGAACGGTGGAAACATTAAACATAAGTCTAAGTAGAGGTCGGGACCAGTCTATGGTCGTGACGTGCCGGTTTGACTCGGTCCCCACTTGGTCCACGGCAGCATGCAGGCTGAGTTTCGGGCTCCCCGGAGACGGACCCGGGTCTATGAGGAGTACGAGGCTCCGCTGCCGGTGAGCCGCGACGCGGAGGAGAAAAGCCACTTCAGGGCGGAGTTCATCAACCAGCATGTGCTCGTCCATCACCCGGACCACATCCACAAGATCCACAACCAGGTCCGAGTTCGTCCATTTTAGTCAAGCTTGGTCTGAGTTAGTCCATATTAGTCAAATCAGGTCTAAAAGCAGTCCTTATAGTTCACACCAAGTCTGAATACATCCATATTAATACATCAGAAATCTGTCACTTCAAACAGTCCTGAGTTCATCCAAATCAAAGACTCCTGTCATTAAAACCAGTTAATTGTGTTAACCCGCAAAATGGCACAAGGACAACATAGCAGATAGATTTTTTTTGTATTGTTGTAGCTTAGAAGTTTTTGTTCAACGCAGTTTTTTTTTTTTAAATTTGATCTTATTTTGTATTGATTTCACATATCAATATTCCATCAACATTTTACATATATTGGACAAATTTCCAACAGTATATAATATTTCTCCACCGTAGAGCAGAGACATAGTTAGACATAAACTTCTTAAGTAAAGTTACAGTAGAGTAACTGTGTAGTAAAATGAAACACTTTTCCCTCATGTCCTTATTTTCACACCTCTCTTGTATTGTCTCGTTTCTCCTGTTGGAGGGTAAATATAATAAACATATGAATAATGAACAGGTTTGTAGCCTGAACCAAGGGTGTCAATAGTCTACAATACACAATGCCTTCACTTCACAAAGTCTGCTCTCAATTAAGACACAAAATTAACCCAGTTTTTTTAGTAGTTTTCGAAAGTATCTGTTTTAGTCTAGATGAGTAAATCAGCTTCTCCATTCTATACATATCAATGAGTACCTCTACCCAATCCTCTATTTTTGGTGAATCTGTTTTTAGCCAATTTCTGGTGATGGCCTTTTGAGCCGCCATTAACACTATTCGAAATATATTTTTCTTCTGACCTTGTCATTCAGCGTAGTTTTAATGCCAGCAAACTTTTTTTAATTTAAGTTGTGAGAGGAGCAACCAAACAGGTAAAAAGTTGTGTCCATGGCATGGGTGTCATACACATCTGTCATGGTTCCATTAATGTTGAACTATATAAACAGATTTAGGAGTAACATATGCTGCTATCCAGACAGTGACTTTTTTTAGGGAAGACCCTCATATTTCAGTAAGACAATGACAAACCACATTCTGCAGGAATTACTCTGCATGGCTCTGTAGTAGAAGAGTCTTGCTGCTGCTGCTGCCATCTTTGTATCTTAGGCTGAACCGGTTCTGTCTTGTTTCAGGGTTATTTTGGTAAAGGGATCCTCTCCAGAGCCAGACCAGACCACAGCATCTCCGACCAATGGGAGCGTGAGTTTACAACAACAGTATGACATCATCAGCAGTCTGGCCTGATCAGTGCCGCTCTCTGCAGTCAGCTGGTCTCTGTTTCTGTTTCAGAACATGAAGGCCTGATGCTACCTGTCGTCACACAGTCCAGGTGAGTGATGTCACGAGTTCACCTGAAACTTCACATTATGCTGCTCTCAGATAATCCTCCCTATTTTACTCTTCTTCTCCTCGCCTCCCTCATCCTTTTTCTCTCAACAACTCCTCTTCTTATTTCCTCCCCATCTTTTCCACTCCACCTCCTCACTTTCTTCCTCTTAACTTCTCTTACTTTTCTCCTTCTCTTCATCTTATTCTTTTGTTCCTCCTTCCCAACATCATAAAGCTGTTAACTGCAGTCTCCTCTGTTCTTTATCTGTCACTTCCTCCTTTCTCCTCCCTCAGGTATGAGGAGCTCCTCAGTTGGGCAGGTTCAGTACTCTACGCTCAGGGATTGGATGAAGACGCTGTCAATCAAACACTGCTTGGACTGTCTCAGCCAGTAGACGTGGAGGATGTAAGGAGGGAGATGGAAGGAGGAGAGAATGGACAGAGGAGAGAAAAGGAGGTGAAAGAGGAGGAGCCAGGAACAGAGGGCGGAGTCTGTCCTCAGACAAAAAGGCCACTGGACGAGTCAAAGGTGGAGCCGGAGACCAAGAGGTGCAACAGGTAAAGTTTGTTCTCTGTTCACTGTTTCCAAACTCTTGCTTCCATTGTGTTGATCAGGAAACTACAGAGTGCCTTCACTCCTGCAGGGTGATAGTTTTTAGTTTTTTTCAATCTTGTGCACACAGTGTTACACATCTTCTGGGAAGTAGTAAAGCATGTCTGTCCGTCTGTCTCTGACTGAATCATAAATGTTTTAAAAGTCATATGGGACCATGCATCACTTCTTCACTTTAAGAGCTTTGACTTAATTTCTGTGATAATATTCATGAAATAAAATACAAGATTCACCAGATTTCATAAAAAATTTGGCTTGTGTTTTGTTTTGATTCAGAAGGACATTTCTCACTTTTCATCCAGCAGTTGTTAGCTCAAAAGCACATGTGCACAATGGCTACAGACACACACATGGATACACACACCTCTCTCCTCCTGTTCCTCTCTCCCTGCTCTCCTCTTTCCACCTGTGGCTGCCTGATAGTTCGTACCACTATTGCACCACTGTGTTAAAGAAACTGCAGTCCACCTTCAATCTTATCGGGGTGAATTAACTAAATGCAAAAAGGACAACAACAACAAAGTGGTCTCAGTCTTAAACAACAAGGTGACATGCTTTCTAACTGTCATCAGCAGCTGCTAAAAAAACAGCATCGGTGGACCTCTAAATCAAGCACCTGGAGGGATTAAAGTCTGTGAGTGTGAAGATTAGGGCTGTACAATCAGGCATCTTTTTGCAACATCTTTTGAGTAGCCTCCTGTTGGTCAAAGCTTGTGGGGGCATTTATGCATTGACTTTGATCCATTGACACAGGGGCTGTCTCCTTTTACTACTCAGGATGATCTTATGTCTCTTATTCTTTCATGCACTGTAGTTGTGCTACTTATGAACCTGTTGCACATCCAGTTGCTGTTTATCATCTTTGTTGTTGACCTGCTGTATTTCTTGTTAAGGTTTTTTGTAGTTCAGAACTTTGAAATTTGATGAACTCTTGTTTATTCAGGTCAGAGTCACAGGACCTGAATCCTGTCTGTGATCTGAGCCCTAGCTCAGATCAGGAATCAGACTCCAACCATGACCCCACCTCAGACTCAGACTCTGACTCCGACTGTGATCCTGATCCTTTGGTCCCAGGTCCTGGGTTTGTCCTGGTCTCTGATGGTGAGGTGAGTCTGGTGTCTGATTTTAAGTTATAACAAAGTTAAAACATGAATGTAACCTCAGGTACTCCACCGGGTGGAGCTGAGGCCTTAATTTCTCACACTGTCATTCAACTAAGCCACGCCTCTACTTTAAAAAAAATCCACACTCTTAGCCTTGATAGTTTTTAAAAGGGTGTTTTATTAAAAAAAAAATAAAAAAACGTGCATTTTTCACGAATAGCTAAATAGACTGTAGAGACTTAATCTGTTTTTAACCAAAGCTGTATACTTATTTATTCAATGAGTGTTTTTACATGGGGCTTAAAAGCAGAAAATTAGAATGTTTTTATTCTTTTTTTTTGTGGATTGTCTTGTTAACATGACAGTTCATGGTATTTAAAAGCATTTTTATGGTAGTGCATTGTGTGACTGAAGCAAAACAAAGTTTATGACAAAAGATGTGCAGAAAAGCTTTTAGACTCGACTAAGTTAGTTATGACAAAATTCATTTGTGAAATTTCATGATTTTTCGTTGTTTGGGCTTTGAAAATATTACCTTTTTATAGGCCTTTTAGGATCCTAAAAATGTCTGAAGAGTCTGTTTAGATCAAATATCTAGAAAAAAATCTGCTTCAAAGTTGATAATGTCTTCAAAATTCTGAAAGTCTGTTGGATAAAGTAAGAGGAGGTCAAGTTTAAGGTCAGCCATAGATCATAAAGCTCTGATAGGGAAACATTTTACTTTGTAAGAAGTGAATCTACACACAAAACATTTGGAACACTCTTGGAAAATGCCCACTAGATGGTGCTGTAATATGATAAACTTCCCTTTTAAACTAAAACTAACTTTACAGACATTTTGACACTCTGGTCATGCAAATAAAACATGTCTTCATTTTAGTTCTGTGGATGGAGATATCTTTTGTGAGGGGACTGTCCTGAAGGCTTCTAAAATCATCTGAACGTGGGAGGTCTCATTTGAGGAACTTCTTCATCTCCTTACTCAAAACCCTCAGTCCTCTCACAAATGCAATAGTCTTCATCAAACGAACTAATATATCAGAGTTCTCCGCCTCCTCCCTGGTTTTACTTTCATACCTCTCCTCCACTCTTTTCCACTCCTCCTTCAGCTCACTGTCATAGTGTTCCTTCAGTTCTCTCAGCTGCTCTTCTTTTTCCTCTTTTGCTTTCTTTCTCTCTGCTTCTATTTCCTCCCTCTCTCTCTTCCTCTCCTCGTTCATCTTCAACTTCTCCCCCTCTCTCTCCTCTTCCATCTCTTTCCTCTCCCTCTCTCTCTCAGTCTGTATTTCCTCGCTGATTTTCTTCATCTCTTTTTCATACTTCTGCTTAATTGTCTTCTCTAGTTCTTCTTTGTCTTTGCGTATCTGCGCCTCTTTCTGCTTCAGGATATGTTGTTTCTTCTCGTCCAGCGCCTGCTCAGCCTCTTGGAACATCTCATTGGTGTAGTGACTTCCTCCGTTCCTCTGGACTACATTTCTGATCTTCTGGAGCAACTCAGTGACCTGAGAGCGATCTATCTTTTCCGTGTTGTTGAAGACATGGTACTGGCCATGACATCTGGCCACAAACTCCTGCAGGTCTGGACTTCCTGCCAAGAAATCTTCGATGGTGGTGTTTTCCAATTCCAGCTCATCACCTCCAGTAAACAGGACCATACTGTATCTGTCTGCAGCCTGGCCAAAGATCTCTTGAATCCTCTGCACTGTTTGCTTCCCCTCACTGGTGTATCTTCCCAGCCTGATGACCACCAGGAACACATGGGGTCCAGGAGCAGCATAAATGATGCACTTGGTGACATCTTTGGTTGTTTTTTCCATGTCATACCTGGTGTCAAACAGGCCCGGAGTGTCGATGACAGCAACCTTTTGTCCATCCACTGTACATCTGCCCTTTGAACAGTTTACAGTCATAGACTCTGCACCGAGCTTTGATTCAAACCACTCTCGACCCAGGATGGTGTTTCCACTGGCACTCTTTCCAATTCCAGTCTTCCCCACCACCACTATCCTCAGCTCCTCATCATTTGTTAAGATGTGTCCTGTGTAAAAAGTAGGAAAAACTCACTAAGAAGCTGCTCAAAGCTCATAGTTCAATGTATTAAATTTCACTTAAACATATAACTTAATCTTCTTAAGTTAAACTCCTAAATTCCTTTGGATTAACCCTCGTGGGACGATTAAAGGAACATAGTATCTTGTCTCAAGAGTGGGGTTGCTGTTGAAAATATAAATTTAATTTGATGGTTTGCAAATCATACAAAGTCAATGTAACATTGAATTACCGTAAAGACAACATATGAAATATTAAAACTGACAAAAAATATATATTTTTGATTAAATTTATTGCCAGCAACAAGTTTCCAAAGTGTTAGTACAGGTTCATGTTTTTCATTGTGTGTCATCCGCTCTTCTTTCACCAACACTCTGAAAATGTTAGTGAACCCAGCAGACCGGTTTCTGGAGTTTCAAAAGCAAAATGTCCCATTCTAGCTTGATAAAGGATTCACTTCAGACTTTGCATTATTTTTGGTGTCATGATGCTCCAAATGTTTTCAGTGGGTGAAAAGTCAGGACTGCAACAGACCAGTTTAATCAGCAGCAGAACTCCTCTACTACAGAGCCGTGCTGTTGTAATCCCTGCAGAATGTGGTTTGTCATTGTCTTGCTGAAACATGAGTGTCTTCCCTGAAATAGTCATTGTCTGGATGGCAGCAGATGTTGCTCCTAAACCTGGTCATATAGTTCAGTGTTAATGGAGCCTTTACAGATGTGTAAGATACTCGTGACGTGGACAATTACGATCCCCAAACCACCAGGGATGCTGGCTTTAAACTGTAGTGATAGCAAGCTGTGGATGGTAAGGATTTCCAAAAAGGAAGTCAATTTCAGACTTATCAGACCACAGGGCAGTTTCCTCCTCCCTGTAATCCATTTTAAACAGGCTCAGGTCCAAAAGTTGGGAACATTGGCTTTTTAACTTCAAACTGCTTGTTTCAGTCTGTTTTTTAACAAATTTTTTTCACCTCTGTTTTTTTATGTGCTGATGTGATGTTTGTATCGTGTAGAGTTCAACACTTACGAGAAAAGGCGGCAGTTCCTCTAACTGCCTTCACTTCTAACTGAAAGTGAAACTGTGTAACAAAAGCCTCTCCACCCATCCACAATGGCTTTTGTTTGAACATTTCTCACATTTTAACAATAAACCTTTTGCTTAACAAGATTTTACTTTTGTTAACAAATAAATTTACAAAAATATTTGGCAGAACACAACTCAATAAGAAAAAACCTCTTCTCAGTTTTCCTTTGTGGGACAGAAGTCAAATACTCCTACTGACCAAAATACTCCTCTCTGAATGGTAATTTTAGTTGTTATGATGTTGTGATTTAAAGTTTGCAGTATCATTGAGAACAAATGTTAAACAGAGCTCTTTGTTAAACCACTTCAAATAACTGAGCATTAAAACATAACACAGTATCATGACTTACCTGAGTTAACAGCCATGTTCAATATGTTATGTCTGCCTTCCACCGTGATGTGAAAGAGTTTGAGGTTAATTCTTCTCCTGAAGACACAGAGCTCCCTGTGTGTGCTCCATTGTCATTCGCTCACACACCGGTATATATCTGCACTGGGATCAAAATGAAAGTGAAACTTAGTCTTGAATTTGCGTCAGGGGGATTTTTTTTTTAACTCTTCAGCCCCCAAAGAATTTGAACTCTGTGTAAAAGGTGGATAAAAACAGATTGTGGTGATTTTTAAAATGTAAAGTTTGGGGTTTTTGACGACAAGACAGGTTTTACTTTGCCTCAGTCCACCTTAAATATGTGTGTAGATGTATTGACTTTTGTGTTGTTGTGTGTGTCCTCAGGAAGTCAGGGAGGTCCGGCGATGTCCCCTCACTCTCACAGAGTATCTGCAGCTCAGTCTGGAGGAGGTAACACACCAACACTAGCACATGTTTTTATCCTCTCACATTTCAAGTTTCACTCCAGTCATCTTCTGTCTGAGTCTAAACACTACATTACCCATGTGCCCATAAGCTACTGCTGTCATGGAAAAGTAATAAGTCCGAAGAAATGTTTGATTACACCTTGACTTTGACAGCAGGTAAGGGGCATGGCCTTCTAACAGCTGTCTGTCTGTCTCTGCAGGCCTTCTTCCTGGTCTACAGTCTGGGCTGCCTGTCTGTCTACCTCAACCAGGTAAATGTCTGTCTCTGTATTTTTACCTAGACTGAAATCAAAGGTCACTGAGGTGTAAAAAAAAGTATTGAGGCCACATTAAAGAAACAAAAAAGCATTAAGATTTCAAAAATAGAGTCATGATTTTGCAAGAGTGCAGTTAGGTTATGGGAATTAGCATGACATTAAATACAAGATGGGTAAAATCAGGGCTTATTGAACACACTCTTGACCACACAACCCTTTACTCATCTTTGATTGGTCAGGAGCCCCTATCAATCCTTCAGCTGTGGCAGACATTCCGGTCCCTGCGTCCTGACTTCATCAGCTCTTATGCAGCCTATCAGCACTTTCGAAGCAAGGGGTGGGTCCCTAAAACAGGGGGCGGAGCCAAGTATGGTGTCGACCTCAGTAAGAGACACACAAACACACAAAAAAATTAACTTAAAAAAAAAAAAAAAAGGAAAGCAAAACTTGGTGTACTGTTTGATGTTTTTTTTTTTTTAATTTCCTCCTACCCTTTATTGTATTATTATTTATTTAATTTGCTGATGCACTGTATGTTTTATATTGTAATGATGTTTTTGGTGTGTGCTTGTGTTAATTGTTTTTAATTAGCTTCGTTTGTCTGTTTTTGTGATTATCACTGTTCTGTCTATTGGTGGTTTATGTCATGTTGTGTTATTTTTGTTAAAATAAAAAAACTATTAAAAAAAAAAAAAAAAAAAAAAAACACACACAATAAAATCCCAGATTAGGAGCAGGACATTTTCCAGAAACCAGAAAAGAAAAAAATGACCAACCACATTACAATGGGATATGTACCTTGAGAATGTCTTTTTTTTCCTGTGTTTTCAGTGTTGTACAGAAAAGGCCCACCTTTCTACCATGCCAGGTACCACACACACACACACACTCCTCCTAACTCTGATAAAATTTAAATTTTCACCCTCTGTCCTTGTCATTCATTTTACAAAATGATCTCCAATATGGTCAAAAACTGATTGTCCTTCTTCTTCCCCTATAGTTATTCGGTGGTAATTGAGCGGGTGGACGATGAGTTCAGAGGTTCAGGGCTGCGTCCATTTTCATGGTGCTCTCTGGCAGCTCTTAACAGGATCACCTCCAACGTTTCCAAGGTAATAAACTGTTTGACTTTGCAGAGTCACATTTGTTTGTTGTTTGTTTCTGAAGTATTTGTTTCTTATTTACAGGAGCTCATGTTTTGTTACATCATCTATCCAGCAAACCTATCAGAGGTAGAGCTGGACTCACCTGCATGTCTGAGCAAACTGAAAGTTCAGGTGAGAAACCAGAAGAAACTGACAGTTTTCAGATTCAATTATGATTCGCTAGTCAGTCTGAGGAAAGTAATCTGAAAGTGTTTGGATCGGCTAAAGAAGTTTATCATACAAAATATTATTAAAAACTTCTTTGATCTGGTCACATGGTTGCTCCCCAAACTGATAACCAAATTGTAAATAATTTAGAGCACAAAAAAATGTCTCACTGGATTTACTATTAAAAGCTTTACGTACTAGAAACAAAGAAAAGTTGAACATCATTCTTAGAGGCAGATATTATGACCAGACAATAGCCAATTGAGTTCTGAGATCAGGTTTATATAAACTGTTAGAAAGGTTTTTAAAACATATTAGTGTCTTCTTTTTACAGAAATAAGCTTTGGTCATGGTTACATTCACATTTTGTAAAAGCCCTTCTGACAAACATCATATGTCCATAATGAGGATGTGATTTCCCATCAGGAGGTGATTGTCAGTAGGTGGGTGTCTTCCAGAGAGCGAGCCGAGCAGGACAACATCTGAAAGAAGGATTTACACACTGACAACATCACAAAGAGACTGGTGATGAGGATCACATGAAGATAAAATGTTTATTTATGGACAAATCAGAAACAAGAAGACACAATGGGATGTCACAAAAAGACTGTCCAGATGTCTGAGTGTCCTTGAATGCATCAGCTGGTCGTCTTCAGTGGGGTCCAGGTCAACTGTGATGTTTTCTTTTTTACCACCTGAGATCAGAACTGCTATATATGCTGTACCTCCATAGGATCAATTAATCAAAAAAGCTGCACTCCCACAAACTCTGATTTTTTCACTTTTAGACACTGAAGATGTCATGATCAAGGCTGCTCAGACTTATTGGTGAACCAACATTTTCAGTGATCTCATTCTTTCACCAATATTTTGTGGTTACTTGCCTCTTAAATGTGTCAGACAAGCTCTGACAACTCAATACATTCTGTTTGGTTTAGGTGATCACGGGCAGATGCTGAAAGGGAAGTTATGTTATGACTGTTTCTGTGTTGATATCTATACTAGATGTTTAAGGACCTTCAAGGAAATAAGGAAACAAGACAAAGAAAACAGAGAGGGAAATAGGAAATATGGTGAGTGGTTATGCTTATAAAGCAGAGAAATCCTGCTCGACGCATAAGACATCATCACCCTGCCTACTCTAAAAAAGTGACTTTTCCGAATTTTAATCAGCCCAGTTTAGCATCAGGACAGTTATACTGTTGTAATATGTGATAGCTGGCTCTTAGAGGTGTTGTGACATAATATTTCATTTATTACCAAAAATCTATATATCAAGCTCAAATGTTGGGTGTCAACACTGAACATGGAAAAAGTTTCAAAAAGTGAGGTAAATGTGTAGTGGAGGAAGACTGCCAGCTGCTCTGTATGGCTTGTTCATTAAGTTATAAAAGTTGTCATGACTAGTGATGTGTCCTTTAATGCCGAGGCTTTGAAGCGTGTGCCGAGTAATTGCAGAATATTATTTATTTATTTTCAATAAAACTTTATTGAGCGTTTAACAGAACAGGATAGTTCAACACACAAGCAAGAAGGAGTTTTTTGCTAGGGGGCCACACATTTAGGAAAACAGGAGTCTTTACATAAAAACATTAAAGAGAGTACATAAATGTATGGTCTTGATAGCTTTGCTATTAGTAGAATTTTTAATAGTATTAATATACAGCTTGGTTTCATTTCTGAAAAAAAATAAAGCAAGGATTTTTATTTATATATCTACATTTATGGATATGCCACTTAGCCAACAAAATAATAAGGTTAATTATATAATAATGTTTGTTTTTTGGAAGGTATAAAGGAAGTGAAACCAAACAGTACATTTTCAAAACAAAGAGTGAAATTATTCTCAATAGAAGTAGAAATAAAATGGCAAACATCTTTCCAGAAATTATTTAAAAAGGGCAAAACCAAAATAAGTGAAGGGTATCTTCAGGGCATTGCGAACAGAAAGAGCAGTTAGTGTCAATATGACTCTTGAAACGCTGTAAGACAAATAATTTACAAGGATGGATTTCATGGATTAATTTAAAAGACATTTCTTTAATTTTGTTGTTAATCATATACTTGGTCAAGATTTGGTAATATATTATTCCAATAAGTAGTTATATGAGGAAGCGACACAATGTCCCTTTGAAACAAAGTACGCACAGCACGATTGCTGCTACGGGTTGTCAAGAAACAAATCCTGCTGACTTCAAGCTTAAGTGGATCCAGAGGCAAGAGAGTTGGTATCTCCATTGTGCTTCTAAATCAAGGGTTCCCAACCTTTTGTGAGCCGTGACCCCATTTTGACATCACAAATTTCTGGGAACCCCAGAGACACTTTTTTCTAGAATTAAACAAGACATGACCACACAGCAGACATTTCGGCTTCTCCTCATTGCTCTCAAAAACTTTCAGCATATTTTCTCTGTCTTTTAGGCGTCAGTGTCTCTGTTCCTCTCTGGGCTGTCTTTACAGGGCCAGGCGTGCAAAGAAATCTTTCCATTTTGTTTTCAGTTTTTCCCCACTGACTGCAAGTGTGTTTACAGGTTGATGGAGGGAAGTGTCACATGATCGCGGCCGCATATCAAGATGCTGCATTTTGTAACTAGATTTATATTTGAGAAAGTAAAGGATAGAAAACTGTTTTTAAGATTTTTAACAGATAGAAACAGATTTAAATAATTTAAGATTGTGTGTGGTGTTTGAATGTTGAAAACAAAAATTAGTTAAACATTATCAGTAAATTATTTTTAATCAATTAGGAGACATTTCAGGCAACCCCATTGGAGTTACAGGCGACCCCATGTGGGGTCGCGACCCCACGTGTTGAAAAACACTGTTCTGAATTATAAAGACACACCAGAAGGAACTGCATTAATGATAATGTTAAATTTCGACAGTAGGAATTGAAATGTTGTGTTTTGAAGTATAATCTTAATAAGTAAGTAATAAACCATTGGAATCAAACAGCTGGTGAACCAGAAGTATATTATGAGAAAACCAGGCAGGGTAAAATAAGGATTTGTTTCTGTGTGTTATGTCTTTATTATTCCATATGTAATTTGAGCCCCTGAAAGATCAGCTACAAGTGGCATTTTTTAGTCTCTAAGCTACTGTATAACATCAAAGAAAGCATTTTTTTGGTGTTTTTTCTCAACATGTGGCCACCTCCTGGGCCCCCTGTGCACATCTCTGGTGCAACATTTGTTGTAGTTGAGCTCTGGTTCCTGAATGTTATCGTCTCGCGTAAGTTTGGTCTCGCGAGAACAGACGGTCTGCCTTCCTACGCCATTTAAGGTACGGATTCCCTACGCGAGGACGACTGAAGAGCGACCGTTAACCAGACAAACCGACCCTTAACTGATTATTTCCCTTCAGCCTGCTGTGAAACAAGGTACTACTCCACTGTCCTCTCCTGCTCCACACACTAACTTGAGTTTCAGGCGGTTACAAGGCGGGGAATACCGGGGAAACACCGCACGAGGCCTGCTCGGCTCTGAGTAGTTACTTCAGTTACAGTAGTCTGAGGTTTCAGCTAGCAACAGATCTTTAACGGCTCAGGTGTGTCTTACCTGGTATAAACTGAAAGGGCTGATTACATCGGACTGACACACGTAAATACATATAGGGCACACTTGAACGGGAGTTAAAAACTTGGCTCTCCTCCTGTAGTTGTTGGCGAGTCACTGCTAAACTCGACGGATGACAACTGGCGTAACCTTGGTGGTTACCGCCGAGCAGCAGGTTGGTTTAGTGAGAGCCGGTCAGCTGTCAGGGTTCATCAGTTCCAAACGGCTTTTTTAAGCATATATAAGCATATAGTATTGCTGTGAGTGTGTGTGACATGATGCTTTCAGTGTTGTCAATAGGTGAAAAGTCAGGACTGCAGACAGACCACTTTATAAGCAGGACTTTTCTGCTACAGAGCCACACTGTTGTAGTCTCTGCAGAATGAGGTTTCTCATGGACTTGCTGAATTATGAAGGTCTTTCTGAAAAAAGTCATTGGCTGAATTACAGGATGTGTTTGCCCAATCTTGTATACATTGTTCAGCATTAATGGAACCTTCGCAGATGCAGGTGCGAGCTACCCATGACGTTTCTGATCCCCATATCATCATGGATGCTGGCTTTGACCTGTGAGCTGATAAAAATCTGTCCATGTCCATGATTGCCAAAAAGAATGTCAAGTTTGGATTTTGCCAGACCACAGGACTGATTTACACTGAACTTCAGTGGCTAAAATTTCTGTACTGTGTTTACAAATGTTTTTTCTTCCGCACGGTTCGGTTTTGACCAGCATGTGTGGATGCTCCTCTCAAAGACAGTGTTTCAGAGGTGGTTTTGAGCCTATACATTGATTTCCATTACAAAGACATGTCTGTTTTAACCCTTGCTGTTTGAGATCGCGCTTGAACCAGGAGGCTTTTTTTCATCCAGGTTTTGTTTTCAGCCTTGCCTTTTTTGTTACTTCAGATGTTTGAACATTACACAATTTTTTCAGCATTGGGTTTTCCAATAGACCTTTTTCATTCCCAACATTTGATATGCTTTCGCTGCACGATTTTACTGCTGAAAACAATTCGCAAACTTTTAAAATTTGTTTCTATCAACATTTTTCATGGTGTCCCATTTTTTGTAATAAGGTTTGTATGTGCCAAACTTTAAATTTGTAACTGTAGCTATTGTGTCTTTATTTGCAGATAAGCAGCAGTATGGCAGATGACCTGGATATCGAGGCGATGTTGGAAGCGCCGTATAGGAAGGTGAGAGTCAGTTTGTCCTCTGTGTCACTGAGACTGTCAGCCTGACTCTATTGCTACAGGTCCTCAGATCTTGAATACTTTATATTGTCACAGTCTCCTCCTCTCAATCTAAAGCTCTTGTGCCAGCAGCCTGAACACCTAGTCTCCACTGAGCTTTCAGTCAAACTGCACTTAAAAGCCAACAACAAGAAGTAAATGACCTTCCTATTAGAATACTCCAGAGAGTTCAGGCAAAGCAGGCAGAAGTTGGGAAAATACTTCTGTTAAAACTACCTGGAAATGGGTTTGTTCAAAAGAAGAAAGAGCTGCATGTAGTCTGCTCACCTATAAACTTCTATACTGTGGGTAACAGAGCATTGGGATGACCTGATAGAAGACTAATAAGATTTTGAGATTAAAATTAAACATTTTTGAGAATGAAAATTACAAAGTTATGCAGATTAAAATAAAATAAAAATCAACAAGAACTAAAATGACAAATTTCTGAAAAATGTTGTCAAAATCTTAATATAAGAAATCATCATTTCAGGTATGTTATCCTTTAAGGGCAAGGCCAGAAGCATAGCTGCCTTCCCCTTAAGACGAGAAATGTGGATCATTTAAAAAGTGTATACATTAGTATACACAGTACATCAGGATTTTGAATCAATTGTAGGAGAAAATTAGTATTCTGAAGACTGGTGGACTGATAGGCAGCTTGAGCAGGCTCTGTAAACCTTTTTTTTTGTCCTGTTTCTTAACTTCACAAGATGATCAGTGCTCCTTGTTTCAGTGCTGGCAGTTGGCTGCACCTCTGTGGACAATAGATATAAATACTGGCAAAGCCAAAATTTTCAATCTTACAGTGGACTGAAGTGGATTATGATCATTCACTTTCGTTCATAGCAAGGTTCCTAACATGCATTGCATACATATTTGTATCATGTTGGTAACATTTTGTATTATAATGCATCATAAACACATTTAAGTCTTATAAATGCATCTATAAGGCTTCATACAATCCTTATAGGTAATTTTAATCATTCATTTCAGCTGATGGAAATATTAATGAAGTATTATGAGCAGTGAGCATAACGCCTTATAAATGAATGGTTTATGATGCATTATATCGTAATGCAATAGAAGAATAGTGTCTTTTGAATTCTGGGTTTAATGGCACACTATAACCCTCACATCTTTACCCTGTTATAAAGTAAATTGAAGTTTTAACTTGTATGATTCTCAGTTTGTAGAATGTCTCATTAATACTCACAACATGATAAAACAAGACTTAGGCCCTTTAAGAAAAGTGACTGCACTGTATGAGGTGTTTAATGCTTATATGTTCCTATATGTTCCTATAGCACAGTTACAAGAACTTAGAGCAATATTTTGTGTCTGTAAGTGTCAGACAAAAATACTTCCCAACAAGAATATATTTTTAGAATTATAAGTCTTTTGTTTTGCATTAAGCTAGAACACTTTATAAACAATATTATAAGGCACCATGCTCATTGTTTTATGTCTTCAGCAAAGACTTTGCCATAAGCTAATATGAATGTTTATTACCATGTGGGTTGCTATAAAACCTTATAGCGGCATTTACAAAGCTTTATGAATGTGTATATGATGGGTTAAAAAGGTGGGTAAAAATAAAGTCTACCACAGTGTTTAGTCAGCAGAAAGATTAGTAATTTTTGTAAGACAAGCGATTTTCCATTAGTGTTGACCATGACTGGAGTTGTCTGATGGCACCACAGTCCCAAAGGTGACAAACACAACTTTAAATGGCTGTGTTATCAAAACAAGTATGGAGTCTCATTTAGAACCATAATCAACCTATTGAGACTATGTTTACACGTGCCCGGCTATTTTCATAAACTGACATTTAACCCTCTCCCTTTACAAAAAAAACTGTGCACACCACTACGTTTTCAGAAAATTTTTCGTTTACACTATCCCGTGTATATAAGCCGTCAAGAGCATATCAAACATGTGGGTGGCAGTGTAGTGAGAAGCTAAAGCTTACGTTAGCCAATCAGAATACAGCATAGCAACAACAACAACGTCCCTTCCTTCTCTCCTGTGCACAATCTGCAGTCGCTACCCAAATCTCAGTTTTCCTCAGTTTTTCTCCGTTTACATGCAAACGTGTAAACTGAGTTTTCCAAAATCTCCACTTTAGTCATAGTTTTTGAAAAGCATCGTTTTCAGGGGCGAATTCTCCGTTTGCATTGAAATGAAGGGTGCAAACGATGGTTAATGTCTCTGTTTTTAAAAATAACTGGGTGCCTCAGTCTGCATCTGAATCCTGTACATTTTTTCTTTCAAAAACTGCCAGAAGTAAAATGGATTATGTAATCCTGGATAGAAATTTGGATAACCACATCCAGGTTATTGTTTCTCAGACACACCTCTTTGAACAAGCTAATTGCAACAGTCTGTGAAACAACATCATAGAGTTGTTCCACTTTTTAGTAACACACAAAGACACTAGAACTCATTAATTTTGACCCAGAAGTGACACCATGTCATTCCAGTTCAACAACACAAGCTTTGAGCTTCTTCTTATGTGAAACAGTATCATTCTGGTTTAGCAAAAGCCTAATTTTTTCAACCTTTAGTACAAAATGAGTTTGTTGAAGATGATTTGGCAGCCTTTAGACCCACCAATCTGTTTCAGGTAAGGAATAAAAAAGTGTTTAAAATGCAGAGTAAAGAGGCTTCGAAGAGCTTTACTGTCTCATATCTTTTTATGTTTATCAGAAGAGTTTGTGTAACATCGGACTGAAGGACGTTTGCTGTCTCTGAGCTGTAGAGTCAGGCTGAAAGTGATGATGATGATGATGATGATGATGATGATGATGATGATGATGATGATCATGGCGTTCCTCTACAGACTGTCGTGAATAAATGCCCATCTATCTCTCTTTGTAGACTTGCCTAACGATTTCTCACCTCTACTCCCCTGAATGCCAGTGTGATCTGTCACAAACATGAAGGTAGTAAAATGCCCCCATCATGCATTGCTGTTCTGTGGTCCCCATGGTAACATGACTGTGGTTCCCTTGGTAAATGTGTCACCTGGTTTTGGCTCAACCCCCCTGATGTGGAGCAGCTGAGGATTCTGAGAGATTAAAAGTTAGAGGGGTCAAGCAGAAGAGCAACTAGTCGCTAATTAATCCCAGGAGGATCATGGGAAGGCAGCATCACACTGCATGGTTGATAGCGTCACAGTTAGCCATTAACTTAGCACAAGCATCGCTTCACATTCCAGCTGTGAAGTGGAAAGGCAAAGACAGAGACCTGAGAGGGGACAATGGTCTGCCATGTCTGGAGTCAGGGTGAGGGTGCAGATGACAGCAGGGTGGGAGGGGCTTATCCTGGGAGCTCCAGGTGAGTTCTGGGGGAATTTTACAGGTGTACAGGAAAGAGAGAGAGGCCCAGCTTTAGTTTGGTTTGGGTGTCCTTGGTTCTGGTTTTGGGCTGAGTTGAGTGACTAAGACTCCTGTCTGCTTCAGGGCCCTTCAGAGGAGTCCGAGCACCCAAAACCAGCACAGCATTCACCCGGCTGAAGAAGAGCTGGACTGTGGAGTGTCTGTCTGCTGCCGGGCGGAGCTCCATCCATACTGACCCCCCACAGACAGAGCCTGGACTACAGCCTGAGACTGACTGACTGTCCCAAACTGACCTCTGACCTTCCCCCAACTACAGACCCCCTACCCCACAGAATAATGTGTAAAAATGTGACTTATTAAATTTGTCTATATTCTCTCTTACCCCTCCCCATCCCCCCTTTCCTGACACCCGAATGTTGCGTCTGCCTCCTCATGCTGTTCTCTGTCGACCTTAGGAGGACACGAAGAGCCAGAGCCCCGATGGACAGGATGACCGCAGCAAGAGGTAATGCCTGTCTGTGTGTCTGTTCACCTGAGTGCTCACTTACCTATTTCTGGTGACCAGTGATAGTGTTTGTCCCTCTCACCAGCACCCCCCGCTGATCCACTGGAGAAACCTAGTGATGCAATACAGTCAGGAGCCACCTTAAGCTGTTCTGCCAAATCCAGAGATGTTGAGCTGATATTTCACAGAGTTGTACCGTGTCATACGTCAGAAAAAAAAATGGAGGGGGACGTGTTTTTACACCTTTGAACAAGAGTAGAGTATTTGAGCTGAGACTAAGAGGGTGTGTGATATTTTACAACCACCTCACAAACAGTTGACCGCATTCACAGAATGGCAAATTTTTACATATTGTCAAGCTGTTTGGCTTCTCATCAGATTGCACATCAGGTTGTTTTGTTAAAATTAGGGCACGACTGATATGGATTTTTTGGGGCATCGGTACAGATGCCGATACCGATTATTAGGGGGGGGTCTGATTACCAATTAATCTGACAATTTAAAAAAAAAAAATTTATGAAGTTATAAAAAATACATATATATATATATATATACTCTAGATATCTACATTATACTATTTACTGTAGATATACTGTAGGCTACTGCTCTTCACGCCGACAGGAAGACCGACTGATCAAACTCGGACCAGAAAAGTGTTTTCAACTAGCCCCCCTCGCCGCCGCTGCCACTGTTGATCGGTACCTCCGCGTCTTAACTCACGTTACTCATTTCCGGTCCGGTCTCATCTGGAGACATGCAGCTGCCTCAGTAAGAGAAGTATCATGATCATGTAATGTGTACTGTTGTTTATTCTACCGATACTGGCACGGCTAACAGTGTAGCAAGGCTAATAGCAGATGGATAACTGTAACTTTAGCTTGCATATTACATGGTGCTTCACCGTTAACTCGGCGTGACTGAGACCAGCACAGCGGGGAACATCGCGAAGTGGATTGAACTGAAACTTGTTGACTTGTTGTGTATTTCACAAACTGGTTTATTTACTGTTGAGGTGGACCACTCTCCTCTGTGCGTCCCTAAGCTGCCTGCTTCAGATCCGTCACTCTGCTGTGCTGTGAGGTAGTTAGTGGATAAAGATTGTCATGAGGTCGCTGCGCCATCTACAGGATAAGTCGGGGAACTTTTCAAATGGCGGAAAATTTTCTAAGTGAAACCGAATCTTATTTTCCACATTTTATTCCTGAAAATATCGGCGAAAATTGGCGAGTTTTGGCCGATTACCGATTATTCTCAAACCGGCAAAAAAGCTGATTTAATCGGCTTGCCAATAAATTGGTCAGGCCCTAGTTAAAATCTGTTTAAACAAATAGAGAGCAGAGCAGAACACTCACTTTCAATTTCAACCTGTTGAGTGGGAGCTAAACACCTAAATGACCCGAGAAGTTTCCCAAACACAGTAAAATTGTAGCTCCTAGATAAAGAAACAGGACAGTTTCTCTGCTGTTACAGACAACATCGTACACCGGTTAAATACAGGCGATGATTGAGAGGCTTGAATTTAATGTCAGTGTGTTCATTATCATAAGGGAAGAGTAATTAAACTCGTGCCTTTCATTAGTGTTAGCGACATTCTAAACGTGCCGGTGAGTTTTAGAAATGTGCACATTTTTTAAATTAAAAATTAAAATAGTTAGTTTATTTTTGAGTGTTGTTTTGAAGAAGAGTATTCTAGTATTGTGACAGCCAAAATAACATGTAATGCCAAAGTTGATCCTAGTTCGATATAGCAGTCTTCTAAAACATTTTTTTCACCCATAGACAGCCATTGAGAAAATAATAAACCCATCCAGTGAAAGTAGTATGGATCCTCTCTTTATTAAAACGTGTCTAGAAGCCAAACTTACGGTAAAAAAAAAATGTTTTTCATCTGGGGACATTTCCTTGATTTCTAACTCTCTTTCCACGGCTGATTCCACTCCTTTTGCTTATTTTTTCTTTGACTACGTTTTTGTTTTACTTCTTGTCTGGTAAGATAAACTGAGGCTCTTTTCAGTGTTTAAAGAAAGATCATGAGAAGTTTTAAGCTTTTGATGTCCAGTTTGTTGTAAAGTTCAGAGTATTTTGTTGTAATGTTGGCCAAATCTGTCAGTCTGTAAATGCTTCACAGAAAACATGATGCTTGAGGTCTGTGAGTAAGTGTGTAACTCTGTAGTTTGAACAAAGATAGACTCTGACATCAGGCCGGGATCTGATTGGCTGCTGTGTGTCCGACAGGAAGAAGCGCAGCCGCAGCCGTGAAAGGAAACAAAGCAAAAGTCGAGACAAGAAGAAGAGCCGGAGCCGCAGCCGGGATCGCAAGCGCAGCCGCAGTAGAGACAGAAGAAGAAGTCGCAGCAGAGAGCGACGCAACAGCAGAGAAAGAGGAGGCCGATATAGAGACCACCACAAGCAGTGAGTGTCTGTCCTGATCCCAAGGTCATTTCATCAAACACTTGATCAGTTTGAAAGACTCACACACAGCTGGTATGACAGCTGTCCACAACACTTGGGCTGTTTTGGAAACCGCCTACTAGACGAGTTGTGTATTCTGATTTGCCCAAAATGGAGTATGCAGTATACAAACAAATACGAGAGGCGCAGTATGCAAAGAATACCTGGTTGATGTGCTCATTCTGGAAAATTTTACAGCATGCAGCAGACCAGTCTCCTTCACTCACAACTGTTCTGGTCAGGCGCTTTGCATTATTACCTACAATGCAAAGCGCCTAGTCAGAGTTTACAGTGCGGTGGTGTGACTCAGATGCTGCCAGATCCACAGGTCATTGCATGTGTGGAACACGTTTTGATAACACTGTAGGGTTGTTTGCAATTGACCGACGTATGATCACAGACCTTATATATAGATTGAAAGACTACACATATATAGACTATCCTTATCTATATATGTATATATATACTTTATACAGTCTTTGGGTGTGATGTAATTTGTTTGCTGGAAACCAGCTAAACTAGGCAGGCTGGTAGTCATACTGCATACTCCTGTCCAAGGCAGTAACGGTATTCAGTGTGTACGGCATAATGTTTTAGCTACTTTGGAAAGCTATCTGTGTAGGTTATGTGAAATTCTCAGGGGAGGGGTTTCCTTAGATGACTTTAGAAAAAGTTTCAAAAATGATAACAAGTAAAACTGTTTTTAAAGTGTTCAGAAAGTACCTGAAATATAAACTTTCGAAAGAGACACTTTGTAAAAATAAAGTAATTTTTTCTTATCATGAGATGTTAGTTTTTGTTTTTCTGAGATCTCTCACAGTTGTTATTGCACATTAAATTATTGCATTGTTTTTCTATTTTTTTTTATATTGCATATTGTTATTGGTGGACATTGTTGTGCATGTTGTAATTGTTGCACTAGAGAGTGTCCAGGTAGTAATGAAACGTAAATACAAATCAAAGCCTCTCAACAGTGTAACTGAAGTAAATAGTGTGGATGTACAGACACCATCAGTGACCTTTATCTGTCTCTCCTTTTGTATTTTCAGCCGCAGACGGTCAAAGAGTAAGAGTCCCCCCAGGAAGGAGAAGAGTCCCATCAGGTGAGAAAACATTTTTGTCGTATTTTCTTTGTAGTTTTCTTACACATTAAACTAATAAAACAAAAGAAACAAACATCAGGCTCTGTCATTTATGAGGAATAAATAACTTAGTGAAAGTACAAGAGTGAAGGAAAAATAGGACTTAGTTGATGAGGAGTTTAGGTATTAGCAAAGTTCCTTTGCACCAGCTTTGTTCCTGTAGATGAGAAATGTGTCACAGATAACTGAAATACTCACATTGATCCAGGTCCTGAATTACGATGAAAATTTGATGCACAACAGTGGCGTCTTCTGCATTTTGAAAGTAGCTGGTGTGTGTGTGTGTGTGTGTGTGTGTGTGTGTGTGTGTGTGTGTGTGTGTGTGTGTGTGTGTGTGTGTGTGTGTGTGTGTGTGTGTGTGTGTGTGTGTGTGTGTGTGTGTGTGTGTGTGTGTGTGTGTGTGTGTGTGTGTGTCCAGGCTGCCAATAGATAACCTGACTCCAGAGGAGCGTGATGCTCGGACAGTGTTCTGTATGCAGCTAGCAGCCAGGATACGACCTCGAGACCTGGAGGACTTCTTCTCTGCTGTGGGGAAGGTAAACACCAACATCCCGGGTCCAAAATTAATATTTACTGTCTTTGGTGTCCACACAGGGTTGATTTCTAATGCCAAGGAAACCCCATAACCCATAAAGCATGTTTCACAGCAGAAAGAAACATGTTAACATCCTGGTACAAAAAAGGCTGGGGTTCAATACTTCTACTTCATGGGAGAAAATGTATTTTTATAACTTATCCATTAGATCATATTAGACCAAGATTTAAGCATTACCAGGGTGGGCTGTTTGACAGATCAGCTGATGTTCTGTTTTCTCTCTGCAGGTTCGAGATGTGAGGATGATCTCAGACAGAAACTCCCGCAGGTCAAAGGGCATTGCCTACATCGAGTTCATGGAGGCCAACTCAGTTCCTCTAGCTATTGGTCTGACGGGGCAAAGGCTTCTGGGAGTCCCCATCATTGTACAAGCATCACAGGTACTCAAACACACGCATACAGGTCAAAATTACACAGAGGGAAAGCTCTTCTGAATTAATGAACCAGAGTATCCTTCTGACACTTGACTCTGTTTGTATGCAGGCAGAGAAGAACAGAGCAGCAGCAGCAGCCAACAACCTGCAAAAAGGTTCAGCCGGACCCATGAGGCTCTATGTGGGCTCACTGCACTTCAACATCACTGAGGAGATGCTGAGAGGAATCTTTGAGCCGTTTGGAAGGGTAAGACACACAACTACACACATGCTTACACATACCATTACTCTACGACACACACATCTTGAAATCCACACACATACTTGCTTGTGAAAAAAACAGACGAAAGCCTTGACCTTTCATCCTTCTGTCCTGGGGAAATGGTGTTCCTCTTAAAAACACCCGTCAGTGCTGATGGAGGCCTGAGGCAGGGAAAATTCTGCTTACTTTCAATAACCTTTAATCAAAATCAACTTTTCCACATCTGAACATACATACAGCTACACATATACTCAATATACCTTACAATGCACACATGATGTGCACGGAACTACACACACACACACATTATATTTCCAGCAGAGGAAACTGTACTCAGAGTTGTACTGTTATCAATATTTGTTCAGAGTAAAATATTTCTGTTATTAGTGAAAGAATGTCAGTATCAAAAGACACTGCAAGGGGCCAATATTAAAAGGCTTTTTGCTGAAAGGTATAATGTCATCGCTGGTACTCGTTACTAATGCGTTCATGTTTCACCAACTCAGTGTTGCAGATTTCAAAGTCGCTCATTGTATTAGAACTTAATACAGCCCAGAAGAACAATAGAATTGTAAGATAAATGACTAGAGGAAAGTAGATGTACTTATTTAATACATGAGTTTGAACAGACAGGTAAAGTGTGTGTGTGTGTGTGTGTGTGTGTGTTGTTTCACAGATTGAGAGCATCCAGTTGATGATGGACAGTGAGACTGGACGATCAAAAGGCTACGGCTTCATCACTGTAAGTCCTTCATCTCTGTTACTGCATACCGTCAATACAGCATTTTTTAGTACGTTTAAAGTTTTTGTGACCTCACATCAGCACTGTTTGTACCTCCTGTTGATGAAGTGTTTTCTCATGAGTTTTAAACTGTAAGTTCAAGGCAGTCTGGCTGTAGAATATTTTTCTTGAAGGTCAAGTTTTCTCGTCGTGTTATTGATCCAATGTAGATCTTTTCAGTGTGACATCTTCAGTTGTTCTGTCACCTGACTGATATCTCTTCAAAGAGACTGAACTGAACAGTCATAACAACATGTGCAGCTAGAGACCAAACCGATTCATTGTTTCAGATGTGTTCAGACATCAACTTTAAAAGGAAACCTTTCACACTCGCTTTCTCTGTTAGTTTTCAGATGCAGAATGTGCCAAGAAAGCTCTGGAGCAGCTGAATGGCTTCGAGCTGGCAGGTCGACCTATGAAGGTGGGTCATGTGACAGAGCGGACAGACGCCTCCACAGCTTCCTCTTTCCTCGACAGCGACGAGCTGGAACGTACCGGCATTGACCTCGGAACCACTGGCCGACTGCAGCTGATGGCCCGACTCGCAGAAGGTGAAACAAACCTGACATCCTCCTGCCGACAAAGACATTCAAATCAAACAACAAACAAGTGCTTGTATGATTAACTCTGTGTGTGTGTGTGTGTGTGTGTGTGTGTGTGTGTGTGTGTGTGTGTGTGTGTGTGTGTGTGTGTGTGTGTGTGTGTGTGTGTGTGTGTGTGTGTGTGTGTGTGTGTGTGTGTGTGTGTGTGTGTGTGTGTGTGTGTGTGTGTGTGTGTGTGTGTGTGTGTGTGTGTGTGTGTGTGTGTAACAGGTACAGGTCTACAGATCCCTCCTGCTGCCCAGCAGGCTCTGCAGATGAGCGGAGCAATCGCTATCGGAGCCATGGCTGCTGTTTCAGGTACACACTAAACTGGCACACACTATTGTGTTCACGCATTGATAGTGTGTTTCTAATGTACTAAACACACAGTTTTAGTTTTCATTCTGAAGTTGGTGAATCTCTGTAGGACAGTTGTTGAAAGACATTAAACCTTAGTCACCTGAGCTGCTTTAATCTTAGTGGAAGCCTCGGCTCATCAGTGACAGCTGATGCAAACAAAAATCAAACCTTTCCAAATGTAGTTCCTTTTTTTTTTTTAAACATCATTCATCTCAAAGGAATACTTTATAACTTTGTAACTTTATTCCCCTGAGTATTTTGCCAGTGTAACCCTTTGATTACAGCTGGATCAGAAAAAAAGGTTATTCAGTGTGAGAATATTAACCTCTGTCTGTTCCTTTGTTTCAGCTGCCATGAACCCAGCTCTCACAATGAACATGAACTCTGCTCCTATGAATCTTCCCTCTCAGCCGCTCGCCACACACTGCTTTCAGCTCTCCAACATGTTCAACCCACACAGGTACACACACACACACACCTGTCTGTCTCTACATCTCTCTGCACTGTCGATGTCGTTTACACAGAAATTTACATACTGGAGGAGAAAACTATTAGTCAGCCAATATCATTACTTCAAATCTTGAGTGTAATGAAGGTTCACATGTCCACAGTAATTTACTGGTTTCGATCCTGATCCTTGAAACTCTGCTGCAACATTTATTTGACCGGTAGCAAATAATCAAACTTGTTGGTGTTGTTAAGATCACAACAATTCAAAGGAAGAGCCTACTAATAAAAGACAAAGTCCTTTCTTGCAGAGAATCTGATGGTCCCTGATATATTTTTAAAAGTTTAACAAAGTACATTACTAATACTGCGTCTAACAGATGAGCATGTCTTCGGTAGTCAAACAGACTCGATGCATACTGGGTAATGTGTGCGTGTGTGTGTTGATGTGCAGCTGTGTGTGTGTGTTTCAGTGAAGAGAGTTCGGGCTGGGAGGCGGACATCCAACATGATGTCATCGAGGAGTGTAACAAACATGGAGGAGTCGTTCACATCTACGTCGACAAGAACTCTCCCGAGGTACATCTCACCGCGTTTTTCTCATGTATGTGAATGCCTGCGTTACACCCCAATTGTGCAGACACACTGTGACCTCTATCCTCTGCTGTGTTTAGGGAAACGTCTATGTTAAGTGTCCGTCCATCCCCTCTGCCATGGCTGCCGTCAACTCTCTACATGGAAGATACTTTGCTGGTAAGACTTCCTGTCACTGAACACCTGTCCTCTTTGCTGTAAACCAATCACAGAGCAGCCCTGAACTGAGTTTTTTGTCCTTTCAGGTAAAATGATAACTGCTGCATACGTCCCCCTGCCCACCTACCACAACCTGTTCCCAGAGTCCGCCACTGCCACCCAGCTGCTGATTCCACCCCCTCGACGGTGACTCACCAATATCACTGCCCTCTGTTTTGGCATTGGTCACTGGATCATTTCTTTTTAATACTCCCCTCCTATTGGCGGACACAGACAAGCCAATTTCACTTAGTTTCATCGAGTTGAAGGAAGTTGATGGTGGATGCTGTTTGTTTTCATCCTGTTTAGAGGTTCTAACCAGCATTCCTGGGCCTGTTTTCAGTATTGTCCAATGATTGAGCTCTGTGAGCTGTGATAAGGCCGGCAGATGAAGGTGGTTTCAGCTAATTGGTTGGTATTACAATATTTTCTAATCGAGAATATGATTTTGTAAAGTCCTTGATTAAATTTTATTTTGAAGTCACTGAGCTGCTGAGTCTCATTCTGCAGGGAGGAGGTGTCTGAACTCGTGTTCACACCTGTGCACCTCCTCCTCCTCCTATTCAAGTTTCTGTTGTTTTCTTCCTCTCCTCTTCTTTCCGCTGGTTTTTGTCAGCCATCAGTTTGAAGTTTGTGCTCTCTTAATAAATTGAAAGTAAGATTAAAAATATTTTCCATGTTACGACTGGGAACTGATAACAAATATGGGTTTGTGACCAGTCAGAATCAAGAATGTAAGCTGGGTGGTGAGTAAAAAAGTCAGATTATATATATATACATATATATTATTAGAGAAATGAACAGATCAGACATAATATGATATTGAGGGTCGATGCACGTGAGGAGGTGCGAAGGACTTAACTGAAATTCCTCCAATTATTATAATTCTGTGTCTTATGTTTCAATTCTGATAGCCTGTTTAAAAACTCATGAAAGTTTGCATGTGCATGGGTTAGTAAAAAATTGATATTTTATAGTCGTTGAATATGGAAGGAAAAATTGGCTCACTACTGCACCTTAACAGTTTTAGAAAATAGAGTCCCTCTCAGCAGTTTCCCCCAGAAAGCTTGTTTTCATCTACACGTTCAGCATGTTTGCCAGAGTTAGACATGCATCACACACCAAAGTTCATGATATGCAAGGCCTGACAAAGACAAAAATGTCCGTACAAAGTTTATTAAAAAGACAAATTACAAATAGAAGACCATGTAACACAGCTCAGAGTGAAAATAACCATCACTTATCGGTCACCTGCTTGTTGTATAACAAGTTAGTTCCAGCAGGTAATCACGTTAAAGGTTGAGCTCGTTCAGTTGGATGACAGTGATGGTGATGTCATCGCGGTACCTCCTGGCAAGGTCTGTTGGAAGGCTCAGCATCTTGGCCAGACGGTTTGGTGCCACAGATCCATATCCATCATCACCTAGAGCGTGACGAAGCAGATGGGTGGTGGCGTTCTGATCCTCCAGCACTGATAGAACCCGTCCTTTTCGTTCCTGCAGGAGGCGCTGCAGGCCGCCCAGGGTCATACCGGCGCCAGGGATAATAGGCCCCTGTTGCTCAAGGCCTGCAAAGCATCAAACAACTCTTAGTTTACAATCAAAGTCAGCTTAACTGCAATTATTATTTAAACCCTAACAATGTGTCCAGACCAGAGATAAATGAGACTTGTTAGGATTACAACTCCAATCCCAGAAGAGTTCAGACACTGTAAAATGTTGATACAACAGATTCGATGGTTTGCAAATCATTACACTGTATTTTGAATTGGAAACAGTGCAAAGACAAATACTGAAACTAAACATGGCTTTATGAGAAATGTATGCAAATACTAAATTTGACACCTGCAACAGAAAGTTGTGTAATGCTGAAAAACAGCTTTTTCTCTTGCAACATTCAGTATCTATTGGTGGGACAGATTGTGGCCACCCATCTGAATAATCATGACTCATCTTGTGGTCAAACTCAGCAGAGTAAATCATCAGGATACAGACTTTGCTCCATCTTTAGTCTGAACACCTCTGAACTAATCTCAGTCCTCTGACCTGCCAGTTGCTCCCCCACCAGCTGGACCACAGTCTGTCGGTGCATCAGCTCCCACAACCCATCAGTTGCCAAGACCAGGAACTTGTCACAAGGTCTGATGCGGTGGCGGGTGACCTCTGGCAGGGCACTTAGGTAGGGCGGGGTCAGGTAGTGCAGCGGCTGCGTCCTGACTGCCTCGTTGACCACAGACATTACATCAGGGCGGGTTTCATAAACTCGATCCAACATCTCTGCGCTCCATTTGAAGCGAACGTCACCAAACGCCCTGAAAGGCAGCAGCAGACCCAGCAGGCGGTCATGGCGGACCACTGTCCTCCACTCAGATTGAGGGTGTTCTCCCAGAATCCTCTGCAGCTCATCTGGGTTCTGTGCGTTGTGGTCGTTGGTGAGGCTGACCACTGACCAGGAGCCGTCTGACTCTTGGACACCCATCACAGCCCGGCTGTCACCCAGGTTGGCCACATGGAGGACGCCATTGGAGATGTGGGCGACACAGGCCGTGCAGCCAGACAGTGCCACCCTGAGGGGAGACATCTGGGACAGCCCCTCCCCAGGTAAAGACAACCGCCTGTGGCTAGAGAGAGAGGATTGAGTGTTACATCCAGGACTGTCCTCTTCATTTGATTTTCATTTGGTGGGACTTTTTTCCTTTTTTGACTGTCAAATAGAGTTCATGAAATTTAAAAATCTGAACCAGCTCTTAAAGACTCTCAAAGGTCCAGCTTTTTGGAAGTTTGATGTACAGGACAAAAGATCAGGCAGTTCATTAATATTGGAACACCGAGGATCCAAATGATTATTAGGGTTAAGGTTAGCATCTTTGTCAAAAACAGATTGTTTTAATGTAGATATTTTCAAGGAGAAGTATTTTTTTATGCATTTGAGATAAGTAAATAAAAAGGAAAAAGGTGAAATGTAAAGAAAAAGTCAAATTTAAAAAAGTCCCAAAATAAGAAATTTAAATCCAAATGTTGAGCATAAAAGAAAAATAATGAGGATATGTCAAAAACTCAAAAATAACAAATTTTAAGAGATTTTTTTTTAAAGTCACGTGGAAAAAAGAAAACTCCAAAAGACCAAAAGCATCTACTTTTCACAAAACTTAATGGAGGTTTGTTTTATTCAACAAAACCTGCAAATATCTGTCCTTTCAGAGACTCAGGAAAAATCAAACCTGATGTTTATAACATCTACTATTCCATGACAGCTTTAGTATTTGAATTCGGGGTCTGACTTTTTAGAAGATGAATCTGTGAATTTGCAAAAATTTTGTTCGTAAAGGAAACCAGAAAAAAAATTGCTTTCTTTTCAGTCGCCTTTCATTTAAAAGAAGTGTGTGTGCATCATAAGAATTAAACACATAAAACTGCAACTTTAACTTTGTTTGATTTAATCTGTCATTGAGGACGAGTCAAATGGAATGAGGACCTGGATGGGAACATGGACAGGTGGACCTGGGCCTCCACAGAGATGTCGTAATCAAGGCGGCGAAAAGCATTGACCAGTGCTGATGATATCCTCCCGTTATCCTGCAACCAATTAGAGGAAAATTACATTTTTACTACAAGAAATCAGAATGAAAAAGTTATGATGACCATAATTGAAAAAAAATCTTATATTCAATTTTATATCATATTAAAAGATGATGTTACAATTTATGTCTGGCACGTCACAGTGAAAAATCAGACTCATTATTGTGATTTAAAAAATCCACTGCATTACCACCAGTGTCCACTTGAGGCTGTATCCTTTAGTGAGTCAGTCCCCATAGGGCCAATATCCAACTTTACAGCAGAAACAAATATGTTTACTGCATGGTACAGAAATAGTTTCAGTCCCTTTTGCTCATTCTTTGTTTATGACACTTACACATGGCTAAATTTTCACATTTCTGGACTTGTTCATAATCAGGGGTGTGGCCTAATTGAACTTCACCTCTGAGCTGTGTACGTGGTGTTTGATTTTCATGGATTTATTTTTTAATGTCGAGATCAGACTTCTTCTAAGGGGTGTGAGGTTCAGCTTTTTCTGGACATCTGGTTACCTCTTCTTCGTCCTCCTCCTCCTCTTCATCTTCATCCTCCAGCCTCTCCTGCCAGTAGTTTCGGAGGCTGTGAAAAGAGGTCGCTCCTTCATCGGGACAGCTGTGGTTTTGGGGATATTTATGCCACTCCAGCAGTGGTGGAACAGCCCGTCCTTCCTCCACTGCTCGTTCAAGCTCTGCCAGTATCCTCAGCTGCAGCGTTGCCACAGCAATGTAGTAAAAGAGTCTATGGCTGACAGCTTGAGCACATGCTGGTCCTGCGTGACCGTCAAACACGCCAAATAGTACACCACCACGGCCTGGCAGGCATGTGGCGCTGCTACGACGGTCCTCCCCGGGGTGGTTAGATGGTAACATGTTACTATGGAAACCCAGGACTCCATGGGAGGCGGGGCCTCTGGGGAGGGTGTGGCTATATTCGTTGGCCTGTCAAAACAAGACAGTCAGACTGATCTCTCATTTGACTTTTTGATCAACAGGCACTTAAAAGCAACAGATCTCACCTTTAAAATTTGGCTGATCTGAGAGGAACTCATTGGCCCCGCCTCCTGCCCTGTCCTGTACTTTCTGCTCCCACTGCCTGTTGGGTGGTGTCGTCTGGGGAGATCAGGGAGCGGCACAGAGGAGGACCAGGAGCGACATAGCGGAGACCCCAAGCGTCCAGCGAGGGTGACTGTTTGTCCCATCATGGCCACTCACCAGGAGAACCAACAAAACAACAAACAAATAAATAAATACAGAAAGTAAACATTTATATCAGCTTATACACATTCATTTAAATCAATACATATTAAGATTTGTTTAGAGTATGTGCAGAACTTTAAAATATACATATCTGTTCATGAAAATGAGTAACATGTTGACAAATCTTTCCACATTTCCATCTGTATTCAGTCTTTCTTATTTATTAAAAGCTTGTACAAGGAACTTCAAGTTTATGTAAATTTTGGCGCCCCCTGTAGACAAAGCAGCCTTTATTATTTTGCTCTCTACGTCAATCTTCTGACTTTTGACAGTCAAATGTATATTTAATTGCAAATTCAAAAACAGGGCTGTTTCTTCTGTTGCTCAGCTGACACCTCCCCCCTCATACCTGTCTTAAGCGTTAAAAACTGCACCAAAAGAATCTTTTCTTGCTGTTGCTACTGGTCTTGTTTGTTTTTGTACTTCATTAAAATGATCAGAATACATTTCAGTCCATTCCAATAATGTCAAAAAAGTCCTCACATGAGCTTTAACATTTTTAAGCATTATTTCTTGTCTTGATGAGTTTTTTTTTAAATCCATACACCTACTGCTGATATTTTCTCATCCCAAAATCAGAGTAGCTGTTTCACACTCACCTGTGAGTGTACTTACCTGTGTGTCCACAAAAAGATTTATTTCTGCAGCCTCACATTGAAAAGTTTTCAGACTGAAAATGAGATAAAAACTTAACAGATTCTGTTTCCTGAACTCTTCCTCAAAGTCATGTCTCTGCCTAAAAACTGAACAAATGATTAATGAAGTTAAAAACTCACCATGTGGTCGATGAGGTGTTTCTTTTGGTTTTAATCCTCACAGGTTAAAAGAGTTGAAAGTTTTGGTTCTGTTACGGTGGATCGGTTCTTTTCACAGAGGTCATGACCTCTTTTACTGGGACAGGTGAGCAGCTGAAGGTTGTATGTTCTCTCTGTCTGTGACCTTTGACACCTTCATATCGTCAGTAATCAGTAATCCATAAACCTGGTACATTTACAGGTCACCACGCCTCCTCTTTGGGACTGTGTTCAGTGTTCATGGAAATTTTATCTCATTTTGAACTTTTTTTTAGTTAAAACAGGTGGGAAGAAATCCACAAATACATGAAAAATTAACAGGACATAAGGAAAAAAAGCCATACTCTCAAACAAAGATCTGACTGAGGAGGCTTAAGTGATGGCATATTGTTAAAAAAGGTTCTAAAACACTCTGTTCATTAAATCAGTAGGGGTGGGAGAAGAAATCGATTAACCGATTTTTTGTTTTACAATTTTTAAATTGATTTTTATGTTCAAAAATCGTTTTGTTTTTTTCAAATTTAGGAATAAATCTTAAAAACTGACTTACAAAACCCAATTCCATTGAAGTTGGGAAATTGTGATAAATGTAAATAAAAACAGAATACAATGATTTGCAAATTCTTTTCAACCTATATTCAATTGAATACACTACAAAGACAAGATATTTAATGTTCAAACTCAAAAATTTTTTTTGCAAATAATCATTAACTTTAGAATTTGATGGCAGCAACACGTGACAAAGAAGTTGGGAAAGGTGGCAAAAAATACTGAGAAATTTGAGGAATGCTCATCAAACATGGATGTCGTGTCCTCCGGGTCAAAGAGGAAAAGAACCATCCGGACTGTTATCCAAGCAAAGTTCAAAAGCCAGCATCTGTGATGGTATGGGGGTGCATTAGTGCCCAAGGCATGGGTAACTCACACATCTGTGAAGGCAACATTAATGCTGAAAGGTACATACAGGTTTTGGAGCAACATATGCTGCCATCCAAGCAATGTCTTTTTCATGGACGCCCCTGCTTATTTCAGCAAAACAATGCCAAGCCACATTCTGCACGTGTTACAACAGTGTGGCTTCTTAGTAAAAGAGTGCGGGTACTCAACTGGCTTGCCTGCAGTCCAGACCTGTCTCCCATTGAAAATGTGTGGCGCATTATGAAGCGTAAAATACGACAACAGAGACCCCGAACTGTTGAACAACTGAAGCTGTACATCAATCAAGAATGGGAAAGAATTCCACCTTCAAAACTTCAACAATTAGGCTCCTCTGTTCCCAAACGTTTATAGTGTTGTTAAAAGGAAAAGTGATGTAACACAGCGTTAACATGCCCCTGTCCCAACTAATTTAGCACGTGTTGCAGCCATGAAATTCTGAGTTAATTATTATTTGCAAAAAAAAAAAGATAAAGTTTATGAGTTTGAACATTAAATATTTAGTCTTTGTAGTGTATTCAATTGAATATAGGTTGAAAAGAATTTGCAAATCATTGTATTCTGTTTTTATTTATGTTTATCACAATTTCCCAACTTCAATGGACTTGGGTTTTGTACATGTGATGTGTATTTTTTGGGAAAACATGGTTCCTGGAATAGTCAGTAGACAATCATAATCATTTAACTGTTTCACTGGAGTTAAAAATGCAGACTAAATATCGAGAAAATCGACAATATCGTAGAATCGCAATTTAAATCGAATAAATCATAGAAGAATCTAATCAGGGGAAAAGTATATTGTCCCAGCCCTATGAATCAGGCACTGATAATTTGAACAAAAGCTGTTACATCACTGAGAGTCTCATTAGCTTTTGTAGGTCATATAGAATAATGTTTATATATTCCAGTCAATTTCATAACCACAAAAAAAAAAATTCCTCTGTAGACCTTGGTGTGAAATATTTTAGTACTCTTTCCATCCTAGATTGTAATGGAGTAGTATCAGTAAGAACAAGGGAAAAAAACAGAGACAGAAAGGACCGTGTGACTTTTCAGGTACTTGGAAATGATAATAATAGTAATAATAGTAATAATAGTAATAGTCATTGCTGTTGTTGTTTTGTTGTTGTTGTTATAATAATTATTATTAGTAGTAGTATTATACCAGGTCGATGTTTTGTTTTTCTGAGAACAATGACATTTCCGACGGTGTTTGAATGCAGCAGAACTTGCGTGTTTCTGCGTGTTTCAGTGTGAGCGTGTGTCTGTGTGTTAGTGTGTGTTAGTGTATGTGTGTGAGTGTGTATGTGGGAACGTGTGCAGACCGCGTGTGGCGCAGAGGAGGATAGAAAACAAACAGTTTCGGGGTCTGAGGTGAGTTTGTGATCGGGCCGATCAATCAGCTCTTTTCTCTCTGCAGCAGGCTCACCGCCGCCGGGCTGCGGTGTTGCTCCGCCCCGGTGTGATTCATCTGGAGAGGAGGCGCCGCGGAGCGGACAATCTCCCGCTGTTAAATCCGCCGTGGAACATATGCTAACCTGCTAGCATACTAGCTGACACTGTGACAGCCGTGGGCCTCATTACAGGCCACTTCTCGCCGCTGCAACAGCGAGGAGACCCGCAGAGTCGGCCCGGAGAAGGAAGAGTTCGCCCGGGGGGAGAGGTGATCACTCTGGAGCGGAGTGCCGGACTGGTGGCCGCGGAGAGCCGTCTGTTTATAGCGTCAGGCCGTGGAGATCCGAGGGGGGCGGTGCTGCCTCAGATGGTTGCTGGATCACAATAACAAACCACCAGTTAGCCCCACTCATACAAAGCAGGAAAAAAGCGACGTAAACTTGAGAAAACTTCAACAAACTGTGACTTTAATACTGTATATTTCAATGATTACAACAAGAATATGTTGATTCAGCTCTCCATTTCTAGTAAGTGAAGTTTTTGCTACGCTGAAAACAGAGAGCAGAGCTGAGGTGTGCAAAAACCGAGTTTCACCTGAACGCCTCATTCCGTCAGCAGCCACGAGAGGACAGAATTAGACTGCAGCTGTAAATAAAGTTTACTGCAAACACTGAACAGAAAATGTTTCAGCATTCATGTTTGAATTATTAAGGTGACTGATGAAGATAAAAAATAATTATAACTGTTACTTCATGCAGTTTGTCAGTTTTTACATATAGTTAAGCTGAATCTGGACCATGGACTGGCTTTAAATGAAACCAGACAGGTATCTGACATTTACAACTGTTAAATTAACCAAAATAATGAGCAGACTGATTATCGTGAAAAGAATGGATTAATTGTTACTCCTCAGTTTGTTTCTAATAGAAGAAATGTGTCACCTGTTTGACAGAAGCTGGGAAGTTGTTTTGACAGAAGGAGGAAACATTAACACTGTGTGTCCGTCTGTCTGTCTGTCCATCTGCTTTTTTTCCAGCTGTCGTGGTGATGAGCAGCAGTGAGTGTTTTGGTTGTGGCCGCAGTGGTCACTGGGTGAAGAACTGTCCTAGCGGGGGTCGAGGTCGAGGGAAAGGCCGCGGCAGAGGAAAAGGTGGCCCTAATTCTCTATATCTTGTTACACTTGTTACACTCCATTATGATGCTGCAGATCAGGGGGTTAGAATCAGGCTTTCAGAGAAGAACAGCTGCATGCACGTACAATGCCTGCAATAGTTGTACTGCATTTTGTACGTTATACAAAGTTACTCTTAATGTCCAATATGAAACCATACATTTGCCTGTTAGATTTGTGTAGGAGCAAAATCAACCATATGGCAAGTACTACAATTGAAAAAGCAGGTCAGAAGCTGGTACAGAAGAGCGAAAAAAGGCAAATCTGCAGTTCCTTCAGTGTCCACTAGAGGCTCCAAAAGCCAAGGGACTCTATAGACGGGTTTCATGTGTACAAACAATACTAGGTGCGCGCGCAACCAGGGGGCAAAAGCCTGCTTTGGAGTGACCTGAAATCAATGAAGATACCGTATTGTTCTCCCCGACACAATTGCAATAAAATGTCATTTCATTGAAAAATCGCTTTGTCTTTCATTGCATCAAAATCAGAAAAACACTTGCTGAAATGTCCATGAATTTCACTCAATTTACCAGGTTGGGACGTTGTTTTAGATGTTTCTAATATCAGGAATAGGGTCATAATGTTTGCCGATTGTTTGTTTTGCAGATTCGTGCAGTTTACAGCACAACAGCTCCTTGTCATTTTCTTTTTCCGTTGACTCCGCTAGTAAACAAATAAGAAATGTCCCGCTTTCTGCCCCCTGGCTGTGCACGCATGCCTGTGATGATGTTGCATAGAAACCTGCCTATTGGGTCTGCTGACAAATAAATGAAACTCCCTTAATGATGCTTTTCTCTGTGTATTTCAGATCTGTTTTGTTATCGCTGTGGGGAACCTGGACATGTCGCCAGAGACTGTGAGAGGACTGAAGATGGTAAGGACAGAACACACAAACAGGAACATTGCATTGCATTACAGAGAGCATCTCTATGCATCAGTTTAAATGAGTCATTGTGTATCCATTTAGGGCTAAATTTACCTTTTATGAACCAAAACAGATCTTCCTACTACCGCAGTATTTATGAGGAGCACCACATTTAAACTTTTCAGTGATCATAACATAAAGAAAAATATGTGTATAAAGTCTGTTGCTTTTACTCTGACAGTGCTATTTATATTGTAACAAATATGAAATCAGTCTAAAGCCGCGTTCAGACCAAACGCGACAAGGTCGCGTCGCGTCGCGTCGGTCGGTCAGGTCGCGTCGCGTGGTGCCCTGGTGTGTCAACACCGGGTCCAAAGCTGCAGTCGCAGGTCGCGGCTGGTCGCAGGTGACGTCATCCATGTCACTAGCTCAGTTTTCAGTTCATCAGTGCTGCCGCATATCTGTACATCCGCAGTAGACGCCGCCGGCGTTTATGGGTGCATGAAACCATCCGGAGGAGGACGGAGCTGGGTGAATTTCACCGCTTGCTCCAGGAACTCCGCCTGGACGACGGCCGCTTCCAGCGGTACTTCCGTGTGTCGACGGCGCAGTTCGAGGACCTCCTCGCCCGGGTGGGAAGCAGCATCTCCCGCCTGGACACGAAATACAGGCGCTCCGAAACTGAGATGCTTCTTCTTTGGCGTTGCGGTCCCGGTACAGCCCGCAACCCACGTCGTATAGCACCGGGTGGTAGCTAACGGATGTGATTAACTGCTCCTCCATTGTGATTCTTCTTCTCCTCTTCCTTGTTTCGCCGGTTTGTTGACGTCAGCAGAGCCCTGATTGGCTGTCGCGGCACGGAGTCGCTCCCAAAGTTCAAATATTTGAACTTTGGGAGCGACGCGACTTGGCGTCCTGCGACCTCGGCGACGCGACCTCGGGGACGCGCCTTGGCGACCCGTCGCGCCCGGTCGCCCGGTCGCGCATGGTCGCGTCGCAGGAAGCCGGCGGTCGCCAAGTCGCGTCAGGTCGCGGCTGGCCATAGACTTTGCATTGGGAGCCGTCGCCAAGTCGCGTCAGGTCGCGTTTGGTCTGAACGCGGCTTAAGGCTGTCCTAGGCTTGGGCATCAGAGCTGTTCTGCTGTTATTTGTGTTTATTTGAACGAGCTGCTCTTCCTGATTATCCCAGGAGGAAGCTTTTTTATGAACAGTTCAATTTTATTTTGTGTCTGTCAATCAACTTCATAATAAACTGGTCAGAAGTTTCCCCTCATCACCCATACTCTTATCTCCATCAGGATGAGAGTGTGGGGATGCTTACAGCTCATCCACAATCGAACGCAAAACAAGAGCAAACTGCACAGAGATGCTTAACTTTAGGGATGAGGTTGAGCTTGAATTTGCTTTATGAATTAAACATTTTGTAAGACAGCCCTGTTCTCTCTACAGCCTGTTATAACTGTGGCAGAGGAGGTCACATCTCCAGGGACTGTAAGGAGCCAAAGAAGGAACGCGAGCAGCTGTGCTACAACTGTGGGAAGGCTGGACACATGGCCCGCGACTGCAACCATGCCCACGAGCAGAAGTGCTACTCCTGCGGCGGCTTTGGACACATTCAGAAATGCTGCGAGAAGGTCAAATGCTACAGGTAAAAAAGACTCTGGGCAAACTATTAGCAACTGTAGACCAACAGCTATAGATACAGAATTACTAACTTTAAACTAAGTCTTTAGGTGAAATGATGTGACAGGTTAGCTCAGGGCTATACTTGTTCTTTCTTGCTGTGATGGCCCAGAAAGTTAGCGGCAGAAACTCCAACATTTCAGTGAATGCCAAAGATATTTCACAAAACCCCCAAATTATGATCATATACATTAATGATTCAAAAAACTAAAAAACATTTCATGGAAAAGAGGAAAGAGAAATCGTAAACACAATTTAAAAATTTAGGAGGTAGATAGAACTGCAAAGAAATGTGACAAAAACTAAAGATATTTTTAAAATTTGACATGGATCACCAAATCAATTTACTAAATGCTTTTTGTTTTTTTAATTTCATGAAGTATTTTAAGTTTTGTGAATAGTTTTTAAATTTTATTACAGTTTTGTTTTTGATTTCAAAAAAATACCTTTGGGTTTTTTGATGTTTTATTGTTTTGGGTTTTACATAAAAAATTGTTTTGTGAAATGATTTGATGAAGTTTTGGGCTTTAAGTTCTATATGTGCAAATCTTGAAATGTCAGTGAAATGGTTGAATCTTAAAGTTTCTTGAAATCTTTGAGTTCGTCCTTGAAATTTATTTGACGTTTTTAAATGTCCTTGGCATTCAGGACAATGTGTTTGCCGTTTTGTCAAAATGTAGCACTTGGTAAAATGTTTTTCGTATTTTGTAAAAAGTTTTTGATGTCCAGTGAAATGTTTTTGCAATTTTGGGAACTGTCTGGAGCAGTTAGTGTGATATTTTTTTTTGTGTTTTCTGTAATATTGTTTGAGATTCAGTGAAATCTTTTGGCTTTTTCTGATTTTTTTTTTGTGGTAATCATTAAAGAGTTGGCATAGAGTTAAATATTCTGAAGGATTTTGTGAAAAATTTTTGGCACTGAGTGGATTTTCTTTTCTTTTCTTTTCTTTTTTGTTAATGTTAAGTAAAATCATTTTGGACTTTTGTAAAATGTGTCTGACATTAAGTGAAAGATCTTTTGCATTTTTTGAAATGGTGTTGTTGTCCAGTAAAAAGTTTGGGGGATTTCATGTATGTCTTATGCCTTTAAAAAAAATTTTTTTGTGTTTTGAAAACTGTTTTTGTAATTTCATGAAATGTTTTTGGTATTATTTAAAGAGTTGTGTAGTGGACCTTCAGGAGCGTTCTAGTTTTACATTAAAATCAGTTATTGGTGTTGACATTGGGTGTATTTTCTTCAGGTGTGGGGAGATTGGCCACGTTGCGGTGCACTGCAGCAAGGCGTCGGAGTTGAACTGCTATAACTGTGGAAAGTCGGGTCACCTGGCCAAGGAGTGCACCATTGAGGCCACTGCCTAGCTGCCGCCCAAACTCTGACCCCGACCTCAATCTCTTTTATCTCTTCTTTCTTTCTCTTTTCTCATGCCCTCTCATCCTCCTCTTCTTATTGGCCTGGAATCCTGCCAGTCAGTCTCACAGCAGCCAATCAGAGTAGGAGGAGGAAGAAAAAGGGGTGGACACTAAAAGAAAAACAATTTCCTTCTGCATTTTTAAAAGAAAACAGGTTTGTGTTCGTAGTTTGGTAGCAGTGTCATAACGTGCAATGCTTTGTTTAAGAATCCTTTCTGCCCAACCGATTGGCTGAGAGGTAAACAAACCGTAAGGCTCCGCCTCTCAGTTCTGAAGTGGGCAGGGCTTCAACTGAGGGATAAATGTGATGGAAGTTTCTTTTTTCCAAAATGCTGACTTACTTTATTTTCTTTTTCTGGTACAAAAGCAAAGTTTGTCCAACAGAAACATGATTGGCTCTAACTCCAGCAAATAGCCAATCACCATGTAGGTATGAATGAAAGAGCCAATCAGAGCATGTCACAGCAGACTTCAAAAGGAGCATTAATTTTAAATATCTTTAAGGTGCTTTGTGTTGCTGTTTGGACCTCATGGAGCGACTAACCGATGGAGACTGATTATAAAGACACATTTTGAAATAACAATGTTAAGTTTGGAAAGAGGAGAATGTTTTCACAAAAAAATCCAAATATTATTTTTGTACAATATATCACTTAGAGCTACTATAAAAATGTCATTTGGTTGTACTGCAGCCTGTAAGTTTTATCTGACAATAAAAAAATGGAGGAGGATGAAGAGACAAACTCTGATCTGTGCAGTTTCTTTTACAATCACATGAAACACACAAGAAAAGTCCCAAACACTTCGGTCAAACAGGTCAGTCACTGTCATTAAATCATTGTTATTCACCTGTTGATGCTAGAGAAGAGTAGAGTTTAATTGTTCAGGACCTTTCAACACCTGTAACATCTGCTTTACATGAGACAGTGTTGAGACTTAAAAGAACAACCAAACGGGTAAAAAGTTGTGTGATGATTTAAAAAAAGGACCTGTTGGAACATCTCCCATCATTTTCCAACAGGTTAGTAACATGACTAGGTATAAAAAGGACATTCAGAGATGCTGAGACTCTCAGAAGGAAAGATGGACACAGGTTCACCCAGAGCCGGCCCAAGGCACAAGTGAACTAAACGCCTGCCTAAGGCCCCGCAGCCAATAGGGGGCCCCCAAAAGCAATCAAAAAAATATAAAACTTTTTATTTTTTGCATGTATGAGTGATGCTTTCTGTATGATCAAATATATATTATTGTTAAAATAAAATAAAGTAAAAATATTTTAGTGCTGCTGCTGATGTAGGCCTATGATTCTTACTGCCGATATGTCAAAGCTCTGCTACTGTTATGTGCCTTCTGCTGTGCAATGTGCACTGAGCATCCAAAGTGCAGGTAGTTAAGGGGCAAAACAATGTTGCAAAAAAGGACATATCCTTCAGGAGCAGAGAAAAGAAAGAGGAAGAAGGGAAAAAAATTCCAAGATAAAGGTATGTTTGCATGTCATGACAATCTGGAGAAATGTCTGTACAAAAAGGACAATGACCAAAAGGACACTGGATGGTCCTGATCTCCAGGCCCTCAGGCAGCACTGCATTAAAAACAGACATGAATCTGTGGTTGAAATCACTGCATGGATTCAAAATCACTTTTAAAAAATCATTGTCTGTGAACACAGCTCATCACTGCATCTCTATGTGAAGATTGAAACAGCACAATGCAAAAAGACACCAGGTATAAACATGATGCAGGAACATCAGAGACTGCTCTGGACCTGAGTCTGTTTAAGGTGGATTAAGGGGATGTGGAAAAACTGCTGTTGTCTGACAAATCACAACTTTACTTTCTCCTTAGAAACAATAGATCAATGTCAGAGTCTGTCCCTTTTTGCCATAATGTTAACAGAGAACAAGGGAAATAAGTCAATCTTCTTTAAGTTAATAGATCTGATTGTGGTCGTCCCTGAAACACTTATCCTGTCTTAAAACAGCTGTAAGACAGCCTAACACAGCCTGTTGATAATGAGTCCGTCATTGTTATTTATATATTGCATGAATTTGATCAACTGTATTCAAATCTTTATTCTACTTTCAATTTTTTTTTATCTCGTGGAGTAAACTTAAACAGTACCCGCCCCCTGAAGTAGTATCCTCCAGCAGGGGGCGGTAATGGTACAGCGCAGACGCCTCGAAGCGGGAACAAGGGAAGAAGAAGCAGCAGGAGTACTTCCAGGTTGTTGTTGGCGTGTGTCGTTTGCTTGTGGATAAGTTGCGTCGAGGTCGTCTGTTCCTTTATAAACAGCAAAAAATAATCAGCGGAGATGGTAAGAAGCGAGTCTGACTTTGACATTATGTCACATAAATGTATAGTATGTTTGCATGCTGTGTTTTAGCTGGAGTTTAGCTTGTTAGCACTGGCAGAGGCTAGCGGAGCCGCTCATCAACCTTAGTAGATATACTAATAAAATCTTTGGAGAGTGTGTGAAACTTTTACATCTGGCCGAACTTTTTAGAAGCCATTCATGAATAATTGAATGTTGTTTCTCAGTGAGTTGGTAGCGTAGGCACAATTACCTGATAAAACATCAGAATTGTGAATGGTGTTTGGTAGCAGCCGGTCCCGTTCTCATTCATGTTGAAAAGTGAAGTTAGACAACTGCCCCAGACTTATTACTTAAGTATGTTCGTTCTTTTATTCTTTATTCTGTTAATTCTTGAGTGATTCTGTTATTCTTTTCAACCATCAGTCTTTCAAATTTTACTGCAGCGCGAAGTGTTGTTTGTGACCGCTGTAGAAGAAACAGCGACAGGCGAGATAAACTGACAGATTTTTGAATGGAGTTTGGTGGTGGTTAATCGTCTTTGCCTCATTATTTTTCTTAAGTTATGCCAGAGCTTAAAGTTTTCTTAGGAGAAAAGAAACAATCAAATGACGTTTAACGTAGCTAAAATTGTTGTTCAGTTAGAAAATAACACTTGTATCCACTTTTTTACAGGCAAGAAACGCTGAGAAGGCCATGTGAGTATTGTGTAGTTTTCACTTCTTTTATTTTTGTTGTCATGTTTTGGCCAACAGCTGCTAAGTGAGCTTTGACACAAGGGTAATGAAGATTTGTCGATGCATGTCTGTGACAGAAATATAAAGTTGTAATTAATTTCAGTAAGTCTACAGATACCTGTAAATAAATAAAGTGTGACTTTCACCCATACAATTGCAGCTGATCCAGATGATAAAGCAGTTTTTATGAGAGGTGTCAGCATCTGTGATGAAGTTTAGAACTTTTGATAATTGTAAGTAGTTTAAAGAAACAAACAAGTCTTGGCCCTGAGCTTTCATCAGTGTTTTACCCACAGTGTGAGTGAGTCTGTCCCATTTAATAATAAGTGCTGCCGGATGATGAACCACAGAAAGAGAATCTTTGATTAGGATCCTATTCTGTGGCATAACATAAATAAAGCAGTGGTATTTCATCAATGTTGTGGATGTTATTTGATGTATCTGTTGACCTGCTGTCTCTAACTTTAGTCCTCTGTTGTGTCTTTCAGGACTGCTCTGGCTCGGTTCAGGCAGGCCCAGCTGGAGGAGGGGAAAGTCAAGGTCAGTTTCAACAGAGTTCTAGTACATTTCCTGCTTTCTTTTAAATCCATCTTTTTACTATGAGTGTATTTAAACTCTGAACTTCTATGTGAGTTATAATAACCACCTCATAATTTTCCTCTAGAGGCATAAAAAATAACACATGTAACTTAAAGATGTCTGAAACAAGAGTGTGATCTGTTTTTATAAGAGTGGTATTGAAGTTTGAATAAAGAAAGTCCATCTCTTACCCGCCCTCATGTCTCTTACCTGTTTGTCTGTCTGCAGGAGAGGAGACCTTACCTGGCGTCAGAGTGCAGTGAACTTCCTAAAGCTGAGAAATGGAGACGACAGGTAAAAACTACATATAGCAATTATAAAGTTTGACTTTATTTAAATTTAACATGGCATTACATTGAAAAATTGATGCCCAATATTATCAGCACAGTAAAAATATTTTATGAGGGACATTTACGGTTAATTAGATATTCATTAATTGGTTGTTATGACGGTGCTGACAGACGTTTTTTTTACATTTTCTGTCAGGTGGAGATGATCACCTGTGGTCTTGTGTTACTTTCAGCTGTCAGGGTGTCAGCATTAGTATGTTCATTATTCTCTCACATTGTGTGTCTGTGTGTGTTTCAGATCATCAGCGAGATCTCAAAGAAAGTGGCTCAGATCCAAAATGGTGAGTGTATTGATGATAATGTCTCACCTGAACCTCACAGGTAGAGAAACACAGTGAAAGTAAACAAAAAACTTCTGTTGGATTTTGTCTTCCTCTCTGACCCGCCTTACTTGTCTCATACCTGCATGTTTCTCTCTCTCTCTCTCTCTCTTCCTCTCTTCTTTAACTTGTCTCTCTGTGGGCAGCTGGTCTTGGGGAGTTCAGGATTCGAGATTTGAATGATGAGATCAACAAGCTGCTAAGAGAAAAAGGTCACTGGGAGGTCAGGATCAAGGAGCTTGGAGGACCCGACTACGCGGTACGTATCAACCCAAAACCAGAACTGGAACCAGTGCCTTAACTGGAACTAATAACTGAAACCAGTATTATCTACAGAACCAGTAATCATTTCTGTATCTAGAACCAAAAAACTGTGGTGTGTTATTCAGAGCTTAATGTATTTTAGAGTTATCCATAATAAAGATGTCCAGAGTAATAGATCATCCGTCCGTCTGTGTGTCTGTTTATGTGTGTTCAGAGAGTGGGTCCTCGGATGTTGGACCATGAAGGGAAAGAGGTTCCTGGTAATCGGGGGTATAAGTACTTTGGAGCAGCCAGAGATCTTCCTGGAGTCAGAGAGCTCTTCGAGAAGGAGCGTGCGTAAACTCCACCTGTTCCCCTTCTGTTAATATCAAATCTGTCGTTTCTGTTCTGGCATCTGATTGGTCCTTTCTGATCATTTGACTTCCAGCCGCCCCAGCTTTGAGGAAGACGAGGGCGGAGCTGATGAAGGAGGTAGACGCAGAATACTACGGTTATAGAGACGAAGACGATGGGGTGCTGCTTCCTCTGGAGGCTCAGTATGAAAAACAAGGTCTGATGGATTTCAAATCATCCTAAAATCATAAATAGGCCATTAATAATGGTATGAAACTGCATCCAGGTGGTGTCAGAGGCTTGCTTGATTCAGGTGTAGGTTTTGGTACACACATTTATTGTGAGTGTGTCGTCATGTTTGTATTATTCTGTGTACAGCTGTGATTGAGGCAGTGCAGAAGTGGAAAACGGAGAGAGAGTCTCGTCTTTCAGGAGATAAACAACAAGAGGAGGAAGAAGAGGAGAGCATCTACACTGCCTACAACGAAGAGGTTAGCTTTCACATTACGTCCCAGGAGCTTCCTTTTTTTTTTTTTTTAGAAGTTTCAAGGACTCCCAAGACAGATAAAAATGAAAAAGCCAGAAGAAGAGATGCAGAAAAGTCTCAGACGAAGCAAAATGTTGATCCTGAATTCTTGGTTTGTGTGTTTGCAGCCAGAGGATGAGGAAAGCCGGGAGGAGCAGGAGGGAGAGGAGGGAGGAGTCACCTTCATCGCACATGTACCTGTACCCTCACAGAAAGAGGTGAGACATACACTCGCGATCATCTTCTTTACGTTAGAGGAACTTCAACCTGGACCATCACAACCTCATATCTAACCTGGTGATAATCTGAAACTTTGGGATAAATTTGACCCTTCAGACTGTTCTTAAATAAAATGAGGACATGCAAAATGTACCTGTACAGTGCAGAATTTTTCCAGTAACATATATATTTTTCACAGAAGGTCCTTGTAGAGCAGAATATGCTTCTTAAATATATAAAAGACCTAGACAGACAGAGATTTTTACTGTAAAGCCTTTGTCACGATGCAGACATCGAGACTTTACACTGAAGAATTCTACAGGTTACAAAAGTAACGGCAGAGCAAAGTCGCTCTGATGGTGCAGAAGTATTTTTTGCAATGCACCAATGTCATCATATCTCTTAACTTGAAAGGATTATCATTTTTATGCAAAACTGTCATTGTAGTGCAGGAATACCATAAAAGGCAGAGTTGCAGAGATATCTTAGCAGCTCAGGAATGTCCCAGTGGTGCAGGATTGTTCTCCTGCTGCAGAAAGCTCTTTGCAGTGAAGACGATTCTCCACAGTCAAGTAGAAATAGAATTTTTTTCTTTTCAGTGCAGAAAAGTGTTGACTGTGCAGAAGAAGCTTTTTGGTGCCTAAGTGTCCTCTCCATGCTGAAATTTCTTCATTGTGCAAGCAAGTCATTGCAGTGCATAAATGTAGTTATTGTGCAGAGTTAAACTTTCACGAAATTAATATTCTGGCACAGTAGAATTGTCCTCACAATGCAGACACATCCTCATTGTGCTGAAATAAAGCACAGAAGTCTAACCTCTCTGTCCATCTCAGGTCGAGGAGGCTCTGGTTAGGAGGAAGAAGATGGAGTTGTTGCAACGTTACGCCAGTGAGACTCTTCAAGCTCAGAGTCAGACAGCTAAAACGCTGCTGGGACTCTAACCCATCTACCTGTGGTTCTAGTTTTGTAAATATCTGCTCATTTTTGTACCTGACCTGTTTCATATTAAAGCTTTCTTCAGCTCATTTCTCCTCTTGTGTTTTATTGGTGGTAAACATGGAGGGAATCTGCAGGTGTGTAGTCATGAACTAGGAAAGCTGAATGTAAGAAGCAGCTCAGCAATGTCAGTCTGTCTCCTAAGGCGTCTCATGAAGACATTTTCTTTAAACAGAATTAAGACTAAAAAACTGACTTTGAACGGAAGTACACCATGTCCCAAAAGTTCATGCAACAAAGAAAAAGTTAATTCAGATCATGAATATTTAACATAATGTGTTCATTCAAGAGCCAATGTACCCCCCCCACACACACACACACACACACACACACACACACACATACACACACACACACACATCTTAATTACTGACCTAGGCTGTCGGGCATAGGATACAACAAGTTCTTTAGAACTGAAGGCTCAATGTTGCCCCACTGCCTCACAGCCCTCACATTGAGCTGCTTCATGGTGGTAGGGAGTGGACAGCAGAAGACCCAACTGTCCTCAAACAGGATTAGGTCCGTGGAGTTGGATAGTCATTCCACTTTGTGCAGAAAGCCAGAAAGCTGCTCAGAACACCACTGCTGAGTTGTACGAGCAGTATGTGTGAGGGCACCATCTTGCACAATGACCATTTCTGCACGCCTGTTGAACATCTTCCTTGCTGTTACAGGACCCAATTTCTTCTTTCTGGTGAGTACAGAAAGTAGCAGTGGCTAGAGATTGTTCTTGACATAAAACTCAGCACTGATGGTGGCAGCCTGAGGTACAGCATCCAACTCAGACAGCCCAGAAGACGACTTTTCCCCCCAGACCATATAATGGGTGTTGAACTGGACTTGTTCAGAAGGTGGCACTTCATTCGATTGTCATTGTAGATACAATTGTTTTGTCTTTTGGGGGTTGGAAATAAGTAGATTGGGCACTCAACGGAGAAAACCAAGTTTTTCCCAGTCCTTTGGGGTCATTGAAGCACCCTTTTCAGCAAAAGCCAGCCACTTCTCCTTTTGCAGATTGGCAAGGAGAGAAATCTGCAGTCTTCTGTTTTCACTTTCAGACCCAGTTTCTCAGTCAGAACACTCAGAGACTGCTTCCCCAAGATTCTTCAGTGTTTAATCGGGGTCTGTGGAAGGATTGTGACTCTTTCCCTTGGCCTTGCAGATGAGGTCAGTGGCCCTCAAACTCAGGACTCAGGGGTGACCTGCACAGGGCCTGTTTTTCAGAGAGTCACAACTCTGGTGTTTCTGCCACCACTTTTTCACCCATCATGTGCTTCTGTCAAGGTCCTGAGCCACCTCCCTGCAAGTTTTCCCTGCACTGCGCAATTCAATGGTCTGAGCACAGACCTGAGGCTCTGAAACAGCAACCATTTCAGATCTCTGTTTGGCCATCTTGGCAGCACTATCAAGACGGTTTTCTCAGTGACAGGCTCCATGGTCAACCAAGAAATGTATAGGCCTATAACAAACAGATGAACTAATGAAACAACCTTACAACACCCCACCGACCAAGTACAACTCATTTTGGAGAAAAAACAACAAAAGTGTTGCCTATTGGGGTGCATGAACTTTTGGGACTCGGTGTATGTTGCAGCAGTAGCATCTCTCGCCTTTTCTGTCTCTGTCTGTCTCGTCATGTGGTTTAGATCTGGCAGCTGATTGGTTGATTGGTGGCAGCATTCTGCAGCATGTGATTGGCTGATTAATTGCTGAAGGCTGCATGTGATGTCATGTGAGGAGAAAACTACCATCAGCCACATCTAATCAGTGTGTGTGTGTTACTGTGTGTGCGGGTATGCAGTGTGTGTTTGGGGCTGTCACAGTGAAGGCTTCTCTGATGAACTGAATCTGATTTTTTAATATGTCGCTTGTTGCACAATGCTGCTCAGAATAGACAACATTTTTTCTCTTTCTCATCTTATTATGTGATGAATTTATATCCCGGTCTTTTATACTGTTGTAACAGAGATTTCAAGCGGACAAGAGCAGCTGAGCAGCTTTCAGTAAAAACTTGAACTCAAACCTTTCAGGACTTTGACTATTTCAGCCCTCCACTTCATCAGACTGAGGACTTATATGCGCGAGGTCTTGGATTCAAAATAAATCACAAAAACATCTTTAGAGGTGCAGTGAGTTGTGGCAAATTCTGGTTCAGACTGCCATGTTTTCTTTAGGTTAACCCTTCCTGACTTTGGCCACCATCAGATCAACATGACCACAAACCTGAGAAGTTAAAGATCCGCCTGTACAAATGTGGATTCTTGTTTGTTTTGTGTCTCTTAAATCTAATCAAAGTCAGGTACTGATGACTCAAGCCAAATGAAGATATGTATTACTAACAATGTCATCAATGGCTTACCTTAAAAACTAAAATCGGACATAAACAAAACCTATAATGACATTTTAAATTCAGTCTGTAGTGGAAATCACTGCATGGACTCCAAATCACTACTGAAAACCATACGCTGTGAGCACAGTTCATTACTGTATCCACAAATTCTAGTTAAAACTGTGCCAAGGAAGCCACAGGCCCTAAAGATATGTGCACGCACCCCATATGGAGGATATACCCCAAACAATGATCATGGTTTGAGTCCAGTTTGTGGTTCCTTTCCCACATTTACTCCCTACTCTTTCGATCCATTTCCTGCTGTAACCACTGTCCTGTCATCTTTGAATAGAAGCAAGAAAAGTTCCAGGAACAAGATCCAGAAACACCAGAGACTTCTCTGGACCTTAGATTCATGTATTCTGACTGATTACATTTTCTTTTCCTCTCTATAGAGGTGAGGAACCCAGTGTGTTATCAGCTCATAGTTCAGAGCCAGCATCCCTGTTGGTATTGAGATCAGAAGTGTCCATGTCATGGGTAGCTTACACATCTGTAAAGGCTCCATTAATGCTGAACTATATCTACAGATTTAGGAGCAACATCTGCTGCCATACAGACAAAAACGTTTTCCAGGGAAGACCTTCATATTTCAGCAAGACAAACCCCATTCTGCAGGGATTACAACAGCATGGCTCTGTCGTAGAAGAGTCCTGCCTCTAAACTGGTTTGTGTTGCTAAAACTTCAAATCAGTTGTACAGAAACATAAGACAGAAAGTTGTGATGTTTCCATGTGATGTTTAATCCTCTTGAGTTTGATGAACACGAACTGTAAATGGTGGAAACGTGTCTAAACTTGAAGCTTAAACCATGTAGTATGATGATCAGGGCATAATATGTACGTTTATCTCAGACACAGCCATAGTATGTCGAATTGTAGCCCCTCCTGCTTCTGATGTCACAGCCCTGTCAGTATAAATACACCGCACACAGCTCATCTTTGACAGACAGACAGACTAACAGGAGTCATGTGGTGTCGAGGGTTCCTGCAGCAGACCAACAGACTCATGTCGACCAGCAGAAAGGTCAGTCTGTGTGTGTGTGTGTGTGTGTGTGTGTGTGTGTGTGTGTGTGTGTGTGTGTGTGTGTGTGCATATGAGTTGCAGGGACATAAATGTTGTTGTTTACAGAGTTTTGGGGACCAACCCCCTTTCTGGGGACCCTCTAACTGACCCCATAACTTCAGAGTTCAGACTTGACAGTTTCTAAAAATGGAAGAAACAGTTTATGCACACTTATAAAAAAACAAGAATAAAATGGGAAATAACCAAATAAAGTATGATAGAAAAAAGTGTCTGTTATCATGTTTTGCTTCTAAATAAAATCACAGATCACTTCAATGTTTTAACTTTGTCTTTATACTTTTTCTGTCATAAAGATTTTGAGGTACAAATATCCTGCTAATCAGAGAGCCGTCTCACATATATGTCTCTCTTTGACTGGTTTGTCTTCCTTTTGTCGGTCTGATAGAAATGTCTCTCTCTAACCTGTCTGCCTCTCTGAAATCATGTCTCCATCCTACTTCTATGTTATGTCTTTATCTCACTTTACTACCATCTGTCTCTCTGAACTGTCCTTCCATTTCTGGCATGTTTGGCATTCCTGTCCCTCGCTGACCAATCTGTCCATTTCACAAATCTGTTTTTCCATGGTATGTCTCTCTCTCTCTCTCTCTCTCTCTCTCTCTATGACCTGTCTTTCTCTCTGACTTGTCTGTGTCTGTCTATCTGTCTGTCTTTGACCTGTCCTTCCTTTACGCTTTCTTTTTTCATCCTGATTGGTCTCCTTGTCAAATGTATCTGTCAGGTGTCTTTATGTTTCCTGTCTTTGTTTAATTTCTTGTCTGTCTCGCTCTTATCTGTCTGTCTCTTCCTCCTCTTTGACCCGTCTCTCTGTCCCTTGTGTATTTCTGACCTTTACCTCTATACTCTTGTCTGTTTCCTATCAGGCTGGTGTCCTCTTTGATGTGGACGGTGTCCTGCTCCGAGGGGGACAGGTGATCCCAGCAGCTCATCGAGCATTCCAGAAACTTCTGGACAAAAACAACAACTTCCGTTTTCCCATCGTCTTTGTCACCAACGCAGGAAGTTGTCACAGACACCACAAGGCCCAGCAGCTGTCTCGCCTACTGGAGGTCCAGGTATGAGTTAGACAGGCTCATACAAGAAATTAGTCTTTGCCTTGGTTGGACTGATGCAGTTATGTGACCTCTCTCTCCCCCTCTCTGTAGATCGCCCCTGAGCAGGTGGTGCTTTCCCACAGTCCTTTGCAAATAATGAAGAGTTATCATGATAAATGTGTCCTAGTGTCAGGACAGGGACCCGTGACTGACATCGCCAACACGTATCCTCCATTTCTGGGCATTAACTAGCTTCTTCTTCATGGCAACAACAGCAGGGGTTTGTGAGTAATGTAGTCTTAACAGTCAACAGAAACAAAGTGAAATCCAGCATGCTATTTATGAACCTGACTTGTCATGGCAGCGTATCCAAACATTTTTGCCACGGAAGAAAAAAAATGGAATATATCTCTGGCTTTTGGTAAAATATAACTCAAAATAATTTTCACACTTTTTAAAAAAATAACAGTTTATTAAAAAGCACGGGAGAATTATTACGCAGCTGAAGTGTCGCACCTCCTGTCCTCTGTGGGGTAATACAAAAATGTCATACCTGAAATATGTGAGATCAAAATTTTCAACAATGTGAAGCAACTCAATCTTAAAAAAAAAAAACAACAACTCCATGCCAGTAATAAAATAACCTTACAATGAGCTTTAACAGCATGTTGAATATGAATCTACACTTCCCTCAAACTGATGTGGATTACTCACATCTTTGACAATATCCATCAGGTACTACTTTATGGTTTCATATGAGTGTGATTTTAAACTCATCAGCATCAATGTAAACCATCACCAAGAGTTTGACCCTGACGTGATTCGAACACGCAGCCTTCTGATCTGGAGTCAGACGCGCTACCATTGCGCCACAAGGTCTGAAGTTTGAGTTACATGTGACCCTATATGGAGATAAACCTGTATGGTTACACATGTATGGAGAAAAGTATTATTATTATATAAAAATATTCTTTTAAAAGAATAAAGATAAAAATTGATGTAAGGTTTATACAAGGTAGCACTTCACCCAAGATGTATTTTTGTGTGGTGGCTCTAAATACGTCAGAGCTTGTAAAGAGGTGTGTCTCTAACTGACCTTGACGTGATTTGAACACGCAGCCTTCTGATCTGGAGTCAGACGCGCTACCGTTGCGCCACAAGGTCAGACACTTCAGGTATACGTAGGGCTTCATCAACAGGTTTCTATGTGATTGGTTTATAAGACAGTTTTGACTAACTGACTCTGACAGGATTTGAGCTCATTGGCTACAATTCAACCACTTAAGCTGGGAATGAAATTTCTGATGATGGTGTAATACATGAGTTTATTGTAAGAATTCATCCTCATGTCCACAGTCCCATGTGCAAATGATTTCCTACAGATAATAGAGAAAATTAACAAGATCCTCTGATGTAGTCTGGAGCGCCTGATCCTAATGTGGTCTTAACCCACAGACTTCTGCTCTGGAGTCAGATGCAACACAAGGTCAGATATTTCATGCACACGTAGAGCTTCATGGAGAAATATGATCATTGAAAGGACAACGATGACTTGCAAATCATCCAGGGATTAGTAGATTCTCTCTGCAAATAGTTTTCTTGTAGTTAAAGAGTCACTTGGCGAGAAATTAAATGTTCTTCAGACACGTGTCTTAGATGTATTACGCCTCAATTTTCAGGCTCACAGTTTTATTTCACACAACCTTTTGATCTAGAGTCAGATATGTTACTGTTGCAAGTTAATGTGCTTCATCAAGACATAGCAATGCAAAATCTTCCATTTCTTAAGAATTCTTAAAAAATATCAACAAATTTCTTCAGTGAGGACTCTCTGTAGTGATGGTTCATTTCAGTAAAAAAAAATTTTTAAGTATAGAGAGCCTCATGCAGTCTTGCTCTTTAGAAACAGTTTTTATCTCTATCTAGGGTCACATGCTTCTCAAATTTCTGACCTTGTGGCGCAACGGTAGCGCGTCTGACTCCAGATCAGAAGGCTGCGTGTTCAAATCACGTCAAGGTCAATTTCTTCAAAGTCTGAAATGACATCTAGATGATAAGATAAATAAGTTTATAATAAAATTCACACATTAGTGAAACCATACATGTAACAAAAATGGTAAATATTACACATCTGTTTAAGGTGTGCAGATTCAAGTTAATCATGACTATTGAGGCACAGTGAATGGACAGTTCTGCAGCACCTCATAGAGGACAGGAGGTGCAGCAATTAACAGCCTGAAAATTCTCCTTTGCATCCAACTGACTGTAATAACAAAAAATCTAATTTACTTTTTATTCATAATTTCCACATAATTAACCACAACTTCTTAAAAAAAAACAATTACTTTTTCACTACTACTAATATAAATATAACCACTTATAGGCCTACTATTTAGATTACTATTACTGATATAACTTCTAAAACTCCACATAATACAACCACTACTACTACTTATAGGACTACTACAATTACACATTTGTATGAGTTTTATCATTAGATAAATTCTGTGAGCCTTAAACCTCACAGGGAGATCTTTTTCATGTTGAATTCTTGACCACTGCTTCAGTTTGGGTTTTCATAAAGTTGTTACAATTGAGCAGCTCCGAGAACATCACCCCCTACTGGACATGGTGGACCATAACAGACGACCCAAACTTCCTGTGAGTACTTGACCAATGTCAGTTTAAAACTTTAGGACTAGGCTTTATAAAAACCTTCTTTTAGCTTAGCAGCTGACTTTTTACTTCCATGCTAGCTGCATTTATTGTCAGTGACTCACTAGAGTGATGTTACTACAGAATAAAATATCCCAGCACTCGTTTCCTAAAGTTTGGTTATTTAGTGTAGGGGTGGTACTGAAGTGAATTTGATAAAGATTGAGCTGCTTTGTCATCTTTCCTCTCTTTCAGTCATCTCCTTTGAAAACTCTTCCTAAAATAGAAGGTAACAAAACACCATTGTTATCTTTTTATTCTACTCTGTGCTTTTTATATCAAATGTACTATTTCATTTTTTGATACAATAACCATCCATAAGTTTCCTGTTTTTTGTTGTTGTTTTTTTTTTTTACTTTCTCCACTCATGCTCTGTGTTTCCACAGCAATCATCCTTTTCGGTGAGCCAATCAGATGGGAGACTAACTTGCAGTTGCTGGTTGATGTGCTTCTGACCAACGGGAGTCCTGGTTGTTTGTATGAGCCTCAGCTAGCAGCACAGCTACCAGTGCTGGCCTGTAACATGGACCATGTGTGGATGGCTGAGGCTCCATCACCACGGTAACCAACAAGCTCTAAGGGTCAATTAAACAATGTAGTAAAACACTTGAAGTAATAACTGATGAAACGCTCAAGTTTCTTACTGTCTAATGTGTTGCAATAGGTTTGGTCACGGGATGTTTATGCTGTGTCTGGAGTCTGTATACCGGAAGCTGACAGGGCGAGATCTTCAGTACCAGGCACTGCTGGGGAAACCCAGTTTACTAACATACCAGTACGCCGAGCATCTGCTGCGACTACAGAACCACAATCACAAGCTAACCACCATCTACGCTGTTGGGTAACCAAATTGTCCATAACACCACCCAATAAACTGTCTACACAATGATTTACACTGCCATATAACCAATCCATCCATCCCACCAACTATCCAACAATCACATCCCTCCTGGGGAAAAAACCTTCTAAAAAAAATGCCTATGCACGGTAAACCAACCAAAATATTCACAATAACACTCACAGATTTGGGGGATCATTAGGCTAAAATATTGGCTGTACTGCAATGTGTAAAAACTAGGCTATATTTCTTTGGTCATGCAAGATTTAATGATAACAGTTGATCTTCTGGCATCTACATTGCATTGCCTAGTAGTGCAATGGCATTCCCTTTTGGTTAACACTTGAATACTGAGTCTGTGTACATGACTTCACAACTTTGCAAGTCCTATTTAAAGGAACCACATTCATGCTGGCAGGTAAGCAAACTGTCAGATAAACAAACTGTTCACAAAACCAGCCAAACAATTAGACAACTAAGCTGGAATCCTGGCTGTCAACTGATTCCATTATTTTCAACACTATTTTTTTTATGGCAACTTAAATGTCAGCTAACCAAATCACACATTTATGATCTGTGCTCTACGCTCAACAAAAACGAACTGCTGATTAACAAAACCATCAATAAGACCATCATCTATCATGTAACAAAACTGTACAACACTTTCTACACAGTCAGATGACCCACCTTTGTCCTTTTTGCTGCTCAGGGACAACCTGATGACAGATATCTATGGTGCTAACCTCTACAACCGGTACCTTGCTCGACAGCATGCTGCCCTGACAACCACTCCCAAGCTTGTAGCCGAAGGAACAGGTAGTCAGGTGACAATGGCGATACCAGAGGAGGATCTGGTGTCTGCTGCTGCTCAGTGTCACTCCATACTGGTAGGAGCAAGGCTATGTTGTCAATTGAGGTTTTAACTGTATGTTTTTATCAAGTCGATTACTCAGAGCTGCTGTACCTGTCCTTAGGTGTGCACAGGTGTCTATAACCCTCGCTCCCCATTGCCCAGCGATCAGAGCAGTGCAGTCACAGAGACAGTGTTCCATGGTCACAGAGATCTGGTCCTGGAGCCAGACCTGGTGGAGCCCAGCCATGTGGTGGAGGATGTGGAGGCCGCGGTCGACCTGCTTCTGCAGCAGGAGAGCTCCACCTGAACAACAACTGAACTGTGAAACTCGAACATCTGCAACTGACAGCTGCACTGATGCCTAAAATCTAAAACCTGATTTCTCGGTCTTTTGACCCATGACCTTTGGATGTGCTTGTATGACCTTCTTCAGACTTTATTTAAACTTGACACTTGATCACATCAACATAAAATGATGTTGCACTGACATGAGTGGCATTGCATAAAGATTTAATATACTGTTTTATCTTAAAACAGCAGCCAATTCAAATGAACAAATAAAATTAACACTAAATAAGAAGGGGTCGAAATAGATGTCATGAACTCAGAAATGACCAATAAAAAACAGGGTTGGGCTGCGCTGCAAGTTTACAGTCATGTACCATAAGTTTGAATTGTATTTTAAACTTGATAGTGTTGAAGTATTTGTATTTATGCAGGTGTCTTTTTGTATTTTGTTTAATCTTTAACATCCACCTCATTTAAAAAAGCCCCCTTGTGGCAGGTGCTGGAAATGAATGTTTCCCTTAAAATGATAACTCCAGTTTTCTGGTGCTAAAGCAAATTTTGTCACATCTTTAACGTTATGTCCATGCAGATCAAGATATCATATAAACATATTTATTTTTGTAACTTAAATGACTAATAAGTTTAAATTAATATAAACTAATAACGTCATAGATGTTTTTGGTGCTCCAAAGATAAAGTGTTACTCCTTGAACTTGTTTGATTTAATCTCTGGATTTTGAACAGTTGAATTCTTTTCTCATGTGAATTTTGTGAGTCAATAAACATATGAAAACTATTAAAAGGACTTTTAATTTATCAAAATACAAACACAAAAGTTACTAGAACCAATAAAGAGCAAAGATGGTAGCACCTATGTCCACAAACACTTGTCTTGATTTGTACTTTGCAGGGCTCAGACCAGGGCACATAAGAACACCAGAACCTTTTTTATTCACCATATTTGTGTACATACACACAGTAATTTCCTGGCCAAAACGGGATACTTGACTGCTTTGGTTTGGTGGAGTGAAAAACTGTGAGGTCCACAGCATCATCCAAGGACAAGGATTTTAAATATATAAGGAATATCTGAATGCCGTAATAAATTTTGACATCACTTTGACTAAGTGAAGCTTTCATTCAGGAGTCTAATTTTATTTTCTTTGTGACCAAACTAGCTTATAATACCGTAAATATGAAGATATTTTCTTTAAAAATAAGATAATTCATGAGTCTGTCATATACAGTTTTAAGTAATGTGCGTCGAGAGAGGTTTCAACATCACTGGGGAAAAGTGCCCGTAGGACCTGCTTAACATGGCGGCTGAGGAGGGACATTCCGGAAAAGGAAAAAGGGTAACTGTGGCGCCTGCGCAGTCGCTCACTCCGGGTCCCTGTAAAGATGTCTGAGCAGGCGGGGAGGGAGCGGAGCGGAGGACTCGAAACAAACGGACAAAACCCACGACTCTCCGCAACTTAACCGGTCAAGGTAAGGGCAGACGGCCCCGTACAGCCGCACTGAGGGTACCGACGTGCGGCGGAAAATTTCAGTCTTCAGAAAAACCGGAGTAACGGCACGCAAAGTGGCTGAGTTTGTAATAAAAGGCAGAATTACTGTGCAGGGCGCGCAGCGCTGTGGCAGGGGCGTGTCCGCCATCTTGTCTGAGAAGTGGCGCCTAAACAGCAGCTGTCGCTCTGTGAGCTTTCAGAGCCGAACGCGCTAAATGGTGCGATCTAACGGTGTTTTAAGACGGGTCGATTCGATTTTTATGGATTTCAGTCACTCTAGGCTAGATTGGTCTCGCTCTGGATGGGTACAGTGAGCCGCTGTGTCCACGTCTTCTGCTCGAGCTCAGGAGGAGCAGCCGCAGCTTTTTGTTGTCCTCCCCCCTTACCTCCCCCTGCTCTTCTCCTCCTCCGTGTTTGTTTGGAAAGCCTGTCAGGCGCATGCGTGTAACCATAGCGCTCGTTTCTGCGTATGTCAAAGAAAAAGTAGAAATGACTAATTGTAACCACATATCGCTTTCTTCTCATTTGTCAAACACATACACAGAGCCTTGTTGCCAATTTGTCAGTTTTATGACACCAGAACTCATACATCGGTCTATTTGCCGCCATCTGCCTTCAAACCGCCACATTCAGACGGTCTGTTACGAGCAGATCGGCCCGGACCTCCGTGTTGTCACCGAGCTGATAGAAAAACAGTTTATGTTTTCAGTCTCCTTCGACTGGACGGGCTGAACAGTCTGTATGAATAAAGGCTGCGTTTATCGATCATGTTTAAGCGACAGTTTTACTGTTGGGCTGCCTCAATCTCAGTCATGATTGACTCGGCTGCTCATAGTATTATGGTTTGTTTCACATAATGTCACCAAAATAGCGAAACGCGTCGGTCACTCAGGTCACCGAAAAAGAAACAGAAAATAACCCTGGAAAACTGAAACAAGATAATATTTGTATTTTTATCAACTGCTCTTTTGATTTCCTCTCAATAAACACACAGATAAGACTGTTCGGGTTGTAGCTCAGTTTTTCCAGGACCGTAACGACTTAATAATCATGCTGTACAGATAAACGTGTTTAAGTCCATCAGTGAACAAAACAACTACTTAAATTAAATGTTGTATTGAGGTTATAACAACTCACTCAACTTCTGATTTACAAAATACCTATTTAACCCTCGGTGTTGCTGAAGAAAGTCTGTTTGATCTCCTGTCAAGCACAATCAAGTGATTATTTCTACCTTTTGTGATGAGTGCCTGATAGTTTTATCTGTAGTCTGAAAACCATGCTAGTTACATGCAAGGTATTGTAGATCTCAGACTGCATCTGTAATTGTATTGGCTGATGAATCTTCGGAAAAATAATACAATTCTGGTTATTTTATATCTCATTCACTTATTCTATACAGTTACAAACAGCTCAAAATAGTAAAAATGTTTATTGTTAAGTATTAAACTTATTGGAAAATAGATCAATTTGTTTGAAGAAAAAGATATTGATGATCAAACATTCTTACTCCAATGTCATTATCTATGATTTCTTGTTTTTTATATTAGCAAACTTGACTTTAAAAAGGGCCATTACAAATTAATAAGCAGGGTCTTTGGAAAAACAGTAACATACTTTTGAGGTCCTAAGTGTAATGGCAAGTCAAACATCTAAGTTGTGACTTTATTGATCGGCATAACTTTGAAAAAAGACTGAAAATATCAACTCAAGAGGGTTTAAATAAGTGTCTTCAAAGTCTGCCTTCATCAAACTGGACAAACCACCCCATCTTGTGATCAGGGGTGTCATGAACTGACAGCGTTTAACCTTTGCACATTAACTATGTTAGCTGAGTCCTCTTTTAAAATGTATTTATCTGTGGTAATTTTTGTGTCATATAGGGCTGCAATTAAACATGGGATTATATTGAAGTTTTTTCCCCCCATTTTTCGTTTTATTTTTTAACTTACTCGGGTCATAATCACATGGAATGAAGCACAAACAGAATATATATTACAGATAACATAATAAAGTGTATGGTGTAGCTGTAGTACAACAAATATATCTGTAGCAACCGAAGGACATTCCTTAACAAAGAGACCCAATTTATGAACGACTAAATGCCTATCTGATTTCAGGAACAAACTGAATATATACACAGTCTAATTGATAGTCAGGGAGATACATTTCTCTCTAGCCCATAATGCTCACATTGTTACATTCAAACAAAATATGGAACTCAACACCCATACAATTTTATCAGCGAGGTTACACATCCTCTGGTGTCTGTCCAGTCCTTAAATACCACCAGGTGACCTCAGGGATCCTGCTGTTTGTTCACGCTTAGATTACAGACTGCCTCTCTATACTTTTTGTTCTTGTTTATCAAATATTTTTCCAGTTTTAACAAATTATTAAATTCTACATAAAAAAGTCACATAATGTCAAATTTCTACATTCACTTTGGCATTTTTTGCATGAATTGATCTTTAAAATAAGCCACTCAGCGCAGTTACACTGTTGTGATCCAAGGGTAGGGCAGGGAAAACTGACATTTGTCTAACCAGTTCTTTTAGATGATCATAAAATGTGTCCTAACTGCGATTGGTATGCTAATTTATTGATACATTTGGTGGAAATTATGGGACACACGTGCTCTGAGACAAAGATGAGAGGTTGTTTTGTTATCCTAGCTCTACTTGAGCCAGGAAACTATGTTCATTTTTAAGTTCCATTTTGTTGTAGCTCCCTTTTATAGACATATTCATATGAAACACCAATGAGATGTAACGATGTTAGTGATTTTGTGAGGATTCCAGTGACAGAGACAGACCCATGATTAAATGGCCGCCTGTTGGGACTCAGCCCAGATGTAGGTCCCAGATGTGCTTGGTTGGTCAGATTTTACAAAATGCAGATCAACAGCATGGTCTTATGCATGCTTCCCCACCAGCCTTCGGTACTTTTACAGTCAATATGAGGATAAGAGTGTGATGTGATGTTTGACTTCTCTCGTTCACGGTTATATATTTGAAAAAAAAAACCTGTCCAAACAGTTTTGTGTCTTTGAAAATGTTCACTAATTTTATGTCAAAAGTACTAATGTATCTTCCTGTGCAGGCAGGTCGATGTCATTCTGACGCGCAGGTGAGATGTCCAACGACAGCCAGGGATCGGTGAAGGGGGAGGCGGCTGTTATGCCTTCTCCCTCAGTGCCTGCCTCCTCCCAGGGACCCCCTCTTTCTCCGTCCACCACATCCAAACCACCTGAGCTCCCAGGTACACCTGTCTGTCTCTCACCTGTCTCTGTTCTTTCTTTCTGACTTAGTCCAGATCTGTCTGTCTCTCTTACCTGTCTGCCTCTTTCACCTGTCTGTCTCGCAGATGAACTGGTCCAGGCAGGATGGTCTAAGTGCTGGTCACGGAGAGAGAATCGACCATATTATTTCAACAGATTCACCAATCAGAGTCTGTGGGAGGTGCCAGTGCTGGGTCAACATGATGTCATTGTAAGTACCCTCACTATTTCCTTTTATCAAACTCCTGACTCAGAACTTCATCAAAAAACTTTGTGTTTACATCTTCAGGTATAGTGTGAAAATGTATACAGTCAGCTGTTATCTAAAAGAGACCTGTTTGTTTTTTAACACTCACATCTAATATTAAAATTTTAAGTGTCCATACAAAGTCTTGGAAAAAATTTCAAAACATGATAAACTTGAAGGATGGTAAAGTTCCCCTATATTTCTGGCTTCCCTGAAGGGTTTGTTTTGAAAACTTTGCAAGGCCTGCTCTAAAATCCATCTGTTGGTCTAGATTTGAGTCTCAGCAGCTACTGATACCTGGAGCTGCTCATCTATAAAGATCCGCATGAAGCTCAAAAACACAACCCAGGAGATTTAATGGCAAACATAAAATGGGGAGAAAAAGGTCATCCTGTTGCGTGAATGGTGACGTCTAACACATGCTGCGGGACTTTTCAAAGCGCCGTTCATTCAGAATGCTGTTAATTCTGCAGTTAACTCTGCAAAGTCGGCAGAAATCGTTTATATCTGATGTCTTCTGCGGATATAAACGATTTCTGCCGACTTTGCAAAGTCAACTGCAGAATTAACGGCGTTCTGAATGAACGGCGCTTTGAAAAGTCCCGCAGCATGTGTTAGACGTCACCATCTACATATGGACCAATCAGGGGCTGCCTTTCCCTGTTGTCCGGGGAACAGTGGAAACACAGTCACTGATTGGCCCGGTTATTTTCTGATCGCTAATACACGCTCCCAATGGGCTGAAGTCCAGACTGTTGGGATGGGCCAGCCAGGCTAAGAAAAAGGCACAACATTGGGGTTGTGTCATGACTGCAAAGCAAAAGTTGATAGAGAGGTTACACACTCCCCAAAAGTTTGTGGGCTGCAAGTCATGCAAAGACTGACATTATTAAAAGTGAAAGTGATTATGACATGTCTCATTTTTTGAGATGAGACCCAGAACTTAACTGTTTTTTTCTGTTTTTTAAGTCTGATCCTTTAGGCCTGAATGCGGCTCCAGCAGAAGGCGGAGACAGTAACCTTGGTAATGGTCAGAGGAAGAGGAGGATCTCTGAAGAACAGGGGGCAGGGCCAAACAGCTTGAAACGAGCAAAGGTAAAACACGTTGATGTTGTGAATCAAGCGCACAACAAGATTAGCATTTCAGAGTTGACTTGATAAACTGGCGACTTGGGTCCTGCAGATTGTGGTGAACTGCTCTGATCTGGTAATGGTTTTCTTTGTGTTTGATGTTCCCAGGTTGAGCCTACTACACCCATCTCTCCTAGCACACCTGGAGTCAAACCGTGGAACTCTGCCCCTGAGGAAAAACAGGCTCAACCAGCAGTGCCCACCACCCCAACTCCAGCCCCTGCTCCCTACAGACCAGCTGTGTGAGTGCTGAGACCAAATCATATCAGCATCTGCAGCTTCTCTTTTGATTGCTGGATAATGGACCTGCCTGGAGGTCGTTCAAGTTGTGTATTGTTTTTGTCGTTTTTAGTATTTACTGGGATTTAGATGTGCAGACCAACGCTGTAATCAGAGAGCACGCTCCGGCAAATCACCTGCCCCCCCACCCTGAGATCGAACTTCAGAGAGCTCAGCTGGTCACCAAACTTAGGCAACACTACCATGAACTGTGCCACCAGAGAGAAGGTACGTTGAAGGGATTAGTATTACAGTGATTTTCAGTCATAATGAAGTTGGTCTGCATGAAATGGATGTGGACTGGGCTTAGAGTCTGATCTGTTTTTAAATGTCATTAAAAACAGCAATTCTGACATCTCTCTCTTTCTAGATTGGGCCTAGTCAGTACAGTCTTGTTCTGCTGATTGTAGCTCTGATATATTTTTCAACAAGGCAGCACAACTGGACAAAACATCTATTAATGATGCCAAGTCAAGCTGTCTCACACTACATATCAATCTACACTTTCTGAATGATTTAAAACTTTGTCAGACTCATGTTCAGACCTCAGATCATTAAGAAAACATTAAGAGTTCAAGTAAATGAAGAAACATGAAGTGAAGAGGGAATTTGGGTCTATGACATGTGACTTATTGTAGTTTTTACAATGATTTGTAGGCACCAGTTTTCTATGACAAGAAGGTTAAGTTGTAAACATATTTTCAGACAAGATGATTTAACATAGTGAGGTATTCCTTTTTCCTACTGAGTATGTAACCACCAGGATAGATACTTCTCTTTCAAGATTACAGTGAAACTGACCGAGAAAGTTTGACCAGAATTTTCAGAGAAAAATTAAGACAAACTAATTTAAAACTTCTTGGTCTTGGAGGTCAGACACATGTCGGTCACTTGACTATCGAAAGATCTGAAATGTGTTGATAATGTCCGATAGACGTCCAGGTGCTGCATGTGTCTTAGATAAGTTTGTGACTGTTTCTGTTTGTCTTCCTGTGTTGGGTTCAGGTATCGATCCACCACGAGAGTCTTTCAACCGCTGGCTGCTAGAGAGGAAAGTGATTGACAAAGGTCATGATCCCTTGCTGCCGAGCGACTGTGAACCTGTAATCTCCCCGTCCATGTTCAGAGAGATCATGAATGACATTCCCATCAGGTTTGTGACTATTCCTGGAAATTAAATTCAAAACTTTCATAGTGTGTTAATCAAAATGTGTCAACTTAACATTGAATTTGATGTTATAAAAGAGGGTAAGGCTTCATTGTTTGTTTTATGTGTTGATGATGTGTTTATATCTGTGTGCGTGTGTCTTAGGTTGTCACGTATCAAGTACAAAGAAGAGGCCCGGAAGCTTCTGTTTAAATACGCTGAAGCAGCCAAGAAGATGATCGACTCCAGGTGAGTGAGAAACAAATGATTTAGAGTTTTATCCTGTCACAGTCATTATCATCAGGTGGTGACAAAGTTGTGTTGTCAAAGCCCTGATGTTTGACCTCTGACGTGTAGAAACGCAAGTCCAGAGAGCAGGAAGGTGGTGAAGTGGAACGCTGAGGACACCATGAGCTGGCTGCGTCGGGATCATTCTGCCAGCAAAGAGGACTACATGGTAACCTTTGACCTTTAACCTCCTCTTGTATGTTTGTTGTTTGCATTCTCCTTGGCATGTTCAATATGTCTATCTATGGAGGACCACTGTAATGTCAACATGTTGTGCTATAGTACGCTGTTATGCAGCCACAGGCAATGAGAAGAGCAGGAGGACCTTCTAGTCTGATTATAAATGATATAATTATGATCCTAACATCAATCAGAATAATGTGATTTGTTATTTTGGCCTTAATCGACCAGCCCTACTGTAGATAATGTGAGGCTGGGTCTTAACAACCTCATGGCACAGTATGACACCTATCGGAAATGGTTATGATACTTATTATTATTAAACAATATATTTATTGAACTTTCACACATACAAGTATACAAAAAAAGCCATCAAAAACATGGACAGTTGGACAATGAAAATGCGTAGTCGTCTCTATAAAAAGAACATACTTCGAGTTGTTTAGACAACTATCAATAACAACATAAGTAAATAGAAAGTAAAAGATAAAAAAAGGACAGGGTGACATGAGACAAAACAGAAATAAATAAAAAAATAAAATACACATATACTCTGCACATCACATTAGCGTCAGCGCCCCAACATCCAAGAAAGTCCAATAGGGGTCTCCAAATCTTTTCAAATTCACTTGCTTTCCCTCTGATGATATATGTTAATCTCTCTAGTACATCACAGGTAGCCATCTCTTTCACCCAAACATTTATCGAAGGTACATCCATTTTCTTCCAAGATAAGGCGATTATTCTCCTGGCCTGCAGGAGTCCAAAGTTAATTAAAGTAATCTGCCTTGAGTTAACAATAAAATCATTTGGATATACACCTAGTATACACAATTTTGCTTAGAGCACTTGGGTTATGATACTTATTGCAATGTTTTCCTATATTCTACAGCCCTCATTCAAAAAAAAAGTTGTGAGGCTATGTAAAATTTGAATTCAAACTTATTTTAATGCTTTTTAGAACATTCAATTAAGTTCACAGTTCATCTCTACCTCCACAAATGCAGGTTAAAGCTCAACCCTGCTAAGAGGAGACCACATCTAAGCGTGATCCAGAAATGCTGATTACTCTGTGCTCTCTGTCAGTCTGCATCACACTAGTATAACTTGTTCATCCCGGCGGGACAATTGAAAAAAGTATCAAAAACTTCTCTAATTGGTGGAAAACCCTGTGTCATAGTTGTCACATTTTACCAACATGTTCAATGTCTTTATGTGTAGGACCGTTTGGAACACCTCAGGCAGCAGTGTGGTCCTCATGTCACCGCCGTTGCCAAAGACTCTGTGGAGGGAATCTGCTCAAAGATTTACCAGCTCTCGGCAGAGTACAGCCGCCGCCTCAGGCAGACACACCTGAGTCTGCTGCAGGACCCCCCAACAGGTTGATACACCTGATCCTTCTCCAGACCCTCTTGGGCTTTCATCTGTCTGTTGCATATTGCAAACGTGTGTTTTTGTGTGTGTGTGGTTTCAGAGGCAAGTGCGTCCCCCCAGCAGTCCAGGTTGGTCTACTGTTACCCTGTGCGTCTGGCGATCCCCTCGCCGCCCCTGCCTCGAGTCGAGCTGCACTTTGAGAACGACGTGGCCTGTCTGCGTTTCAGAGGGGAGATGGTCAAAGTCAACAGAGGTCACTTCAGCAAACTGGTCAGTATTGGAGACGGGGAGGGCCAGGGGTGGAAGGGAAAACGGGTTCACTCTAGTATTTGTCTGTCATTTTTAGAGTATCAAATTATCTTGATAACAAAGTTGATGCAGAAAAAACAGTTCCTGGTGCACATTTGTAAAATATAAAAATGCAAGACTGGTCAGGTTTGTCCACAAAAGCAGAGGGACAGCAGATTTAAACTTTTTTAAGATGATCTAGCCTGTCTCTGTTTGTGTCTCACTGTCTCGCTCTATGTCTTTGCATGTGTGCAGGAGCTGCTCTACAGATACAGCTGCATAGACGATCCTCGCTTTGAGAAGTTCCTGTCCAGAGTCTGGTGCCTCCTCAAGAGATACCAGGTTAGCTTTCTCTTTGTGAACCAGTCAGTGCTCACCTGACCTCACCTAGTAATCTGTGTCCAGTGATGACTGAATGGACGACTGTCTGTGTGTGTCCAGGTGATGTTCGGCAGCGGTGCTAACGAGGGGACGGGTCTGCAGGGGGCGCTGCCTGTGCCTGTGTTCGAAGCGTTGAACCGACAGTTTGGAGTTTCCTTTGAGTGCTTCGCCTCGCCTCTCAACTGCTACTTCAAACAGTTTAGCTCCGCCTTCCCCGACATTGACTGCTTCTTTGGATCCAGAGGGTGAGAGTGATGTTAAACACGTCCATAACTCTCAGGCAGCACCATACAACTGTGGAGTATTAAATTGAAATTAATAACTCAGTGTGCACTGCAATGATAGGGTCATTTTAAAACAGATAACTCAGCATAGAGTATCACACTGGAGGAATTCAATTATACCTTTGCTTGAGTAGTATTATTACAGAAGAATACCTTGACATGATTATCAACACAGTGTGCAGAGTTAGTGTTGTTGAAATTGTTCATTTTATGCCAGTTTTTTTTTTTTTCATCACAGAGTGCAGTATTAGTGTATTACTAAAACAGATTTTTTGTTTTCAGGCCGTTCCTGTCTTTCTCTCCGGTCAGCGGTTCATTTGAAGCCAACCCTCCTTTCTGTGAAGAGCTAATGGACGCCATGGTGACGCACTTTGAGGTCAGTCCAGTGCATTGTGTTTCTACTCAATCTTTACAAGATTGTTCCTTGTTTTAACCAGTCTACGCCAATATGTAGTATCTAGTGACTGCCAACCCTCATCACCGAACAATTCAGACTCTTGAAGTGCTTGAAACAGCGACATGGAGAGCCAAGTGGGCACTGAAAGCTGGCCTAAGATGTTTCCTTTAAAGTCATGAACAATGGGCCCTTTATTGACGACAAAACTATGAAATATGCAACTTTATGTTTTAGCTGCTTCCCCACTGATAAGAACTTTGACACAGCATGTGGTTGTTACTTTTTGCACAGCTTTGGAGTCTTGAAACAACCTGGAAGTTACATGTTTGAGGCTTGCTGTCAGTATCTACTTGGAGCTCCATTGAGCTACTTTGGCATATATTGGCTATTATTCTTGTAATGTTTTTTCCAGCTTATGTCTCTAAGCTTGGTGAAGGTCATTGTTGATACACAGCTCCAGGTGTCAGAAACAGATGAAACTCAAATCCAGCTCTTATTGTCCTTTGTTAACTAAGGAGTTATCATTGAGGTGGAGATCACAATCAGCTAGCATGTTGTCACAAAAACATAAAAACTTCACACACTAAGTTTACTCTTCATAATAAAAGAATTGATTTATTGCATTGATCCGACTGACTTAAAAAAAAAAGTGAATTAGTCGTACTAAAATCCCACTAAATCAAACTTGACCAAAAGTGAAAAAACCACAAGGCTGCCCAATAGTAAAACAAAACTAAACAAAAAAAAGTGTAGCAGAAAATAGTGGACGTGTTTTCATCGTATAATGTCTATGTAGTGTCTCGTTCATGCATTTTGTCAGAGAAAATAGTTGTGACTTTTAGTGAAATGAAAGTTTTAAAACACAAACTTGTGGCTCAGGGAACCTAAAAAACACAGCCTGTGATTACACCCGCATCTGTGTATTTCATGTTATGGATCTTTGCCACAGTTTACTATGGACATCCAAACCTGGAACATTGTATATGTGTATTAAAGTGTGAAGAGGCATAATATGCCTGAGTGTAACCCCAGAACTTAAAAAAACCATTGTGAAAAGGTTTTTAAGAGAATCCCTGTCATAACCAGGTCTGAAATGTACCAACATTGACATCATTGGCAAAATGGAAAGAGTCAAAAGTCAGGCTGTGTCAGGTCTGTACTTGTATTTTGAACTCCCACTGAACCTCATAAACAAAGACAATAACTCTCTGGGATGTGGACTCCTCTGCACAGATCTGCACTATATGAAGATATCGCCATAATCATCTGTCTGTGTTTCTCAGGAGCTTTTAGAGAAGTCCTCAGAGCCACTGTCCTTCATCGTCTTCGTCCCTGAGTGGCGTGACCCCCCAACCCCAGCCCTGACCCGCATGGAAGGAAGCAAATTCCTTCGACACCAAATGAGCGTCCCAGCATACGAACATGAGTATCGCTCTGGGAGCCAACACATCTGCAAGAGGTACTGACACTGAGAGGTCTCCTATGATTGACACATGGAGTGACAAAACAGTCCTACATCATCACCCTGTCTGTCTGTGTTTGTGTCTGTCTTTCTGTCTGTCTGTGTTTCAGAGAGGAGATGTACTACAGGGCCGTTCATGGTACTGCAGTACTCTTCCTGCAGAATGACGCCGGCTTTGCAAAGTGGGGTCCAACTCCGGAGCGTTTGGCAGAGCTGATGGCCGCATATCGCCCCTCACCGTCCCGCCCATCCTCCATGTCCTCTCCTGGTCCAGCCCATACTACCCCTGGAGACAGAGACTCCACCCCCAAGGCCTCTGACAGGACACCAAGTGGAGTGATCTCACCTGGTGTCCATGACAACAATAACAACAACAATGGCAACAATAACACCAACAGCAGTAGCAGCAGCAGCAGCAGCAGCAGTAGCAACAGTCCTCTAGAGAAGATGGCTGCTGTGTAGTGGGGCGGGGCTTAAACTGAAACCACACCCCTTAACCTGTCAGAACATTGTGTGTCTCTGTTTTACAGCATTAGTTTGTTCTGATTGTCGTCTTGTCTGTCCAAAATGTCCCTCACCAGCACCTGTAGCACACCCCAGCTTCTGTCTGCATACATACCTACAGCACCGTTCTGCCATCAAGAGGTCCTCTAAAAACCCGATTTCATCATTTGTGTGGTCTGCTATTCCCGTTGACCCTATGTCCACCCTCACATCAGCTCTTCTGATGGGTTAATGCTCTGGCATCACAGCAACTGGAGCTTGGGTTTCACCTGCAGCTGATCCAACTCCAGGTGTGGCTCCTGTTGCTTAGCAACAAGCAAGACGGTCGGAAACTTAATGAAGCAAATCAGCAAGCAACAAAAAGTTGGCGCTCCAGCAATAAAAACCTCTCAATTCACCTGTGATGTCATCTGTGACATCACTAGTCCTCTGGGTCACTGGAGGGCTTCTGATTGGTCCCCATACCGACAGGGCCTGGTGATTGGTTGATATGGCAGCTATTGTTTCTATTGGACTCGTTGTTCTTTGTTGCGCTGGACAGAAGTTAATGGCATCCCTCCGAAGGCCTGCCTCCTTAGGATACTGCGGTCAATCAGTGAGGATCAACCTCATCAGTATGTGATGGATTGTGGGAAACTGAAGCTTTGGCCAGCAGCAGCAGCAGGAGGAGGAGGAGCCTTTACAGTAAATTCAGATAGACTGAAAAAAGAAGGCAAAGTCAAACCTGGGGCTCAGACTGGTCAGCGGGGACAGATGCCTCAGATGTCCATTTAGACTCTGTTGTGTGATCATGAGACAGGATTCTGAGGGATACTACATTGTTTTTAAGACAAGTATGTGGCAGCAGGTAGAGCTATTGGATCCTTTATGAATGGCAGAGGTGTGAAGTGTGACACATCTTCAGAGAGTGAGATTGTTTCTGTGGGCCCTTGTGTTTATTCTTTTTGCCAATCTCTTTAAATGTGTGAAACTGACAAAATAGAGCCACACCTGCTAATATTAACAACAGGTCTGCTAAAAACTCAGATGGTCTCTAGTTTTAGCTGAAAATGAATCAGACTTAAATAATACCCATGTTTAAAGATGAGAGAAGACCACGAGAGACCAGTCTGATTAATTCTTTATGGTTATTTTATATACCACTAATACCTGTTGCAGGCTGGGTGTCAGAGGAGGCATTTGGTAGCATGTTGCAGAAACAACCATTTTGATCCTTTTCTCCACAAAGATCAAATACATATCAGAAAAAATTAACAGGTAGTAAATTAATGTCAGAAAACAATATACAGTGGAAACTTTCCACTGTGGGAATGGGTGTGAAATTCAGCACAACCTTGAGGTTTCTCACTGAAGATTTATCTCATGCTACTTTTATGCATAATGAATGATAATAGTTAGTTAAAAAAATTTAATTGTGACATTAAAGTCAAAATTCTGATTTATTTTTCTCCACATCTTGAGTTTTTGGTCAAATTCTTTTTTTTTCTTAGTACTGTGTTTAAATTCCAAATCTTTTTGATTCAAAATTGGATTTTGAGATTAAATTCGGAATTCAGAGATTAAAGTCAGGTTTTGACTTTTTGACTATAAATTATCTCAGAAGTCTTTTTTTGTGTTCATTCAGTCTAAGTAATATTCTTCAATCATATTCGTACACTTCTCTTATAATGTGATTTTCTGCAGTAACCAACTTAAAATGAGATTAAAAATGGAAAAGCTGCTGGAGAAGCTAGCATCTTGACACACTTCTTAACTTGACTCCAGCTGCTAATCTGCTGCTCTCTGATTGGTTGATAAGTCATCCAATCAGGCATCTGTCTCCGCCTGACACCAGTTTCCGCCCCAGCATGTAGATACTGTACAGTTTAACTGATATGAAGTCTGTTGATGTTATTTTCCTCATCTGCTGTTAAATTGATTGAAAAACAAATGAAATTGTTTTTTTTTATTTGATTTAATTTAACAATTTTTTTTTAAAGATTGAGATCTGTTCTCTGTATTATACAGCTTATGATAGTTTGTTTTAAACTAAACCAAAGTGTTATTAAGAAAATCTATATCTTGTATGTAAAAGTAGAAGTGTGTATGCATCAGTAATGCTGAAGTCTAACCAGCAGAATACTCCTCCATGATATTTTTATAATTTTCAGCTGATTCTGTATGTGACCTTTCTTTTTTTATGTTTCTCTTTTTGTTATTTGGGATTTCTTTTGCATGAAACCTTTTGGACTCTTGATGATGTTCTTGTTCCCTTCTCTTGATGTTCTTGTTTTTAAAGCCAAGACTCCGGGCTGAGCAGTGTCACTTTGTCTCATGAACGTATACCAATCTTTTAAAAACTGTTGAGTTGTGGTCAAACATTTTCCCCCTGATCTCGGCCTTAGTGCTAAGCCATGCAAACGTAAGGTAGTTTTTCTCAAATATTTATACTGTCCAAAAGTTTTACTTTCTGTAAACCACTTAAAGTTGACCAAAGAAAACCAAATCATAGACATCTATTAGAATTATGGGATTCCTATCTAACTAAAGCTTAAGTACTTATAAATAGTTGGTATGATCAATACATCCATGCCTTTGCAATTTTGCCTTAAAGTAAGGGCTTATATTGACATTACAGTGTAGTTTTTTTGACACTTGTGTGTGAGGAACTGCTTTACAGTCATCCAGCCCTATCCAGTCTTTAGCTGGTCATGAAACAGGGAATCAAAACTGATTCTTCTGTAAGATTTTAAAAAAGCAAACAAGACCATCAGTTAGACTGATGCTGCTCTATTGTTAATATTCAATCGTGGTTTGGGGAAAATGTCAGACTGCAGGATTAACAGCTCGCTGTAGAAACAACAGTATCTGAGGGGCATGGGTGAGTCAACCCTTGTTTGTCTGCTCCAGAATAACTCATCAAGGAAGCAAATAACTAATATTCTCATTGATTAAATCTTAAAATGTGAGCATTGTGTTGGGTTCAAGTTGTTGAGCAGTCAGTGACCTCCACCTGGGCTGCAGCTCTGGTAAACAGCTGTCCTAACACTGCGATGCTCTACTACCAGGATGTAAATAAGCACAGATGACACATTGTTTCTTGTAGTGTGGTGTGGTTTGGTAGTATTTTGATCAAGAAAATGGATTTTAAGATGTAAGTAGGCTGTATCTGGTGAAACTGGCATATAGTCAGTCACGACCAGTGCAAAGAGAGTGTTGATCTGAAAGGGGAACTGAAGGCTGATGGTGCTTGCTCTGCTAATGTCGGCCACATTTGGCGAAGTTTAACATTTCCAACTACATGGTTCTACTTCTTGACATCCACAGTGTTTTTTACATACTTTCTCTGACAAAGATTCTCAAAGTGTTGAATTCAGTTAAAAGAAATTAGATGTCATTGTTAAGAAAAGGTGAGCAGATGAATTTTTCTTTGGGAAGTCACTAATCAAAAGTTAAGACAAAGTTATCTCTAGTTTTAATTGATGTAATACTGGAACTTTTTTTTTTTAAGGATGTTTTCACCTCGTTCTAAAATACTTTTCTGTAATAACAGGATACAGATGTAAACCTTTAAAGGAAAGTTCTTATAATTGTGAGATATGAAATACCTAAAGGTTCACTCTTTAAAAAGTGGATGCAGACATGGACAAGGTCAAATATCCTTTTTTATATATCAATGTTACTATCTATAAGCCTTACAGGAATGGTAACTTCTCATAACTCAAACTGATGTAACAACACCTCCAATCTTTTGTTGTTGCTCAATTTGATGTAAACTTGTTTCTCTATTTTTGTTCAAACTTGTGACTTTTCTGGTGTCCCTCAGATTTAAAGTCATACAATCAGAAAAAAATATGTTTTTGTTGTAAAACTTTGTACATATGAGAAGGGGTTTTGGAAAGAAAATGTGGCGACACTGCTCAGCAGCGAAGGTGGCCATGTTTGTGTTAAGGTCCTCACAGCTGGAGAATGTAAATACAGTCTGTCCGTCATCCTGCCTGCAGACAAACTGCAGCTTCACTCTCCCAGTAAAAATATATCCAACCCACACAAACTGCAGTCCTACTTTTTATTTATCGTCTTCAGTAATTTTCATTTGTCAACCAACAAAACTCTAGTTTGACATAAGTTCACAAACACAAAACACAATAAGAAAACTAACTTATCTGTGAAAGATCATTGGTTTTATTCAATGCCGATTTTATTTTGATTAGTCGACATTACAGGTCAAGTAACTGGTAAGAAGATTTCACGGGTTATAAAAGCTGTATTCAACTTTTCTGATGTCAGTCTGTGCAAAGGGTTGATTTAAATTCAAACTTTGATCAAAATATAATCAATGTCATGTTTAAAGTTTAAAATTTCTTTGAAAGTAAGAAACTGAACATTTAGTCTGTACCCCATTTCCCGAACGTCCCGAAGCTTTGGCTCAAAATACAAAGAAATGTCTACAGTTTCATAACTCAAAGATAACTTCCAAAATATTCGATGTTGCTGGTCTTTCAAATAGTTCAACCTCATGAAGACGGCTTTCTTATCATTTTTGTCTTTTTAATTACTAAGTTCCGGTCATTAAAGAGGTTTTCAAGAATAAAAAATGAAAAAAAAAAGACAGCAAGTATGTCTTTAAAAGGTTCCTTTTAATTTAATTCAGCAGGACAACATCTTAAGGGCATCTTTTCAGGTTATATTTCTAGCAGGAGGTCATTTAGAGCACATAGTTTTACCATGTCAATAATGGAAGTCATCTAGAAACTATTTCTCCACATTTCAGTCACAAAGAGTCATCCTGATGATTATTTTTTCAAACATGAATCGTCAGAAGCTTTTCCAGAAAACATTTGTTTATGTTTTCTCTAACTATAGGACCTTCAGAAGGCAGTTTTTCACGTTTTTTTTTTAAACCAGGACAGCCAGTTTGCACTTTTTCTATGTGAGGGTACCATGATGGGCATAATTTTACGTTTGTACACCAGTAGGTCACTCCTTTTCACATTTTAATCCCTGACAGGACATTCAGAAGGCTTATGTCATATTTTATTTATTAGCAGGCGATTCAGAGTGTTTTCTATTTTTTTTATTTTGATCAACAGAGGAACAGACAGAGGGCACTAGGTCATTTTTTATCCACTTATGGGCACTTTCAAGAGGCTTTTTTTTTTCACATTTTCATCTTCTACAAGAGCATTCAAGAAAACTTTCATGCAGCTATTTTTTTTTACCAGCACAAAAGTCCCCTTAGTCCTCTCTGACTGTATGACTCTGACCTAGATTACAGCAATTATAATTCTATTCTATTCCATGTTTATATTTTCCGCAAACACTGATACTACTATTACTAATTATAATAATGATAACTTTGTTTGTATAGCATTTTTAAAAACAAGGGTTTACAAAGTGCTTTGGCATTCAGAAAAACAAAGCAGCAAAACTGAAACAAAAACTAGAGAACACTTAAGAGGAGAGAACGTTAACAGGAACCAAAACCCAGAGACCAAGGGTACTGAAGCTTTAAAAGGCATTAAAAGAGAAGGAATAAGAACTAAAAACATGAAAAGGGGTAAAATTCTAAATAAAATTAAATGTAAGAAGATGACATCACATAAAAGCAAGTCCATAAAAATGGGTTTCAAGAAATGATTTAAAAGCAGTAACTGTTTCAGCATGTCTCATCTCCTCAGGTAGGTCATTCCAAAGTTGAGAAGCCCTGATGGAAAGGCCCAGTCACCTTTAGTTACAAGCCTTGACTCTGTTAAACCAGTAGGCCACCACCCAAGGGTCTTAGGGTGTGGGCTGGCTCATAGGGAGTTTCATAGATTGGAACCAGACCCTTTAGTCATTTAGTGCTTTTATAGTAATGAGTAAAAACTTTAAATAAATTTATTCTAAAACTATCAGAAAGCCACAGTAAAGATACTAAAATCAGGGTGATGTGATGTGATGTGATGTGATGTCGTCTATTAAAACCAATTAGTCTAGCTGCTGCATTCTGAACCAGTTGGAGGCGGGAAAGGGATTTCATAGTAATACCTGAAAGAAGTGAGTTACAGTAATGAAGGCAGGAGAAAATGAGGGCATGGATGATTTTTTCCATGTCTAACTGAGAGAGGAAGGATTTGAATTTGGAAATACCGCATGAGAGGAGAAGCATGACTGTGAGATTTTATTGATTTGAACTGCAGAGGTGAGGTTAGAATCAAACTGAACCCCCAGATTTATGGCTGATGATTTGATATTTGATGAAAATGAACCAAGGCTGTTATTGATTATGTTTGAGGAATTTTGTCAGTTGAGCATGATTATTTCAGATTTGCAGTTGTTTAGTTGTAGTGAATTCTGTGCCATCCAACAGATTACATAATATAAATAGTCTGTAACGGCAGCTAGGCTTCTCAGGTCTCAGGTCTCAGGAGCAGGTATATGTGTGTGTCGTCTGTGTATCAGTAAAAGGAGACCTTATGAGTCTGAATTATTTGACCAAGGGGCATAATGATGCGTCTTTCCTTGTTGTGCACTCATGGCCTAAGTGTGATGTTTTAGCTTGCCTCCTCAAGTGTCAATAACTTGTTCCATTAAGTTAAGCACAATAATATTTATGGAGGCAAAAAGCATCATACGGATATGCCAATCCGTTTAAATCTTTTTACTCAATAGCATAGTAAACCCAAAGGCCTTTTGTGCACCACGCCTGTCACAATTAGAGGGCATCTTCAATTTCCTTTTAGCACCCCCTGCAGAACCCTCAGACGAATCCTGAGAATGGCTCCACCAGGGCACCATATAAATAGAAAATAAAATAGGACCTAAAACCGAACCTTGTGGTACACCACGGGTAAAAGTAGAGGTGGAGGAGGGGTGGTTACCTATGGTGAATGCAGAGGCCCGCTCTGAAAGATAAGAATATAACCAGCTAAGTTTGGTGTCCCTGTTGCCCCATCAGTCTTTAAGACATTCAATTAAAATAGCATGATCAACAGTATCAAATGCTGCACTGAAATCAAAAAGAACTAAAATGGCTCCCTCCTCTCTATTTGCTGCCAAAACCAAATCATTGGTCACTTTAAAGCGGGCTGACTCAGTGCTGTGACCTGCTCTAAAACCTGACTGGAATTTCTCAAGGAGATTATTATGAGACACAAAAGATAAAAGCTGTGTCAAAATCACCTATTTTAAAATCTTGCATATAAAAGAAAGCTTTGATATTGGTCTAAAATGGTTAAAATCAGAGGGGTCAAGGTTAGGATTCTTTAAAAGAGCTTGGACCACAGTGTGTTTTGTAACAGAGGGAACTACGCCTTCTACCAAAGAACTGTTGATTATTGATAAAATTAACTATAATTTGAAACATCCCTACTTGTGTTTAAAATAAGGGGTGGGAGTGATGTTGCCTCTGATATCCTTGATGTTTTTTTTTTTTGTTTTTTTTTGTTTTTTGTTGTTGATAAAATAAACCAAAAACTTCTTACATAAATCTTGAGAAGCATCAATAAAATGGGAAGGGGTGGGGGTGATGGACTCTAAAACCTTAAATAAAACTTGGGGGTTAGAATGATAAACTAATACTACTACTACTACCACAACTCATAATAATAATAATAATAATAATAACAATAATAATAATAATAATAATTATTATTATTATTATTATTATTATTATTATTATTATTATTATTATTATTATTATTATTATTATTATTATTATTATTATTATATTTATTTATTCATTTATGTGTTTGTTTGTATGTACAGTAAAAACATTATTATTTTGTAGTAGCTCTTTTATTCTGAAATGTTCGTACGGAAGTGTAGATCGTGATGCTTGTAACGGAGGAAACCTTAGCGTAACTTCCAGGAAATCAGTATCATCACCATCATCACTCCGATCAAAACAGAGTTATCGGTGAATAGTTTATCGGACTCGCAGATCCTGAATGTGGTGAATCCTTAACAAACAAACACCCAGAGAGACTAACCGGAAACGCTGCTTTGTACCATCCTCCAGTCTACACTGTTAGCTTTAGCTGCCTTTAGCTTAGCTAAGCTTACCCCAGCGTGAGTGGTTCTGTTGGACCTGGAAAGCTTTGGATCGGCACCGTTTTTAGTATGGGAGCTCATCGCACTGAGGGTCAGGACTGGATCGTGCAGGACGGTCCGGAGCACCCGGAGCAGAACCCAGTAAGGACTACAGCTAAGAGAGGCTAGCATGCTAGCCTGGTCTGAACTCTGTGTTTATATGCTGTCAGTGTCAAGAGGTCTGTTTGGTTTAAAATATCGACGAAAATGACTCAGGGGTCGTGTATCGTGATATAATTATTGTCGTAGGTTCCGTACCGGGTCCCATCTTATTGTATTGTGTTTTGTATGTCAAAATGCAGCTTAGACATCGATACTAGAAGTTAGAACGCTGAGTAAAATGTTGATTTAAACTGGAAAATTATAATTTCAGTTAGAATTGGTGTAATGTATACGAATGAGTAAAATAAACTATATATCCCTACCTTAAGTTTGACATTGGGAGAGGGGCGTGTTGAAATGTTGAATGGACTGTGTTTATGCTGAGCACTCTCAGGTCATCTGAAGACTCAAAGCTCTTACATCACACATTCATCCATTCACACCACATCCACACACTGATCTAGACTGCTTTTTGCAACAGGGGGTGAACCATTGAGAACCAAGGATACCAGTTTCTGGATTTCTGAAAGTGGGCTGTTGTCCAATTCTTGCCTTTGCTTTTGATTCCTCAAACCACAGGACAGTTTTCCTCTTCCCCTCAGCCCATCTTAAATAGGTTCAGGTCCAGAGAAGTCTATGCTGTTTCTGGATCATGTTTATATCTGTTTTCCTCTTTGCATGGCTCAGTCTTAACCTACATTTGTGAATGCACTGATGACTGTTTTCACAGAAAGTGATTTAGAGCCTGTGCAGTGATTTCTGAGTCCTGTCTATTTGAAATGCCACCTGAAGGCCTGAAGATCAGGACCATCGAGTAACGATTTTGGTTCTCGCCCCTTTTGTACAGAGATTTCTCTGAACCTTTTAATGATATTATGTTCTGTGATGAAATCCACTCATTCTTTGATACTCAGGAACATTATTCTGATATTGTTGAACTATTAGCTCACACAGTCTCTCACAGAGTGGTGAACCTCTTCCCAGCTTACCTTCTGAGAGACTCAGCCTCTCTGAATGTCCTTTTTATATCTGGCCATGTTATTAACCTTTAGTTGTTCCTCTAGTGTTTTTTTGGCATGAAACAACTTTTGAGCAGTTTGTTTTCTCCATCAACAACTTTAAAGAAAGCTGTTGCTAGCATTGACCCAAAACACTCATATTTCTCTAATAATTATGACCTTTTTCATGTAGTATTAGCACTATTTTTAATTCAATATAAGCTCAATGATTGGCAAACAATCAAAATTTGATTTAACTGTATTTTAATCAGTGTCCAAACTTGATCAGAATTGGGGTTGTGTATATGCTTTAAAAATTACCGAACCATCATGTTTTGATTGAATAGAAAAGTCAAAGTTCATCTTCACCTGCTGAGACATTTAAAGGAAATAAAGAGTCAAACAGGTGTTTTATGTTTACAGGCATGTTCAACTTCTCTCTGAATCAGGACTAATACATTACTTTTTTATTGATGAAATGTGTGTGTGTGTGTGTGTGTGTGTGTGTGTGTGTGTGTGTGTGTGTGTGTGTAGAATCCATGGAACCTGATGATCAAGCACAGACAGATCCACAGGCGAGGACGGCGTTCACACATGACAGTCAGGTCAGTACTGGTGTATACTGGGGTGAACTGGTGCTGCTTCAGTCAGCAGGACTGTGCTGGTGTCTCCCACTCTGAAGGTGAAGTTCAGAGCCATTCAGGTGTTGGGGGATTTCTTTTTTAATTGAATCTTTATTTAACCAGGTGATGACACATTCAGTTCCAGTTCCCTTGTGTGTGAGGTCTAATCACGATTGTGTATGTGTGTAGCTACACTGATCCTCAGGTGTCCATGGACTTGCTCAGGGCGGTGCTTCAGCCCAGCTTCAATGATGACATCATGGCTGTGTTCAGGAAGTACCAGAAGGTCAGATTTTACAAAAGTGCTTAGAGGCTAATACGGATGAGGAGAAGATTAAGGTTTTTGTGAGTTTTGTTGATGTTTGTTGTTGTGTTTGTTTTAGTTCTTTGACAAAGCTGCAGAGAATGTGAAGGAGAACGTCGGTGATGACATCCAGACTGATCAGCTGATCAAAGAGGCCTGCAGGAATGTCCTTGAACATGTAAGATCACTTGGCATCAAATTGTATGATTGGCTTAAGTTTCCAAGTCTAATGTTCTTGTCCTCAGTGAGATCATGTTTTTACTGCGATGTCATCACCAGGCCAAACAGCTGTTCCCAGAGGCGGAGGTAAAAAGGGCGGGGCCAGAGGTCACAATCAAGGTAAGAATGGACCAATGAGATCACTGTGAACCTATTTTAATCTGGTTCAGCTCTGACCTGATTCTTCATGTCCTGTCAGAGGTCCAGACCAGCTGATGAAGACTACAGTCAGAGAGGAAGCCCCCTCCTGAAGAAGGTACTGCCACCTGTGACCATCTCAGGTGTTTTATTGACAGTCAGGTGACCAATATCAGCTGACATCAACTTTACAAAACATAGAGGATCATTGAGTTGATTGACAGCCTCTAAGGTGCCTGAATTATTGACTGCACAGAATAAAACAAAACCAAATCAAACCCGACAGGTGTGACAGACTGTGGAGGCAGACCTGTTAGAGTGTGTAAAGGATAAAAACAGATGGGGAAGATATTTGTTAACATTCAAGGGATAAATACAAGAGTGACAGGAACCACAGGTTTGACAGGATCCAGATCCAGATAGGTGTGACAGAAATCAGCCACCACTGGATAACATGTGCGACAGGTGTGAAGTATTGAAACATTATCGTATGTGACTTGTGTGTCTCTTTAGAGAAGGGCCCGTCCAGGTGTCTCTGCTGCCCATGACAGACCTCACAGCTTCTCCACACAGTGAGTATCTGAGACGTGACAGGTGACATCATTATCAGTATTCAGGTAGATCCCAACACCAACCCGTGACTGTGTCTGTCCTCAGGGCGAAGCCTAAATCTGAGCCAATCAAGAGGGAGGGACCAAAGGTGAGTTTGAGAAAGGGGCAGTTCACCCAAACTCTCCCCTCAGGTGTCACCATCAGTCAGGTGGCTCCTGAATGTCCCTGACATTATTTCTGGATAAATAATACAGGTGTATATTTATTCACATTATCTTTTGAGGATTTAAATTTCGAACAGCAAACTCACACAATGTGTAAACTGCTGACTCAGCAATGTTGGCATCCTAACCAGTGCTTCTAATTCAAAAATAGTGTGCTGACTTCAAGCTAGTTTGAGGCACCAACCTATTTGCTTTTATATTCAAACTAATTTATCTCTATTTATTTGTTGTTTCAAGTGAACCACTTGCTCACAAAGTTCTTTTCCATCTTGGTGACTCATTTTGGTTGAAAAATAATTAAGAGACCTGTTTGTTTACTTCAGTGGGATCCATCCAGACTGAATGAGAACAGCACGTTTGTCCTTGGCTCCCGAGCAAACAAGTGAGTAGATATGATGTTAGTCTTTGTATCCAATCTCTAACCAGTATGGCTTTGACGTTTCTGTTTCTGGGCAGAGAGGTAAAGCTTGCAGGTATTTCTGCAGGCATTCGCCATTTTTGGAAGTTGATTTTTGCTCTTTTTGTTCCTTTGATTAGCGAACAGGACAGTGAATAAAGTATAGAGAAAAAAAATGGTAGGGAGAGTTGTAACTGACATGGGTCAAGGGGGAACAGGTTGGAATCAAACTGAGCCCATGACAGTTCACAGGAAAAATGATAAAGGCTGAATTCAAGCTGCCAGGAAGCCATTCTCAAATCCGTCAGCAGCATAGACTATATATGAAAAATTAAAACCATAACAGTTCACTGACTGTGAAGCCATTGAAACAGGTCAAATTCAAACTATAAAATTAAAACTTTTATCAAATAAATGTTTCTATAACTTGGTGTTATTATAATTAGTTGATGTCATGCTGTTTATGCCCAAGTGTTCATTTATCTGAGGAGTTTACTCTAATTTGATTACAAAATGCTAGAAAAAGATGATCGATTGACAGCCCTGTTGACCAGTGAGGCTCCTGTAGTTCTCTGCGCACAAACACAAGTCATTGAACTTTCCATTACTGTTAGTGTCTACTTCAAACCCACACATGAACCTGTTCTGCTATGATCTACCTGAAGGAGTTTTGACAGAGTGAAGATAAGTTATATCTGTGACGTAGTGAAAAGATTGTGACATCTGTCCTCTGTACTAGCCAGATCACTTCTGCACATGCCTTTGCTGCTGCAGTGCAGTACATCAGCTGTGATGTTGGTGGTCTTTTGGCTTCATATCTACTAATGGGTGGAAATAAAAATACTATATATCCAACAATCAGCAGTTACCCAATGTTGACTTATCATTTATTAACCTCTATAAACTGGAGTTGTCTCTGTTCAAAAAATGTTAAACTTCAGTGTAAGTTGAGCAAAAATGAAGTATCAATGCACGTTTTGTTGCCACGGAAACAGTAAACTCGTAGGTGCCCACATCAGGGGCAGTTTGTAGAAACTATTTTTAACCTGAAAAACCATTACACTGGTCATTTCAAACACTGTGTGAGTCATCGAGTTGTGATGTCACTCTGCAGGGCGCTGGGGATGGGCGGGACCAGAGGACGCATCTACATCAAACACGCGGATCTGTTCAAGGTAAACACACAGACACAGCCACACACAATGAGTAGGCCTCTGAGCTTTATTCTGAACTCTAGCCCTAACCCTGTCTGTGTTTGTGTTTCAGTATGCAGCTGATGCCAAGGATAAGCAGTGGTTGGCAGAGAGACACCATATGAGGGCGACAGGAGGGAAGATGGTGAGGAAACACGCAGACACTAAACGCAATTTATTCTGATTTTAGACCAGCTACACACATCACAACTTATTTTCTGTGAGCACTCTGATCTCACAAAAAATATAAATATGAATACATTATTTATAAATGTACTTTATAAATAAATGTAACAAAACTGAATGACAATTGAAGTAAGAGTATCAAGCAGCTTGATGGTAACAAATAATCACAGAAACCTACACAGGAATCAGCCCACTGTTTGTTTGTACAACTGCATTTGAACATACTGGTGTAACTCAGGTGTTTGTGTCTTCAGGCCTACCTGCTGATCGAGGAGGACATCCAGGATTTGTCTCGCAGTGACGAATACAAGTAAGTCTGACATCATTCTCTGTTGCCATGGTAAACAACCTGAACAGTATTGTAATCTGTGGCTGCCATAGCAACAGCTGTGTGTGTGTGTGTGTGTGTGTGTGTGTGTGTGTGTGTGTGTGTGTGTGTGTGTGTGTGTGTGTGTGTGTGTGTGTGTGTGTGTGTGTGCCTGCAGGGACTGTCCTGATGTCAAGATGGATGAGATGAAGCCGTTCTCAGTTCCTCCCTGGATGGTGGAGAAGATGCAGAGAGCCATGGAGGCTCAGAGAGATGCTGACCTCTAACCCCTGTGACCCCAACACACACACATTGATGATATGATCTTTGACCCCACCCCACTGAAGGTGTCTAAACAAAGAACCTGCCATATTCTGTTAAAACTGGTGGGCCAATCAGAGTGCAGGAATTGATCATGTGACCGTCAGGCTCTGGTTGGCTGCCACTAATTTTGTATTTACTGCTTTTTAAAAAAATAATAAAATAAAAATCTTTATTTACATGTGGACTTGCCTGCCTTCAATCTTTCATCAAATTGGTCTGATCCAGATTTAAACATGGACCAGACAAATTTACCACCGCTTGAAACCAGATCAAAGCAATTGTATTAGACTAAGAGCAGTTAAAACTGGATCAAACCAGTTTGGTTAGACTCAAACCAGTGTAACCTAGATCCGGCCTGTTTATTTTAATTTGACTGAATCTACTCAGGCCAATAAGGGCCAAATCTTGGTCAGACCAGTTTAATCTTGATCAAACCACAATTATTCCAGATAAAACTGACCCAGCCAGTTTTATCTGGATTTATTTTAGTCAGTCCTCTTCTGAATCAGGTTAAATTATACGTTTCAGTTGAATTGATTAAAATCTTGATTTGACAAACTAAAACCCATTTAATCTCAGAAAGTGGAAACAAAATGAATCCAAATCAAGAGTCTTATCTAGTTCAGTAGATCATGCCGGTTTAATCTTGATCAAGATAAATTAAACTGAATAGATTATAAACTTAATTCACAAAAATGTAAGATTCTGACAATTTGTACAGTCAGTAATCTGGATCAATAAAAAAGTTTTCATGACCATGTAGAAACCAGTTTCATCTTGATATCTAATCCAAGTTCAAATTGAAATTACAATCAGGCTAGTTTAATTTGATTTGACTCACTCAAGTTGTCTATTTTATATCAAAATCAACTCCTAACAGTGAACAAGATGGATTATTCTACTTTAATTTGGATCAGGAGTAAATCAGTGTTTATTAATCTGATCAAATGAAATACAGTTTGTTTTTCCTACCTTAATCTGATCAGATTAAATCCATCCTGTTCAATGTGAACTGGACTACATGCAATGTTTAATTGGGATCACAACGGTTGGTTCTTTTCAAATTTAATCTGGATTACAGTGGATCAAATCAACATTATCTGGATCATATTAGCAATTCAATTTAGTCCTATTGTTTTCCATTTTTAAACTGGATGAAAATAGTTCATTCTAGATGTGAGTTGAATGCTGTAATTCAATTTCAAACGCAGATGTTTGCTCCAGATAATCATGTCACAGGATTCCCATCATGTCCTAAATGGCACACTTAACAAAGTGCAGGATGTGACGTCACACTTTTATTTAAAAAAATACATGGCAATTAACAAACAGAAACACAAGCTACAAACAGGATGTTACATTATAGTGTGTGGGGGGGTGGGGGGACTTCACTCAATGCCTTCCTGTTTGTCCTTGATGGCAACTCTGAAGCGCTCCTCCAGCAGAGACAACTCGCTGATGAGGTCAGTGATGGCATTCGTAAATGCTTCCTGTCAACAAATCGCATCATTAGGGACATGATATCATGAATGTTCAGGTGTGTTTGTGTGCTACATGTGAGCTGTAGTGAGGTGTATTTGTGTGTTACCTTTGGGCTGCATTTGGGTGTGTTTTTGTGCTACCTGTGGACTGTCAGCGAGGTGTGTTTGAGGATCACCAGTGGGCTATAGTCAGGTGTGTTTGCGTGTTACCTAGGGACTGTAGTCAGTTGTGTTTGTGTGTTACCTGTGAGCTGTAGTCCGGTGTGTTTGTGTGTTACCTGTGGGCTTTAGTCAGGTGTGTTTATATGTTACCTGTGAGCTGTAGTCAGGTGGGTTTGCGTGATACCTGTGAACTGTAGTCCGGTGTATTTGTGTGTTACCTGTGGGCTGTAGTCAGCTGTGTTTGAGTGTTACCCGTGAGCTGCAGTCAGGTGTGTTTATATGTTACCTGTGAGCTGTAGTCAGGTGTGTTGGTGTGTTACCTGTCGGCTGTAGTCAGCTGTGTTTGAGTGTTACCTGTGAGCTGTAGTCAAGTGTATTTGCATGATACCTGTGAGCTGTAGTCAAGTGTATTTGCATGATACCTGTGAGCTGTAGTCAGTTGTGTTTGTGTGTTATCTAAAGGACTGTTGTCAGGTGTGTTTGTGTGTTACCTGTGAACTGTAGTCTAGTTTGTTTGTGTGTTACCTGTGAGCTGTAATCAGGTTCATTGTGTGTTACCTGTGAGCTGTAGTCAGGTGTGTTTGTGTGTTACCTGAGGACTGTAGTCAGGTGTGGTCTGCACTCTGATGACGATCTTGTGTTCAAGAGGATGAGGAACCTTGTATCCTGCAAACAGCACCTGAGGATCCTTCAATAGCTGACTGACATACAAAACACAAACATACACATTAACACTGTACCAGAATGAAATAATAAAGGCTCAGTAAACCTTTGCAGGTGTTTATAGTTTATCACCCGAGTCAAGCACCTTTCAGGACTGAAAGATCTGACAACAAACTGTACTTTTCAACAATACTCTAATTCATTCCATACAGTGGATTTTTGATTTTCAATCAAATTTAAGCCATAATGATCAAGATTCAAGCAAATTAACAGCTTTCAAATATTTTACTTTGTGTGTGACTGAACTAGAGTATTTCTCAACCAAGAAAGATCTTTTTTTGTGTGACTTTTTCGGTACATTTTTAGTCCATGTGAAGAAACTCTGGACTGTATCTAGACTGCAGAAATCTCATTCACCAGAGACCCGTTTGTACTGGTTTACTGCAATATTGAAATGCACTACATTTTGCTCCTGTATAATAGCATGAAATCGTGTCGGGAGGGAAACTTAATCAACCTTTAAATTTAAAAAAGCGTCTCTTAAAAGCTACATGAGTAATGATGCATAGACCCTATAAGCCGACAGTATTTACTGTCTCCTCGTTAGCCTGTTAGCATTGTTAGCCTCTTACGCTCGGATGATGTTTCCCAGAGTGTGGTCCTCCTTGTTCAGGGTGAACAAACAGGCGTTTGGGACTTTAGTGTCTTTGGTGATGCTGATCTTTTTCTCTCCTTCAAACAAAAGAAACGACTCGAAGGCTGGAGGCGCGTTCATCTTTACTTGTCTGAGCACCACTGACCACGACCGATCAGCCCCGGAATCACTTCCTCCCAAACAGAAAAACGATTCTTCTTCTTCTGTAAGACGAAACAAACACTACCACCATCTACTGGACAAGGGGAAAGGGAGCAAAACTATTATAAAAGGACCAACCTCTGGTGTTGTTAGAGGGCTTATCGAAGAAAATAATGTTAGATTTTGTGAGTGCTGTCATAACAGAAAGAATTTGTTATATTTCAAAGAAACTGAAGTTACCTTACAAGAAGAAACGCACAAATTAAACCAAATTAGTGAGGGTCAGAAAGAAGCAGTCAGTTATGGATAATTCAGTGATTCTTGTATTAGTGTTTGTTACTCGTCCTCTCACCTTGCCTTTATCTACTGTGATAATCTAGTACCCAGAGCATTAAAGAACCCACACTATTTAACAGGGCTGTCAATCATGGTATTAGTCTCCTTTTATAGCATCAAATAGGCGATTAAAAGCAAAATTACCAAAAAATGAACATTTGGATATGAATCCATATAATGAGAACTCAATATAATGAGGAAACCATGCTTGAAAAAATAATTATTTATCATGTATCTTTATTTTACAATTTGACCCATGTCCCATGAATTACCATGGAGGGGCAGGCTTTATGACCTATATTGTCGTAAATATCTTCTGTTTTGGGTAAGGGTGTATATTTACAAATTTTGTTTTCAATTTTGATTATGTCAATTGGCGAAAAGTATGGAAAAAAATATATTTTGAAAACTGAGCACAGAATGTGTTGCTAATTCATCAGGAAAATACCTTATCGAACATTTTTTATTTTGGAAATAATTTGTATCAATGAAAGATTAAATGGTAACTAAGAGCATCAGCATTTATTTTATCTTTAAGATAAAAATTATAAAGTATACTACTGACAAGAGAGCTCAATTCTTTGAGGGTACAAAAAAGTGGGATAAAAATATATTCTATGTTATAAAAGTCCATTATATCACTGAATATATTCTTATCCAGCTAGTTCCAATAAAATAAAGATTTTCTTTTGGTGATCAATATCAGTTAAAGGTGTGCTCTGAGGTTTGAAGATGTTAATATGTATATATATATATATATATATATATATAGAGAGAGAGAGAGAGAGAGAGAGAGAGAGAGAGAGAGAGAGAGAGAGAGAGAGAGAGATCACAATGTACCGTGTTGAAAGCTGAATAAGCAGCGTTTACAGTAAATATCCCGATGCTCTCCCTGACCAATTATATTGTTGTTCCCTTCCATAGCTGACTTGTTATTGGTCAGAAGGAGCTGGTTTGTTTTTAAAAGTCGGATTCTGATTGGTTGATGAGGTGAGGAAGCGTCGGTTTAAACTTGGGGGCGGGAGTTATTGCAGTTTGAATCAGAAGAACAGCATCTCCGTCCGGGCCGACAGCATACCAACACACGGTGAGTCCCACAGGTACATGAATCACCTGTATATTTATTTGAATGTATATTTATGTTTCTTTTGTTGGACTGTTTCTCTTGTATGCTGAGTTTAGTGATAAATAGTCTCACGGCGTAGCTAATGTACAGACGCCTTGCTCGGTTACAGCTAACAGTGCAGCTACGTTAGCATGAAGCTAAAACTGAACAGCAGCTAAACCAGAGAGAAAAATGTTAACGAACATACTGGATACACAGCTGTTTAGAGACACAATATTAGACTCTCCAGCATATATCCAACCCGGTAAATCTGGCACAAAGAGAAACCAGCAGCTAATGTTAGCAGCTGCAGGCTAGCGGTGAGACGGACAGTCTGCTGAGCTCAGGGGGAAGAGTCTGAGGAGGGAATCCGCTCTCTGTGAGCTTTGTGCCGGTGTCTCTGTCCTGCTGTACCCCGGTCTGAATCTCACCTTGTTTACCTGTTATCAACAGGATCTCATGGCCTCCCAGAATATGGACCCTGCAGCGGCAGCAGCTTCCTCCACAGCCGCACTGAAGGGTAGTGAAAGCGGAAGCAGCGCGGCCAGAGGCTCGGTGACCAAACGGTGAGATCCATAGCACCGGTACAGGAACTGATGATACTGCTCCAAATAACTGGATCAGACCATTATTATCGTCATCAATAGTTTTTTTTCTATATTGTTGCTCTCTGTGTTTGTTAATATCTCCAAACAGCTGATACTGATTATCTGTAGACCAGCATGTCTTTCTGATCCCTTCCCCTTGTGTTTTTCTGCCTCTTCAATCAGTGTGATAAACCTTTCTGTTGTCATGACAACTGATCTAGCAGTAACCATCTCCCCAGCATAACAATGATTATCGCTGTATGTGATGATTGATATTTAGTAAGTGGGTTTTTACAGCAAATTAGAGCTTGGATAGGGTGAGCAGTTCAAAATGTTTTCTTTCCTCTCCATGATAGCCTGTCCTACTGAGTAGAGGTTTCACCAACTCATTGACTAGCAAACAAGTAGTCACTACAGGGGAATTGCTAACTAATCAAAAAGTCAAGGGAGCTGACCCTGGCTGTGACATGCAGCTAAAAGAGTGTTTTATGTTGACAAAATGTCATTTTCAATAGTCTGATATCGAAGTGGTATGGTCAAGGTTACAGGACACAGTTCTCATCATGCAGTAGTACTATTCATTCTGCTTCTGTCTTTCTTACATAAAGACTGGTCAACCATTATTTTATAAAACTTTTTCTTGTAAAGATGTAGAAATTTTTTTCTGTTCTCTCACAGCTATGCATGAAACTGTTGGTGGCAAGACTGAAAAATAGCCGATGGTACACCACTCAGTTGTCAGCAGCGTGCAGAAGTTTATAAATCATGCTTGTCTCTCAGTTACAGCCATAAACTGTATATACTATGGACAACTTGGTTCCACCTCCCGCCTGTATACCGATTTGAAGCCAAAAAGCTCTCAGTATTTCCAGGATTTTTCTTCATTTCCTGAAACCAGCATTGCGTAGTAGCGTTGTGCACATTCAGCGGGAGAGTCACCAAGAGTCGCTGTGATGAGGCTGTATCAGGTGTCAATCATAGAATTTCAAAAGTTTGTCCACAGCCCCATAAGCTTTGCTGGAGGTGGCGGGATTAATGACCTATACAGTAGCCCGTCAACAGAGGGTGCTGTTCTCAGGGTGGCTTCACCCAGCGAGAAGGCAGACACTGTCCATTCTATATACAGTCTATGGTTACAGCCATCTGCTTTTTCTGTGGTTAACTGAAGACATTTCAGACAACAAGCTGGGACCTGCTTTTCTTGTACACTTAAGCAGGATTTGCCTTGAGGAAGATGGGATCTCAGCAGAGCGAAAACTTTAGTGTCTGATCGTTATTGGCAGAATTGTTGACTAAAACAAGAATCGCATTTTACTGCGTCAAAAACATCGGAAAACATCAGTGACAGCAACATAACTCCTGCCAAGTGCTGTTAAAGGTTTTCCCAAAATGCAGAATGAGGATGTTGATGGGCCCAATGCTGTTTAAATTAATTACCTACCCTTGCTGATCACAAATTATCTGCCAAATTAAAGGGCTGGTTATCATCCCAGATAGATTCTCCCTTTCGTTTAACTACTGCAGCCTACCAATGTGATGTTTGCTTGGAAGCAGCACATGAATGCTTGAGGCAGTTAGCTTTGATACCCCTATTTAAACATAAATTTAGCAGATCAATGATGCCTCTTTCTTATCAATACACTTTTCGCTCAGAGTTGACAAGGTGTTCTTATCTGCATGACTGGTACCCTAGTTGCAATGTTAAGTGCATAAAGTAAAAGAATTTGACGGTTACAGAAACAGTAGATAACAGACATAGTACAATATGAAGAACATGCCAAGTATAATGTAAAGGAGGTGAGCTAGAGTTTGTCAAACATCTTTAAATGATGATCAAAATGCCTGACTTTATGTCTCTCACTGTGTCTGCAGGTTACAACAGGAGCTCATGACTCTGATGGTGAGTTTATATCTGTGTTTATGTGTGAGTTCACCTCATAATCTGGTTTCACTACTTTCATAGTGACGATTTACAGCACATACTCTTGACCTTGGGGCAGATACGTGTATTGATTATTATTATTTTTATCATTATTATTGGTCAAGCCAGTGTGTTGTGCTGGTCTAACCCTTTGAAGGGTTATATTTGAAGTGAGATTGTATGAGTTACCTATTGTAGCGAGTGTTTTAGCCACAATGCATTCCAGTCAGCACAGTCACTTTTTAAAGGGAAACTGCAGACAGTACTGGGGCATTAGATGTTATCATTTTCTGCAGACAGGGTGACTGACACATTATCTAGCAGATTTAGAGGGAATGTAACCCAATAATTTGTTTCAGTTAACGTGTACGCTCTATCCAAAGGTTTTTCAGCCCATTTCATGGCATCAGGAAGCTTAAATTCATATAAAGTGGGGACTTCATCATCATAGATCCCACCTTGGGCACAAGAGACCTTTTTTTGTGTGTTAGGTCTACAAATTGTGCCAAAACAAATTTTGTTGGCAACGTGCATACTTAAACTGAGATGAGTGTTGGGGTTAGATTTTCTCGAAATCGGCTTAATTACATGGCAGAGTCAGTCGTGTCTGCAGGACACTATAGCATACCTCGCCTTCTGTTTGTAACAGCAGTTTCTCATTCAAGAGGTCGAGCTGACCGACACCCGTTGTGGCCAAAAGACTTAGCAGAGACATGTTTCTCATCAAACTCACTTAAAAAGTGAGTATGAAATGTCCCCCTTTTTATATGGAGCAACCATCCTGGATTGATATTCCTTTGAGTTTTGGAGTGTCAAGTAGTAATCTTAGATTTTCTATCTTTTGAGATTAAATGGGACAAAAAAATAAAAATGTATAATTCTTTGGTGAAATGCACCCGTTGGAGTTGTAGTTGTCCTTCAGTTGATGGCTTTCCCTGACCTTTGCCTTTCTCTCCCTGGTGATGGTGCAGATGTCAGGCGATAAAGGGATCTCAGCGTTTCCAGAATCAGACAATCTCTTCAAGTGGGTGGGAACCATCGAAGGACCTCAGGGGACGGTAATTCATCAATCAATCAAACACTAAATAACACCCTTGACTACAGGGCTGCTGTGGGGGATTCACTGTCTGATCAGACAATCTCAGGGTCAAAAAAGCACATCAATAAGTTTATTAGACAGAAATCATAGTTTGTCTGTCTGTCTTTCAGGTGTATGACGGGCTCAGGTACAGGCTGTCTCTGGAGTTCCCAGCTGGTTATCCGTATCAGGCTCCCCGTGTAAAGTTTGTTACTTCCTGTTTTCATCCTAACGTGGATGAGAATGGGTTTATCTGTCTCGACATCCTGAAGGACAAATGGTCGGCGCTTTACGACGTTCGCTCGATCCTGCTGTCCATCCAGAGCCTGCTTGGAGGTAACCAGTTTAATCAGTTTCCCCACATTAATCATTTCAACTGGTTTAACCAGTACAGATACTATTAAATATACACTATAAATGTATGTGTGTGTCTGTGTGTGTATTTGGTCCCACCTGAATTCAGTAGGATTCTGGGCTGGTCTAGAGTAATCTGATCAGAAAAGAGCTAAAGGATTTAATTTAATATTATAATAAAGTTGTTCATGTACAGATTCTGATTCCAGGGGCTAAAATAATAAAATCTGGAAAAGGAAGCAAGAAAAGAGATTCTTGCCCCCTGTATTGTAAATCCTCTTCAAATCCTGCAAGAGTAATTGAAACACAGAAACTCAACTGATTACCTAAGCAAGAGTAAAAATGTAGTTCCTGTAATTTTCCCTTTGAATGCTCATGGTGTGTTTTTTGGTCTCCATCAGAACCAAACAATGAGAGTCCTCTGAACACAGCTGCTGCTGAACTCTGGGAAGACCAGGAAGGTGAGATTATTCACTCTGTCAGATTAAAGCCTCACTGCTCTAAACCTGTGAATCTTGTATCTAAAATAGAAAGTTTTAACAGGCCTAGAGAAAAAAAACAATGGGGAAATAAGTGATTTTTTTTTTTTTTAAATCTGCTAAATATAATTCACTAAAATAAGGTTAAATATGAATTTTTAAAAAGGACGTTGTCTGCCTATCCACCCTTTTTTAAAAGAAAATATTTTCTTATCCTCTTGACCTCTTTTACAAATACTCTTCTCAAGCTTCATTAGATAAATTACATTGAATTTTCTATAACTGTTTCCTGAGCTTCTGAGGCTGACAGATAAATCATGAACTAAAGGAGAGGTCTCATTCTGATTGCTGACAATCCTGATGTAAAATTGGATGTTATCTTATATTCATAATCTTTCAGGCATTGCTCAGCCCCCTGTCACTTTGGCATTGATCCATCATTAGCTGTTCTGTCTCTTTCAGCCTATAAAGCTCTTCTACACTCGAATTTCCAGAAGTGAGCCAGTCCACGTCTTCTTTTGTTTGTCTTCTGTGTTTGTACAATATTTTTATGTTTGTTCACATTCGTGTATCAATAAAGTTCTTAATTCAACTCATACTCGGGGGTGTTTGATGCTGATGCTTGATTTGCCAGAAAAAAATCAGATGCACATTTGCACAAATTTGTTAAGCACTTGCACTTTAAAAAAAATCAAGATATCCATAACTTTAAGAAACATTCAAATAACATAATGGAGGAGGTTGTGCCTAACTCAGCTTTTTGGTCATTTGAAGGATATTTGGGTTTTTTCCTGTTTCACACTTCAACTACTGTTGAATTTTAACTGCCAAACATTTTCATCAGTCTGTGCTAAGGTCAAAAGTAGGAGATTACAGACAGAATAATAGCATACAAAGTCAGTTCAAATAGATTTGAAGCCCAAAATTTACAGTATTTTTATCTCATTTGAGGAATCAAGCTCTGAAAGGAAAACTACCAAGACAGCATTCATGCAACTCCTGAGCATGCTGTTTTGTTTTTCATAGGAAAAACGGTACACTGATAGATGTACTTTAATTGACAGTCATATCACTCATTACCCAACAATAATGGTGAATTACACTTAAAGAGTTAGACTTTTATAAACTGGACATGCTAATGTAGAATTTGTTTGATCTTAAATTTTATCTATCCCAAAACTCCTTTCATAAGAATGACCAAGGTTTTGTTTTATTTTTGTGACATGCTGAGGTTTTGACTTTCAGCAAGATCTTTGTCAATTAGCTTGATTAGCTTGGTTTTTAGACTCTATTATTCATCAGTCTGATATTGATAATGAAAAACTGTATCAGTCATTCATACACAAGTATCATTTAACTGTGCTACATCAGGTACACTGATTGTATCATGGTGACATCACTAGTACCTCTTTACCCAATACAGCCAAGTCTACAGCATAGTGGCTGGCAGCAGGCAATCATCTTGTTGTAAGAGACCACCTCAACCTCCATCAGCTCTTCCAGGCTGTCATCTGGCTCACCAAGTTCACAGTGAGCTTCTGCCCAAGCTGGCTGGGTCGCCTCCACAGACCAGAATGCAACAGGAACCTAGAGGACATGAAAAAAAAAATTAAAAGCAACAAGGAAATACTCTATCAATTGATTAAAAAAAAATGTATCTAGGAACCACTTATGTATCTGGATGCATGGTGGCCCCACAGTCAATGCATGTTTTGCAAGTACCTGCTGTTCCCTAAGGTCCAAGTTTACCCTTTTCTTGAAGGCCATTTCTTTTGATACAATATCAGTTCCTGAGTACAGGCTGTGCTTCCACATACAAGGCTCTGCCCCGTTAAAGAACAGCCGGAGGGTCAGGAGATGTTGTCAGGTACCAGATGTGACTCCAGGCACAAGGCTATGTGGCCAGTTAAAAGGCTCTACCTCTGATAACATTTTTCTATTACAAGGTTCTTGAACCTGCTGAAAGGTTTTCATAACAGGTGGAAGAAATTTTTAAAATGCAAAAGACATACTCCCAGGTTTCAGGTATGCGGACAGGTAGAGAGTTATCTCCAGTAGCTGATTCTTTTTCAGGGTACAATACCTTCCTCTTACAAGACACTGGCTGCAGGTACCAGGCATGCTTCCATGTACAAAGCTCCCTCTACTTTAGCAAGACCCTGCTTGCATTGACAAGACTCTTGCCCAGAGTACTATGTTTGTTCCTATATTTGAAACATGCACCCTGATTGAAAAAGCTCTCTCAAGATGCAATCACTTGGCAGGATATCTCCACCATGGTACAAAGCTCTTTCCAGAGTAAAGGGTTACCGGGAAATTACCCTACATACCTTCCTCCTCCAAGGTACTGGAGAAGTACAAGCTTACCCCCAGTTATAGGACACTGTCCTCAAGATAAAGGACAATCACCTTAAGTCAAGACAGACCTCCACTTATTTGGGCTGTGAAGTCCTATTCGCTCAGTCGACTTATTGGTCGATTTGTAGACTCAATCTTTTTCCGCATCAATTAACGGTCTATGGTTAATTTCATCAGAAGGAACGTACCAAGTGCTAATGGGGGTGTTTTAGGAGCACCCTCTTTCACAGGTAACAGCCTGTCTCAGAACACCCCCCTTGTTTGCACCATTTTGGATTTGCTCAACCCACTTGAGAATGGCTGGAGACAGGAAGACTGAAGAGCATCCACGTTGATTTTCACCCTGCTGAGCCGCGCTCCACCGGGCCACGTCATCCCCTGCCGCAGAAGGGTTTACCATCAGAGTCTGACAATATCACTATGTGAGCAAGACTCTGCCCACACCAGGTTCTGTGTTTGAGGCCTGCCTTCAGGTAAAAGCATCCCCCTTGTGTTAACAGACAGGATTTCCAAAACATGCCTTGGTGAACAATAATCTTCCCTTATTCAAAAGACACTTTCCACTGGTTGTCCATGTAGATTCTCATTCATCCAGGTCATTGTTTTCTTGAAGACTCAAAAACAGGCAACTGGACTGTGTAGAGTTGAGAAGACATTTCGCCTCTTATCCAAGAAGCTTCTTCAGTTCTAAAATTGTTACAATGCAGTTCTCAGCTCTCTCCCCAGGAAGCTCCACAAACGTTCACACCTGGGACCACATGACCTAGGTGGCATGAGTCATGTGGTCACATGACTTTATCTAAAGACACAGGGATGCCCATAAAACTACATCTCTCTTATTACAAAACACCAGAACCAGCTTAATTTCATGTTTCCAAGTACAAGACACTGTTCCTGGGGCACAATAAGAGCTCCCGTTTCCCAGGCATGCTCTTAAAATATTAATAGACACTGTCCCTAGGTTGAAGGTACGAGCCTTAAGTACCACGCTTGCAACCATGTTTGAAGCCTGCCCTTGGATATGAGATCTTTGGCCAGCTATTAATCAGCCAATCAATCAGTCTTTATTTATGCCGTGGCAATTCACACTTCATGAAAAAAAAAGGTCTACACCATACTTCAAGACTCAAAGACCCAATGTAAAGATAAGATAGAATTGAGCCCCACTTGTAAGGTAAGACCCACTCCCATGCCATCTTCACCCACATGAGTGTAACACTTTGCAGCATTGAGCAAACTACTGATGAGAGGAAAAATTTCCTTTTAACAGGCTGAAACCTTGAGCACAACCAGACCCATGGAAGATGGTCATCTGCTGCTACTGCATTGGGTTAAGAGAGGGGATAGAGGGAGATGCAGAAAGAGATAGGTGCACAGACGTACATAAGGTGCTCCATGCTACATGACATCAGGGTACAAGATCAGGATACATCCCTAGGTACAAGATGTTCTTTACAGTAAAATGCCCTTCCACCATTTGCAAGATGCTATCCACAGGTAACAAATGTGCCTACAAATTTGTATCTTTTCCAAAAGACACTACCCAAGGAACAGCAGGCACATTTTGGTACAGGACATACCTTTGGTTTACGTAAAGGACATATACCTAGTTACATGACACCACTCCTAATGTCTGGGCATTCTCCAAAGAACCATTGATGCCTAAAAGCACAAGATCATCCCTCCTGCTAGACAACTTCAGAAACTAGGCCTGCTCCCGTCATTTCAAAACAATCTCAGTTACAAGAGAATGTCTCCAAGTATAGGACAGTAACCAAGGAACCAGACTTGCCTCAAGGTACCACCTTAACACAAGACACTATCTACAAGTGATATCCTGCTTCAAGGAAATACATTTGCCAGCTAATTTTTTTTCACAGACACCCCAAAGAAACAGGAAACTGCTGCTTGGTGCATCACTTCGGACTGTTATCAAAGCCACACTCCCAATTGCCAGATACTTCTTACAGACACAGTAAAGCCTCAAAGATATGATAGATGCCCAAAGGTACAAGGCCCCCCACCAAACCATTAGAACTACCCTTTGGTTACAAGGAACTGCCACCAATTTGTATGGATGTTTTTAAGTACAAGACCCTTAGGTACAGTAAGCTCTCTCTGGCTCGCCATGCAGGTACAAGTGTCTCATTTCCACCTCCAACCAAGTCACAATATGCCAACAAAAAAGTATCTTGCCTGCTCCTATGTCCTTCAAGAAGCACCAGGCTCTACAAGACACTGAGCAGGGAAGAGGCTTGGTTCTACCTTCATATGCTGGGTTAAGGTGTCATGTTCTGTTTGTTTGATAAAAGAATCATTCCACCTCAGAGGTTCTTCCTCACCCTGAGCTGCATCTCACTCAGCATCGCCTCCAGACTCGCAATGTGATTGGTCAAATCAGGGACCACCTCCTCTTCCAAGGTGAGCCATGGTACCTGGACAGAAGCCACTCGAGCTGCCACACCTACTACACCATCAATACAGCCTGAAAAGACACACAAATAGGTGATCGTGATGGCATGATAAAATGTTTCTAAAAACATGTTTGGATGTTCTAATACTGGCAGCAATTCAGCAGCAGATAAGATAAGGACAGCAGGGAATTTAACTAGATATGTGATACATGCCCCAGCCAACCACAGAACTTTGACAGACGTAAGGGCAAAGTCGTCAACCTACCTGAGTTAACCAGTGAACGCCTATCCAAGCGCTGTGTCAGGGGGAACTGTCCAATCAGATCGTAGGCCTTACGGAGATCAGACAGAAAGTTCTCCAATGCCGACAGGAAAAGAACCCACAACCGTTCTGACACTTGCCTGTCCTCAACACCTGAGGAGGCTGAGTCACAATCTGACAGAAGACGAACAAGACGCCTGGACAGACCTGCAGAAATACAAGTGAATCAAGAGAACATGAGTACAAGAGAATCATAACATTAGACCAACAGAAAGACTGGCAGGTGAGAGACACACAGTCAAACTCAGTGACAGACAGAGATGTAAGACAGACAAACTGGCCGACAGATTAATATACAGGTTAGAGACAGTTTGACCCACAGACAGCCAGAGACTCAAAAACTGGACAGGGGACATACAAGTTGGAAATGGACCTGGAAGAGTATTGAAAGGTGAGAGACAGAATGACAGGTGATGGTCCTCATACCACTACAGATTCGGTGTGCGAGTGCTCTTGTCTCATCCATTTCGTCTCGTAGGAAGCTGCAGTCTGCGGAGCTGCCGAGTGATGCCGCCAGCTGCTGGAAACAAGATGTGACCCGGCTAAGAGCCTCCTGGGCACGTTCACACTCGCTCTGCTGCCTGCGACGCGCTGCAAGCTCGTCAACTGAACGACGCCATCGGCTCATGGTGGTATCACCCACCTGTACAGTAGGAGGGGCAGATTTCGAAAATACTTGAGAAAATACTTACTTTTAAATTACAATATGTTATAAATATACTGAAAGAAGTTAAAAGCACAAATTTTGTACCACAGTGCAAAAGATTGGTTTAAATAGTGTTTTCAACTATAAATGAAAACACCGTATTAAATCAGATTGAGTATGTCAGCTTTCAGAGACCCTATGAAGTTTTTTAAGCTATAGAAGGAATAAAATAAACAATCTGTCGTCTTACCTGTGTTGACTACATCCACCTTCCTCTGCAGTAGAGGACTGTGCAGTGTCAGTTGGGTTACTATAAACACTCACCTTCCTCTCTCAGGGGACCCTGAGTGTTTTTAATTAAAGTGTGGAGACCAGCTGAGACTTGGTCCTTTCAATTCCCAGAAGTCTCTCTGTTTTACCTTCAGCTCTTCCTCTCAGGCACACTCGGGGATTCACCTGTCAGGGTAGACTGCTCAACTTTTGGTTATTTATAGGCAGAGGGTCAGGGTCAGATAGACATGTGTAATTCCATTTTACAACCAAAGACACAAGCTGAATAAACCTGACATTTTAAGCTTTAAACAGCTGACTGGTCTTTAGCTCCCACTGAAATTAGTGATTGAGCCGTAAGCATTTCAATTATTCATTGTTTCTCCTCGTGGTGGTTAAGTTTGACTTAGCACTTTGCTGCTTTTAACACTTACAAACATGTACATAGTAAATTTAAACTGTTTTTGTTCTTTTTGACTCAGCCTATAATTAACATTTTTTGACACTTTTACCAATTTTGTTTCAGATCTCCTGTGCACCAGCCCTTTATTCTGATGAAACAGACTTTAAATCATTCATTGTGGCAGTGAGTCTTTAATTTTTCATGATCTCATAGTTCTGTTTAATAATTTGAAAATTAATATTAGCGCTCAAATGACTAATATGTCTAATCTCCTGTGAGTTTTTGACATCTATGGAATAGACTTCAAATAATATTGATTCCTTTTCATAGTATGCAAAAGCAAACAAGTCCATCAGCGGGAAAATTTGTGATTTTTGTGTAATTTGTAAGGCTTGAAAGTGGTGTGAGAGGATAGTTTTTTTTTTTTTTCAGACAGAACCACTTAAGCAGAAGACATAATAATATCTTACAAAATCAAGACAAACTTCCAGAACCATATTCCTCATTTTAATGAATTTTTTTGTTCTGTTTTCTAATGAAAATCAGCATAAATATTCAACTCTGATTCCAAAAATATTGAGGCGCTATTCAAAATTTTGATAAAAAAAAGAATTTGATGGTTTCTAAAGTAATAAAAATCTACAAGAGTGCAAAGACAACATAAGACTGGAAAAACTTTGGACTCATGAGGTCAATCTGGAACTAGTGAGTAAGGTGACTGGGTATAAAAAGGACTCTCAAAGAGGCTGAGTCTCTCAGGAGTAAACATAAACAGGTTCATCTCTCTGTAAGAGATTGTGTGAGCTAACAGTGTGACAATTTAAAGATGATGCTCAGGAATGTAAACTCACAAAGAACTGGTGGATTTAATCATCTAGAGTTCATATTAAAAAATCAGTCTTTAATTTTCAGGCCTTCAAGAAGAAAAACAGACTCTGTAGTGGAAGTCACCACATCCCTTCTCAAACCACAGTCTGTGAACACTATTCTTATAAAGACTTAATTCTTTGGACATAATCTCATAACACATTTACTCACAACACTTTTCTTACAATGACTCTATCCTTATGACGACTTAAGTACAAGACTTTGTCCTTATAATGACTTTACTCTTGAACAGTTATTGTACCGTTACTCTTGAACATTATTGTACCCGTTTCTATTCTTTATCTCATATCCTTATTACTTTATTCTTTTAACAAAATTTTCTTGTATTCTTAGACCAAATTTATGCTTACCATAACATTATTTTTGTACATGTATTAATTTCTCCATAAAATCATAGTCTATTCATTCCTCAGTGTGGCGTAATAGTCTGTTGTAGCTGACACCCTTTAAAAGTGTTATCAATAACTGTGAACAGGAAGAAGTTGTCATAGGATCAATATCTGCAGTATTCAATGTTAAGTCAGAGAAATGAGTCATGTTTTGGTGCATCTTTAGTTTATTTGATGTTACCAGATTTTAAACAAACACATGACACAACACCTGCTGCAGGTGATCAAACCATCAATTTGCTGGTGTCACCTGATCCTCCTCCTCATCATCATATATCATTTACCAGACATTACATCAAACTATGGCACTTCATAGAGGACAGAAAAGTTATGGAGCACTCCTACAGGGTGGTAACTGTTAGCCTAACTTAGCATCAAGACTGGAGGTAAGGTTTGTTAACCTCCATAATAAACCATATTCATGTGGTCTATATCAACAGGACGGCTGCTGACAGAAACAAACTGAGAGAAAGACAACAATAAAAACTTCTCCTGTCATGATAACTACTACCCATCTTTACATTCTTTGTGTTAGTGCAGAAGTTCAATGAGTTCGTCATAACTTGGAATCAGAGCTTTCATGGAAATGTTAGCACTTAATTCCTACTTGTGGTCTTAGTGCTAATCTAGTCTAACAGCCCCGGTCCTCTCCTTTTGCTGGACAATCAGGCATTAGAGGAAACAGAACAGGAGAGTTAAATCACTATTAGTGTTGACAAAGACAAGAAACAGATTCACACATATAAATCTTACTCAGCAGTTATACTTTTACTTTCCAACATGGTTAGTTAGTGCACAGTCTGTGCAACAGTCTGCAGCAGCCTCTCTGGTTAGCTAACAGGTGTACTGTGACATTACATTCTGTTTCTCTGAATACAAAATAAAATCTTTGTTCTCAGTTCGACCAGCAGGAGGCAACGAAGAGAAAACAATCCTTCACAGTAAAACACCAGAGACATGAGTGAGAACAGACCCCACCTCCTCTCTGTGATGATGTCATCACCTGGTCCTGCTGGGATTGGCTGTAGCTTCACAGAGGGAGGAGGGGAGTGATGCTGGTATTTCAGGTAGGGCGGGATCAGAGTCCATAGGTATGTCAGTGTCTGGAGCGTTGGTCAGCAGGTGAGGGTTAAGCTGTAGTCATTGGATGACAAGTATGGGTTCTTATCTCTATTCACAGACCCTACATGGACATGCAGAACCTGTACATACAGAACCAGACTTTTTTGTGAGAGATGTGATGGTATATCTGCAAGAAACAATCTATATGGAGAGCAAAAGCAGGCGTAACACTAGTGACATCTCTGCTCCCATCAGCGATAATCTGACAGTGATTTGTTTCTCTCTATAAAAAGATATCTGCATGAAGGTAAGCCATCATTTACACTGAGAAACTAATCTGCTGGATGCTTAGTCACCAAAGACAACCAGTGTTAAGATTTCCTGACTTCCCTGTGTGCATCAGAAATGAAGGATCTGACGTCCTATCAACCAACAAACATTTTAAACTTGATTTCTTCTTCTCTTGAGGACAGACCTGACAAAGCTTGACTTTTGACTTTTTATTAATCTGCATCATGATGTTGTTATTTCAGTAAATTGAAGATCTGTTAATGAGAAGAAAATCACAACATCAGTGTCTGTTTTAGGTTCATATTGCTTAAGTAAGCAAGGTGAAGTTTCCATGCAACTCACCAAACAGAGGAATGGGCAGTGATTCAATAATGCCAGCATACATATTTTGCAGTCATGTTGATGACAAATCAGCTGGCCATTACACACTCCATGGTTTCGGTATCCAAAAAGATTGGGGTGTGACCTGATTTGAGGCTTACAGTCACCAATTACTTGCCCAAAATTTCTTAAGATTGTGGTGTCAGTATGACCATTTTACCGCTCTGACAGATAAGAAATTTCTATTGATGATGGATTTATGGATAACAATAAACAACCACATGGCTTTTCAGTAAGCCATGTTGATTACAAGAGGCCTTCAGTAACAGTATGAAAAAGTGGAACATAATTATAAATTCTTGATTAAACCTGCAAAAAATAACTTTAAAATGATGTAGCATGATCTCAGATGGTAGAAGGAAGGCAAAGTAACCTGTTGTTAGTATGTTGGTCTCTGTGTACTGAGTCCAGCCACTCAGGTTGCACTAAGCCTTAAACATCCTTTAAACAAGCTCCCAGTGTGTCAGGGTCTACACCCTCAGATGGCGCAAGCCTCAACGCTGTGCCTGAACTCACCCTGTGGGTTTTGGAGCACGGAGTTGAACCGTCAACAATACTGATGAAAATGTTGTCAGACTAAAGCCAATGGGTTCAGATTGTTCTGGTGTTGGAGCGGAGGTGTTCCCGGTCGCAGTACTGCTGTGTTTCTGTTATTGTGGTTCTGAAGGATGTTTGTTAGTTCAGTCTTTGTTGTTATGGTACAAGTCATGTGTTGCTCAGGGTCATATTGTCATGTTGACTTGTTTTTTGCAAGGCAGACTCCTGTGCTGTACAAAAGGTAAGCCAAAATACTCTTTTACATATTTCCCTGTTGACATTATTTGAAATCAGAATCTGGTGAGGCTGATGGAGCCAAAGAAGAGTCAGGTTCATGTGTGGGTTTGAAGCAGACACTCATAGACAGTTCACTGACTCTTATGTTTTGTTGTCTCCTCCATAGACTTTATAAACCATGGATGCCACCCATTTGCTTTTGGGGCAGAGTTTCAAAGTCTATCATCAGTGGTCACCAAATTGGAAATGCTCGGTAAACCAAACTTTGGGGGACCTAGCCAGAGGCAAAGACAGGAATTTGAGGATTACAGCTACAAAGTAGTCAACTGTCAGTCCAGTGAGTCATGCCTCTAATGCTGCAAAACTCATAACCTTACCATCTTAACAGAACAGCATAATAAATAAAAAATTCACTCCCCTGCAGTGTGTGCCGAGAGAGAATTGAGCTCTTCAGACAAAAATCATATTCAGGAACAGGCTGTAAACTTCCTTATTTTTGCTTTAAAGATGGGCTTTTTTGTATGGATGTGTATGTAGTTTCTTGGGTTTATGCAGCCAGCCTCTAGTGGACGCTCAGGGAACTGCACTTTTTAGCGCCTCCACTTTTCTTTCAAGACCAGAGGTGAACATTTCTCTCGCTATCTATCCTCTACTCTAATAATCTGCTGCACGGAGCTGCAGAGGCCTCATTTGTCTACAGAGCTGTCAGTCATGTCCCCTCTTTTAAGCAGAGAGTGAGTAATTGAAACTAAGTGTCTCATAGAATGAATACTTCGGCATAATACCATTACAGAAACAAACTTTAATGAAAGAGAAAGTGTTTGAGAAACATTCAAACTGTATTCAAATTTAAAGTTTTACTCATGTCCAATCAGTTTAAATAGAGGAGGCGGGCTTTGTGCATTGCAGCCAGTCAGCAGTGTTTTGGCTTCACTTTTGGGGAGCTGTAATGTTTTTTGCTACAGTCTTCAATTCTTCCCATCATGTCAGCAGTGCTGTGTCATTCTTAGTGCTTTCAAGTCACTGCTTTTGTTTCTGTCATCGTCATAGCAGCATGTGTTGTCTTGTCATGGTTATGGCAGCTCATTTGACGTCATGACAGTCTACAGTGTCTTGTCATTATGGCAGCAGGCATCGTCTTGTTGTCGTGGCAGTGTATGGTGTGATGTAGTGACAACAATGAATTGTCGTCTTGTCGTCATGGCAGCGGGTGTGAGCGTGCAGCGAGCACCTCCATCAGCTCATGGCACAGACACTGACAGAAGCCGTAGAGGACAAGCAGCAGCAGCGTGGAGGGGACGAGGCTGACCAGAACCACCCCCAACCACAGCTGACCAATCATCAGTAGGTAAATCCCCAGAGGAAGAGAGCTGAAGTACACCTTTTCAAACACAGAAAACACCTGTCAGCACACACCTGTCTGCTCTGGCGTCTCTGTGAGATTGAAAAACAGCACTTACCAGGCAGAGCGCCCCCAGCAGACAGCGGGGGAAGCTGCGGGACGTCCAGGCGCGACACTTCTGAGATGGGAGGTTACAGGGCAGAGAGTCAAGGCTGGGGGGGCGGTACAGGCCGACCACATTGAGTGTGCTCAGTGAGTCAGAGGATGGAGACTCCTCAGGGAGCTCCATGATGGTGATGACCAGGCAGTCTGAGGAGCGGTGAGCCGGGTCCACGCCTCCTCCTGACGCACAGACAGAGAGGGAGACAGAGAGAGAGATCAGCGAGGGGATTCAATCTGCTGAGTTTGTTTTTCTCAGTCTGGAACAAAGAAATTAAAACATAACCATTAAGATAATGACCTTGTATTATTTTCCCAGTGAGACTGTTTGGACTCAGCACCACTTCTCCCCCACCATCTCCCCCTCCTTCACCTCGGCGAGCTCGATCCTGACATGACAGAACAGCCAGGATATGCCGGTCATCCTCCATCAGCCACACCTGCAAAGTTACAATATTATCAACATGATACCAGCAGTAGCAGATGATAGCTTTAAAAGTTTATTTATAGGAACAAGTGGTTATTTCTGCAGATACTATTATCAGCCAAAAAGGTGATGCATTAAATGAGCATGTGATGAGAGTTTGCACATGTTGGCAGTAAAGAAGTGTTAAGAAGTGTCAGAAACAAACAGCAGAAACATCATTGAATTTTACAAAAATATATACATTTTACATCTATGGCAAAATGAACGCTGTTTGTCTTGTTTGACTGGTTCTCAAACAAACACACTACCACAATAAGAGTAACAGGTAAATTCTTCTACAGGAGAAATTTTGTGCTCTTTACAATGAAAATAAGTTTTAAAACATCGGCAGATCATATAATGCCAAAAATCTAATATTGTGGATCCCTTCGTACATCTTTTTAGCTGAAGCTGTTCTTTACAACATTAAAAATAATATATTATTTACATGTATTAATATTAAAACTATGAGAATAAGTCTGTGTGGGATTAAAGTCATTATATCAAGAGAATAAAGTGGTTATGTGAAATTATGAGATTTAAATCTTGTTGGGGGAATAAAGTTGTGAATTTAGTTGGTGAGTAGTTATGCTTTTGTGCACATCATGCTGTTGAGAGGGAGTTACCACACACCTCACCTTTTTCAGAGTCCTGATACAAAACATTATAGACAATTTAACTAGATGCTACACATTCCTTATTTTGGATCAGACACCTGGCTGCTCACTGTGAACCAAATCTACCACTGACCACAGAACATGATGACTTTACATTTTTTTTCTCATTTCTTGTAACATTACAACTTTATTTTCTTGACATAATGTTTTTTATTTACAAAATCTTTGAATATATTTTTTCTTTAATGTGGCCCACTTCTCCATTGTAATTCTTCACCATGGGCTAAATTACAGTTATTCAACTGTATCTTCTCAATTCATCTCTTATTTCTCAATTCTCAATCTTATCAGCAAAGCCCAGATCTTCAAAGGGTCCTTGTAATCTGGATGGGTAATCTTCAATCTGTTTACAGCTGCTCCACTTTGTTTTTTTAGAGAGAAAAAAGATAATTAATGATCTGGATGATCCTAAATAAAGGGAAGAGAAATCCAGATTGTTTTTATCCAGATTAAACTTCAAGAGCAACCAAGCTCTGATGTGCTGTCAGATATATAGACAGATTATACTGTAAATTATTATGTCAGTCTGTTGAGGGATTATATTTATGGACCAGAGTGCAGCAGGAAAAAAGGTTCCAGTCTCAATAGGAAATGTGTGATAGTATCTCCAGTCTTGTAAATAAAACAGTCTCATCTTGTTGACAAAAGTCTCACCTCTTCGTCTGGGACATGTGTCTTGTAGCGACAAAATGGACAGCTGATGACGGGTGAGGACTCTCCTGGAAAACAATCACCAGAATCATGTGACACATGATGATGCATTTTAACTTTGATTCTCTAAACAGTCGATTCCATCTTGAGTTTTTAACCTTTGACCTCCTCACCCATATCAACCATCTTCTTCAGACACTTGGCACAGACTCGGTGCAGACAGCCCAGCAATTTGGGTTTCCTGCTGCGAGTGTCGTAGCGGTTGTAGCAGATTTTACACTCAAGTTCCTCCAGAGTGTAAACCAGAGACTGAGCCCAGGTCTGCACCTGAACGTACCACATCAAAGATTTAATGACTCTTGAGTGCACCATGAGGGCTTCAGCACAACAAATGAGACACAGCAAGAACAGCTGTTTGGTATCTGAAGTTCATAACAAAAAAGCAGCTAAACAACAGAAAAAAAAATAGTGCTCCAGTCCTAAACTAGTCTAAAACTCCTTAACACCTGTTGTTGTTTTCACAAAAAATATATAAAGTTGTAGATTTAATTACATTCAATCAGGGGGACTTTTAAATGAAACTGAAGTGAAGAATGATGGGAAATCTCACCTTCCCCTCAATCCCCCGACCAGGCTCCATCTCCTTCAGCTGGCTCATCTTTTTTGACTCTTGTCTTCTCCTGAAGCAGCAGGGTGAGGCTTTGTGGGCGGAGTCTAGCTAAATCTGAGCCCTTCAACTGACTGACGGACGAACAGGAGAACAAAAGAATAACTTAAGAGTGGCAAGAATGGATTTATGTTACTGAAAATGTAGTAAATCTGTAATCAAACAGACAAGTGTACACACTCATAATAAACAATAATAGAATAAAAGGAACTACACAAAAATACAAATGTCTGTTGTGTGAAAAGTACCACAAAAGTAGAAGATAAACCATACTGTTGTAAAATTTAAATAAATGGTCCTGCTGTTCAACTTTTCTTTCCAGATTAACAAACTGTACTTTTTGTGAACACTGATATTAGCTTACTTTGATAGTTTTGTATCAACTTTAATATACTGTATATTTGACCATATTCAGTCAAACCAGTAACCTCAACTACATCAAACTAAATTCAACTAAACTAAACTAAACTAAGCTGAACTTGACTGAGCTAAACTACTTGTTTCTGTGAAGTTCACAGTAAAGCCCTGAAACCTCTGCCCTCAACATGCCATTAAAGCTGCAGGTACCTGATTCAAGATCAGCTGACCAGTGTGACGGCCTGAGAGGACGTCCATCTGTCCAACCTGGAGACCTGCAGAGACACAGACAGAAAAGTGAGACAGACAGACACTAGGACAAAATCTTCTGCCTTCTCTTCTGGACAACCATTCTTTAGAATATCATCTGTTTTGTAAGATATATTTGCCTGTTTCCAGAAAGATTCTCACATCCATCTGCTTTTGATTTTGATCTTGGCCAAAATTCTTTCTTTTTACACACAGAATTTTGTGTTTTTATGGATCTATTTGTTTGTAAATATAAAGTCTGGTATCTGTCTGAGCTGGTCAGTTACACACACACACACACACACACACACACACACACACACACACACACACACACACACACACACACACACACACACACACAGTGTCAGTGCACAGTGTCTGCTGGGTGTGTTTATAGACTGCAGCTGTTATGTAACAGAGGGGGAGGGGGACACCGGGGATGCTGATGTTGCTATGGTAACATCTTTCTCGGCACATGGACCTGAGATCAGCCAATCAGCTAATTCAGATGTGATCACATGACAGTGACCAGCTGGTTTCACATTTAAGGGCAGGTGTAGAACTTTCCTTGCAGTCAGCACTGGCTCAGGTGGACCGGCCCAGGTGGGCTCTGAACCAGGCTTTGATAATGCTGAGAAAGACCTAGTTTTCCTATAATGCACAAAGGTTTTCTCTCTTCCTGAAGGACTCCTCTATTCTCTGATGACATAGACCCTGTTTGAGCTCTTGCAAGGCTGAGTTCAAAACTTTATTATGATACAATAATGATAATAACTGTTTGATTGCATTCCAGTTTAGTTTTCTTCTCTCTCTCTGTCTCTTTATTGTCACTCTACCATCTTTTTCTCATGGTCTTTTACTCCACTTCTCCTCAAGTCATCTATTCTCAGTACAAAATTTAAAAAAGGATAAATATGTTTTCCAAATTAATTAATCAACTACAAAAATAACATTAATAAACACAGTTTGTGTACTTTTTTCATTGCAGTTTTCACTATAAAACCATTATTTTATTTTGTTGCATTTTGCTCCACTATTAACAGGCTGAAGTTTAAGCACACAATATTCCACCAATTGTTTTAAACTCGTGGTGGCCATTTTCACACTTTCACACACTTGTTGCACAGCCTTTTGGTGTGCAGTTCAAATGTCATTGTTGTTTTCCAACTGACACAGTCCTCATTTTTACTCCTCTATCAATCTCCTCTGTGTGACAGAAAAGCCTCTGGATGTCACAGAAACAGAGTTAATCACTGGAAAGCCGTCGTCCTCACAGAGCAAGTGGATACCTTTCTATTTTCAGAGCTGATATTGCAAACACAGCATATGATCATATGAACTGAACCTTAAATATGAGATGATCTCATTTTTTCCAGATGTATTATAAGGAAAAAAAACAGCCTGATATTTGCATCATATGGTAACTTTCCACTTGCTGTACTACCTGGCATGCAATATTATAGCCAGAACTGCATGTAATTATTGGTAACTTGCTACATTTTTTTAACCTCACAAACATGTTGATCAATGTTCCAAATATTTGATATTTTGTTTATATCAATTATATAATGACAAAATAAACAAAATATGTTTGGTGGCACAAAGTTGTTTTTTTTCTCTGATTACTATGCATTTCAAACTGACACATTTTAGAGCCGTAATCTTCATATCACGACACTATGAATCTGCAATGTTTTGGGTTTTTATACCATTAGATTCTCACACCAGCCTGTCCCTATTATGTTATCAGACTTTTGTTGTTTTATGTGATAAATATAAATATTAAAAAGGTCGTGTACCTTCATCAGCATTGTCTAATGTTATTAAACTATTTCCTGGGCTGTTACAGTCAGGCAGGCAGCAGCGCTAACTCAGTTTCCATCACAGTTGTGGAAACTACACAAACTAGTCTCTGGATTCTCCTCTACAGTAGTCAAACAGAAGTTCACAATAAACAACAACAAGCAATTATTACTTATTTTTAAACTTCACTGAACTGGACTGCTGTTGCCTGGCAACACAAACATCCTCCTGTACTCTGCTGCTGCTGTGTGTGTGTCCCGAGGTTTCCATGTACATGTATTTATTATGTAATTTATGATAAACCCAATAAAATAGAGGCCTGTTGCGTAAGTCTGATGTAACAGCTTTATTAATTTTTAATCATTTATTTATTAATCAATGTCTTGCCTGCTATAATGATGACTTAATTTATCACCAAGCTTTGTTACTGATCACTTAGCTGCATTAAACATTTGATTCTGATTGGTTAAAATCCTATAACAACCCCAATTGATTGTTAATCTGTAAGGCTATGTCAGGGATGACCTAATCAAACACATCATATCAAACCAGTCCACAACACATTTTAACCTCTACTAGTTGACCTTGAGGCAAAAAATTAGTCTCCATCTCAGGCAGGTCTTGAGAATGGGGAAATAATGACAGCAAGCCCAGACAGTGATGCTGCCTACCATAGAATCTGGGGGACTATTTGTTATAGCGATAACAATAAAATCACCTTTTAAATCAATCTTTCGTGTCAATCTGTACACATTTTGGTAGCTGAGTAAATTGACATATAGCGAACAGGTGGTAATGCCAATAAGAATCTCTTTAGAGTGACCCTTCTCCTACTCATCCTGTCAGAACTCTAATTCTACATATCCTCATATTTCCACAATGGAGCAGTCATATGGAAAGCAAAGATTGTGATTTGGCTCTATATAAATAAAAATCAATAGATTGATTGATTAGTTGATTGATTGATTTGATATGGAGCCCCCTCGTGTCCATCCTTGAGGGAACCAGCTACTACCTTCTGCACAAAAATTACTTTTCTCATTTTTACACTCCAAGTTAGCTTCTCTATGTCTTTAAGTTCTATGCAGATAGTAATAGGATCAAATTAGCACCAGCCCACACAAGACCAATACCACTAGTATCTTTCCAAATTAATAATGCATTTGACAGCATATAAAACTGACTTATGTTTTACATTAAATCTTTTATCATGTTTTTAAAAATTGCAGTTTCTGTCATTACTGGTATCAGCATTTATTGTTGAAAAACTGGTATCAGTTAACCCCCTATATTAACGGTCTTCCACAATAGCAACTTTTAACTTCCCAAAAGGATCAATAAAGCTCTATCCAATCTGTCAATATCGTAATATGAACATTTGGTATATAAACACACTGAAATTTTATAAATTCATCCAGGAGTAACATGGTACAAACACAAGTAATGTGTAAAACCAGAGCAGATAAAGAATAGAAACTGAGAGTTGTTTGAGCTAGTGTACACTCTAATATTTGTTTATTTGCTAGACTTGCTGATATTCTAGATAATGTGCTCACACATAGCATTTCTTTCATATCAAGGACATGGTGTCAGATTTTTAGTAGCAGCTGAACCACATGTGGCTCTGTACTATTTTCAGTGTACTACACTGTTGTGGTTTGTTTATTTGGTAATGTGTATTGGGTTGTGTAGTGTTCTGAGGGCTGTGCACTGCCTTACTTACTGTGCCTGAGTGTCAGGTGTGGATGGACAGGTAATAACAGACGATAGCTGTATGTCAGTTCAGGTGTTGCTGCTCACCTGCTGGATGACTGGGCCGAGATGGATTGTAGCTGAAGATGCAGTTACAGATGAAGTTGCTGTCCTCTTCCACTTGAGCAACGCGGTGATGATAAATCCCTGCTAGTTGCTGGTGATGGAGTTGCTCTGCTTGTTTTTCCCTCTCAGAAAAAGCAACATGGTGGCCAGTGAAAATCAACAGTTTCTTCTTGAGAAGTTGCCGCACGTCTATGGATGATTCTGTAGTCTCTGTCAAACTGGAGCAACACTGCAGCAGCAGCAGCAACAGTCTGGTTGCTGTACCTGGCTGTGGTCTCTCAGGTTGAAGCAACACTGCGGTGGTTGGGCTCTGATGCTGTGGTCGCTGCTGCCGTAGTCTCTGCGGTGGTCAACGGCGGTTATCATCCGGTGGTCGCGCGCTTTGCCCATACGGACAGCAGGGATATGCGGGGATGCTAACAGGCTACGAAGCTATCCTGTTGTCTGTCTCCGGTGTGTCGGTCGCCACCGCTGTTGCTGCTGACGGACGTGAGTTGTTCTCGGTGTCGGTGACTCACCGTCTCCATCCGCTCTTCACTGCGGCGCGCGGCCAGCGGCGGGAGCCAAGGTTACCATGGCAACCGGCCCGCAGCGGGATGATGGGAACTCTCCGTAAGATGATAACCGAAGATCAATCATCGTTTGTTTTGACTTCAAATATGAAATATGATGTTTTTTTTTTTTTTATCAGAAAGCAGGTCGCTTGATGTGTAATATAGAGAGACACGTCTTTCGGACAGGAAGTCCACCTGTTTGTGTTTGTTTGCTGTTACATAACGTCACAATGTCACGAACACGCAACAGAAACACACGTGCTCAGGTAACACGCTGACAACCTTAAGGATGACGCAGCCTAAGTTTTATGGTGTATTTTCATTTCATAATAACTAAAAATATACCAAACGGCCTTAAATGGACCTACAGAGAGAGAAGATGACATCTGAATGCTGAAATGTAACATTGTGTTGTACTCCTGAGAAAGTATAAATTCTAATGCTTTTATGTTCTATATCATGTTACCATCCGTTTTTAAAGTGCAGTGTGCAGTATTTATCGGAACAGTTTTGCAGTGTTTTTAAATAAGTGTTTAATCACTTAAACTTTTACAGTATATCTAAGCCCTTCTGTAAAGGCTACCATCTTGCACACATGTGAATATAGTAGCACAAAACTGACAAACTACATGTTTTATATAGTGAATAAACAAATAAGTAGGAAGAACGAAAGAAGGAAAGTAGTTGTTATGCATGAGTGAACTTGTGCTGTTTGATGTTTTAAAAGGTTAAAATTCAACAAACAGATGATTTGCTCAATATGCATCCCAAGAGCTTCTTGTCACCAAAGGCCAGCGTCCTTTCACTAACAGAAGGGGAGCATTCAGGCTTTTTCTTTTCATTCTTTTTTCGTTTGTTGTTTGTTTGATTTTGACAATTTTAAGATTTATTGAATTATTTTGGCCTTTCACAGACTTTTTCTCCAATAGGGGAGACCAGGGCTTGTTGTTGCATGGGTAAGTTGTCACATTGCAATTATCTTTGCCACCAGAGGGCGCAACTAAAAAGTGGAGTACTAGTTTTCTTCCTTTACATGGTCAGGGGACGTGCCCTGAGAAGATCACATTGTGAGCTGAGATGAGCGCCAATTAACCATTTTCCACAACCCAAAGTAAAAAAAAAAAAAGAAACTTCATATTTTAAAATAAGCTTCTTCCAGATAAAAATCATTGCAGTGATACATGTGGACTTGTTAGAGGAGAGATTAAGGCATCCTGTCATACCTCAGTCATTGTTCTGTTTTAAGCTAACTTTAAACTAGAGCTAGAATTCGCAAAGATGATAGTTTGGGGCAACATGTCTCAGTCATTTTGGGGTTAGTTGTCATATATTTAAAGGGAGTTTAAATTAACACAGAGAATCTACTTATCAGCAGTTTTCACATTGAAATTTTGACTTAATCTTTACAGAAAAAAGAATGGTTTAAAGGAGAGGAGAAAGTGAGAAGACATGGGCAGAAATTACAAAAGGGTCGGTACTGAAAAACATTCACCCCAGCTGAAATACAGTCAGGCAGCTCTCCAAACTTCAGTGCATGTTGCCTTATATTTTTTGTTAATGTTTGTTCAATTACTTTTTCTAGCTCAATGATAAACATTTTCTGTGCCTGACTTTGATGTTCACTTTCAAGTAAAAAAACGAGAACAACAATAATTTTGTTTTATTAGCTGCAAAATCCACTATGACATCTTACCCCATGAGGTCAGACAACTTACCAGATGGTGGGGCAACATTTCACATGTTCACACTCTCTATTTGATTGCTTATAACTCTGCACTGACACAAGATATGAAAATGACATGAATACGAAATATATACCTGAGACTTTGGGCTTTTGTGTAGTACACATTTTGTTTTTATATGATGTGTTGATTCCAAGAACTATAAGAGTGTAAAAAGTGTGACAACAAGCCCCAGTCTCCCCTATGTTATTTATGTCATATGTAAACTTCTCTTTTTTGTCATGTTCTTATTGTGTGTATTTTTCAAATTGTGTAAACTGTGTGTGTTCATGAAACATTTTTACAGCCATGTTGTGAAAATTGAAGGTTTAGTATGTGTTGGTATTTACGAACTAATTCTGTCTCATACCAATGTGTGAGATTCAAGGCTTATGCATTCAAAAAAATGTGTTTGGATCTGTGTCAATCGATGATTTATTGCTTTTCGATATTCTTTCTACTAAAAGTTTTTCTCACCTTAACTCCAGAATGAAAAAAAAACAGCCTGGTGACTCAATTAAGACAACAGTTCCCACGTTATCGAACAACATAAAAGTTCCGCTTTACTCCGGGTAGGAACCTTCCTCCTCCTTGATTCGGACCGGAACACATATTCTGAGGCACATATTGTACTGTCACTTCCTGTGAATCTCTGATAAAGACGGGCCTGGCGGTAGCGCCGCAGGTCAATTTTTTGGGTTTGTTCGGTGAATCCGGGCGGAATCGGAGCCATCAGAACCGCAATCATGGTGAGTATTTACTGGGCAGACTGTAGAGCGACTGCTCTGTGCAGATCAGAAAGTATTTTATCGTTGATACTTTTGTTCCGATGATGGCGGGAGTTTGAATGGACGTCAGATAAACGTCGGTGAGCTGCAGCTCCAGCTCCTTCTCACAATGCCGGCTCCTCTGGTTTTAAACTTAATATAAACTTTTCCACAATATGCAGTAATCCAAGCCCTTAACGACTTTATAGGAAATGAGAAACAGTTAATTTAACGGGACTATGCGCTCCATTTGGTCAGCTATCTGTTAGCTGACTTACCAACCCACCTGTGTTTTTACTTTAGTTTCCTCAGTTAGTAAGACTTTCCCTGATGAATATAGGTTCATTCAAAGTAACATGGCTTAAACGAACGAAAACGTGCTTATGGGGCTTAAAAGAGGATATCAAACAGGGTGTATTTTCAGTTTATTGTTCCCCCTATAAACTTATCAAGCAAATATGTCTGTTTTCATGTTTTGTCGATAGGGCCTACCTATATCTGCAAAGAGGAGTCATCCTTAGAAAAGTTTGCAGTAAACTTAGTCCAGTAGTGAGCATCTACACATAAAACAATTAACTCTAAAAATTTACAAAGATGTTCTCACGTTAGCGCTTCGAAATAACGATTCTGTGGAGAGGACTTAAATAAATGTATAAAAAAAGGTGAAACAGTTTTATAAAAGCACTTTCTAAATATCACCAAGGGGGAAACTAAAATAATAAGTTCTTGGATATGAATGCCTTCAGAAGTGATTAAAAAGTAGGGTTCTTATGTGAACAGTGGGTCAAAATAACGCCATGGTCGTACCTCTTGTTACACCAAAAAAAAAAAAAAATCTCCATGTAGGGTTGGGCAATATAGAAAAAATTCATCACAATTTATTTTCATAAAAGTCCATATCGATATATATCACGATTTAAAAAATGAAATTTAGCTGTGCTTAGTGGTAGCATGTCTTTTGCTACACAATAAGCTACTGCATCAGTGAAGTCTTTGTGTCTCTTCGATGTTTGTGTCGTGAGATGTTGCACTGTTAAAGTGCTAATGTTGCGTGTAGCTGCAGCCTGCTACTACACAGTTGTTTGCTATTTGGTTCTAATCTGGCACAAGATTGGGACAGCATGAAGTGAACCTAGAGAAATTCCCCATTTCATTGGCTATTTGTATAGTCTACCAAAACATGGCAGAATGCCGACTATTGAAAAGCATATTGACCATGGCTGTGTCCGAAATGGATCCCTAACCCCTATATAGGTAACTACATAGGGGTTAGCGCCATTTTGAGGGGTGTCTGAAACATCAGTGGTCAATTCGAGTGCCCCATAGGCGACTCAAAATTTCCCATAAAGCATTGCATGTAGTGATGCATGTAGTGACCATCCGATGGCCACTCACCGGTGGTGGGCATCCCGTCATGCATTGCATCTTGCCATGTAGTGTCCGAAACCTCCGGTGATTGAGTTTACTACATAGTCAACTATATAGTGAAATCCCATATGGGGGTTAGGGATTGAGTGATTCATGTCAGACACAGCTCATGTTTTATATTGATATTGAGGGAATTTAATTTTTGATATATCATTTTATCGCCCAGCCCTACCTCCAGGGTACCTAAAATACTACCGCTCTATCACATATTAAACTGACACAAAGCTTCTGAATTTTTACAAGAGTATACAGCTGCAGATTATAGCTTCATGCTTGTTCATCTCATGCTGGCCTGTCCTGCAAACCCTTAGCCTCTCATTTTCTAAACAAAAGCTTTTGTGTAGTCTGTTTTTCAATTAAACTGTAACTGCAGTCATGGTATTAAGCGGTCAAAAATAGATTTCTCCATACTAAATGAATCAGAAATTATCTAAGGTAAGTTGGTATGTTTATTGCCAACAATTTTATAAATGTTTAAATTCCTAAAACAATGGTATTCATCCCTATGTAAGATAATATGTAGACTTGTTGATGTTGGTGTTTTCTTACAGTTAGTGTTTTTCAGTATCCTTGTATGTGTGCACATTCTTGACCTATAGAAGCTTATTCTGAAACATGAAACAACTCTAGTGTTTGAGGCCACATCAGTATTCAACATGACGTTGATTATCCAACATTGGCAAACATTACCATAAGGAGTTTTGATTACAGGATTAATGCTTGTATGTTTGTAAGTCATTGTCATGCTTGTCTCTGACTGGGTCTTAGACGGTGGGTAAGAGCAGCAAGATGCTGCAGCACATTGACTTCAGGATGAGGTGCATCCTGCAGGATGGCCGAATCTTCATCGGCACCTTCAAGGCTTTCGACAAACACATGAACCTGATCCTGTGTGACTGTGACGAGTTCAGGAAGATCAAGTAGGTCCAAGTCCTGAGGTCAAAAGTCATAGGGACCCTGATTTGATCTTCAGTGTGGTTTATCATGACTCTTTATTTCTGTCAGGCCAAAGAACTCAAAGCAGCCGGAACGAGAGGAGAAGAGGGTTCTGGGTCTTGTTCTGCTGAGGGGTGAAAACCTGGTCTCTATGACAGTGGAGGGCCCACCCCCAAAAGATGTAAGTGGTTCCCTGAAGCCAATCAGTGCAGACTGTGATGTCATCTAAACATGCTACATACTGTATACCTGTAATTTTCAAGAACAAAGGTGTGGCTAACATGTTTAACAGATTGTCAGATTATCTTCATTCTAGGCATTAATTTAGAAACATTTATTAAGTTGTAAAGTACAAGTTTCTGTCACTCAAACCTTAATTTACACTAATCTCTCGACCTTTCCTTCCTCAGACCGGTATCGCTCGTGTCCCATTGGCTGGCGTGGCTGGAGGTCCAGGTGTGGGACGGGCAGCAGGTCGTGGTGTTCCTGCAGGGGCTCCGATGCCTCAAGCTCCAGCTGGACTTGCTGGTCCTGTCAGAGGAGTGGGAGGTCCCTCACAGCAGGTAATGCAGGTGGTAGCGCTGTTGGGTGTTCTGCACGCAGGTGTGGTGTGAGCTTAGGTGTTGAAACCCTTCCGTTTGTTTCCAGGTGATGACTCCACAGGGCAGAGGAACGGTTGCTGCAGCAGCTGCAGGAGCAAGTATCGCTGGAGCTCCTACACAGTATCCACCTGGACGAGGAGCCCCGCCCCCAATTGGCAGAGGAGCCCCGCCTCCAGGTGAGATGACCGGGAGCCTAATTCCTTTAGATTCTTAGTGCATAGAGTTGCTTCTAGTGGCCAGATTCTTAGAAAATTCTAAGAAAATTCTTAGAGTCATGATGTTTTCTTAAAATTTCCTCTAAAAGTGAAGAGTAGATCCTAGTAAAGATAAAAGCTATTCCTAAAGAATCTTAGCCATGCCTGTAACTCTCAGTACACTTTTAGAAGATGGTAATTAAACTTGCAAAGTTGAGATCCAGACATCTGAATTGAGTGCTCTGGAAGGATGTCCATGTGTTTGATGTCTCCAGGCAGGCCTTTCTCATGCAGTGGGAATATGAGACTGTAATGTAGTCAGGACAGCCCTGTGATGGAGTATGCATTGGCCCAGTTTGCAATATTACAATGTGATATTATAACAGCCAAAAGGGTACATGCATGAGTTTGTCACCTGAATCAGAACAAAACGAACCAGCTACAGGGGAAGAAGCATCCTCTGCAACTTGATCGGTCTTACTACTTTTGAGGCTTTTAACAGTAGTAAACATGACTCTTAAATTTGATGCCAGCACGCCAGTTACTACGCTTCTCTAATATAATTTTCAAATGTAACTAGTGAGCCTTAAATGTCTTCCCTCACAAATACAACCCCCTCTGAATGTGATGGCAACAGCCAAATAGGAGAGGTTTCAAACTGACTGTCACTGTGGCAACTTAGGTTTCAATAAGAATAAGAACTTTATTCATCGCTGAAGGGAAATTCAATAAAAAAAATTCGATCAATAGAAGTTATTTTTAATTCAATTAATAAAGTTCAATTAATAGAAGAATTAATTGAAATTCAAGACAAGCGTTTTCATGTGACAGTGCAGTATGTCCACAACTACACTTTTTGTTAAATGTCTCCATCGTCTGCAATGATCCCCAGACCACAATCTAAGAGAGTCAGAGTGGGTCTTGACTCTCCTAGAAGCGGCATGATTGACTTCTGTTACATACTGAATGTTTTGCTCCTCCCTCCACAGGTATGATGGGTCCACCCCCTGGCATGCGGCCACCAATGGGCCCTCCAATGGGAATGCCTCCTGGTCGTGGAGCCCCCATGGGCATGCCCCCTCCAGGCATGAGGCCGCCTCCCCCTGGCATGAGGGGTAAGTGCATTTGAGAATCACCAAATCAAAACATTGCTGAAATGACTTTTAACTAACTCCCCTGCTCTCTGTTTCAGGACCACCCCCTCCCGGGATGAGACCACCTCCCCGGCCTTAAAGAAGCCCCTCCCTCTCATCCCTAATTTGTTGTATAGATTTGCTTTTGTACCTTTTTTTTGTTTTGTTTTTAAATAAAGTTTCCTCAGGATGGTTTGATTTCAGCTTGGCTCTGTTCAGTTTGTATGGAAACGGTTCAATAAAAGTCTGAAGTGACAGCCAATCATACCAAAAGTTACTTTTTATTGGTAGGATTATACTTTAATGGGGCTGAGTGGCAGGTTAAGAATAATTCTACATTTGTTTGGATTTACATTATGTACATTATACATGCACAAAAATGCAAAACATATACAAGAGAAACATTTTATGATGGGTTTTACAATGTTGAACGAAGATTTCATGCTTAGCAAAATAATAAACAAAAAAATAAAAGGAAAATTCCAGTAAAATACAATATCAAAGCTTCAACACAAGAAAGTCAAGCCAAAGATGTCCAAACTACAAAAGACCTAAAGACAAATATGAAATGACATTGAGATCATCAAAAATGAACCCATGAACTACATTTGAAAAAGAAAAGAAAACCTTGTCCCTAAGTACAATATAACAATGACAAGAAAGAAAAAAGTTCATCTAATGTAAAATCAAAATTACAGAAAAACCTTCAGCAAAATCAGTAATTCATTTTTGTAAAGCAAATTCATACTATCCCAAACGGATCACTTGGGAAAAGTTGTTGAACCAGACAAAAACAGCACTTTACACATATGTAACAGTAGACAAATAAATAGTTCGACACATTACAAGTACGTGAAAGCAGAACAAAAGGAAAGAAAAGGAATTTAAACATTGGCTTTCTTAAAGTACACTAAACAAATGTCATTACACATGAACATGAAAATAAACCCACGCAAATGTGGATCACTCACATTATGAATTAAAATACAGGTAGATTCACTAAAGGAGAGAAAGCTTTGAAGAACACGCCATATGAAAGCTCACAGCTGAAATAGTTTTAAGTTGCACCAACATATTCTTCAGCCTCACAAAACCTGCTGTTGTTATGGCTTTGGCTTGCATTGCTTCCTGAAGAACATGTTGAATCTATCAGGAACAAAGAAGCACACAATTATTGGTAAGTGACCTCTTCTGGTTCTGTTACATCAGCATCAGTGAGGCTCTGGACTTTACTGCACACACACATTATTTGATTCAGTCTCCTAATAGCACACAACATGGTGGGTAGTGTCAACTGTTGAAGGAGCCAACTTCTCTTTTGTTCGATATGTTGTAATAATTGAAGATAATATGGTGAAATTCCCCAGGTATTTGACATCAGTTTAGACACTATAAACGCTTCATGACATGTGAGACATATACTGTCATGACCTCACCAGCAAAATTAGGGTAATCACAAAAACCTGTTTGTATTTGGCGCCATCTACTGGTAAAAGCATCAAATGTGTTCACTCGTCATGTGATTGTCTGCTGTCATATGACCTGATGTTAAATGATCGGCAGATGCACACACACACAGAACCTCCTGCTGCTGAACCAGGCAAAGAATACTGACAAGGTGAGTGTGTCTCTGTGTTTGTGTGTCTGTCTGACTCAAAGAAAGTCTTTTGTAACTCCCTCTACTTGTTTTGGGGCTTTTTGCCATTCAAACTTGTTTAACAATAGACAGCATTGACCTGAACAAACCTATTTCCGGGTTATCAACGTGGGCAGGAACTATTCCCATGAAGAATTAAAACGTAGTTGTTGTTGTTTTGTGTTATTTTACTTTTTTTCCGGCTTTTATATGAGCTTTTTCCCAGTCTTGCGAGAAAAACGAAGCTGGCTTTGGCAAACTACGCACGTTCGGCTCTGTTACACTGTCTCTGCCAAATATCCCTCAATACAACTGAAATGTAATGTTTGTTTTCCAAACAAGCAAAAGAAATTGATTAAATCAACTCAAACTAAATATTTTGAGTCTTTATTTTTTCGTTATCGATTCGGCTTAAAGAAAACCACCCTCAAACGTTTCTTCCTTTGTGTAAAGATGTTGTTTCTGACGGGTTTTCTTTAGCATTCCTGCTGCGGTTAACATTTAACCACAAACCTTTTAGCTGCTTGATAAACAACGAATAAGGCACATCCTTTGAATGTAAGTTGGGAAACCCGATAAAACCCGAAAAGTTATAAACTCGGGGATAAATGGGAAGCATGAGTGAAAGTCTGCAGTGATTGTTAAGCAACAATCACTGCAGAGTCTGTCCGACAGACACAGACGGTCCACATGAACTGCGTTAGTCGAACTTCATTCAGAAAATCCACAAGTATAGTTTTCTTCTCTGTTGTGTCAACAAAAGCAATCAATATTTGCAAACTGATATCTAGTTTGAATCAGTGACTTACAGTGACCAAATCGGCTCATTAAAATGACTTATTTTGTGTGTTTTCAGTTTAACGTGTTTAATTGCTTTCCTCAGGTGATTTCCTTATCTTTATGTCTGTAGTCCTGAATCTTGTAAAAGGGTTTTGCAGAACACACTGTGACTCTTTTAAAAATCCCAACATAAATACGCTATCAGGAATCCTTGGAGATATATTGAGTAGTTTCACTAAAACTCCTTAAAATCATTTCAGTAACTCAGTCATGTCATCAGTTTTATAATGTCAATTAATTTCACTTCCTGTTATATTTTTGCAGATGCAGGCATTGTTGCTGTGTTGCTTCCTGTTCTCTCTGCTGGGCAGTGATGCAGCTCCAGCGGCAGATGAGGTGACCTATCTGCCCGGTCTGCAGAAACAGCCTAGCTTCAGGCAGTACTCTGGATACCTGACTGTAGCCGATGGGAAACACCTGCACTACTGGTTAGTACCTGAGGCACACCTGCAGCACATCTGACACATCAGCGCCATAACAGCCAATATCATTCAGAGTTTTTGACAGTCCAAAACACAGATGCTCTAAATAACTCAGGTGGCTAACACTAAATAACTGGGAAATAGGTACTAGGCTTAGGTGTTTCAGGTTTTCCCCATTTTCCAGTATATGTGCATGACCGTACAGTCCACTGTATGAAAGGAAGTGAAAAATAAGCTACTTCCGCTGCTAAAATACTATTAACAAAACAGTATCATACTGCATCATTCTGCAGGGCTACATATTAAATTAGCAGGAGATTTTATAAGTCACCCGTGCATTAGCTGCAAATTCCCCTAATACTCATTGTATTACCTGAAAACGTCCATTAGGCTCGCTAAAGCAACTGCAAGTCCACCTGTGGCTCTCTATGACTATGTGTTAAAGCTATTAAGTTTCACATTTGCATCCCTCACTTGTACAATTCACTTATGTCTTAGCCCCGTCCACCAGAGATGGATGGAGAAACACAAGGAAATAAAAGGGGAGAGATTGAACAAGGAAATGCTTTTTAAGAGACATGAGATGTCTTTTCCTCAGGAGCGTCACATGATTTTTAATACAGGGGCGTGCCTGTCAGTGAAAAGACCTCCATACATGCTGCTCTTTTGTATCCTCCTTCATTGCTCCTCTTAGACTGCGGTTGAGGGATTTGGGATATATGACATTTTTCCTCCAAGTCTTCTTAGGAGTAGTAGCATCACCTGTGTATCGAGCTGAGACTCAACATCTCTCTTGCAAAGCCTAGCCCTGGAGTCACATCATCACCTGCAAGTCTACTTGAGACTTGTTGTCACCTGCAAATTCACCTGTGGCTGGTCATGTCATCTCCTGCAGGTCCACCAAGTCATGCTTTATCACTCACCAGTTTACCCGAGAAGCCCTAAGTCCACTTACCTTTCCCCCTGAGCTTGCTATTTTACTGGCAAATCCACTTCTGGCTGGTCCTGTCACCTGTAAGTCTGCCCAAGGTTGACTAGGTTGTCTTAACTCCTTCAGTTGGTCCCCAAGTCACCTGCAAGTTCACCTTAGGCTGTCCAGACTTTTGCAAACACAGTTAAGGCACATTTGTAACATCTACCTGTCCTCAGGTAAACTGTGTGCTGTTGTTTCAGGTTTGTGGAGTCCCAGAAGGACTCGTCTTCTGACCCTGTGGTATTGTGGTTAAATGGTGGTCCGGGATGCAGCTCTCTGGATGGACTGCTGACTGAACATGGACCATTCCTGGTGGGTATCCCTTGATTTTTGCCCACCTGAGTCTCCGTCATCTGTAATAGTGTGACATAATAGGGACACCTACTGACCTCTGACCTCTGTTGTTTCAGATCCAGGACGATGGCGTGACGCTTGAGTACAACCCGTACTCCTGGAACAAGGTCAGATAGAAAGTAACTGATCTTAACCGACTTGCTGTCATGTGATTCAGGCAGTGAGGTCACTTTTAGATATGAGTTTAATCCCTGAAAGGTTCATTATTTCACAGATTGCCAACATGTTGTACCTGGAGTCTCCAGTAGGTGTCGGCTTCTCGTATTCTGATGATCAAAACTATGTTACAAATGATACTGAGGTCAGTGACATCCCTTCGGCTCCGCTCCTGATTGGCTCTCAAGTGTTCAGTCAGGTGTGTGAAGTGTTCTTTTTCTCCTCAGGTGTCCATGAACAACTACCTGGCTCTGAAGGAGTTCTTCCGCCTGTTTCCAGAATTCAGCAAGAATGAACTTTTCCTGACTGGGGAGAGCTACGGAGGAATCTACATCCCCACGCTGGCAGAGAGAGTAATGGAGGATGCCAGCCTTAACCTGCAGGTACACACGCATACTGAAGTACTACACACAAATACTGCAGTACTACACACAAATACTGTACTACAAGCCTCAAAGTGTAGGCACATCCTCATACTGCACTAACTAATCATACGGTTCTGCATGCTTGTAATGCAGTACTATACAAATGCCTTTGCACCACACACGTATCATAGCTGTGATACCTGTGTGGCACAGATTTACCTCCTAATACTGCAGTAATGCACACTTATAACGCAGTCATATGTACTTATGCTGTTGCATTAGAAAAGTACCAAATTTTAATGTGCTGTTACTGCAGACCATACTTTTATATTAGTACTAAAACAGTGAGAATGAATGATTTTGGCTTATCCCTTTAGGTTCATGCTCATACTACAGGGTTCTTAAAGGGATATTCCGGCGTAAAATTAAGTTAAGGTCAAACACACCGTAACATCGAGTTAGACACCCCCTTGAGAGACTCGAATGTTGCCGACCACTTGCTGTGACGCAGCTCAAGGAAGAACATTTATGATCATTTCTTTATCATTTCCTTGAAGTAATAATCACCATATTTATCATTTTGCACTGCAGACGCGGTAGTTCTTCTGCCTTCGCGTCTCTGTCTGATTGCATTTCCATGAGGATATGATCATAAATGTTCTTCCTTGAGCTGCGTCACCCCGCAGCAGTCCGTAATGGTCTGGCCTGAGGTCTCTCTACAAACAATCATCTCTCGATTCATAACTCGGTGTTATGGTGTGTTTGACCCTAAACTAATTTTACGCTGGAATATCCCTTTAATCCTACTGAAGTACTCCTGATACTGTAGTACAACACATTGTATTGCGGATCTACATATTGGTGTGACAGAAAAATTGATCAATACTGCAGTACCACACAATAATGCAGTACCAAGTGATGGAGGACAGCCTCGGCCTACAGGAATAACTTGAAGTAGTACACACCACTTTTGCAGCACTGTAGACTGATGGATGGTGCTCACCGTGTGTCACCTGTCTCCCTTGTCCTGCAGGGCATCGCTGTGGGAAACGGGATGTCGAGTTACGAGATGAATGATAACTCTCTGGTGTACTTTGCGTACTACCACGGCCTGCTGGGGACCCGCCTGTGGAAGGAGCTGCAGGATTTCTGCTGCAAGGACGGACAGTGTAACTTCTACAACAACGCAGACAAGAACTGCTCCCTCAGCGTGAGTCTCAAAACCTCTAAATCCAGTTTATCCTCAGTTTGAGTAACAGTAGCACATTTGAGCCATTTCTGATGTATTTGAGCTGGTTAATCCCATAATCTCTGTTAGACCACTTCATACGGCTTCAGCAAAGCAAACAGTGAGGTTCACTGATTTATTCCAAATCCTACCCCAGAGCCAAATTCACTGGTTTCAACTTAACTAGGCCATTTTTTTTTCAGTGAATCCACACCTGGTTTTAGACTGCAGGGCTCTGCTGTTCAAGAGTAACCTGATAAAATTGACCTAGATTATCTGGTCCAGTATTTCTTTAAAAAAAGCGATGAGGAAAAGTAAGATTGATCGTCAGATCTGATAAAAAGTAAAATGTATGGACTCTTCTTTCTGTGGTTAAAATATCTGAACAGCAGGGTCCAGGTGGTCTGACACTTTAGAGAACTTAGTCTGGTGTGAACTAGTTTGCCTTTGGATGGATTACCCAAAAATAATCTGAATTAAATCTGTCCTTTTGTGGTCAAGTCAAATTTTGTCAGGTTCAAACATTTAAGTCTGAGGTCTTGTTTGTTCTGCAGCTGTCTGAGGTTCAGGACATCGTCTACAGCTCAGGACTGAACATGTACAACCTGTATGCTCCTTGCCCAGGTGGAGTCCGCCAGAGACTCAGGTAAACTGTGACCTCAGTCTCATCATAACAAGCTCTGTCCAACTTTATTACCAAGATTTTACTGTAGAAGTTTGAGTTTACAGCAAACATAAACCAAGCTCACCTGCAGCAGGTGTGTCACAGATGACAGAAGTTTGTTTGTCATTGATGAAACTCCTTTAATTTATCCACTCTCAGTATTGAAGACGGTGAGCTGGTGATCAGAGACTTGGGGAACTCGTTTGTCAAACATCAGTGGACACAGATGTGGAACCAGGTGTGTATGAACTCACCTGACGCCTTTACACTGAAGCCTCCTCATCTGAACACATAAACATACCTGATTCTGTGTATGTGTGTGTTTTTTCCATGTGTCTGTGTGTGTTTGAGTAGAAGTTAAAGGGTCTGGCGGCTCTCCACCTGTCTGTGCGTCTGGACCCCCCCTGCACTAACTCCACCCCTTCCTCCCTCTACCTGAACAACCCTTATGTCAAAGGTGCCCTGCACATCAGCCCCAAGGCTCTAGACTGGGTCATCTGCAGGTAACACACCTGTTCCAAGCAGCAGTTTGTCAAGCGTTTTACTCCATCAGACTTAGTACCTGGGTTGGACTTTGTGCTGCAAACTGCCATTGATTTATGTTTTATTTTCCTCTGGGACTTGATGAAAACTTTTAAAATGAGACCTTTGACCTCTCTGTTGTGTTGCAGTTCTGAGGTGAACCTGAACTATGGGCGTATCTACATGGAGGTCAAGAAACAGTACTTGAAGCTGCTCTCTGCTCTGGTCAGTGAGCACAACACTAACTCTCACACACACCAGCTTTATTCAAAAATAAAGCACATTTTACCACCTGATCGACTATCTAACATTAAGTCTGATCTGGTGGATTCAGGATGATGCTTACTTCCTCAAGTGGGCATGGCTTGTTTATTTAGGTGTGTCTTTGCGGTCTCTCTGCAGAAGTACAGAGTACTGGTGTATAACGGTGACGTGGACATGGCCTGCAACTTCATGGGAGATGAGTGGTTCGTTGAGTCTCTGCACCAGCAGGTAACACAGGATGGAGTATGCAGGACCTTAGAAAAGCTTTAACTTCAGGCGTGTGGTGTCAGGCATCTCTAATGTATGTTAACCTGTCTGATGTCACTCTTAGGTGGAGGTTCAGAGACGCCCATGGCTCTACGATGACGAAGAGGGTCGGCAGGTTGGAGGTTTCGTCAAAGAGTTTGATAACATCGCTTTCCTTACTGTCAAGGTAAAACACACCGTCATAATTCATCATCTCTCTTCATAAAAGGGGCAGTAGATTAATTTTGTTTAATAATGTAAATTTCTGCAGATTTTATCAAGCTCTTTATTTGAACTCTGCTGCTGACCTTTAACCTCTCTCTTGCTGCAGGGATCTGGTCACATGGTTCCATCAGACAAACCAATCGCTGCATTCGCAATGTTCACAAGATTCATCAAACGACAACCCTACTAACCCCCTGACCTCTGCCCCCTGGCCTCTGACCTCTGCTGGTGCACCTTCAGGCTACTGTACTTTAATTTGACATGATTTTTTACACTGCCACTCCATCAGCTCTGTCTCAACCTCAGCCAATCACATCACTCTTCCAGTTCCGGGTCGGCATGTTTTCAGGGTCACCATAGCAACATGCACTGCCCTCAGTCTGTATAAAACTGAATGTGAATTTTTTTTCTTTTTTTGGTGTTTTTGTTGATTCAAAGGGAAATAAAGTGTTAGTCCTTTACTTGTCTCAGCTTGTCTTTTACCAACTCTCTTTATGTAGTTCAGCATTAATGGAACCTTCATGGATACGGAAACTAACCTTGCCATGGACACTTTTGATCCCCAAACCATTAAATCTCTTACCATCTTTCATTCTGAGAGGCTCAGTCTCTCTGAATGCACTTTCTATACTCAGTCATGTTATTAACCCGGTTTAAATGATCCTCTCTTTTGTTCGGAGATGTTCCTCTAGCTATTTTTTTTTAAGCATTACACAACTTTTGACCTGCTCGGTTGTCCCTCTAACAACTTTTTTAAAATATGTTGCTGGTATCAACCTAAAGCAAGTATACATTTTTCATCATAACATTTGCCAGTTTCAACATTTGATATGGTTCCTTCAGTTAAGCATAGGGTGTAAATAATTTTCAAATTGTCAGTCTGTTTTTAGTCATCATTTTAAACAGCAGCCATTAATTAAATTGGGGCTGTATTTTGCTCGGTAAGTATTGAATTTTCACAGTTATAAAGATGAGATAGACTCATTTTTTTTTTTAATACCACACATTATTTTATCCAACATTATAACCATTGAAATTAGACTCAAGGAAGCTGTCAGGGTTTTGCCCTGTGATAGGCTGGTGGCCTGTTCAGCATGTACTCGCCTCTCGTCCAATGACAGCTGGGATAGACTTCAGCTCCCTGTGACCTTCAACAGGAAAAAAAGAGGTAAAAGATAATGGATGGATAGATGTCAGGATTTCAGTTTGTATGGGTTTTGGCGCCACCTGTGGACAAAGTGTGCAGTCCATTCCAAATTGCTGAATCAATCGTGTACTCCAGAATTGCCACTGTGATAATCTGACCCTATTTGAGATGCATTAGTTTGCAGTTATCCATCAATTGAGGCACAAACACCCCCTTTCTTCTCGGGTAATCTGTATTTGGTAATCTATAAAAGTTTATCTAGACGAGAATGATCCAATCCAGTTTTGCTGTGAAAATCCAGGAACACTGTTAGGGGGAGAACCTTATCCTGGATTGAAAAAAGTGGATTTTCAAATGAAATCACTGTCATCCAGATTAAACCTGTTGAATGTCTGTTTTCTGATTTTTTTTTGTCCGTCAGCCTCCTGTCACTCTCAGGGACAGAAAAACTGGTTCAGTCTGTTTATTGACAGTAAACTGAATCAGAGTTTCTGTAAACATCAGTACACTGTTAAGTCTGAGTCTGGCAGTCAAAGTTTAGAGAGAAGACTTAGCCCAATGTTAAACACGCTGATATAATGAAGTCTCCCAGCTGTCCCTGAAGGCAACAGCAGGTGAGACAGCGTTCAGAGTTTTGACTTTCAGAGTGACCTGACTGTTTTCACTGTGAGTGCTTCAGCTTACCTGGACTCACCTGTGCAGGTAGGACGTTTCTCTACATTCTGTTACATTTAACCAGACTGTTAGATGTGAGAGACACATTGAGCTGTGGGTGTAAAGGTGAATTTCCAGTTTTAGTGTTTTTAAAACTCTGCATATCTCATTAATATGCAAGTCTTGAATATATGGTGGTTTGGTAAAAGTAAAAGATGTTTATTCATACACAGAATTTAATTACATTATTTTTTATCATTTTCCAGAATTATCTCCATATGCACCTCTTTTCTCTTTAAATGATACTTAAGTTTGTTTTACTCAAATGATTTCTATTGCAAACCTGATTTTTATTCTGCAGGTCTGCTTTTCTTTATTTACACCAACCTTGGCTTTCATAAAACCCGATAGACAAATTTATGAACTTTAATAAATTAATACTTTGAGCTCACAGTATTAATGACAGAAACCTCCATTTACGTCTTTTCTCTTAGAGTTAAACAAGTTGTTCAGAGTATTTAAGAAAGGAAACAAACTTAAAGTGTCGAAGTGAAGGTTTGGTAATCTTGACTGCTGTTTAAACTGTAAATATTCAGTCTGTGTCCAAGAGGAGAACTGTTAATCAGTCTGAGTGTCAGGCTGTTACTGATTAAATGCTTGACCTACAGTCACTGATTTTATCCTCAAAAGACAACTTCACCCTGTAGAGAGATATTTGTCCCCTGAAACAGTTCAAACTGCTGTTATTGTATCAATTTAATATCATAAGATACTTCAACAGACTTCAGTTAGATATGACAGGAGAAGGTGTGACACGCCAAAGTAAATATGAGTGATGAAACAGGTTCAGCAGGATTAAAATCAGGGTCATTAGAGGATCTTAAGAATCAGATGTTATTAGAAAGACGACTACAGGATAAATGTCACTTTGTGTGTGAAACTACAGTGAAAACAGTGTCTGTGTCAGTCTGTGAGCAGCAAAAAAGCGTCTTGACCCAAATAGAAAACTTTTTTCTTAAGAGTGCACCTCAGAACTTTTGAATCACTGATAACTTTGCTGACTATTTTAAATGTAGTCCTTGTTAGTAGATGAAAATGCCTGTTGGCATTAGTCAAGTATAAGTTGTTCTTGTCGTTTGTAGTCTTGGTCTATGCAAACATTTTTGTGCAAACTTGGATAGGAATAGCTTAAAAAATCACTTCTGACCCGACTCACCCTGCCCACTGTGCCTATGAGACGTTATAGGGCAATTGCCACCAAAACAACCTGCTCTAAAAAACAGTTTAATTCCCGCTGCAATAAACATTTTGATTTCTGAACAAACAAGCATGACCCCTATGCATCATAAAATATGTTAGTCTGTGTTATGTTTAGTAATGTTTCTTTTTATGTCTAATGTCCTTCTTGCTGGAACTTGCACCAAAAAGAGCTGTACTGAAAACAAATTCCACCAGCCTGGCTGTGTGGTCATTAAATCAGATCAAAATCAAAAATTAAAATCAGTCAATAACTTTAAAGTTTATATGAAATGGTAAAGGGACCAAGAGTCAAATCTAATAAATGGTCGCACATACCTTTTGAGCAAACAAATTTGAGAACAAATGGTCAGTCATTGGTATGGGATTGAACAGAGGCGTTGCGCAAAAACATGGGCCCCATATAAAGGTATTCTCTAAGGGACCTGCCTGTATTCAGGTCTGTTTATTATTTTGTCTTTGTGGGCCCCTCTGTACAAAATTGCAGAGAAACTACCCACCATGATGCCTCACTTTTTTTAAGTAAAGGTAGCGGATGAGAAGTTAGTCACCATCTACTCAACAGCTAAGAATAAATTTACACATTTGATTTACCTAGTTACCACCCAGAACTCTTTGTACCTTACCAGTCCACTGGTCCAACAAAGTATAAAGGCCACAGTAAACAAACAAAAAAACAAGACTATTTTTTTAATAAAAAAAAGAAGTCTGAATAATTTTCTCTGAAAAAAGTTAGAGTTAAATCGTTTTCTTTCTGGATTACGGCTGTATGATAAATTATTTTTCTTATGAGAAACAAAATTTTAGCAAAATGATATTCTTAGGACAGTTGTAAGTAAATTAAGCGTGAATGTTACAAGGTTCAAGTCATATATCTGTGAGAGTGAAGTCATCATGTTCTGAGAATACAGTGGTGATAAAGTGGTAGTTTTGGTATGGTAGAAGTCTGTACAAAATGAGAAATGTGGAGGGTCTGGTTAATCTTTTGTCACTACATTGTTGTAAGTATCAGTACACTGAAGAAAAAAAAACTTTATTCTAGTAATACTCCATTGCAGTTAGCTGACCTCGCATACTGATATGTTTTCATAGAGTAATGATAAATTGTCCTCAGGTCACAGTGGATTGTGTTCTGCCTGTTTTTCTTCTCCTTACAGACTGTTTTCCCTACAAACACCAAAGACTGTTGATATCTGATTGGTCCTTTAACAAAACTAGAACATTTACCTGCTGGAATCCAGACCGCTGAGTGCAGAGTCTACATTTTAAAAAATCATCTATAAGAAGAAATTACAGTTTGACTGAAGTTTACAAATATGACACAATAGGCCTATGTGATCGACAAAACCTACTGTAGGAGAGAAGCAACTAAAACACAGTAGTTTTCCTTTAAAATCTTTTTAAAACGTTAAACAATAATGTGACAGTGTCTCTTCTTTCAGGTGAGGAGTAATAGGTGAAAATGGACCTATCACTGTCCAGTGGGCGGGGCCATGTGAGCGTCCTCAGTTGTTTCCCCCCTAATGTGGGCAAAGATGTTGCTGTGGCTTTGGTGAAACCCCTGAGAGCCGGCCTGGGAAACCCTGAAACCCGCAGCCTCCTCCGCACAGACAAACAGGTGTGTGTGTGTGTGTGTGTGTGTGTGTGTGTAAAACCTCTTTGGAAAATGTACACAAACACTTAGTGTTGATGTGTAATCTGCATTTCGTGTTTGCTCACAGCTGAAGTTGAGACTAAAAATCATTCACACAGTTAGAGAGCAGTGTTCAATGAAATCTTTATTTAAATTATTGAAAGTGACAAAACAACATCGCCTATAAAATAGTACTGGATTTCATGGTTGGTAGAAAGTTAAATGAGGATCCTTTCAGGTGAAGTGGACGATGGAGGTTTTGTGTCATGGTCTGACTCTGCCATTGGATGGAGACACAGTAAAACACTGTGTGGATGTCTTCACTGACTGGCTGATGGCTCTGGTTTCTCCAAGAGACTCGATCCCTCCACCAATCATCAAAGAGCCAAACCTGTTTGCCCAGAAGATTCTCAGACACCTCCACAGCCTGTTCCTGCCCAGGTATGCCAACACACCTGGAAAAAATTTTCAGCAGACTTCTCAATTCAAACCTTGGCCTGCCCCATGAATGAGGACCCTTTTTATGAAAGACTCCAAAAGATCTTCTAGTGTTTCCTCGAGAAAGTTTTCTACTGGTGTTAGTGGTCCTAGAGGAGTCCTCGGGTGTTCTAGTGTCTTTGGTGGTCTTAAGGTGCCTAGTTTCCAATCTTTGGGTATTCTAGAGGTCCAGGTTGAGAATTTGTGGGTTCTAGTGGTCCCGGTAAAGGTTTGATAGTCCTAGTAGTCCTAGCAGAAGTTTAAAAGGGTTCTTGTGGCCTTTACAGAGGATTTTGGGACTCTAGTGGCCCTAATAAAGGTGTGGGGGCTTCTAATGGCCCTGTTGTTGTGGTCTTAGAGGAGTTTTGGTGGATTCCAGTGTTCTAAGCAGAGGCTCCTGAGGCTCTAATGGAATTAATTGGGTTTTAAAGGGATATTCCGGCGTAAAATTACTTTAGGGTAAAACACAACATAACACTGAGTTAGACATCCCGTCGAAAGATGAATGTTGCCGACCGCTTGCTTCTCTAGTTATACCAACTCAAGTATCAACTGCAGGATAGCAATACACAGCGATCTCAGGAGCCATAAACAAACCTCAACCAAAAAGTCACTTTATAGCCACAAATAATGCTCAGAACAGCACCTAACTTCATCAACAGTACATATAGGGTCCTAGCCATAGTACTAGCCACTAAACATCTTTTTAACTTTGCCTGATTTCTTTAACAAAGAGACTAAACACAACTCACCTACTCACTTTCAGCAGCCGCTTGTTTGGAGCGAGACCTCAGGCCAGTCCATTACGGACTGCAGCGGGGGGACACAGCTCAAGGATGAGTATACTGTATATTGATGAAGTTAGGTGCTGTTCTGAGCATTATTTGTGGCTATAGAGTGGCTTTTTGGTTGAGGTTTGTTTATGGCTCCTCAGACAGCTGTGTATTGCTATTGTGCTTTCGTTACTAAAGTTGGTAAAACTAGAGAAGTAAGCGGTCGGCAACATTCATCTTTCGACGGGTGTCTAACTCAGTGCTATGGCATGTTTGACCTTTAATTAATTTTACGCCGGAATATCCCTTAGAGTTGTGTCATTGGGGATTAATTTATATTTCCCTCTGCCCCCTTACAGGTCAGACCAGGTGAGTCCAGTCCATGTGTCTCTCTGTCAGCAGGTTTTGTATACAGTTCAGTCATTGGCCAGAGAAAGCACTGTGATGAGCAAAGACACCTGGGAGACTCTACTGCATTTCCTGCTTCGCATCAACCACACCATGCTGGCTCCACCAACCACTGCAGGTGAGTCCGTGGCTCCGTCTCACTCTGTGTCCTAAAGCTGTCTGTCTCTCATTCATGTAACACTGCCTAAACTGCCCACCTGTCTGTCTGTCTGGGGGGGTGTTCTGGAGCAGCAGTCCAAGCTGTGTGCCTTTTTTACCTGTCTGTATCACAACTGTGCCTCTTTTATTGAATTCTTTCTCCTGTCTGTCTTTCTTCTCTTTGTTTTTCATCTGTCTGTCTCCTTACTCTCTACATTTTCATCTGTTTCTGTCCAGTTGTTAACTTTCACCTGTTAGATTTTTTTTCCCTGTCTGTTTTTCACCTATTCTTCCGCTGTCTGTCTCTCAACTATTTTTCTCCCAACTGTCTGTCTCTCACTTGTCTACTTAGCAACTGCTGGTCTCCTGTCTGTCTCTCTCCTCTGTCCATCTCTCACTCCTATCTTTCTCTTACCAGCCTGCCTATCCTCACCTGTCTATCTCTCTCCTATCATTCTATCACCCGTGTGTCTCTCTCCTGTCGGTCTCTCTTCTGTCTTTCTCCCACTTGTCTGTCTCTCACCTGTAATGCTTTTTACCTGTCTGTCTCTCTCCTCTCTGTCTCACACCTAACTGTCTGTCTCTCTGTAGGTGGTCTGTCCGATCATCTGTCTCAGCTGTCGATGGCGGTGCTCTTTGAAGTCTGGTTGCTGTCTTGCTCTCGCTGTTTCCCGTCCCGCTCTCTGTGGCAGACGGGCAGACAGATGTTGAGCAGTTGGAGACATCAGCTTGCTGTGGTGGAGCAGTGGAGCCGAGTCATTTCTGCTCTGACCTCCAGGTGAGCAGGTAGACAGGTAATCTTTCCTCCCGTGGTCCTCTCAGGAGTCTTCTTATTGCTTATATCTGTGTGTGTGTTTTGTCTCCAGGTTGTTGCTGCTGACATTTGGTCCGACCTTCCCTCAGTTTAAAGTCCCAGATGAAGATGCGGCTCTGATTCCTGCAGATATGGAGGATGGACGAGTCTCGCACACCTGGTTCAGATTCTTACACCTGCTCAGGTAACACAACCCTCTGATATGTCAGTTCTTAAAAACAGCTGGTACCTTTATGTAAGTTTTAGGGCAAAAAATGAACCTAAATAAACCTCCCTCAGATATCATTGTTTTTCGTCTCAGTAACCCTGTGGACATCAGTCGCCTCTCTGGTGGTCCATCTCTATCTACTCAGGATGAGGCGTTAAGAGGAGACAGCCAGCTGCCACACATCTTCTTTAGAGCAATGAGAGCAGTCAGCACGCTGGTCGATGCCTTCCTGGGTGCGTTGATCTCTGACATTCGTCAGTTCTTCACAAATATCCCTGTTTATGTCCTCTGACAGTCCAGCTGTTCAAATCCAGAAAAGAGGACAGGGTTAAGAGTTGAGTTAATGTTTACATTCAAGCTTTTAAAAACAGGACGTTATGGAATATTTACAGTTTAAACAGATGGGTGAAAACTGCAGGATATTACATATCAATAAACATTCACTATAAGAAGAAATGCCTTAGTTTAACTTGTGTTTCTGCAGGTGTAGCTGTGGTCAACAGAGAGCCCACAGAGCAGCTGCTGTCACACACTGGTATGTACACATGACATATACACTTACACACAACTTTATACTCAGGGTTAAAAAATGTTTATATTGACATAATGACACATACACTGTTTTGTTTGTTTTCTCAGGAATAACATTGAGGGTCAATAACAGAGACTGGTTGCCTTCCATTGGTAAAACAGTTTAATTCAAAGTGATCAGTTCAATTTGATTAGTATGTGTTAACAAAAACAGTCTTCTCTCTGTTTGTCCATGTATGTAAATGTCTCTTTTAACTGTTACTTTTATCTGTTAAAATGATTCTTAAAACATAAGCTTTAAGCGTTTTTTTCATAAATTTGTTTTTCTAGTTCAAAACTCTTTTTTATCTTATCTCCTTCAAGGTGTTTCTGTGACCAAGAGCCCATTCAAAGACCGCCTCCCCTCCTATGGTAAGCCCCGCCCACTGAGCATCCTACCCTGGTTTGATGTCTAAAAGGAGAGCTTCGTTATTCTTCTGTCCTCTGGCCTCAACAGGTCTCTCTCGCCCTCGTTCTGGCAGTGCCCCACCTAATCCTGTGAATATACTAACCCTGCCCAGTGGCCCACCTCCTGCCACCACCTCCCCACCTGCACATGCTAAACGACTGAGAGCTGTTCATGTTTCCAAGGCAACCAGCAAACCTCCAATGGTACGACACTGTTTGCAAATCTTATGTACCTGCGCAGGAACATATCCACGTGTCTTATGGTTCAGGTGTAACTTTCCAGGTACATTTCTTTTTGATATTCAGGTACATGTGCAGGTAGATGTCTCTTACCTGCACAGGTAAAAGTGTTTTTGCATGTTCAGCCTTGTCTACTTATCTGTACAGGTAACTGTCTTCACTTGTCCTTTTAAATATCTGTTTGTATGTCCAGCTGCTTGTCTCTTTATCTTTTTAGTTACATGTCTCAAGATGTCCAGGTTTTTCTACCTGTCCAGATATATGTCTGATCATATATTCAGTCATCTGTATATGTGCAGTAGATACGCCTTTACCTCCATTGCCATTCATTTTACATGTCAAGTTTAATGTCATATCACCTGTTCAGCCACATGTCTGTCTTCTGTCTTGGTATATTTCTCTTCACCTGCACAGATACATGCATCTTTACCTGTGTGTCTAACCGTGTTATAACCGGTCTAAGTAAGAGTTTCTTCATCTGTGCAGGTGCTCCTCTTGTCCTCATTCTGTATGTTTGGATGATAATCATGATTCATTTGCTTTATTCTCTCTTCTCTTAGACATCCTCCTCCCCTCATCCCTGGAAGACTCCCACTTGTCCTCCTTCCTACTGCCCTCCTTTGTACTCCTCCCCGCGATCATCCCCCTCTCCTATGAGGTGTAATTTAGACTCCCTCCTCCACCTGTTTGGTCACTGGCTCTTTGACGCTGCTCTGGTTGGCAGAGACTCTGGTCAGGCTGGTCAGTAGTTGAAATAACAACATCCCACAGAGTAGTACACAAACTGCACACAACTATACACCTGTTGTGCTTGGTACTTCACAGGTCAACATTCGGCTAATAAACTCTGTATATGTCTTTTCCAGTCGATCAGAGTGATGTCACTGCGATGTCAGAGAGGTGGGCTGTTGGTCAAGCTGAGTCCATCGGGACGCTCTGCAGGATCTTCACCTGTAAGAAAACTGCAGAGGACATCCTGTCAATCTACCTGTCCAGGTACAATTTTGCTTTATATATTTCCAGGTATATTTGACTTATTTTATTACTTATTTATATTTTGTTTTATTTCTGCCCAAATAGGCATGTTTCTGAGAGTCTTTCTACCTGTCCAGGTGTCTGTCTGTTCTGCTATTTACTCCTGTCTCCATACCTGTCTCTATACAATTTTGTCATGGTTGCAGTCTCTCTAATTCTCCTGTACTTGACATTGTCCCTTGTAATAAGCTGTAAGTCATTTTTAATAAGCTGTTAATGAGACATTGGAAGATGCTAATAAACATGAATAAATCTTTGTACATACTAATAAAGCAAATTAATTCCATTGCTATTGCTTTTAAGACAATTTAAGAAAGTTTTAACTATTTAGTTAATGTACACTTTGATTCTAATGAAGACTAAAACAGTAATATTAATATTGAAAAAAAATTATTACAAATCTAACAAAGCTATTCAAAAGCTATCTCTAAACAGTAAAGAACTGTAACCAATCCACTACAAGTGTGTTAAAATTCAATAATGGTTTATTTATTTATAATATACCTTTTAAAATATGTCAGTAAGGATCATCATGCTTTTATTTCTCAGTTAATACTTACAGAGACTTGTTTATGTTCCTTAGTGTCTTAGCTGGTTTCATAAATGTCTTATTAACTCTTAATTACTGCTTCTTACAAAGACATTTACGCAAAGCCAATTTTGTGTGTCCAAGTATTTGTTTATTTACATTAAGTAACTTTTCAGGCACTTCTCTGTCTACCTGTCCAGGTAATGATTTTTTCCCTGTCTGTCAGTTTGTCACCTGAAAAAATCGATTTGTTCAATTTTTTTGGCGAATCCTTATCTACCTTTCATGCATCCAGGTGTTTGTCTGATCATCAGTCAGGTAAAGCCCTCTAATGACCCTTTGGTATTTCTCAGTAGGTGCTTGTGGGCGGAGCCGGCTCACCTGTTTATGTCTCTGTTTGATTTGTCTTTAGCACCATGAAAACTAAAATTTCAAGCCGGTTAAACTTTTCGCCGCTCTGTCCCACCTTTAGATTCTACCTAGTTCTCCTGCAGAGTCTTCAGGTACCTGAGGAGGCATGTCCACATGTTCTAGCCTCCATCCTGCTAAACTCAACCTGTCTGTTCTGTTGTGATCTGAGAGGAGTCAATGTGCTGCTCCCCGCCTTCATCTCAGCTTTGGAGAATGTGCTGCTCGACAGGTAGACAGGCATGCACCTGAGCGAGTGTCAATCTCAAATCTTTAAGGTAGCAGGTGTGTCCGTGACCCTTCACCTGCAGGTACATACAGGTGTAACTGTGGGTAATTATTCTCTCTGTCTGTGACTGTTTGCTTAGGGAGCTGCTGAGGTTTAAGGGATTTGTGAGTCCAGTAGATTTAAGGCGAGCATCAATTCTCATCCTGCTGTCCCTGCTGCCACTTCCACTGCAGTTCCCCTCAGTTCAGTCACAGGTGAGCTTCCCACAATACCTTCACACCTGTGCAGAGCTGACAAAGTCATCAAATGTGATTTGAATAATTGAAAGATGTTTACTCTTGTGATCTCTACCAAGCACTTATGGGAATAAATTAACATGTGTTTGCCATTTCTGCATATTTCAGTCATGTATATAAACCTGCCAGTAATCTCAGAGATATTTTAGGAACCTAAAATCAGAACTGAACTCCTTTATTCACATGGGTATCAGGCTCCTGTGATTTTTATTTATTATGTTTTTATTTTGGAACAAAATTTTGGTGCCTGTTCCCTCCTTGACATCAACGCTCATTAATAGTCCATTATGTGTGTACATCCAGGTGTTACTGGACAGGCGGCTCAGTGGTGATGACATCACAGCAGGTAACTTCCTGTCCCTGAAGCCCCGCCTCATCAGTGTTCTGATGGGGGCCCTGCAGACAGAGACAGACACCTTCAACACTCAGATTATCCTCTGTGAGTCTCAGGTTTCTGATTTCTGATTCTGGATTATATCTTTTTTTTTTCAGAGGAAAAACAGATCAACTGATCATATCTGAAGAATTGGCTCTAGTTTGTGCAGCTCTAGCTTTAGACATTATCAGAACAACCTTCTGGTAATGATAACATCGACAACTTTCCAGAGAAGTCTAGATCTGTGACTAAATGTACAAAATCATTTGATTTGATTTCTGTTAGTGTAAAACATTTCCTCTACAATAAACTGAACCAGTGGTTCTCAATCCAGTTCTAGAGGCCCACTGTCCTGCATGTTTTGGATGTTTCCCTGCTCCAACACTCCTGATTCAAATGATGAGCTCGTTATTAAGCCATTACAGAGTTTGATAACGAGCTGATCATTTGAATCAGGTGTGTTGGAGCAGGGAAACATCCAAAACATGCAGGACAGTGGGGGCTCTAGGACTGGATTGAGATCCGCTGAGTTAGACCAAACCCACTTCATGATACGGCCACAATGTTCCATCACAAAAGTTAGAGGCACATTTTCACCTGTTCATAGTACCTCCAAGTAAAACTTATTTTTTAAACTGATCACTGTGTTAGTAAAATGGTAAAAAAAAAAAAAAAAAAAAAAAACATTTTTAAGACATTCTTGTTGCAATGGTTTATTTTTCCAAAAGTAGCCTTCACAGGGGCATACAAATTTTTTTTTCGACTTGGGGGCCCAGGTAGGGCTCTGACTTATATAGGGGTGGCCTTGAGTGTGAACACACACCAGCTCAAAGCACTTTTTTGCCCCACACTTCCTCATGAATCACAGCTTCTTAAAGATTAACATTCAAGTATTACAGATACTAATCCTGTTGGTGTCATGGTCTTTGTGAATACTCAATTCTGATTGGCTGGAGGGTTTTAATTAACTTTTGATACATTGACACTGATGGAATTTTTCCAACTCTGTGACATAAGAACTGGATGAAATGGGCTTTTTCGAGCAATGATATTATCACTGCAGTTTGTGCCATGCAAGGGAGAGGATAAAACCAACCACAATGGTCAGTTATCATAATTACTTCACAATATCAACTCATGCAGTAACAAGAGAAAACACCTCCCCTTTAAAACGATGGTAGCTGTCAGATAGACTATGAAAGCAGCACAGTGAATTTTACACAATCAGAGTTCAAATGCAGCCTGATTAACTCCCTTTGGACTGATGTTTTCCATAGCGGTCATACTGAACCTGGTTCAGGACTCGGCTCTGTTGGAGGCAGCTGGACAAACCCAGCAGGTCAGTTCACTAACAGCTCTGCTGTACATGGCAAAACTCCAACTTCACAACATGTTACATGCCAGAAAGTGACTCCCAAACATGAATAAAATGCAGATCTAAATGTTTTCACACTCTTCAAGTGACTTTATTTATTAGTTTAACTTAAATGCTGGATCCCCTCTTGTTTTCAGAAAACTGAGTGCCAGCGCAGTGTTGGACTCAGTCCGAATAAACGGACCAGAGGAAACGGTACAGCACAATAAATGAAAATGTAAAAAATGTAAACATATTTTTGTTCAAGTGTGTGTGTGACTATGTTTCTGTGGTACCAAACAGTCCACTCAGACTCAGCGGGGATCCTCTGGGTTCAGTTTGTCCGTCTGCTGACTCAGCGTCTGTCGGCTCAGTGGAGGAATGACTCAGCACTTTGTTTGTCTGTGCTGGAGGTACTAGGAGGACTGGCCAAGGTAGACACACACACACACACACACACACACACACACACACACACACACACACACACACACACACACACACACACACACACACACACACACACTCATAATCACAGCCTGATATGTGTTTGTTTCTTTGGTGCCCTGCTGTGGTCCTGCAGGTGGAGGTGAACGTGGAGGAGAATGAGAGGAGGCGAGCGTTCGGGTTGATCTGTAGTTACATCCAGTTTCAGTGCAGCCGACCTCCTACCCTTCACTCTAGAGATCTGCACTCCATCATCATTGCTGCTTTCTGCTGTCTAAATGTCTGGTTAACACAACACCCATCCATACTTGACAACCAGGTAACCACAAAACAGGTAGACAACCTGTCTACAGTTGGCTTAGCTGTGGCACACAGTTAGCATGGAGTATGTGTACACTCAAAGCATTGTTTTTCTTACTTGAAAAAGAAACACAGATACAGGGGAAACGTATAAAACATCTCAGTTGAAATCTGTATCTTCAGGAGAGTCTATCGGAGGTCATGGAGATTGTGGAGTTAGGGATTTCAGGCAGAAAATCCAGACAAGACCAGGACATGAGGAGTAAAGATCAGAAAGATCTGAACCCAGTTTCTATGAGGGTGAAGGAGGCGGCTGAAGCCACTCTGAGCTGGTGAGTAAAACAAACAAACCTAAAAGGATGTTTGATTTATGTGTTCAGTCTTTGGATTTATGTTGGTTTAAAACTGTTTGATGCAAGTGCTGAAGACTAGAGGAGGTTTACAGGGACAGGGACAGCAAACAGAGAATCACAATTATCAATATAACAGCCTAATCAGCTGCTCCTGACAGGCTGGATGAAGAACTGGCTTTTAGCAATGTTGGTCAGCTGATCTCACAAATGGAAGCACAGTCAGGATCCAAATCCCCAACTTCTGTTCCCTGTTGTTGCAGCTGGTTCTGAAGTTAGGGTGCAAAGTCCTCACATAGTCATACACTTACACAGGTTAAGATGTTGTTTAAGCTGTACCTTTGTTTGGTTACACAACAGAGACTTTAGACTGGAATAGATTAGATGAGAAAACGGAATTAATCCCCAGCAGAGAAACTCATTTGCCAGAGATTCAAACACACAACAAACATAGAATATACATTCACAACACAACAAGTGAATTACGACACCCATAAAACTGTTAATGACAACTTTTGGATCAGAACCACAGCCAACAATGTTCATTAATGGACTATCTAAGCCACTCAGAAGAGCACTCAGGGATTACAATTTTCCCACTGAAAGAGCTTCTGAGTCCATTAGAAAATTGCACAGTGGGTTTCTTAAAAGACCAGAATAGTTTTTAATTTAGTTCTCCTTAGAGAATACTAAATTGAGTCAGGGGTAACAGTCACAGAGCCAGCCTTTTTGATTAGTGTATTGATCTGATTTTATCATCCACACACATGCCACAACGGTATTGACAAGGACAGGGGCCAAGATTCCCCAATTAAAAACAAAACAAACATAAAAAAGGTTCCTGCTAATGCCTGAGGATCTAAACTTTCCCAAGACAAGCCTTAATGGGGAAGCAGTAGCTCAGGAGGTAGAGCGGTTGTCCAATAACCAGAAGGTTAGCAGTTTGATTCCCCCCTATCCCTAGTCTGTCCGTTGTGTCCTTGGGAAAGACACTTAACCCACCTTGCTCCTGGTGTGTGTCCTCCACTGGTGTATGATTGTGAGTGTTGTGTGGTGGTCGGAGAGGCCATAGGCGCAAACTGGCAGCTACGTTTCTGTCAGTCTGCCCCAGGGCAGCTGTGACTATAAGGTAGTTTACCACCACCAGGGTGTGACTGTGTGAGCGAATGAATGATGTATCCAATGTGAAGCACTTTAAGGGTCTCTGATAAAGCGCTATATGAAATCTGATGCATTATTATTATTACTGAGCCCACCTGAATGCAACCTCAGTGTTCTTTTTCCAGTTCAACTTACTGTCAACGAAAGCACCAAGATATTTGTGGATCTGGACAACCTCAGTCTGCTGACCCTTTATTATCAGTGATCAGTCTTTTTTCCTTTAGAATCAACAAGCTGTTTCAAAATTTTAAGGACTCTCTTTTTTATATGCAAGGTTATCACTTTGGGTCAGCTGACCCACTAGAACAGTGTGACCACAGAACTTTGGGTTGTGACAGGATTCCCGACTGCGCCTGTAATCAGCAGTATAAAGAGTAAATAAGCTCCTGTGTTGATCAGATACAACAAACTGCCTCTTATCAAACCTAACAAACTGAGGACAGGACAAAAGGTAATCTAAAGCCCAGACAGTGGTAGTAGTTAAGAGTCCTTTAGGTTTAACTCCTGTCTTCATATCTCAGTATCATGCAGGTTTCTGGGGCCTTTCCTTTCTTTGGGGCCCAGGCAGATGAGGAAACTCTGATTGGTTGCTCTGGCGTGAAGAAGTTCAGATATTTTGTGGTGGATGGCTCAGTGATCCTGGCCTTTCTGGAGCAACCACAGGGACCTGAACCAGGTGAAAAAAATCTAGGCTTAATTTCAAAATGAAAGGTTCATGTTGTTGCCAGTGTTTTATATCAACACAACAATTCATCTATGTACTTTCAAATCCTCAGAGACCGAAATCTTAATGTCTAACTTAATGTTTGTTGTGTAGAACCATGTCCATCACTCACAGCTCTGATCAGAGGACCGTCAGGATGTCACACCTGGACTCTCCAGCACCACCTGCAGCCCAGAGAAGGAAGAACACCTGCTCAGGTGACCACCTCCTAATCTCTGCTAATAGATTCTACTGCGAAGTGACTCTGCCGGCACAGGACCAGACTTTGGTATCAGGGGTGTATCAGGTGTAGGTATACTTACCCTCATTTTAGCAGTTGTTGGCAGTTTGTGGGAAAACCAGGCTCTGTGGTGAGTGAAAGTTAATCCCAGAACCCATCGGTGGTTATCTATCAAAGATATGGTATCAAAATTTACTGCAGAGAGAGAATCTGCTGTCTTTCATTTAATAAATTAAATAAAAAGATATGTCATTTTACATTAACATTTGCCATTTTCAATTACATAAAGAACTTGTATTCAGAGTTACTTGAAAAATCATTTAGATTGAAGATTTAGATTAAACATTCAAACTGTAGATTAAAAATTTAACTTTAAGATTAAACTATTCAATAGAATATTTCATAAGAAAATTTGCCATTAACAAAATTAACATGAAGCAATTAATTTTTGGATGTAGCATTTAACCTCATAATTTGATCATCACCATTAAGTTTTTAAATTTTCCAAAAAAATGTAGATCTTACAGTTGACATTTATATTCAACATTTAACTCTTAGGTTTGATAATAAAATGTCTTAGCATACATTTATGACAAAAGTTAGAGCAGTGATGAGTACAATGAGCTTCATTATAATAGAGCTGTTTAACTCGTTTAGTTTCAAAGATTTCAGATCTGTGTTTGTCTCTTTGTCTGATTTTCTTCAGCAGAAAGATGCAAGTCCAGAACCTAAAGGGAAGATGCTGACCTCAGCACAGGAGGATTCTGGGATACAATTTGGCGTCAAACCTCAGCTGCTGTCTGAAAGCATAGACAGCGTTTCCACCGTGAAAGCAGACCTGAGTGTTCCTGACCTGCGTGAAATCGTCACCAAGGAGGTAAGAATCTGGGCGGAGGTGTTCAACAGGATTCTCATTTTTGGTTGATGAGTTTGATTAAGTATTGTAACAACTGAATTCAGAAAATCACAATACGTCCAGAAATTCAGTTTGATTTATCCATTTATGTAGCTTTTTATCAGGCTTCAACTTTAAGAATGAGGTGCCAAAAATTCTAAGTAGGTAAAGTGGCCTAAGTCGATGAAACAAATCGGTAAATTCTCAAAGTATCTCTGACTGATTTTGATTGGAACTTGTCAGGTGCATAAGCAGCTGGAGTGTGTGCGAGCAGCTCTGAAGAGGTGCAGACAGGTGGAGGCTTGGCCACAGGTGAGTGAGCAGCCAGCCACCATGACCCCCTGTAGACCACCAACACCTGTTACCAAGTTTCAGACAGCACGAATCCTCCTGTCACACCTGGGCCTGCTGGCACCTGAGACCCTGAAGGTATCAAAAACAGAACGGATGTAGATTCATGAATTCATTTAAGGTATCTACTGTCCATCTGTCTCACCTGTCTTCCTGTCACCTGTCTCTGTAGGATTCAGGGACCAGTGGTGGCCCACCTGAGCTGGTTTCTCTTGACTCTTCTCTTCCTGGTCTCTCAGAGGATCTGAGGCATTTGGACCACCTACCGTCCAGGAACTGTGACTCCGTCTTTGTTTTCTACATGAGAGCAGGACAGAGGACAGCTGCTGAGGTCAAATTCACCTGTCAGTCTCACCTGTTGTCTGTCTGTCAGCTGAGGTCATACTCACCTGTCTGCCTCACCTGTCTCTCTGTAGATCCTAAAGAACGTGGAGTCCAGCAGCAGTGTCTCATCTCACTTCTTGGACTTCCTGTCTTCACTCGGTTGGCCAGTGGAGGCAGGCCGTCGACAGGTGTTCAATACCCACAGTGCAGCAGGTGTGCTTTCTGATTGGTCTTTGACAGGGCAGTGACATGGGTCAGGGGTTACCTCTGTTATCAAGCCTATGAGGGTTTTTCTGTGTTACAGAATTCTCTGCTGTGGTTGGAGACAGTGGTGGGAGCGTGTTCAATGGAGAGAAGCTCAACTTGGTGTTTGCTGATACTCTGACAGAGCTCACCTTCATCATCCCATCATTGTCATCATCCTCCTCCTCATCACCATCACCATCATCATCATCAGTGTCATCATCAACAACATCACCATCATTATCATTATCACACAGTCAGTCAGTTAATCTCATCATGGACACTACGAACACCGTTGTAGTGGGAGCATGAAAATGTTGTTACCATATGAGGACATGTCAAAAGATATGAACTGATAAGATCCAAGTGACTATACAGGGATTCATGACCATAAAAGGAAAAGTTTTGACTATGTTTGGAGACAGGTGTGACCATGTTGGGACCAGGCTTGGGCATTACACTACTAGTAAGGCCAAATATGAAAGGTTTATGGAGCAGATATAAACTTATAGGAAAAGCATAAGGAATAAAACTTGACTGTTGTAGCTATATAATGAATTATGACCATATGGCACTTCTAAGCACTTAAGGACAATCAGTATGACCTTATTTAGAACAGTCAAAACTAAGTAGGGAAATATCACCATATAATGAGAACCAGACTTTAACAAAAAACATAATGACCATGCTAAAGTCTGCTGAAACCAAGTTAGGGAAATATGACCATATTCGGGACAGCTAGAACAATACAAGGCAATATGACCATATATGAACCAAACATGTAGGATCCTGACTGGGAGTATAACCATTAATGGAATTAAGGGAATTATGACCATATTGGGACATATGTAACCATATAGAGAAACATGACCATGTTGGGATGTTTGTAGCCACATAAGAAAAAAACATGACCATAGATAGGACAGATGTTGTCAAATAATGAAACATGACCATATTTGTGACATTTGCAACCACAAATGGAGTATGGGCCAAATACTGACTGTGCCAATCATATAAGGACAAATGTCCATATTTGGGACAGCTGTAACCAGATAAGGAACTATGGCTAATTTTGGGACAGCTGAAAAGATAAAAGAACATATTTGCGAGTATGGGACATTTGTTACTATATAAGGAAATATTACCATATTTAGGACCAATATTACCATAGTTGGGATGAATGTTACCTTATGAAAAAATATAACCATAGTGTAGGTGGCAAAGCTTTAACACTTAAGGGAACTATGGCCAAAATATGGACTGTTTGTGCATGGATGAATTTGACCATATTTTGGAAAGCTGGAAGAGTAGTTTGAAATATGATTATATGTGAACATATAAAAAATATAATCTTATGTAAGACTGCTGTAACCATTACAGAAAATATGACATTTTTGGTGTTTTTTACTGTTCAAGGAAATGTGACCACATTTCGGGCAGTTTTAACTATAGTAGGAAATATAAACATATTTATGACAGCTGTTACCATGTTAGGAAATAAGAGTATTTGTGGTAGACTGGAGTATGTAAAGAAACATGACCACATTTGTGACAGTTTTAACTATTTAAGGAAATATGAATATATAAGTATAAGACTATACATATGACAGTATGGCCAATAACTATCCCTCATAATATATAATTCTTTTAACTCATTTTCTCTTTTCCTTTTGTCACTTAATTCATTATCTTCTGATTTTGTTCTTTTTCTGTTTAAAGAGATGGTCCGATCAAAGAGTCCAGGGGACGCTGAGCTGCCTTTCAACCTACAGAGTCTTTTTGGGCTCAGCCAGGATTCCATTGCCCAGCCAGCGGTATGGGTTTAACCGTTTAAAGGTTTAGATTTAAGATCTACCTGTCTCTGACCTGTCTCTCCATCTGTCCAGAGTTCTCCAGTTGATGAAATGAAGGGTTTTCATTCTGTGTCATCATCTGCTGGCTCTGAGTACAAACTTCTAATCATCTGGGTTGAACGTTTTGAAGACATTGGTAACTTATAACTTATTAAGAAGTTATTAATGTGTTAACGTAAGAGAGAAAATGAAACAATAGAAATATTTTTGTTTGAATTTAGATTGAAAAACACAGGTTTGTGTCTTTGTGTTTCAGAGAGTTTTCCTCTATCTGATCTGCTGTTAGAGTTGAAGACAGAAACACCAACAAGGTAAAATAAGCAGCTGACACGGCAAACAGCTTTTATTGATCAACAGAAAAACACAGCTGACACAGCTTGCATTTGTCTGTGTGTTAGTGTGTCCAATGTCCAGCTGATCTTCATCCACCCTCTGAAATCTGGACTGTACCGCATCTGTTTGCATGGAAACCCCACAAGAAAGTTCAGTTTGGTTATCCCACTGCATAACGGAAGTGTGGTCAGCAAGAGGTCTCTGGGTAAGTCTGTCAGTCTGTCTTAACTGTGTCTGATTTAACGACAGCCTACCATGCTCCAACTTGTCCCTTAAACTAAATAAATCACCTTTTACACTGTAAACACGAGTTTAATTCATGAGCTGTAGCAGGAACTCTGACTCAAAACTCTTGGGCAAGAAAAAAGCTTTAAGGCTCTGGCAACACACATTAATTTTGACCCTTCATCAAACAGCATGTATACACTTTGTTGTATTATTAGGAATTTGTTATATTGTTAAGAATCGGAGAATTTGTGACTTGACTTTGGCTTGAGCACAGATGACGCCGACTTGAACCTACTACTACTACTGGAGTAGTAGTAGCTGATGGATTGGGTAGCCTTGAAGTTGGAGAGCAGGACTTGGACTTGTTTATTTATTGGTTTATTGAGCGAGACTCTTTTATTGTTTTTGTTTGGTTCTATATGATAACCAGATCATTCATTCAGTTTCAAACAGTAACTGACTTGTGTTGACCTGCATGCATGTTAATAAGTCGTCTTACTCAGTAACAGAGCCTGCCTGAATAGAGAAACACTGCAAATCGTATATTTTGCCCTCAAATATCAGAGGAGGCCATAACACTTGAAGTTTTTATTCTTTTTATTTTCATTTTGTATTGACTTTTTCTTTTCAATTCCATATAGAAGAAAAAATAGTTTAAGCTGCAGGTTATGTAGTTTGGTTTAGTTTTCACTTTGTGCATACATGAATATTCCTGCTTCCCTCCACTGTCTTAAATGTCCTCATCAAGTTAACTGGTTGCTATAAATTGCCCATAGGTGTCACTATATACCCGATTGGTCTTATTGAAAGCAAGGATTGGCTCCAGTCCCCTAATACCCTAAAAAAGACAAAGAAGCAGTGTTTTATTTTATTTTTTAGAAAATTGTTAGTGTGGGTTTTTAATATGGGATGTAGGGTGCAAGACCTGAAAAAAAAAAGTGTGTAGAAAAACCCCAAAACATCATTCTGTCTGGCTACCTGCTGTGGTCAGAGGCATGACTTCTGCCAGATTGTAAGTTTAAACTGTGGTAAAATACAGATGCAGATAAAAATGCCCTTTATGTTGATGTGTGGGCTCATGTATCACTCCATCACTCCAGTCAGAAGAGGCCAGCAGAGGGCCTCAAAATACCAGTCTGGGAGGAGAACTGAAGACAGCGTATACAGTGATCAGTGTATGACTGAAAAGAAAACATCCAATAAGCTGTTGTAAAAAAAGAAATTATGAGACATCTTTGATCAATGTCACTTCTTGATTTAGTGTCAAACGTTATCAGGAACAGCTTCGGACTGCACTGTACTGCTGCAAAGTGCTGATGGTCCACCGAGTATTCAGACATGAGTCCAACACAGGAAGAAACACCAAAACATGTCAAATTAAAGGTGGTCAGAGTAACTCATTTTCCCCAATCTGTCTCCAGGTTTCTTGGTCCGAGAGACTGTGATTAACTGTTGCCAATGGCGACGGCTGGAGAGTGACTCCGCCCCTCCACCCCGTATCAAGAGGAAGCAGATGATCAGTGACATTATAAGTCGTTACCGTAGACGCTGCTCTGAACCAGCCATCTACTCTTCACTATTTCAGGACCCCTGAGCACTTAATCAGCTGTCACCATGGCAACATGATGCTTTATTTAGCAGAAATAATCATGTGCATCAAATGTAAAATAGGACACTTTAATATCACTGTAGAGGAATTCTTGGAGAATTTTTGGTCTTCATTTCAAAATGTATTTATTTCGTTGTGACCAAACAGAAATATCTGAACCTGTATCTTTTTATGTTTGTATAAGGATGATTTTTCAGAAGGTTTTGAATGTTAGTTATCTTCTCAGTTTTCTAATCCAGAAGATTTGAAGTTTGGATTTATTGAAAGAGAACATGTCTGACTTAGAGATGAATGTTAAAATGGTGATATTGAATTAAGGACTCCTGGAAGTAAAAAGTCAAATGTAACGGTAAAACCATTTTTGATCGGAACATACGACCACCTCTCTTTTCAAGCAAATTTTTTGAAAAACACATTTTAAAGAACAAACTTATTATTATTATTATTATTATTTTTTACAGAAAGCACCTTTTTGATTGGAAATAATAATAAAATTGACACACTGAATAAACAAAGGGTAATCTGATGTACTTGACATCTAAAAAAAGTTATTTATTCATACCTTAAAATGAAATTGCCAGTCTAACAAAGAAGAACAGTGTGTATACTAAATTCTCACTCACAGTAGAATAAGCTGAATATATGATAATCCTTCTTTCTCAGATGGATTTCACTTAAAAAACAGCCTCATATATTTGAGTCAGTACCTACAGTATTTTATGAAGGAAAACATCAGAATAAAAATATTGAAGCTTAAGAAAAAATAAGGGGATTTTGGGGAAACTGTGACTGCAGAAAATGTTTTTGTTGATTTCTACTTTGTCTTGACATTTCTTTATTTCATTTACACTAATTTCTTGGAGACTGTAAACTTGATTAATGATAATTGATTCTGAGTATGTTTTCATGATGAAATGTCAAATTTAAATAAAGTTAAGAAACATGCTAAAGAGGTTTATTTGGCCCGCTGATAATAAATTCATAAAACGATTTATCTATAAAGGTCAGAAAGATAATTTTTACATTTTTGCATTTTTACATTTCTGGCCTTTATAGGCGAACCGTTTTTTTATCACTTGGTGGTAATAACAAGGTTTTTCATGATGTCACCTGAATTTTATGATCAGAGGCTGTGATCAAACATTTGCTGTAAACACGTTTCCCATGAAAACAAATGGGAAATGTTTTATATGTTTAGATAACCAATCAAAAGTCATCCTTTTAGGGATGTCACCGTTTACTACATGACTACCTGTCCGTAGACTCTCCCCTTTTTCTTGACTTAACGTCTGTCCTCCTCACTCCCATTTCCTAACTTCTGTTCTACCTGCTCCTCCACTCTTCCTCACTTTTCTTCTTTTCAGCCAAACTTCTCTTCTGCTCTTCCTCTTCCCCCTAATCCTCTGCCCTATTTGTGCCTTGCTTCCTCACCTTCTTTCTCTCCTCCTCTCTTAGCTCAATCTCCTCCTTCCCCTGTCATCTTTGCTCCTGTCCCCTGCTCCTGTCCCCCTGTGATATCATTCCTCTTTTCTCCATTTACTACTGTCATCCTCTCTCCTCCTCTCCCTGCTCCTCCTTCTTCCTCTTCACCTGCACCTTTTTTGTCTCCTTTGTCCCTCCTCCTCTCCTGTCCCTTTTCTCTGTCCTTGTACTTCCTTCCCTTCCCGGCACTGTCACTCTCCTTCCTTTTCACCCTAATCCCCCAACTCTCATCCTTTCCTCATCATCCTGCTCCTCTTCAATCCTCTTCTACTACTCTCTTCTGCTCTTTTTCATTTTTCCTCCTTTCAAATTCTTATTCCTTGTCTTATCTCCTTCTTTCCTCTCCCACGTCCTCCTCTTTACTCCTGCTTTTTTCTCCTACTCTCCTGTTCCCCTCCTTCTTCCTCTTCTCTCCTCTTTTCCCATTTTCTTCCCTCCTCTTCTCTCCTCCTTTCCTCTTCCCTCTTCATTTCTCCTTTCCTCCCTGCCTCCTTCTTCTTTTCTCTTTCCTCCTCTCCTCATCTCCTCTCCTCTTCCAGCTGTTATTCCCCCCCTTTTTCGCTGTCCTCCCCCCTCCTATCCTTCCCTCCTCTCCCTTCTTTCTCCCCGCATCCTGCTTCTCCCTCCTTTCCTACTTTTCTCTCCTTCTCCTATACTTCCCTCCTTTCCTTTACTCCTCCCTCCTTTTCCTGCTCCTGTCTTCTCTCCTACTCTCCTCATTTTTCCTCCATGTCTCTCCACCTCATCCTATTCATCCCCCCTCTTCATCCCTTTTATTCTTCCTCTTCATGCCCCTTCTTTCCTTCCATACCCCCCACATCACTCGCTCTCCCTCCCTCCTTCTACCCTCATCTACTTTAAACCCCTCTCCTCCTCTACCTGCTCCTCCTTGTCTCAAAGACCTCCCTCTTTTTTCTCCTGCTCTAAATCTCCCTCATCTTCTCCTTTCTTTCATTCCACCTCTCCTCATTGTGCTCCCCCTTTTTCTCCCACTGCTCTCCTCCTTCTCTCATCCCTTTCCCTCCTCCTCATGCCTCTCTCTTCTCCCTCTCTTCTTTTCTCATCATTCCTTTGCCCCATCCTCTCCTCCCCCCCCTTTTGTGTTGTAAGTCTGCTCTAACTGGTCCTACCTCTCTTCTGGTTGCCATGGTTACCTTCATCATAATTTCTGGTTACCGTGGTGACGGACAGGGATGACAGTAGCTTCTCTCACGCGTCTGTCTCTCTCTGGTACTTTTGTTATCGATCACTGATCTGATCATCTGATCAGGTGTTTATCTTTCATCTGGGAGCGTGATCGATATCGCCGCTGACGTCATTCCGTATCCCTTTTCTGCGGGAAGTCGCTGTAGGGGAAAAACTGCTGATCAGCCAATCTGCAGCCGGACTGAGTCTCTGCGGGTATTCTTTCTCTCCTTCATCCGTCTCTCCTGCTCCCCTCTTCACCTACTCCTCTTTCTCCTCCGCTCCACATCAGCGATGCTCCCGCCGGGCCTGGCCGGCCTTGGAGCTCTGTCCACGGGCTGGAAGTAGATCGGCAGGTCGGTGCGGGTCGCGTCTCTCCGTCATGGTGCAGAAATCCCGAAACGGCGGGGTGTTCCCCGGAGCGCAGGCCGACCAGAAGAAGCTAAAGGTCGGCTTTGTGGGTCTGGAGGCTGGGGGGACCGAGTCCAGTCGGGACGGAGCTCTGCTGATAGCAGGTAAACAACAGCTGAAAACCGGTTCATGTGCGTAAAAACACCGTTAACGGAGAAACGAGGCACGAGGTTGGGATTTGTTTATGCGTCTGTTTGGGCATGTTTGTGTGTATGAGTGTGTTTGTGTGTTTATTTCAGTCTGCTGAGTGTGTCTCTGTGTTTGTGTCAGAGATGTTGCTCATCTTTTAGGCAGATTCTGACGATCTAATGAAAACACTAAAACTAGAACCTGATTATCTCATGTGAACACTTAAACCAGATTCTGATGATCTAATGAAAACACATAAACCAGATTCTGGTGATCTCATGTGAACACTTAAACCAGACCCTGTTTCTCGTTTTCAGTCTCAGATCTGCTGAAAGAAATGAAAAAAATCAGTAGCAGAGCTGCAGGGTTGGCACAATGGGTTTGATATAGAAACATTCAGGTTTAACTGCTCAGACTGCTGCCTGAATGTGATTGGTCGATGCTTTTTTTCTGACATGACATGAAAACACACTGGCCTATTTATGTGGAACATTAACAATGAATATGAGCTCTTCAATACAGAGATCACCCTTGATATTATGACCACCTATAGGTAAAACTATGCAAGCTACTTTTATACATTTATGTCATCTCATCCTACTTTGATATAATATATCAGTAATCCGGCTCTGAGCCTTTTTTTTTTTTTGCAGATATATAGGCCTACAAGATAACGAGGGAGTACTGGAGCATGCTGGAGGGAGACTGATGTAAAACATCATACATCTAAATTGAAACAGTCAGCTTTTTCAGTAAAGGCTGTCGGCTTTGAAACAATTTACCAGCTGATATGATCTAGAATAAAATGTTGGCAAAAAGCAAACCAGAACTGTACTCAGATTTAACTTTTTACATTTAACTTAATGATTTGATGTTTTATGATGATATTCTTTGATGCTAAATGATACCAGTGGATGAAAAATCAAATCTGGGATAAGAGTTAAAAATTAGCTAAAGCTTTAAACTCTCTGTGCAAAACTTCATCCCTCTCAAATCCATACAATTCAATGTTCTCCAGTCCAATGCAACAACTCTATCATAAATGATGCTTTTATGAGGCTTTTACTTATTCAGTTTTTGTCCACATGATCAGACCGGTGATACTTTTACTCTGTATTTATCATTTAAGACATAATAGGTGCTGGTGGTGTTCTGCAGTGTGTTTGAATGCAGGTGTTCCCAGCTTTTTTTCCATTTCATTGATAAATATGCAAGGACCAAAATATTAGGAACATCATTCAATAAAAATCACTTATACCACTGCTGCCTGTCTTTAACAATAAATGTAAAGATTAATAATCATCTGCCTGACCGTGTCAATTAAACTAGAAATGTAGAAATTTACTGAACACGGACTTTGTAGTCAAGATGTTGTTTTGGATTGGATCAGATTGTATAGGTGTTTGTAATCTTATGGCTTGTGTTTGCTTGCTAATATACCTTATTCTGCAACAGAGTGCTATTGTCATTATTTGTATTAATGTTATCAAAATCAGGAATTGAAAGTTCCTGAGATGGTAACAACAACAATGACAATAACAACGACAACAACAGCAATATTAATAATGATAACATTTTCAGTAATCAATGGAAAAGTTACTGTTTTTCTGACTTAACGTTTTTTCACTTAATGAGATAAAGAATGATGACTTACATTTAAAGTTAAAGACTGATTAATATTCATTAGGTAAACTTTTTAATTATGGTGTGGTTAAGTGAATGTCACATGTGCTCTCAGGTGGGGAGGAGGGACCTCGGCGTCAGCGCACCAGCGTCTCAGGAGGAAAGAAACCTCCGAAGAGAAACGCCCTCTACAGGCGGCTGCAGAACTTCCTGTACAATGTTCTGGAGAGACCGCGAGGATGGGCCTTCATCTACCACGCTTACGTGTAAATACCTGTCCACACGCCTGCACATACACCTGCCTACCTCTCCATCTTTCTTTATACCCGTCCATCCACCTATCAATGTCTCTACACCTATAGGTCCAAGTAAAAATGTACCTGTCTGTCTTGCCTACCTGTCTATCTGTCTAACAACACTTATCTTGCTGAGCCCGCAGGATTCTGTCTATACGATTGTCTGTCTGTCTACTTACCTGTCTTCTGTGGGTCTGCTAATACATGAGCCCACACAACACTTTGCACCTATCTACCTTTCTATCCACCTGTCCATACCTGTGTGTCCCTGTCAGCCTGTACACACACCTGTATGTCTATGTGTCTGCTTACCTATCTGTCTACATGTTAAACAAACACTTGTTTTAACACTGTATAAAGTAAGTTAAGATAAAATAGACGACAAGCCAAGTCACAGAAAGTCAGGACAGCAGGCAGACCAATTTAGTAGCAGGACTCTTCTACTACAGAGCCATGCTGTTGTAATCCCTGCAAAATGTAGTTTGTCATTGTCTTGCTGAAATATGAAGGTCTTTCCTGAAAAAGTCATTGGATGGCAGCAGATGTTGCCCCTAAACCTGTTTATATAGTTCGACATTAAAGGAGCCTACATAGATATGTAAGCTACCAGTGATATGGACACTTCTGATCCCCATACCATCAGGGGTGCTGACTTTAAACTGGGAGCTGATAATAAGTTGAGTGGCCCCTCCACCCCACTCCCCAGAACAGTGGATGTCCCTGATTTGCAAAAAGAGTGTTAATTTTTTTTTTTTTTTCTGTCAGACCACAGGAAAGTTTTTTACTTTCCCTCAGTCTGTCTTCAATAGGCTTAGGTTCAGATTGTCTCTGGTGTTTCTAGATCATGTTTTGGAAGTGATTTTGAGTCCATGCAGTGACTTCCACTACAGAGTCCTGTCTGGGCCTGAAGATCAGGACCATCCAATCTTGGTTTTGGTCCTTGTCCCTTTTGTACAGAGATTTCACCAGATTCTCTAAATCTTTTAATGATATTATGTTCTGTAGATGATGAAATCCATTATTTATTTATTTACATTTTACACTCAGGAACTTTATTCTGAAATTGTTGAACTATTAGCTCACACAGTCTCTCACAGAGTGGTGAACCTCTTCCGATCTTTTCTTTGAAGAGACTCAGCCTCCCTGAATGTTATTTTATCCCTAGTTATGTAACTAACTTGTTGGAAATTAACCTCCTTAGTTCGGAGATGTTCTTCCAGCAGTTTTTTCAGCATTACACAACTTCTTACCTGTTTGGTTGTTCCTGTAACAACTATAAAAAAAAACTGTCATTGGCATTTAGTTTAAAATGAACAAATAATTGTACATAAAAACATTTGTTAGTCTCAACATGTTGTCTTTGTAGCATTCTTATTTCAGTGTAGGCTTTAGATGTTTTGCAAACCATGAAGTTCTGTTTTAGTATGTCATACACCAGTCTGCATAGCTGTCTCTTCTTTACCTGTTTGTACTCCTACCTATTTTTCTAGCTGTTAGTTGATCTGTCTGCATGTTAAAGTTAGTATTTGGCTGAGATAGTCTCAGAGGGCTCAGTGACAGTTGTCTGAACCACCGTCTGGTGGTGAAAATGACCTCTTTGCAGATTAAAAGAGGTGAATCAAAACATATATAAATAAAATTTATGATTAAAAAGAAGGTAAAGATGCAAGTGAACCGTCCTCCTCAAATCTGTCTGAATCTATTTGAAACTTCACCTTAATGGCTTGATTAATATTGAGCTGATCGATTAGTTAATTCACTGCTGATAGTTAACTGCAGTCTGTTCTCGAATCAGATTACGGTAACAGCTGAGGATCTATAAATAAAGACAGCTCTGGGATCAGTTGTCACGCTCTAAATCTTCCCTCTGAAACACAGATCTGAGGTCAGTTTTCAGAAACCTGAACCTGAAGCAGGAACAGATTGTGTGTTTTAATGACTGTTCTCTGTTCAGGTTCCTGCTGGTGTTCTCCTGCCTGGTTCTGTCCGTGTTCTCCACCATCAAAGAGTATGAGAAGAGCTCGGAGGACGCTCTCTACATCCTGGTAAAAACACAAAATATTCATCTGCAAATCAGAACACGGTCTACAAAATAAAACTGTGCTCTGAGTTTATGAAGTTTTAGACTTTAAAACTCATACTTTATATCATTACAGGGTGAACTTCTCACCAAGAAATAAATCACAGAACAGCTCAAATAAAACCAGTTGAGCATCAATGAAGTGGCAGCAGGGGACAATACAAAAGAGTATCAGAGCCAGAGATGGAAAATAAAATCAGAGGAAGGAAGTTTTTCTCATTATGCACTTCAGGAAAAAAGGGAAGGATTAAAGACAAAGCTTAAATGTGAATAATACAGTGGACATAAAAACAAAGCTTTGTACATAACAAGGAAATATCGAGGAATATAAAGTCTAAATATTCAAAATAAAACCAGGGTAAAATTTAGGAATGAAGTCAAAATGTTGAGAATGAAGTCAATACAATTTTGTGAGTAAGATGAACATACTGAGGTTGAATTGGCAGCATCATGAATCAAGTAGAAATACAATTCTGAGTGGGAAGGTGAGATTTTAACTAAAAAGTTCAAATATAACTTTGGCAGTTTTAGTCAAAATGTAGAAAATAAGTTGAAAAACAATTCTAGAAAAAAAGAAGATGAACTGAGAATGAAGTCTAGATACTGTGAATACAATACTTATACTCATACAATGGGACTTTTCATATTAAGTTGGAGTCAAATTTTGAGAACTTAGTCAACAGTTGTGAATTGGTGATGTTGCACCAATGTTTCTAGCAAACAGTTGTTGTCCTGCTCTTATCAGTTCACTGCTCAGTTTACTTGTGAATAAAATGCCAATAAAAGATCAAACGGAGGGTTTGGATGTAGTGATGCAACATGGCATCTGTCCATCCCTGCCGTCTGCCATCAACATGGTTTATAAAATTTAAACTAGCACAAGATGCTATACAGACCATTCACAAACTGGTTAAACATTAGCTCATTAGCTTTGGTCTTTGTGGTATTATTTTCCATTGAACAAGCAGCTTTAAAAATGTTTTCTTATTTTGATTTTCGACTTTTCTCTCCACACGTCAACTTAACCCTCAAATTTTGACTTTATTCTTGAAGTGCATCATGTTTACTAGTTTTTATCCATGACCCCAACACTCTTCCAGAGGAACTGAACTGGACATGGCAGCTTAGGTAAAAAATGTAAACAAGTGTGTAAAACTGCAACATAAAAAGAACAAAAAAATATGACAATATCAAATGCACAGGTAAAACCAAAGATACTTTGTACATAGTACACTACAAAATAGTTCTTCAGAATGATTGCTCACAGCAGACTGCAGTGAAATATTCCAGCAGTGTTTGTATTGTTTGCCTTTCTTTTAGTGCAGCTGCAGAGACCTCTCTTTGAAATGTGTAGCTATCTGTCGACTCATGTTTGAACAGCAAAAACATGTTCCTCGGAGGAGATGCTGAGTCAGCTCAATCAATAGTCCTTATTGATTTTACGTCGCTCCGCCTGCTCACCGGACAAACAGAGCAGACAAGGACATCTCCATTGAGAAAAACTGAAACCTGCTTATGTTTACTCACATCTCCATCTGCTAAGAATCAGAGTTACTCTGAGATGTGAAAATACCTCAGACTTGAGCGGAAAGGGAGCATTATTAGTGTTTTCACACAAACACAAAAGAATAACCTTTATTTACCCCTTTTGATTTTACTAATCAGACCTCCTTTGGATTAATCAAACTAATCAAACCTACTAAAATTAAACTATCAGAAGAAGAAGGAGAAGAACTTTATTGATCCCCAAAGGGAAACAAAGGTGTGTTATTTAACTTTACTGCCAGACTTTTTTGCTAATCACCCCAGCTGTGTGAAATACTTGATTCTTGATTCTGATTGGTCAAAACATAAACCTCTTTACGTTCTTGTTGTGTAACACGTGCAACATAAATACAAGCAGGTCACACACATCTCTCAAATCAATCCTTAGAAAGTAGTTCCAGTGCATTATTCCTCTGCTTGTGCAGGGCAATACGTGTTAGCATCTGGTAGCACCACAGGTAAACACTAAGGTAGGTCATTACATTGGTAACTGTTTATATGCTATCCAATTAAACTCATGATTTAAAGAACTGGAAAAATTGTTGTTGAACTCTTGCACACTGTCTGTCACAGATACATCAATTGTTGATCTTAGACAAAGTGTACAAAGCTGAAACAAACCTCTTTCTGTCTGTGAGAATCTTAACTGTTATTGTAATGCAAGGTTTTAAAGACATTTGTAAGATAATACTAAGATGAAATGACACTATTGATCTCCTGAGGGGAAGTTTGGTTTGTAAGGGAGGGATAATGGTGAGTAAATAGGCATTTATGTGAATTATAATCCTCACATGGTGAGCAGAACCCTGACCAACTACTCAGAGATGCTTTCAGCAGCAATGCACAGATTGCAGGACAGGATGTTGCTCTACTTTTTCTACTTATCATAGATGATTGGAATCCAGTAGCTCTTCAGGCCACTCTCACATCTTTGTTTTTAAGTGTTATTATTTCCCCAAATCTTATGACCAGGCTGAGACTTACACTAATGTTTGTACCACAGTGTCAACAGGCAGAGATAAAATTGTTTGTACTGACTGATCTGTTATGATGTGTGTGATCATGTTGTTTCTGGCATTACGTTTGCTGCTGAGCTTTAATCACCACTGTTATGGAATTTTAACCAATCAGAGCCAAGTATTTAACACAGGTGATAATAACACTGATCAGGTAACACAACAGTAAATGGTTAGTTAAGAAAAGTTTATACAATGTTTTGTAAAATTCTGCAAATAAAGCATCAGATTTGCTTTGTTTGTGGCCTGAGCATAGTTCAGATCTGGCTCTTGATGCTGACCTGCAGAGAATGTAATGCTGTCCCTGAGTAATTATTGATAATATTGTGAATAAATAAACACTGTGATCTCTAACCTGCCTGTAAGCTTCAGCTCTGATGATTCAGAGGCAGCTTGAAGTGCTAAGATGTTCAGTCACCTTGTTTTCCAGTTATCATTGATCTGTTGTGATATTTATCAATCACTTTATTGCTATTGGCAAAGGTTCACAGTAAATTAGGCAATATTTTGTGATCCAAAGTGAAGCAGCTGTAAAATCTCCTTAAAATTCAGGGGCATGTAATGTCATTTTACTTCAGAATAATACACTTTAATTTCTATCTATTCATTTTTGCCTAAATTTATACTTACACAAATTTGTAGGTCAGAGAAATGTTATGCTAAAACCATATGATTGCAAAGTTATATGAATTAAGTGAGAAACTAATCAGCAGACTTTCAGGTAAATTATACATTATAGTTTTATTTGAATAGTGTTGTTGTTTTTGTGTAACAGGAAGTGGTGACCATTGTGGTGTTTGGGGTGGAGTACATGGTGAGGATCTGGGCTGCAGGATGTTGTTGTCGGTACAGAGGATGGAGAGGACGACTCAAGTTTGCCAGGAAACCTTTCTGTGTCATCGGTGAGTCTGATGAATTTAAAACACGGCAGGATCTTTGACCTCTGACTCTGACCTGACTACCTCTTACCTGTCTGTGTCTCTGACCTGTCCATCAATCTGACCTGCATCTCTCTCTCTCTGCAGACATCATGGTATTGATAGCGTCCATCTCAGTGTTGGCTGCAGGGACTCAGGGGAACGTCTTTGCCACCTCAGCCATCAGGTCACTTCGATTCCTTCAGATCCTGAGGATGATCCGAATGGACCGTCGAGGGGGCACCTGGAAACTGCTGGGATCAGTTGTCTACGCCCACAGCAAGGTAACTTATGAAATCCATGTCCGACTGTCTGATTTAAATGATTGTTTGACACAGTCATTGTCTGGACTCAAAAAAGTGCAGGTTTGAGGTGCTCTTTGGTCATAGTGAACAAGAATCTTGCTGGTGTATCACTCTCTGATGGAGGCTTGACTGTTGAAACACGTAAAAATTTAAGAAAACTATGCTACGAGATAAACATCGGTTTAAAAGTGAGAGTGCCTTGGAATTTTGCGGTTTTTCTTCTGTTAATGCTGATGAGATGTTGGTTAAAATGCAACCTCAGAATCCATTAGCTATCCACAGATGACGATATTTGTCTTGAGGACATCGGTTGGCTTGTCATTAGTTCTGGAGTAATGAGTTGTTGATGATAAACAACTTCAAGCAAAGACTAACTTTTTGAGCTGAATTGCTTACAGATTATTTAGCAAGTTGAGAAGTGACCATGTGAAAAGGTCTAAGTAAACCAAATTCAAGGTAAATACTGACATGTGATTTGAGAGTTCACCAGGAAGCCTTCATTCTGGTGTGAGGTTTTGGAGGTATTGAAAAGACAGTTTGATGCCATCCTACTCTCTTTGGTGACAGGATAGACCAGGGGTCGGCAACCTTAAACACTCAAAGAGCCACTTGGACCAGTTTCCCACAGAAAAGAAAACACAGGGAGCCACAAAACCTCTTTGACATCTAAAATGAAGATAACATTGCATATATCTTTTTTTTTTAACCTTTATACAAAGTATATAAAAAACTGTAGCGAGTTGCATTTATGAAATAAATGAACTATTTCGGCGAGTGTCTGTCTTCTGTAGTTAAACCGCAAGATATCAAAATCTACCCGGATACAGCAATGCTGCTTTTTGATTGGCTGTTCAGTAGATATACTTTATTTGATTGGCTTCTGCGTGGCACACAGCTTCTGAACTCTCAGAGGAACTCAGTTAATTTCCCCCTGTTCCATAGTTGAAGAAGTGCAACTTGGTGGACATCACCGTGTTCATTTAAATGCGTGAGAAATACAATGTGTGGTATGTGAGCGTGTGAACGAGTGGGAATGCGTGTGTCATACGCTGAATGCGTGAGACTTGAGAGCCCTGTGCTCACGCATCATCGATGTACTCCCGAGCCATGCAAAACGGTCTTGGCAAATGTTGCACTGAACGCCTTCCTTTTCAGTCTTGGTGAAGTTTTCCCACACCACTGATGTTTTAGGTCGGGATTTCGGTTGGGTTGTGTCCATGTTTTCTCCGCTGCTGCCTCGGCCATGGCTGTTTCTTTTCTGTGCGTCCTGCTGATGTTTACACGCCGGTGTCCATGGACATATATAAAGACCCGACGAATCGATTACAGAATTTATTGGCAACGGATTTTTTCGTCACGACGAATCTACTTAATCGATTCGTTGTTGCAGCCTTAATAGTTTATTTAATGTTACAATAGCATTATTATCTTTGAATTTAGAATTACCACAATAGAAAAATAATAATAAAATAAAATAAAATGCAATTAAGTATTTATTATTTATTTTCCAAATCCATTGGGAGCCGCAGCCTAGGGAAGAAAGAGCCGCATGCGGCTCCAGAGCCGCGGGTTGCCGACCCCTGGGATAGACGTACTGAATTAAATCAGTAGTCTCCTAAAGGTTGGTCTTTATACCGCTGCAAGATTGTACTGCAAAATTGGAAGAACCCTAGAGTCCCACTGCGAAACAGTAGTTGATTTCATTGTACAAACATGTATTAGGAAGAATGAATGCAGATGGTAGAAGGGTGTAGATATGAGTGTAATTCTGGATACATGTCCAATTAAGGGTACAATAGTATGATAATGCTAACACCTGTATAATTTTCATGTCCACATTGGTTTTTGATGTTAGGGGATGGCTAAAGAACTGATATTTTGATGCCCTGTATTTGCACCCAGAGATGCTGCACTGCTTGAAATTGTTTAAAATTGAATAAAAACTGAATTGAAAAAAGGAAAACAAATGTACCCCTTCAGATATGTCTGCAAAGTGATTTTCTTCAGTGACTTCAGTTACATGCAGATATCCGCTTATAGAAAGAAATCCTCTTCAAATTACTGCTCATGGAAGCTGGGAGGTCATTTTGGTTGACTGTGTTCTGCCTGCTTTTGCTCTCCATATGGCACAGAAGAAAAGAAGAGAAGAGCCTCAATACAGTAGTTGAACTTTCAAACCGTGTCCTTCTGAAATATACTGTTGTTTCAAGCTTCCATATAATCTTTGTTTTATTAAACAGCTGTGTGTTCGTGAAAAACAGCCTCAGAGCTGAGAGATGAATCGAAAGTCAAATAGTCAAAGCTTAATTGAGATTCTGGGCAAGGCAGAGTCTCTCAATAGATGGGAACACAAGGTTTTATAGAGGGCAGTACACTGACCCCTAAAAGCTTTTACAGAAACTGGATCTGAAGCTTGTTCAAGTTGACCCAAAACGACCATGTCATCACAAGATCAATACATTACACTTTGTTCCCTGTGAGATAGAAAGGCAACAACATCAGAAAAGCAGAGTTTGTGGAATAAAGACCACAAGACTCCATACAGCAAAGGCACTGCAAGAAGAGGGCGTGTGGTGATCTCAGAGGACAGAGAACAGTTTCTAAACTACAGCTCAGGAGAGGTATCCAGGTCAAACTATCAGGCTGAGAAAGAGAAAAGTACGTGTAAGGAGGCAAACAGGAGGGAGGATAATAGTTCATTGAATAAAACTGAGGACCTAGTGTCTGCTAAACCTGCAAATGAGACACAAAGATACTTGTTCTCAGAGCACACACAAGGGGAAATACACCTCAGACTGTGCAGAATAAACAGTTTCTCTGCACACCAGGTCTGATTGTATGTTTTTAAATGAGCCATTAGGATTTAAATCAGCCTCTTTCTATGGAAATGAACTGACTCAAAGAAAGTGCCTAGTTCACAAAACATCTGCACTAAAGGCCACACACAAACACAAAGTATTACCATATGGGAAAGTAGGTGGTTGCTCCAATTCTGTACTTATAAACGATGCCAAGCCCAAACTTTGCAGTGATTATGGCAATAACTACACCTTTGGGTGACACAAAAGTAACCCATCTATTCATAAATTTGGTTGAAAGTACTTTGATTGTTTAGACGAAACTCCATCACAAACAAGCATGCTTCGCAAAACGTGTAATGAAGGTCTTTATCAAAAGGTGTTTTAAAGACTTTTTCAATTTCGAGATTTTTATTACATCTGTCATGTATCATGTTCACAACAAGCTGATAAAAAGTGTCCCCTTTCATCCAGTCAATCACCTGTAAGGATGGGTGTAAAGCTCAGTGCAGCAGGATGTGGAGATGCTGACAGCTTAACTTCTACCGTTAAACACAGCACAAGAGCAAACTGTACTGAGCTGCCAAGCTTTGTTGGCATGTTTGTGCTTGTACATCTTTAAAGCAGTGTGCTTTGTGATGTGTACTTTGTAACAGAGGCAAAAAATAAATAATTCTTAGTGCTAATAGTGGCTGCAATCCAACCTTAACAGCCTCTCCCAACAGACTGTAAAATGAGCCACTGGCAGTCCATAACTCTGTGAGTGTTTGACGTTATCTTGAAGTGGATGTTTGTACTGAACTGACCTCACCCTGGTAAAGAGGCAGCACTGCTTCATCCCTCAAGGTGAATTGCTGCCAGTTATTGATTAATTGTTGCTCTTTTCTGCATTTTGTGAGGAAGGAGTCACACTGTGGGGGGGGGGGAGTCGATCTTAAACACACCTGAGAAACATACAAGATTACAGAAGCTCAAGTCATCTTGATTATCCCTGACTTCTCTCCACAATCACCTGACCTATTCCCTGATAGAATAATGAAAGAAAAGGCATAGATGGAAATCACTGGAAGCTCTGTAAGGCTGTGTTGTATCTTGCTGCAGTAATTACATATAGCAGGACCGGCAGAGTCCTGAGTAAGGGATAATTTATCTTTTGACCTTTCTCACTGTCTCTGCTCTGTTGCCCTCTTCTTTCTTTCTTTATTCTTGTGGCGAGTCAGCTGTTAACCACTTATCTAAAAATTTGTGGTCTTAGTGGAAAAAAATCTACTACTTTACTTGCAGTCAAAAGAAAACATAAACGAGCCCACTCAACATTAACCACAACCAAGCAGCAACCTCTAATCCTGAAGAAATGAAGTCAATGTGGAAGTGCTTAAACATGCAGTTCCTCATGTGCCCACTAGAGGCTGGAAGCAAAAGCACCATGAAGCCACACACACAGCCTGGCTGAAAAGATGGCTTTGGTAGCTCGGAGCTCCCACAGCACCCACTGTGCGGGGACTGAATTTTTGTGACACATTTGTTTCGAGGTTATTAAGGTTACCAGACTGGTGAATTGGAGGCACAGCTGACTTGACTGACAGATGGGCACTCTAAAGCTGTTTGTGAGGAGGCTTAAGGTCTGCCTCTGGTAGGTCGACTAATAGTTCGATTGAGTCAGTATTTCCGATACTGCATTGCTATCATAGCCCCACTTCACTCAGACTGTATCCAGTTGTTATACAGTCTATGACCTCAACATCAAACACTGCCACCTTGTGGTCAGTATAAGTAGTGGTTCAAATTATTCAGCATACAGTAACTGTCGCGAGTTTTCTATGATAAACCATTTTTATCATCATTATTGAATGTAAAAAATATGAACTATGGAATCAGTGTAGTAGAGGTAGAAAACCCTCCATCTTGTTTGCTTCAGAATGCTGACATGAACAAACAGTTATGCCTCAGTGTCAATAGTCAGAGTTGAAACGTGCTGAACTCTTGTTCATAAGTTCATTCGATTTGATGTAAATCACGTCCCTGACTAGTGCTGGGCGATATGGAAAAAAATGTATATCACGATATGGGTCATTTTATATCACGATAACGATATATATCACGATATAGCTATGGTATGCTTTCAGTTCTATGAAAAATTTAAGTGTATACAGCTGCACTAGTACAGTACCAGTACAAGACCAGCACTTAAAACTAGAAAAATGAATAAATAAATATGTGGCCGAAGTGCGTTCATGTCTGTGCTCACCCAAAGTTATGCAACACTCACAGAAAACGCAGATAGTGTGAGCCAAAGCACTCCATAATAATAATAATAATAATAATAATAATCATAATAATAATAAATTTAATTTGTAATGCACTTTACATTTACAAAAAATCTAAAAGTGCTACAGTACACAGTAAAAAAAGAGCAGCAACAATAAAAAAGCAATAGAATGACAGTCACAGATTGGCATAAAAAAAGAATTAAAAAAAATAAAAAATATAGAGTTGCAATGTAAGAGGCAAGGTAGTAAAAGCATAGAGGAAAGTTAACCAAAGGCTTTATTAAAAAGGTAGGTCTTTAGGGCTCTTTTGAAGAGGTTGTTCACACTGCTAGATGTTTCTCCTCCAAAGCTGCTCTCTGCCTCCATCATTGTTTACTTTACTCTTGAAGCACGTAGGAAGACCCGAGCATGAATCCGAGCGCTTTATTCGCCTATCAGGGGCAGACAGGTAAGGTGATTTGATTCGCCACGACTCCAGAAATGATTGAAAAACTACAGAATGTCACAAAATTACGTTTCCTCGCTGCTGGCTTGAAGGGTAGAAATGCGCAGCCGCGCTCCCAGCTGACAGGAAGTCAAACCACTGTTGTAGTTCTTTTGTGTTGCTAGCGCGGTCAAGAGTGTTGGCTCTCACTGAGAGATGACTACAAAAATGGACGCACCTGTTCAGCTGGTTGTTAAACACGGCTGAAAATGATCATCTTTTAATGTTGTTCCCGCTCCTGCCCACTCCCGTTGCCTTTTCCCCCGTCCCGTCCCGATCAAGGGATTAATTAAAAATGACTCCCATCCCGTGGGATTCCCGCGGGAATCACGTGACCCACGGGAATTCCCGAAAAATGTCATCCTCTACAGGGAAGGTCCCGGAGCAGATGAAACAGGTGCCGGAGCGGCTGAAATAGGTCCCGGATCCGATCAAAAGAGGTCCCGGATCGCGCTCCGACTTGCTCCGGCACAAATTAAGCACTGCTTACAATGATCCCCTCACGTGTGTAACCCAGGTAACCCGCAACGGCGGGAGACGCTGGACACGAAGAGGGCACGTAAAGCGGCGTCATGTCGCAAAATCGAAAGAGAAATGCCAGCCTACATGTCAACGCATCCTTTACTTTGTAAGAAAATATTGTTTTCTTTCCCGTTCGACACCAAATACACTTACTGAATGTGCAATTATTGTTGTTGTTACTATGAATCATCTGATGGCACAAGCCCTATGGATAAAATACAGCCTATCGCCCGAAACGATAAAAATAAAAATGGCACGATAGACATTTTCTATCGTGCCCACGATATGTATCGTCCTATCGCCCAGCACTATCCCTGACAACATTTTGCTGTTGAGAAGTAAATTCTTGTTATGGGTTTTGACCAGTCAGAATGAAGTATACAATGTATTACATTCCTACAGAGCATTCATTTGACAGGATAAGGTAGCTATGGTCACATTTTAATCAAACACATTAGCGTTCAGTTTAAAATTAATACAAAAAGCAAACTCTTGAGTGCTGGTGTCAGACTGTTGGAGCAGATACATTTGCACTAAAGCTCTGTGGTAGATACCTTTCTGCTCTTCAAAGTGCCCCATAAACGATATATAAATTAAATCAGGTGTAATATTTGAAGGAAGGCGAGTGCTGTATGAATGATTTACAGCGTTGAACATAAATCTAATGAAGCTGAAACTCAATCTAACAGGGCCATGAGCAGACGTTAGAAACAGAGGCAGGATGAAACAGTAATCAATATCTGTGATCGATCAGGGTTCAAATGTTGAGCTTTCTGCAGGGAAGATGATACCAATAAACCAATACTGCTGACGCACTGAAACACAGTCAGCCACACTCACACACGTGGAGACCGGCTGTCTGATGTAAAAGGAAAGTCAAAACCTCGAAAGAAGAAGAGATAAAAACTTTGTGTGTAATATTCCTGATGATCCGAAAGTGTCTGAAGACTTCTGCCTCAACTCCTGTGTCAGATAGTTTGTTTAGTCTGGAGTAGGTATTTTCAAGAACTTAAGTCGAGGTGGATTTCATTGAAAACTTTTAGTCTTAAAAAATATAAAGACGTCAGTGTAAAGAAATCTACATAAGAAGATAAGGTGATACAAGCATCCAAGTGTTATCTGCTTCGATGGAAATATAGAGCCCAAAAGATTCTAACAATTACACAAAAGAGCTCCTTCAGTCTGATCAATAAAATACCTTTAGTTTGAAGCAGCACTAGAAGTATTATGATCATCATCTTTTGTATTTGGATGCTTTTGGATCATTTATCCTCACTGTATTCTCATTGTTTTCAGATCCATGTGAAAATATCATAGATTTGGCTTTGTTTTCAGAATTTTGTACTCCACTGTAGTAAAAGAAAACACTGTGCATGCATCACACATTTTAAAATCTTTCACTCTGGTGCTGTATTTTCTCTCTCTCTCTCTCTGCAGGAGCTGATCACTGCTTGGTACATTGGCTTCCTATGTCTCATTCTTGCCAGTTTCCTGGTTTATTTGGCAGAGAAAGAAGACAATGAACAATTTGAGACTTACGCAGACGCCCTCTGGTGGGGACTGGTGAGACATTTTACACAAAGACTCAGATTTGTCCATCAAGTTTGGCGTGAACTTTTCAAACTGTAACCTCATTTAGTCTGATGGCAAAGAGAAGCCGAAGCTAAAGTAATGACTGCTCTGTGTCTGTTCTAGTTTGTCTGGCTGCCATTTCCTTATTTACAGAACTATCTGATTGGTTATTGATCTTCTCTGCCAGATCACCTTGACAACCATTGGATATGGGGACAAGTTCCCCATCACCTGGAACGGGCGTCTGCTGGCTGCCACTTTCACGCTGATTGGAGTGTCATTTTTTGCTCTGCCTGCTGTGAGTCACTCCGATGTTTCCACAGGTTTACCTGAGTCGGGAGGTTAACCCTCACCTGGTTCATCCTGCTCACCTGTTTGTCTGTCCGTCTGTCTGTCTGTCTCTCAGGGGATCCTGGGTTCTGGCTTTGCCCTGAAGGTTCAGGAGCAGCACAGACAGAAACACTTTGAGAAAAGACGAAACCCAGCAGCTGGACTCATACAGGTAAACCAACACTGTTTCCCAGAGCCCTAATCAAATCAGGTGAAAACATACAGACATGAAACACATTAAAAAAAATTCAGAGCAGCTTTTTCTTCTTGAGGCGATCAATATCTAAGAAGTGTATCCAGTATTAAAGTAAATAAATTCACTCAGAAGTTCAAGAAAGATGATGCTACCTAACTGATAATTTACCCATTGGCCTCCTGCCGACAGAAACTGCTAATGGATCCATTTCAAAATGAATCTGTAGCACATATTTAGTTTAGTTATCTATACAAACTTCTGTTATATTTTAACGTGACCATCTATCAAACCTGTGTGTTTATGTACAAATATGTAAACTTAATAAAGACCCGCCTAGCAAAGAACTTCTTCAAATCTTCTCCTGACATTCATCCATTTAAGAAACAACACTTTTTTACCTGTTTTATGGGTAAAAGACATTTGTGTTTGGTAGATTACTGTTTAGTTGTAACAATGCTACAGTTGGAAAGCCTGTCTATTTCCCTTTTGAATGGTGCCATGTTTGTAAGGAACATTCATTTGTTGGATGAGCAGCAGAGCTCAGTATGTGGGTTGTGCTGAAAAATTATCCAAATCTTCTCTACCAGTGCCAAACAGCTTCTGCCATTGACTCTTGTGGTGTTGTTTGGTAGATTGGAGGTTTGAAGTCTGAAGAAGCAAGTATCAGTCAGAGGAAAGAAACCCTTATGATGTTTAGTCGTCTAAACTGGAATTACATCACTCACTTCTACTTCTAAAAAAGTTAATGCCCCAAAATTGTAAATTAAACTATTAAACTATAAATCTTATTTCAACAACACAAATTTCAAATTTCTACATTTAATTGAACTCTGTTAATGTCTGCTGAAAGACTCCGGGTTGGGGCGGCACAGTGGTGTAGTGGTTGGCACTGTCACCTCACAGCAAGAAGGTCCTGGGTTTGAATCTGGGTCAGGGTGTTTTTTTTTTGTGTAGTTTGCATGTTCTCCCTGTATCTGGGTTTACACTGGTTTACTCCTGTTTCCTCCCACATCCCAAAAACATGTAAAATTGGGGTTAGATTAATTGGTCACTTTTAAATTGCCTGTTGGTGTGAATGTAAGTGTGGATGGTTGTTCTTCTATGACTTGTCCAGCGTGTCCCCTGCCTTTGCCCCAAGATGCTGAGATAGGCTCCAGCGCCCCTGCGACCCCCCAAGGGGATAAGCGGTAGAAAATGGATGGATGGATGGATGGACTCGGGGTCTAAACATGAGTCTATTAATGGTTGCCTTTATATTTCAGGAGAAGTTGACGTGTATTGTGCAATAGCTCTACTTTATTAAACTTAACAGTTGGTTTATGTAACATGGTACAATAACTGCTAACAGGGGTTTTGTGGAGTTTTGCTACCTTGTCAAAGATGCATCTACAGCACAAATCAATAGAGGGCTAATTACACAAAGAGCTTTGAGTTTTATGAACATTAATTATGTATGATAATAAAATGACGTGAATGTATATGTTAACTGTGTATTTACCTAAGCACACGTTGTAGGGTGCTTTGTTTTCAGGTGTCCTTTAAAATCTGTACGATTTTTTGTCCCATCTGAAATCCACCCCACTCTGTTCTAATCAGAAATGATTCACTCAGTCTTGTATTTTCAAAATGTGTCTACAGGTCATCTTATGTCTTCAGGACCCAGGTCATAATGAGGCCCTTATACTTGTGATGCCTGCTGTCAGCAGAGCCGCCTTTTTTGTCTGATTGTTATTGTCAGTAATTATGAACATAGATTTAGCCAACATTTATATTGTTTATTTGCCTACCAGAAGAACTAGAGGATCAATAAATCATAATAGAAGGAATATCTACACTAATAATTAGATTTAATGAGAACTCTGTCTTTCCTTTGACAATACTGTGGAATATCTGAAGTTATCCAACAGTCCAGAGCTCAGTTCTCCATTTCAATCAACTTCGTAATTGTTATATGAATGACATTTTTCCCTCTGTCTCCTCAGGCTGCATGGAGAGTTTACGCCACCAATCTGGCCCGAACTGATCTGAACTCAACATGGGATTATTATGAGAGAACTGTCTCTGTCCCCATGTACAGGTGAGAGTCTGTTTGTCCAATTATAGACTTTTAAACTTCTTATCATCAGGAGTTTTATAATAGTGCAACTCATATCGAATAAATCTGTCACTATGTGTCTCCAGGTTGATCCCGCCTCTCAATCAACTGGATTTGTTGAGGAACCTCAAGAACAAATCAGGACTGTCATTCAGGTCTGAGAAGTTTTATAAAATTTTAATACAATTTTATAATGTAATATTTAAAAAATCGACTGCAATGCAACAGTGTCTCATATTTCTATAGTGTTTGAACTTGAATAAGGACCGAATCCTTCTTCTGTCTTTTCATTTGTCTGCAGGAAGGACGCCCAGCCTGAACCATCTCCCAGGTCAGAGTCCAGAATTTGATCTTATAATCAAGTCCCCACTTGCAGTAACTGACTTATCTCTGCAGAGTCTGTGTGGTAGTTGTCTAGTTTAATCCCTGAGTCAGTTTATTTCAGAATGATGCTTATCCTCAGTTTGTGTTCAGTTTCCCTGTAGGCTTCTGTAACGGTACCCTAACTGAGCAGACTGACTCCATTTGGATCCATCATTTTGCCTTTGTCAGATGTCTAAACCAAATGCCCATATCAAGTGCAACTAGATTCCACCTGGATTATCACATGGACCAAATCATCAGTCATTGAATGAATTCTCTGAACACACCCCTTCCTAAAGATTACTGGCTTATGTTACAGTGAATGCATTAACATACAGGGCTCTATTTTCGTGTACGCCGGTGAGGTGGCGGAGGGTGGCGGACCCCGCGCAGTTGTATTTTCATCTGGCGGAGCCCGGCGTACAGCCAGTTTGGTATTTTCGTGGACTGAGGCGCATGGTGGTGAGTTGTGATCCGCTAAGCCGGGCGTGGTGGCGTGGCAGGGGGAGGTGTCAACAGAATCAGCAGGCGCAGTGACATATTCGTGCTCGCCGGTGGCATGTAAAGTGCGCTGAAAGCTCGCCGATTCAAACCTAGCTTTCAGCGCATGTGGAGCGCAAGTGGTCTAGAGGTATTTTGGTAGACCGGCGGCGTATCGGCATACGTTACCGATGCCTCACCGGCAGGTTTCCACAGTGTCAGGCACATTTCAGTGCAATAAATAATCATCAACAACTAATAATCTGAGTGAGCACATACGTTTAGATCTACATAAATATATTCTGATCTATATCTGATCTGATGAGCACGTCTGGCACGCGTTTGGACACACAATCTGACCGAATCAACACAGCTGAAACCGCATTAAATTAAATTAAATATCTAGTAAATAAACACACATGATGAAGTTAACAAGATATGTAATTCGTCTCCCTCCTTTTCTTTCTTCCTCTTCCTCTTATTTCTCGCGCAGCTCGACCTGGACATGTCTCTGTGTCCTCTCTCCGTCCTGCTGCTGCAGCTGCTGCTGCTACAGATGATTTGTTTCAGTGATCAGATCATACGGATATTATAATATTCAGTTTTGTGAGCCAAATTTATTTTATATGCCAACATCTATGAAAGAAAGAGCCAGGCCACGGAGCGCGATGCGTCATTTACGCACAGATGGTTCCGATTTTAATGGCATTTTTGGAGTTTATGTTGTGATCTGTGCGCACAACCCACCTTTGTCTTGTGAGGTTTGAATATATGCAACTTTATGTGAGTGTCTTTATTTGTGGAAAAGGGTGTTTGTCTTACCAGTGATCCAACATTTGAGAGAGTGTGGAGGACGCCCAATGCAGCACTTACAGTGACACTTGTTGAGGAGCTGCCTTCTGTCGCCATCGTGTGGCATTGCTGTATTCAGACATCTCTTGATCTCTTTGACTACTTCACGAAAATAGTAATACGCCTCGCCGGTGGCGAATTTAAAGGCGAGGAGAGGAGCTCAGGTGATGGTGAAAACAGGTCTCGGCTGTGTAAAACCCACTCCACGCCCTCTCTCCTCCCTCGCTACGACTTATGCCGCTGGGAGGAGCTGAGTTAGGGAGGGGGGATACTTACGCCGGGCTGCGCCGCTCACCAAAATACCAAATTATGCTTGGGAATGCCTTGTCGGCGCGGCGGACCTGACTTACGCCGCGTCTGCGGCGAGGCACGAAAATAGAGCCCACAGAGTTAAGTTGATCTATTGTTAAAGTTCAATTGTGAGATCTAACTGGACTACTCCCTTGTGTTGGTCCCGATGTTCCAGAATCTCTTGATTGTCAAAAGCATGTCGACCTCTGCTACGATAGTTGACCCTTTTCAGCTCACTACCATCAGGCTGACTCCTGATTCAAATCCTATGTGTCGTCATCTATCAAAGCAATCAACAAGCGCATTATCATTACAGGTCCTATGTCAAACAGAAAGCAAATGACTGTAAAGCTCTGTACTGATGAGGTAGCTTTTTATTACCCTCCCCTTTCTTCTGTAACGTATTTTTTTTTTTTTACTACAAAGGCTGTCACTCTTAATCCAAAATTAGAACCTTAATTTGAACTATGGGGGGAAAGTCCTCCATTTTCCAAAAATGGAGTTGGAAAAAAGCAAAATCGGAGGCAGAAATGAGATGGCTACATCTATGAAAGGGGATGCTAAAATAACTTAATATAACTAAAATAGCAAGTGCTAAAATAACTTGCATATTAAATTAACTGTAAAAGATAAAACTTGTTAGACAAAGGACAGTCAGGCCCTTTCTCCTTAGTCTTTCAACTTTTTTAGATCATTTTAAATAATATTTTTTCTGTCTGTCTTTTGGTCTTTCATCCCAGCAGTCAGAAGGTCAGTCTGAAGGAGAGGGTCTTCTCATCCCCCAGGAGTTCAGGGACCAAAGGGAAGGGGTCTCCTCAGCACGGTAAGTGTTTGAGCTGTTTTCAAATGTCACAGATGTTGGACATTTTACAGGGAACAGATTCATTATTTAGGAAGTTTTTTCTGAAGAGACACACTCGTCCTGACAACGAGTGAGAACCAGATGATCTACCTCTTTCCCCGCACCTATCCTCTTATGATGTACTGTAATTCCAGGAGCTGGTTTGAAGAAAACCTGCATCCTTTGGGGACTATTACCAAGGCAACTGACACGCATCGCAATCCACAGTTCAAATCCTTTTTGTCTTTACCTGTCTCTAGTGGTTCCCGCTGGCACTCCCTCTGTGGGTCCTAGCCCTGGTGTGGGTTCTGGAGTTCCTGGGACCATGGGGGGCGTACAGGCTTTGCGCAGGTCCCCAAGCATGGAGCCAAGTCTTGAAGACAGTCCCAGCAAAGTACCAAAGAGTTGGAGCTTTGGAGAACGTAGCAGAACCAGACAGGCCTTCAAGATCCGGGGAGCGGCTTCACGCCAAAACTCTGAAGGTAACAGAGGCTGAGTCCGACCAGTCAGAGAAAACATACACCAAGTGTAAAACTCAGTCAGGTGGAGCTCTAACACCCAAAACAAAACAAAACAAAACAAAACAAAACAAAGCAAACAAACAAACAAACAAAACAAATAACCCAAGCTGCCAACACTGAGGAGACCTGTCTACCCATTAGACATCTGCATTAATGGTCCAGTCTTGGTCAGCACACTGTTTTCAACTCAAGACAATGCATCAGATATTTCTTTTACCTGCAACACAACACAGTCCAAAAGAGCAACATAACCCTCTTAGTTTTTTCTTCTGCATTCCCATTTTGTTTTTTTTGTTCAAGACTTTTCAAGACTCGTATCAAAGTCAAATCGGGGATCTTCTCACAACAGCCAAATATTTATACAACTCTTATTTTGTTAAAGGAATAGTTAATGATGGATTTTATTAACTCATAGTGAATGCATTCAAAAATGTGGATACAAACTGTGCATCATCATCCTCAAGGATGGTCTGATCATGTCCTCAACGTGCAGTGGGCCCGACAAATTTGCTGTACTCATTTCATCACCTGACCTCTGCAGTTTTTTGTAACTCTGACTTTTAAGCACACATAACCATACCAACATTTCTGCACAACTCTGCAGGAAGTGCCTGATTTTGAATGCAGCTGACGCACACTCTTCATTCTGCTGTGCCTGCTTTTTGTGACCTCTCTGCTTTGTGAGTGTGTGATGCACGACCCTGCTGCAGGTCTACAGCTTTTTCAACATCAGCCACAGAGACAGAGAGAAAAGGAGAAACAGACACAGCAATGTAACTGGGTCACAACTGTCTTTTTATCCAAATCATCTTAAGTTCACCGTCTAGTGTCCACATATGTTGACACTTTAATGACTCAGCTGGACCTTGAACAATACACAACATCATTTACATATTTAGTAAAACACCACAGGAAGTTGAAATCAGCTGAGCACGCTGCAGTTTTCAATCTCCTCTGTCATGTGAAACTAAATGTGGAACAATGAAGCATCAGCAGTTAGGCATCTCTAAAGGGCATACTGAGCCTTTGGCGCAACAACGGTAACAACTACCTCAAAACGAGTGGCTGTAAGCCTATAAACTTGTATTTTTTTTTATTGTGTCCATGATCTGATGTAATTGATAGTTTTCTAATGATACCACTTGCTCGTTACGCACAAGGAAGAATAGTCCTTCAAGCGTCAGATACAACCAATAGCTAATACAGATCATTTCGCCAATTTATGCAGTGGGCCAATTTTAACTTCCAGGTTTGTTATATATGTATATATGTATATATATATATATATATATATATATATATATATATGTATACTACCACAGATTAAGATCACTAATTAAAAAAAAATTAGATTTTTTTTTATTGACTTCAGTTCAAAGTACTTTGAATGCACTGCAAAGGTGACAGAGGTTGTACTGTCTAGCAGGAGCCTGTAGCTCTCCTGGCTGGCTCGCCAAATGGGGTAGATTGCATGTTATCTTTAAGGTTTATAAGTTCCTGAGTAAAGTAAATCTTACTTGATCTAACAGTTGAAGAGCTGCAGCTGGATACCTTGAAATCCTTTCCCATCCTTGAGAAGAAATCCAGACACCCAACCAAAAAACAAAGAAACAAAAAAAAAAAACACAGGTTGGATGGCATTTCTTCAGTCCACATCACTTACTTTGTACAGTTTCGAATTACAAACAAAGCTGAACTGTTTTGTGAAGATGCACTAATTAACACAAAGGCCACTAAGGTATCGGTGGAGTAGCTAAAAGCATAGATTCAGTGGCGACAAAAAAGAAGTAGGAAGTAGAAGCTGCCCCAAAGCTTACACTTAATGCCATAACTCTTTGAATGATTCTCTTTTTTTACTCTTTTCCTTCACATTACAGAAAGTCCAAGACATGACTGCCAGCCTCTCCTTGTGGCTCAATTTCTCTCCGTCATCCTTTGGAGCCATCTGTTCCAGCATAGCTTTCCCTAAATTCCTGTGACCAATCTCTGATAACAATGGTTGGCATGTCCAGCAGGATCCTATAGCTCTCCTGGCTGACTTGCCAAATGGGGTTGATTTTTTTCTGCATAGTTTTCTGAATGCAAAATGCTGATTAAAGCTTAAAAGTTCCCTTATGAAATCAACTTTAAAGAAATCTGACAGACGGAGATCTGTGGAAGGGCACCTTGGAGGATACCTTTACCTAAGTTGTTGGGACAGGTCTCTGATACCAACTTCAATGTCAGGTCATAAGTCAGTACAGTGTGTCAAGATAAACTCTCGATCTAAAAGTTGTCCTTCAACCTACACATGCTTGTCATTTAAACAATACTGCTCCCCAACATTATCAGCTCCTTTGGTTTTCATACATGAAGCTAACACTCTTGCTACAATCTGATTGTTAGTATTTACCATATTTCAGCTGCCTTGATCAATAATTCTCATCAGCCTTGGTTTCTCCTGTGGTTTTGGTGCAAGCTTGCCTTGTTTCTTCTCTCAGGCAAACAGGAGACTTATTTTACATCAGTGTACTGTTACTTCACAGTGCTGTAAACAAAGACCAGTGAAGTAACAGTATGCTGCTGACATCTTTCTAACCTGCAGGTTATAGCATATTATATTTATGGCTCTGTTTTCCTCCTTTTTCCCCCATAAGTCATTGTCAGCAGCTACAACTCTTGGTAGAACAACATACTGATGAAAACGCACTATTGTGGATGTTAAACGGGGTCAAAATTATCCAACTTAATAAATCTTCCACTTTAACTAAACAAAAAAGCACTGAGCTAAATTTTCCACTCTAAACCAGCAGGTTATCCATTTAAAATGATGCTGTCATACTTTTCATCTGTCATCATCAAATCTTGAGTGATAAGGAGAGAACTATGAAGGAGAGTAGAGGAAAGGGAAAAGAGGAAATGGTCCTAAGAGGAAACATGGCAACTCTCATCCGCTGACTGGTTTTAAATAGTTTTTGCCTCCTTTTTTTGCCTTTTGTTGCTATTTTACCAGTTTGGGAAACTTCTGGACCTGCAAATTAAAAAAAAAATAAAAACAACTCCTTTGACTCCTAGCCATAGCTGCATGATGAACCCTGATAAGTAGTTGGTATCCTATTAGCGTGTGTCTTTATTATTTGTTTGACTATTTGTGCTAGGAAAAAAAAAAACATTTCCCCCTGGTGTTTGTGCAAAGCCAGTTTTATGGTCTTATCCTGCTTGCAATGTTCGATTTTGACTAGGCCTCCCTTGCTTCCAGTGTTTGTGCTTTGCTATGCCTATAGTAGTTCCCTGATTGCAGTTTGTGCTCAGAAAGTCTGGTTGTTTTCCCTGCCTGTAGTGTTTGTGCAAAGTTAGATTAACAGTTTCCAGTGCTTTCAGTCTTTGAGCGATCTCTTTTAATGTCCATGTAGATTCTCATTCATCCAGGTCATGGTTATCTTGAAGACTTAAAAACAGGCAACTGGACTGTGTAGAGTTGAGAAGACGTTTCGCCTCTTATCCAAGAAGCTTCTTCAGTTCTAAAAGTGCTAGTGTCAGGAGCAGATGACACTAGCACTTTTAGAACTGAAGAAGCTTCTTGGATAAGAGGCGAAACGTCTTCTCAACTCTACACAGTCCAGTTGCCTGTTTTTAAGTCTTCAAGATGATCTCTTTTAATGCTCTCAGTACTCCTTTTAAGCTAAGCTAACAGCTTTCACCTGCACCCATGATCTATGCTAAGCTAGGCAAGCAGTTTTCCCTTGCTTCCACCTTTTGTGCTCGACTCCTCCCTCAGTTTCCCTGCTTTCAGTGTTTGTGCTCAGCTCAGCCAAAAGCATTTAATCTGACATTGACATGGAAACAGGTTGATGTTGATGTTATCTGTCACTAATGTCGTTGATGAGAATCAAATCATGGTGGTTTCGTTGATTTTGAATAGATTAAAATCTGCCTCTGATGAAGGTTTGTCTCCTCTCTCCTCCTCCTCCTCCTTCTCCTCCTGTAGTGCTGATAGAGATGCAGGATGAAGAGTTCAGACAGAAGGGCTCCCCAGGTCAGCACACATGCACCAACACATACACACTAACCCAATTTTAATCAATTAATATTTAAAAAATACATAAAATATTGACATTTAATCAAGTTGCATTAAATTGTATTAACCCCAATATCTAAATGATCCATGCCTTTGGGTATGATGGGCATCTTTTCAGGTGCTTAGTGAGCAATTAGCAATAGATAAAATCCCGCCATAACTGTTGCCTCCATGCATTGCTAACAGTCCAAGTAGGAACTTCAGATTTTGTTATCAGATCAAAATCCAAACAAAATTTCACCCTTTGCGAAATAAATGCAAATCCCTGTTTGACGGTAAATGATAAGTTACAGAGAGGCTTTACTCTGGTTTCATTCAGTCGTACGAACCTGAAAAAGAAACCAATTTTCCTGGGTGTTCAATGCAGTTAACAGGTCATATGTTTACCCCATCTGTCCTCAAGGGCAGAAGGAACCATTTCATCTTTGTTTTATTGAATGGGGGTCAGACTGAACCTCTCTTAAGTCAGGGAATCCAAACCCTGATTGACTTTAGTGAGTTAGCACAACTGTTTGATCTAGAACAACTATTAGCTCCACTTGCACACAAATATCTGTTCATAGAGAATAATGAATGGTCGTTGGGTTACTGCTGGATGCTGAGACCTCATTATGGTGGGATGAGTCCCAGCTGGTTTTGCTCTCCATGGTTTTTCTTGCATACATTCAAATTGAAGCTACAGAAACCAGAGCACTTCTTATGATGAACTCCAGACCTCTGCTTGAAAATCTCCCTTCATATGTGGGGTCTGTAAACACAAATCAAATCAAGATACGTCTGCTTATACAGAGTATAGTCTCAGCTTGGGAGGAAAGTTCTGCATGACACTGATGTTTAAATAGTAGGATATATATCCAGAAGGCCATAGCTGGACATGTCTGAACTTTTTGTTCTGTCTCTGGTCTGCCTGCTTTTATGCAACATAACGTTACGCTGGCCTCACACCGGATGTGCGAAGGCTGACAAGTGGCTTAGTTTTTATTTCAGCATGGATGCTGTCAAAATCAAACCTTTTGCACCGCCATTGTGAGTGCTGGTCTTGTGTCGGTCTCACATGCCAAAAATTTAGGGAAGGCTGACCTATCTTTTCTGCGAGATCTAGTCAAAAACCTTCAGAAAAATGGCAAGGCATTTATATCATAAGCTTGAAAAATGTACTGTGAGAGCATTGTTGTAATGCATTTTAAAGCATAGGTCAAGTCTGTCTGGAAAGACTCCAAACAAAAGCTTTTACTCTGAAGATGACGGAACAGTCATCTGGCTAAAGAAGTGATTTGCACAGGACAAAATGTTGTCATAAATCACATAAGCTGCAAATATGCTTTGTTTACTCGGCCTGTTGGATAATATTAGGTTGTGAAAAATGTATATTTTTAGGAGTATGCATCTGCTCCTGGTCAGCTGGTATGTCTGTGTTAATCGAGCACTAATTTTTAATGTAAACAAGATCATTTTCCAATGATATCATCTACCAGTGTCACCGTTGCGACTCCCAAAATTTACTTCAGGTATGAAAAAAAGTAAACAATGGCATTGTGAGTCATAAGGCTTTACATTATGTTCTCTCTTTATAACTATCTGTGTGTCTGTGCACAAAGTCCCTGCTTTTTACAATATAATATTTATGTTTTTAATATAAATCTAATTGTTTTTCTGGAAGCTTTACCATCTGAACCAGTCCTTCATAGGTCTGATAAATGACCTGTTGATTGAAGAGTACTAATTATTATTTTATTAACTTGCACTTATTATGATTTACAGCAGCCTGAGTAAACACCATGATGGCAGGCACTGCAGCCGTCATGTATCCAGCGGTAAAGCCTGTGTAATAAAACCTGCAGTCTGCCGTTGCTCAACCTTCAGGTAGGGGGCGCTGAATGACACAGTCTTCAGGCAGTGTGTTGCTGTTTCAGATGCCAGCATACCCGGTGAAGATCTGGTTGACGACAACAAGAGTTGCCACTGTGAGTTTGTCCCTCAGGATCTGACCCCGGGGTTAAAGGTCACCATCAGAGCCATCTGGTACGGAGTGTTCGTGTTCAGCCTCTTTCAGAAAACCATTTTGTTTTGTCATCGATCATCGCTTTACTCACTGTTTATTTGCTGGTTTATGCACTGAACTCATTATGCTTTTATTCACATTATTTTTTTGTTTGTTTTGTCAGTTTATTTTGTGCTCACCCCAGGGTCAAAGGTCACCATCAGCTGCTGGGTAAGGCCTGCCAGTCTGACCTCCAGTAGATTTCACTGTTTTCTGTTGTTTCACAGTTTATTTTCTGTTTTTGTTGTTTGCTACTAAAGCTGCTCCATCACTCTGCTGGAGAGACATTTGCTCATTTATCTACTACTTTTATTATTGTTATGATTGATTATTATGATACACTTTGCTGTTGATATCCCTCAAGAAATGTTAACACATAACAGTACAAGTGTAGCATAAAGCTTGTCTATCAGTGGGTCTGTATTCCTGGTCTAGGTAAGGAGCCTTTGTATCATCCATCAATTCCCGTCACTGCTGGTCCTGGTCCTGGTAAAGTGAATGAATGACACCCCAAAAGCCACAAATTAGGACTGTGTCTGACACAGAGCTCTGATTTGTGATGATATCTGGCCCAAAGTTGACCAGACATGGTCTGATTTTTCTGTTTTACCAGCAAGTTAAAAGTGTGATTTGGTCAAAGTGTGACATCAAAACCATTGCACCATCATCTGAACCAACTCCAGACTCTGGCTCCAATGGTGCCACCAGCATATGATGTCAACACTTGTCACTGTGTGCAAATCCCTGTTTCAAAAGCAGTTGAGAAAGGAGCATCAGCTCTTCTTTCCCAACTCTCTGTAAATGTTACTGAACCCTGCAGACCAGTTTCTGGAGTTTGTGAAGTGAAAAGTTGTCCCATTCTTGCCTGATATAAGATTTCAGCTGCTCGCAAGTTCAGGGTCTCCTTTGATGTATATTTGTGCCATGATGCTCCAAATGTTTTCAATGGGTGACAAGTCAGGACTGCAGGCAGACCAGTCTATCAGCAGGACTTTTCTACTACAGAGCCATGCTGTTGTATTACCTACAGAATGTGGTTTGTCATTGTCTTGCTGGAATATGAAGGTCTTCCCTGAAAAGGTCATTGGGCTCTATTTTCGTCCGCGCCGGTGAGGCGGCGGAGGGCGGCGAGCCCCGCGCAGTTGTATTTTCGTCTGGCGGAACCCGGTGTAAGGCGAGTTTGGTATTTTCGTGGACTGAGTTGCACGGAGGCGAGCCGAGATCCGCCAAGCTGGGCGTGGTGGCGTGGCAGGGGGAGGTGTTGACAGAATCAGCTGGCGCAGTGACATTTTCGTGCTCGCCACTGGCGTGTAACGTGCGCTGAAAGCTCGCCGATTCAAACCTGGTCAGCTTTCAGCGCAAGGCGGAACGCAGCTGGTCTAGTAGTATTTTGGTAGACCGGCGGCGTATCGACATACGTCACTGATGCCTCACCGGCAGGTTTCCACAGTGTCAGGCACATTTCAGTGCAATAAATAATCATCAACTATTAATCTGAGTCAGCACATACATTTAGATCTATATCGATATATTCTGATCTATATCTGATCTGATGAGCGCGTTTGGCACGCGTTTGGACACACAACCTGACCGGATCAACACAGCTGAAACCGCATCAAATTAAATTAAATATCTAGTACATAAACACACATGATGAAGTTAACAAGATATGTAATTCGTCTCCCTCCTTTTCTTTCTTCCTCTTCCTCTTATTTCTCGCACAGCTCGACCTGGACACGTCTCCGTGTCCTCTGTCCGTCTTGCTGCTGCTGCAGCTGAACAGATGATTTGTTTCAGTGCTCAGATGCGTTATCTACTTTAAGCCGACATACGGATATTATAATATTCAGTTTTGTGGGCCAAATTTATTTTATATGCCGACATCTATGAAAGAAAGAGCCAGGCCACGGAGCGCGATGCGTCATTTACGCACAGATGGTTCCGATTTTAATGCCATTTTTGGAGTTTATGTTGTGATCTGTGCGCTCAACCCACCTTTGTCACGTGAGGTTTGAATATGAACAACTTTATGTGAGTGTCTTTATTTGTGGAAAGGGTTGTTTGTCTTACCAGTGGGTCCAACATTATGCACACTAAATCCATCTGTGCTCATATGAGAGAGTGTGGAGGACACTTGTTGAGGAGCTGCCCTCTGTCGCCATCTTGTGGCATAACTGTCTTCAGACATCTCTTGATCTCTTTGACTACTTCATGAAAATAGTAATACGCCTCGCCTGTGGCGGATTTAAAGGCAAGGAGAGGAGCTTATGTGATTGGTGAAAACAGGTCTCGGCTGTGTTAAACTCACTACACGCCCTTTCTCCTCCCCGTCTACGATTTATGGTGCTGGGAGGAGCTGAGTTAGGGAGGGGGGATACTTACGCCGGGCTGCGCGGCTCACCAAAATATCAAAATGTGCTTGGGAACGCCTTGTCAGCGCGGCGGATCTGACTGACGCTGCGCTTGCGGCACGTCTCCGGCGAGGCACCAAAATAGAGCCCATAGTCTGGATGGCAGCATATGTTGCTCCTAAATCTGTTGATATTGCTCAGCATTGATAGAGCCTTCATAGACATGGAAGCCACCTATGACATGGACACTTATGATCCCCATACTATCAAGGATTCTGACTTTGGACTGTGCACTGATAAGACAAGTGAACCCTCTCTTCTGAAGATGCAAGATCCAAAGTTTAATGCAACAGACCACAGGACAGCTTCCCAAGGGGTTGGGGTCTTGACAAGTCAGTAGAGTTTATATTTGGTTTCCATTCTGCATGTTCACTCTTAGTGGATGCAGTGATGAGCTGTGTTAAAGGACAATGGTTTTGGAAAGTGAATGTACTGATTTCCACTACAGAGTCATGAGTGTTTCAAATGCAGTGCCTTCCTAAAGATAACTGCCAACCATAACCCTAACTTTAACTCAAGGTTTCCTCTGGCATTTCTTCAACAGTCAGCTCCTTAAGAAGGATCCTGATTCCTGATTCAAAGTTGAACCACAATAGTTGGCTCTGTGAACAGAAATGAGCGGTGATTCTACTCCAAGCTCCCCACTCTGTCTTTAAAGGTCCAAACACCCTGCTAAGAAGTTCAGACCCACTGTCAGTAGAATATGATTGTTTAACATCAGTGAAGCACACAAAGACTGGTCTAGACCAAGTGTGGTCAATTAGTCCTGTTTGTGTCAGAGACCAGCAGAGCTAGTTCTCACCATTTGAGGTTGGGTGACTGGACTTCCTGTTCTGTCTCTCTCCCAGTATCATGCGTTTCATGGTGTCTAAGAGGAAGTTTAAAGAAAGCCTTCGTCCCTATGATGTCATGGATGTGATTGAACAGTATTCAGCTGGACACCTGGACATGCTGGCTCGAATCAAGAACCTACAGTCAAGGTAAAGACCCGACCCTCCCGTGTACTGGTATTTCAGCATTCCCTAATGGAGATGGTCGAGTTTTAAATTAGTTGACTCCATGTTATTGTTTTGGGACTCACAGTTTTGTTTTCGATCGGCAGGGTGGATCAGATAGTTGGCCGAGGAACTCCAATTGCAGACAAGGACCGTCCAAAAGCAGCCAATGAGGAGCTTCCTGAGGACCCGAGCATGATGGGACGTCTGGGGAAAGTGGAGAAGCAGGTGATCCACAGAAAACAAGTCTGAAATTGAAAGGACTCGGGCACTGAAAGCGTAGAGTCCACAGTTGTTGGTTTTTCTGAGGTGATGCCAAATTTGATTGGTTCTCTGCATATCTTGTGTCTGTCAGGTCCTGTCCATGGAAAGGAAGTTGGACTTCCTCGTCAACATCTACATCCAGCGAATGGGAATCCCTCAGGCTGAGACTGATGCCTACTTTGGGTCCAAGGAGCCGGATCCGGCCCCGCCCTACCACAGTCCTGTGGATCATCTGGAGAAGAGCCAGTCCATCTCCAAGATCATGCAGTCAGTGTCTGCTGTTCACACATTTTGTTTGTTTAATTTGTTTATGACACTTTGTTTACCTTTGTGTTTGTTGTGCAGATGTTTCTGTTTGTAAGTATGTTTATATTGTGTATTGTTCAGGGTGATGCCTGGCGAACATGTTGAGAAGAGTCGTTCGATAACGAAAATGGTCCGTTCCAGCAGCTCTACCGGACACAGGAATTACAACACCCCTACCTGTCCCCCCTCCACCTCCTGGCAGCCCATCAGCTCCCAGCTTTGCCAACAGGCTCCACATCCTCCCCAGCGCAGTCATGGCAACACTCCAAGTCCAGTGGGGGATGGGTCTCTGGTACGACTCCCACCCCCTCCGGCTGGAGAGAGGCACAGCGGGAATCGATCAAACCGACACAGCACAGGAGATCGAGGGGGAGGTGAGGGGGCTAAAGGGACTGGAGGAGGAGGTGGGGGAGAAGGAGGGGGAGGAGAAGGGGAGGTGAAGCCGGACAGCGAGACCTCCATCTCCATCCCCTCTGTAGACCACGAGGAGCTGGAGCGCTCTTTTAGTGGTTTCTCCATCTCACAGTCCAGAGAGAATCTGGACTTCCTCAACAATGGCTTCTACTCGTCCACGGCCAACATAGGGGACCACAGAGGAGGGGGAGGAGGCACTGCCCGCTGTGCCACTGTCCGGCCCTACATCGCAGAGGGGGAGTCGGACTCCGACTCAGAGCTCTGTGCTCCCTCACCTCACACTGATCGCGCCTGGACTGGAACCCAGTAGGAAGTGAGCAGGAGCAGAACCAGCAAAACAAACGATAATCAAAATGTGACAAAAAACTTTGAAACTGAGGAGTGAATCAGGTCTGAGGGAACAAATGGAGTCAAAGATTTAAACACCAGCTGGGGTTATGGACTGAAGCATCATGGGAACTGCACTGAAAGCACTGGATGAAGGCCATGCTGTTTTTATTCATGTGAATGTTTGAACCTGTACAGCAAATGTTTGTCATCACTGTCACTGACTTGTTCACTGCTCGGACACGCTCACCTGTTATAAGTCCACCGCAGTGTTTGCTCACATCTGACTGCTCCACCGCATGGACTTAGCAACATCTGGCAGGTCTACTTCGACAACATGCTCACCTATGATTGGTCCACGGCAGAGACCATGTCACACCTAACTGGTTCACTGCAGCTTCATACTGCTCAACATAACCACAGCTAGTCATTTTCATGTCACGTTATGCTTCACGTTAAATGTTAACAACATGCACAGCAGACTGTCAGACCGCAATGCAAACATTTTGTCTTTTTGTCCCTATGTCCTGTTTAGTATTACAATACAGTAACCTGAATTTTTCTGCAAGTAAAAAAACTGTAACTTTGTCAGTCAAGTTTTCCAACAGGGAGATAACAGAGGAGAAGGATGTGATGTTTTCACTCCGCCTGATCCCGACTTCTTTTGAAATTTTTACTCAAAAGCTGACAGGAAAGGTTCTCGTAGAGCCAGAGTGAGATATTTGTCTTGCAGCACACCCTAGATTTTCAGGAAATTTCCAGGAGTCTGGTGCACATATGAATGCAGCGACACAAATACGAGGGCTCACATAGGTTCAGACTCCACCAAATACCTACTTTAATGTGTGATTTAAAAGAGAGTCTATTTGGACCTTGAAGCGTTATTTGATGTGAGCATAATGCAAAAAAAACTATCAGTGTTAAATGTAAATCACTGATGTACACCTATACAGGCTTGCTTGCCTTTCCATGCAGATTTATGTGTGACTAAAAATATCACAATGACTGGTATCTATGACTTCAACACTCTTTTTACTCTTCATTAATCCTAGTGTTAGAAGTTTGAGCTTTTTGACTGCTAATCTTACATATTTTACTGTATTTTTAAACTGGATATTTAACTTTTACAAGGATAAATCTTTAAAAATGGCCATGGTTGTCTCAGGTAAACCTCCCAAAACCCTTACTCTACAGATCAGGACATAGCCACTAATATTAGCTTTAGCTCTGTTAGCATTGAGGACTAGCTAAACAGAGGTTATTTTAACCCTAAACGTATTATCTCTGCATAACCTGTAACACCACAAAGTACTGTAGTTAGCTGTTAGTTTCTAGCCATAGCAGCATTGGTTTACATTGTTTGTAGATAGCTTGTTAACACAAAAATGCTAATATTAGCAGCCGTAATGAGAAAATTCATACAGTTGAAGTCAATCATAGCACTTTGCTGGTAAATTCACATCGTTGTCCTGCTCATACTGTAAAGATTTTACTTCCATGACCTCCAGCTCACTATACATGCCTCCACTTTTTACCAACTCAAGAACAAATGAATCAATGCAAAATGTTAAGAACAATAATACAAAGATAATATTATAATCATACAATGATATGCTCTGGGAAATAAGTAAGGGGTAATTTACAGTGAATAGATTTTTATGCAAATTATAATCTTGACAGTGTGAGCAGGACCGTGGTACAAAGTAAAGGGATTTTTTTTCATACTGAAGGAACTCTTTAAGTTGCAGATCCTCTGCTCACTATACATCACCCACTTATTACCAGGCCACCAACTAAAGACGTATAAAAGTTGACACAAATATGATTTTATAAATAACTATCTCTACAGGTATAATATTGCTATGACAGAAATAGATCCCTATCAGCCTCCAAGATTAAACAGAATATTTCAATACATTTTCAAGTTACAACATTAACCTGCTCATTTGATCTAATTCACATTCACATTCACCTTCTGCACATGCTACACAGCTTTCATTCCGGGCTTTGGCCCAGAAGTGAAACAGCATAAGAAACCAGAGGGTGATCAATTGTCAGTGAGTTGGTTTTTGCCAGATGCTTGTATTACCAAGACAAAGACAGTAGTCCAGTTAAATCACCCGTTCAAACTATTGACTTTACTGTACATGTAAACATACTGATTATTTCTCTACTCTTTAGACCAGCCTGAGATGGACACTCATGTTTTTAGGCAGGGGTGGAAAGTGCTGGTCTCCTTTCTGGTTTGATGTACTGTGTTTGATCAGGTAATCCCTGGTGTCACTGGTGTTATTGAGATTTTTTCACTGTGGTTTTGGGGATGTGGACCAATCACAATTTAGTATCTAACACAGCTGGGTAATCATATTAGCTCAATTACAATTAAGATAATCAGCTTGGATTCAGTGAATGGTAAGTTAAGAGTGGTTTTTGTGATTCTTATCCGATTTCTTGTAAAATTCAGCAAAAATAGCAACAGGAATGTAAACGACACAATGTTGATGAGAAAACACAGATCTGTGGAGCAAGACAGTGTTTGGAGGATCGGTGTCACTTCAGGAAACTAAAATACGTCAAAATTACCAAAAAAATGTATCAACTTCAGCCTGAGGTCTTTGCTTAGTTTAACATGTTTGACCAGCATTGAAAATAAATGTTAAGTTTGTTCTGAGGGGGCACCAAAGGTATGATTGTTAAGCCCCGCCCACAAACACTACTGTTAATAAAAGGCTACAAGATGAAACAAAAGAAGGACAGACTTGTCTATGTCTGGCTGATTTTTGAATGATCATCCTGTGATTATTTCATCAGCGCTTCACTGATGACCTTTTGTTTTTAAAATTAATTTGAACAGATACTCTTCATTCACTGTCTATCTTGTTTATGGCCTTTTAAAAGTTTTTCTTTTCCAGAAGAGAAACTTCAGAGCATCTGGAGAGGAAAATTAATTCGTGTATCATCTCCCTGTCCATCTGTGTGCCTAACTTCAGTCTGTCCTGAGATGATGTCTGAACACACAAATGTGAAACTTCTAACCAATTGCTGTCTGTCTGTTCACATGAAAATCAAGTTGTGTTTGATCCAAATCCTTTAAATGTGTTTGAGGAAATCCGTATGACAACATCTTATGTCTGTATCACACAAACTGTATCTGTCCATAATGTTGCCTGTTGATTGTATTTAAATATTTATTAAAGACCTTTAACCACAACATGAACCACATAACGTCTTTTCTGTCTCTCCAATACACAGACGACGTTTGCTCGTCAAGTGAAATCTTTCAATATATGTCATTAGTTTATATTTAATATCTAGTATTGATGGTAACAAAAATCAAATATCTGCCTGTTTATACTTCGCTTCATGTTTTTGTGTGATGAAATGCTCTGTCCTGTGTCTAACTTCTCTTTATACACTCCTCTCTCATTAAATGTCACAAGAGGAGGTGGGGCGTACAGCCCAGACTTGCCCTGGCTCAGTTCCTCTGGCTCCTCTCCAGCATCTCTCTACAGACTGAGCTCGCTGTTGAGCCCCTGACAGATGAGAGGACATGACATTCATCAAATAAAGAACATAGGTGAGAAAATTCCCGCAGGTGAAGGACAGAGCTGTGAATGTGAATAACTAGACTTCTTATAGAACTTTATTCAGAGCAAAGTTAGGAAAAAACTTGAGATATTGTTGAATAAGAAAAGTTATTCCTTTGGAACATGTGGAAGAAACTACAGAGATGTTTTAATACACCAATTTAAACTTTAATTAGAACATTTTGATGAACGAAAGAACTGAAAAACATTTACAGAGCAAATGTAGAGGCAACATGGAAAACTCATGGAGTTTGCTGCTCTTCACTTCTTCTTCTTCTTGTTAAACCTGACAGAGAAAACACAGTCAGCCATCTTTACTCTTTTAACATCTCTTCGAGCCGCCATCAGACAGACAATGTAAAGACTCACCTGGAGTTACTGGAACGCTTTTTGTCCAAACCTAGACGCTTCCTGTCAGCGAAGGATGGTCTGTAGGCAGAGAGACGGACAGAGAGAGGTGAGAAACGGGTGGACTGATAGAGGAACAGGTAGATAAACAGACAGGTGAACGGACAGACTCACCCAGCTCTGTACTGTTTGAGAGCTTTGCTGCTGGTGTTGGTCAGCTCTTTATCAAACACAGACCTCTTTCCTCCTTTTCCTCCTTTCTGTTTGGCTGCTGCAGAGACACAGAGGTCAGTTTGTCAAAGTCAAAGGAGTTTGAATGTTTCTCAGGGCAGACAAGAGTTTAAAGAACAACTCCATGGATTACCAGCTCACCAGAGTTGTTGACACAATAAATAACAACAAATCAAGCTATATGCAATAGTCCATTGGTTCCCAAACTTTTTCCCCCAAGGCACACCAAGGGACAAGTCTTGATGTGGGACAGCATGTTCACGTCAAAATTGTAAAAGTTCTTCCAGAAGCTCCTAAAGACGGGGTAGGACTTTCCCACATGACAGCTAACGTACCTCTTTGTGGAGGATCGGTGGTGGATTGTCGGCAGTCTCAGCATTGGTGGTCTGTGGTTTGCTCCACACAAGAAAGTGCTCCATTTTCCCTCTCGTGTGTTTTTATGTTTTAATGTTCTTTCTTAATTCCCACCTATGCAACTGCCCAAACAGTGAAATATGTGATTCTTGCTGAGGATTTTTTTTTTTTTTCAGAATTGTTTTTCGGGAAAGAGTTTGCCTCTGTATTACGAAATGAGTGCATACAAAGTAGTGATATAGTAAATAAAATACAATTATTTTTGTGTAGTTGCCTCATGGCACATGTTTGGGAACCAATGCAACAGATTATTAAAGAGCAGATGTTGCATTGTTGTTCAACACGTGGTAGTGAACAATTTGGACGTATTTCCTTGGGTGAGGATGGATTGGTAAATGGACTGTTTGAACTACACAGTTAACAAAACTGACGACAAAGTAAGTTGATGACCTCACATTTTTATGCTGTACAAACCAAACCAACCACACTGACAGTTTTGTTGTCATGCTGCCTCAGCTGGTGTTTTATTCTTACCTGGAGTCGGTGTTTCGTCCTCCAGCATCGCTCTTGCTCTCTTTGGTCGTCTCTCTCGTTTAGCTGCTCGCTCAGCGAACATCTGAGCCTTCAGGATCTCGAACTGAGCGCGCTCCTCAGACTAAAAGAGAGATGACAAATAGCATCTATTTCAGCTAAGAGCTCCCACTCTAACTTACTAAATACGATTTCACCAGGTAACAAACACACTGAGGTTGTTTGTTTATTATGAGGAAAGACATTTTCAATCCCGTGCTGCATTCAGTTGCAGTGGGTGATTGAAACACAACAAAAAACATAAAAATGAAATCTTCAGCAGTGCTGTGTTTACCAGACTTCTTATGAAGACAGTCCAAAAAAATATATATATCAATTGGTGAGTTCAGGTATTACCGTCAACTCCTTCTTCTTCGAGCCATCCTTCAGGAACTTTTGTCTCTTCTTCTTTCCTCTCAGAGCCAAATCGAACTCTTGCAGAGCCTTGGACACTGAGGAAGAGGAGGGATGGCTCATGAAACTGTACTTAGAGGACTACAGAGTACTGCTTAGAGCTACAAGCGGTCTAATTTCACATATGCACTACTTATCCCGAACAAGGAAGCCATTGAGGGTGCAAACAAATCCACAAAAAAATAACTGTTCAGAATTAGAAAGAATCAGAGCATTTATATTTATTTCTAATTTGATAAAGACTATACTTTGAGCTGGTTCAGGTCTGGATCAGCTAGTTCTGCTGCTATAGTTTTAGACCTCCTGAGGTGCTAGCACATTGAGCACCTTGCTCTCCTTCTCCCTCCTAAAAGGTTCTATATCATTAACTTTGAATCATCATGTCCCATTAGAGTCACTTATACACAGTCTTTTCTGGGAGTCCCTGAGCTCCATCATGTCATAGGTCCCTCTGGATCGCTGCTGCAAATGTTTGTTGCAGTGGACCTGCCTGTTTACCTGCTCCTTTAACTACATGCATCAATCTCTCCTCTTTCCAACTCTCTTCTCTTTCCATCTCTCTCTCTCTCCTCTCTAAACTCAGTTCAGTCTCAGCAGATGACTGTCTAATATGGGTCTGGTTCTGCTCCAGGTTTCTGCCTGTAAAACAAAGTCCTTCCTTTCTACTGTAACTTTGTTGTTATAGTATAAAGTGTTTCACTTATGTGAGGATGGGATGGGAGTGGGTCTGATCTTACAGGATGGAGTTAAGTCTAATACATCTTTACTTTTGGGTCTTTGTAAACAGAGTCTGGTCTGGACATGTTTCTTTAAGTGTCTTGGGATGACACTTGTTATAAATTGGTGCTATAGAAATAGAGATTGACTGAGCTGCGTTATCAGCCAGTCTGTACTTCTTATCTGCCAAACAGTTGCTCTTTTTTAAAAAGGCATTTTATCTACGTTTCCGCAGAAATGTTTGGGTTTGTCTAAAACAGTCAGTTTAAATGATGGAAAATAATAACAGAGGGAGAAAAGACTGAAATAACCTGGCAACCGGACAATGAACCAGTTCTGATTTTAGATCTCGTCATCACACTCTATGTGTGTGTGTGTATGTGTGTGTGTGTGTGTGTGTAAGGACTCACTGCGGCTCTGTTTTCTCTCCTGCTGAGTCTGAAACCAAACTCTCTGAGCGTCAGAGGATGAAGCAGTGCCGTCCAGACGCTTTTGAGCGACACTCAGCTACATAGACCCGCAGACACACACACACACAAGAAAGATTGACATGTTATGATAATTAACACAACACTGTGTTTTCATGGTTCATGTTCTTTAGCTGTGTTATAAATGACTGTATTTCACTGAGCAGCACTTTGGTTAGCTCTGCTGATTTTGATTTTTCTTTATTATAAAGTTGGTCAGATTGAAACAGTTCATGGAAGTAAAACACAGTTTTCAGTCAAAACTACCATAACCCAGGACATACGTAACCAGTTAACAGGGTAGCTTCATACAGCAAAACACCGGCACAGGCGTCAGGATGATCTGCAGTTTATGGGTATTTGATTTTTTTTTTGTAATTTCAGTTGACCGAGTTTTTTCTTTGGTCGACTGCTGTATTTATAAATATCATCATCATGATATTTTTGAATGAGGTTAACAATGCTTATCATTAGCTGCATTGAAAGGCAAAGATGTAGAGACGGACAGGTGTTCAGGTGTACCTTGGCTTCAGATGCTGCCAGCTCTCTCTCTTCTCTCTCCAGTCTCATCACAGCTTCAACATCTTTCTCCAGCTTTGTGATCAGATCTCTGAACTTCAGGATGACATCTGGACCAGAGAACGAGAATAGGAGAGAGTTTCATCAGGTCAACTCTCCAAAATGCGCTAAATTACCAGCTCAGAGTCCATGAACTTAGACCAGCTCTCTGTCTCTCTCAGTTAAGCGCACCTGGGGGCAGGACTCGGGCCTTCACGCTGCTCCTGGCGGACTTCACCACCTCCTTCAGAATCTTTCTCTCCGACTCTCCCACCAAAGAGACCGAACGCCCCGAACGTCCTGCTCTTGCTGTCCGACCGACACGGTGAACGTAGTGCTTTATGGTGGATGGCATGGTGAAGTTTATCACCTGAGAGACAGACAGGCAGAAAGACAGATGTGGGAAAGTTAACCAGGTCATGGAGCCAGGTGATCCTTCATGCAAGGGGTGTTACTATTTAAACAGCCTATCTACTTAAATGCACTGGACTCTAGATTGCATATTGACTTGACCTGACAAGCACAGAAAACACATAAGGTCACTGTATTGGGGCGTTCACACCAAGCACGAGTAAAATCGTCTACTCACTTAATTTGCGAGAATCTAGATGTGTGAATGCAAAGTATTTGTTTTATTCACACATCAACGGCAATTTCAACGGTAATCCCTGCCAATTCAACCGGCAGGATCAAGTGATAGACAAAGGGTTTTTTTCAATCTACCAGGTAATCCGACCTCCTAACTCACTTGACCCCAGGTGAGCTCCTTTTTATCCCGGTTTCGGTAATTGAAAGAAAAGGTATCATATAATTGGGGCACCCACACACCGACACGATCAGTTTGTCCTTCATTTTAGGTACTAGTGAACAACTGTCTGTTTTCATACGTCACCCGGCAGCCTTTGTGCTGATTAGTTACAGTGACGTGAATATCCGCTGAGGTTAAGACATTTTCAGCTCCCGCCCAATTCGCATCATTCGCGCCGCCAGAGTAGTAGGGGCGTCTTTGCATTAACTTAACATGTGATTCATTCGCGGGAATGATTCTACTCGTGCTTGGTGTGTGGAGAGAGTATAAGTTTTGTAGATGCATGGATTAATATCAACTCCAGTGAAATGAACAGCACAGATGATGAAGGACTTTTCAAACAACAGACATGTATGTAAGACTCAGCAGCATTAACTTGATTAAGGATTCAAAACTTAGAACAGACTGACAGTATCAGGCAGGATCTTATGATTACGGATGTCCTGTGTGCTTAACATCTAAGCAAGTTAGGTTGTAAGGCTGCACGATATTGGAAAAAAATAATATTGCGATTTTTTCAACCCTGCGATATATATTGCGATATTAAAAATACAGGAATTTTCACCAGATGACCTGAATAGCATTTAATGTTATGCTGCACTGCTGAAATCTTGAGGACAGTTAACCTGCACTGATCTTACCTCTTTTTGTGAATGTTAGTAGAACGGCTTCTGTCTGTCTCAGAGATATTTTTTAGCTTTTATTGTGCTGGGACGTTATTGTGGCAACAGATGAACACAGAAGACGTGTTTTGGTCGACATCATCCTTCTTTTAACCGAAATAATTCCAGATAACTGACTTTCCTTTTCTTTTTGGCAACAAATCTTCATTTTCGGTGGTTTTCGCTTGTTCGTTGTTCATTTTGCGATCGTTGTTGTTGTTGTTGTTAGCGGTGTTGTGCCGAGAAACGCATGTCCTCCGAGAATTGCATGCACCTCGCAAAACGCGCACTGCTTATAGTAGAGTGGTCCACGGAAATGTACAATTTAAAACCCATACAGTTCTTATTTGTTAGGCTTAATAGTCATGAGTAAAGTTCCGAAAGTAATTCTCAGCGGACACACGTCTCCCTCCATGTGCAGAACATGTGCAGGGGTGGGTTTCCTCCTCTCTGATTTTGATTGACAGCTGGCAGGGTAGTCTGATTGGCAACTGAGAAGTAAGTCTGATTGGCAACTGAGTTAAGGACGAAGGTGATTGGTGGATCGCTGCAAAGCACATGCAGAGTCACATGGAGTGTATCTCAGTCGGTTACCCTTGAAATTAAAAGAGTTCATTCACCTCCAATATCGCAGGCTCTGCGATGTGACTATCGCACACACGTACATCGCGATGACGATAGTCAAACGATATATCGTGCAGGCCTATTAGGTTGGTAATCTAATCTTCCTGTTTTTTGCTGCTGGACCTCATAGCTTATTTTGCACTGTGTGCGTCATGGATACTGTCCAATCTTCGTCAATGTCTTTGAGGCAGAGGGATATGAGGCTTCAGCTTTAATCCAACCCTCCAATTGGGGATAAAAACAAAATCAAAAAAGTCACTTCATGTTTATGTTTGTGCTTCTTTGTAGCTTTACTGTACTCCTACAGATGCAGGAAGGGAGTTACTCACTGTTTTTACTCCGTCGATGTCCAAACCTCGGGCCGCCACGTCTGTCGCCACCAAGATATCTATCTGCTCATCTTTAAAGCGTCTGGAGAGCAAAGAAGGAGGAGAAGAAAACAGGTCAGTACATACATGTCATGATCAAGACGAGGTAGTGTTCTGTTAGTGTAACTGAGATACTCCAATATCTATGTCTGTATGCATGTACCAAAGGGTTCTTCAGTCTTTGGCTGTGTGTTCCTGACATCCTCCAGTGAGTGATTTTAGTATGTAACTTTTTTTTTTGTATTTGGTTCTAAGTCTGTGTATGTGTGCACTCTGTGCTTGGGATTTAAAATCTAAGGTGATATGTGAATACACGCAAGGCTTGTCTCTCAACGTGTACCCATGGTTATTCAAAATCTGGTCCTGTACCTGTGTATATTCCTCCAGGTTCGATGCACATGTACCTGAAGTGTATCGGAGGTTTCCAGCCCTTGATTCTGTGTCTACGAATCAGCGGCCCTCATGCCTCTGGTTCTTTTCTGTCTATCAGATGTTCTCAAGTCTCTGGTTTTGTGTGCCTACCTGAGGTTCTCAAGTCTCTGGTTCTGACTCAGTTCTCCGTGAAGCTCTCCGACCTTTAGTCCCATCAGTCCCAACAGGATGTGAAGTCTGTGAGCCTGTTTCCTGGTCTGAGTGAAACACATCACGTGATCCTGGAACGTCCGAGTCAGCAGAGCTACAAAAATACACAACAGACATCAGTACTGCAGAAAAGACACAGCTGTGCAGTATGAGAGATCACACTGCAGTATCACTTATTTAAACTGCAGTATTATGAGAACGTACCGGCCACTACAGCCTCACGGTCTCCCTCTCTGTTCTGTCGGATTCGGACAAACTCTTGTCGCAGAAATGGAGCGACGTCAGTGTTACTGTTGACAAAGATTCTGACTGGCTGCTTCAACGAGACCGCTGCCAGATCCTTCACCTGTGACAGACATGATAGACTTTTAAACACCTGGAGGGATCATACAACATGAGCAGATACAGCTGCAGACACAGACTGAAACACCTGGAGACAAAGGTCACATGACACAAGTGTACGTGTGTGTGTGTGTGCGTGTGTGTGTACCTCCTCTGTCATGGTGGCGGAGAACAACATGGTCTGTCTGTTGTAAGAGCACAACCTGATGATCTCCTTCATCTGCTCTTCAAAATACTCATCCAACATCCTGAGACACATAAACACAGAGACTTAGATAAACTCCACAGGTGAACCACACAGGGGATGTTTGGAGGCCCCCCCACATTCTGACTCATCCTGATCCCAGCAGAGGGCTGGATTAAAACTGGACTACAGGATCAGAGTGTTTAAAAAGCAAATCAGTTTGGTATTAAGAGAAGGACCAGCCTGCAGACACAGCAGACCTCTGTGGAGGCGTGATCAGCTGAGTCTGAGCTCATTGGATCTCAGATGTTAAAAGGAATTAAATGATCTCAACAGTGAAAGTCGTTGTTTCTCTTTCACAATTCAAAAAAAAAAAAACTTTTCATATTCTTTACAGCATTAAAGCTGCTAACAGATGAGAACTTTGACTGAGCTACCATAGGACTTAACGTGTGCAAAGCTGTGCGATTCAAATAAATAGACTGCATCTAAACTTCGATGCGGTTAGGGTTGCATCCTTTGTTGTTATGCAAAATATGTGTTGTATATCATTTAATTTGAGCCAATCTACGAATAATAATAATGATAGAAAAAATTGATTACAAAAAAATAATATCAAACTAAGTTAACGTACTATTGAAGTTTTTAACTAAACAATTATCAAACTGGTTAGATTATACACACTAATATGAGAGCACTTGACAGCAGTTGAGATAGGAGAGGTGAACTTTTAACTAAGCATGTGCAGAGCTACATCATGCCAAGGATCCCCATCAATTCCTAACTGCAATTTCAAATATCAAACTCTAAAAATCTGTTGACTTTTGACTCTGCATGTAAGGTTCAAAGTTCAAGGTAGCTTTATTGTCAATTCTGCATATGTTTAACACACACTGAGGATTGAAATTGCGTTACCCAAGGGTCCATGGTGCTACGGTAAACATTCAGCATAAATATAAAAAGTTGAAATCAAATGTGATGTAAGAATGTCAGACAGGCCAAAGAACAACTTTCACTGAGGAGATCACCTTATTTCATGTTTGTCGTCCACACAAACACTGTACACATATGGACCACATTTACTGCACTGCAAACCCAACAGCACCTGTAGTGTCGTTAAAAAGCCTGGACTGTGAAATCCAGGTCACCTCCCTTCAGACTAAAATCTCGTAACAACTCTCTGTGACTCCTCCCCGTCCTCAGGTGTTGTTGTCTACCTGTCGGCCTCGTCCAGGATCAAGATCTCGATGTGCGACAGCTCAAAGCTCGGTGTGTTGTGCAGATGATCGATAAGACGGCCAGGTGTGGCGATTAGAACGTCTGGCCCCGCCCTCAATGCCACCTCCTGAGACTTCAAGTCCAACCCACCTGGAATATCACAAGGACAGGTTCCTTTAGGACAGCTATAAATGACCATATTTGGACAACGGGGTGGAAAATGCATTAATACATCTCTGTCTGGGGTTGCAGGTTACTGTAGTAGCAACCTGTCAATCACAGCGACCCAAACATGCAGCCTCGCTTTCTGGCATCTGTGACTTTAACTGGGACCACAGCAAATAACATGAACAACACTAGGACCATGAACTCATCATGTTAACTGAGGGAAGCAGGAGTGTTTTCTCAAAGACTTCAATCAGAACTTTGCTTCCAAGAAAGAAGAGCTGCCTCCTGCTGGACATTTTTATAAATGCAGGTACAGAGCACCCGGCATTTCTGTCACTTGAAACACCTGAGGTTACATCTAGGTCCAACAGTCTATGAACTGGACAAAGAAAAAAGTCCAGAGTCCATACGCAGGTGGGATATAGTAAGATTTCATTAAAGAGAGTGAAATAAAACCTGAAGTTATTCAGGTTGTTTCTTCAGAGTCTTACCAACAGCCAGGCAGGTGGTGATGGAGGTAAACTGAGCAAGCTGACGGGCTACAGAGTGAACCTGGATGCCCAGCTCTCTGGTAGGAACCAGAACCAACACCCGGGTCACCTGGGATGTCCTGGGTTTATAAACCAAACGCTCCAACACAGGAAGCATGAAGGCTGCTGTCTTTCCTACAGAGAAAAGAACAATGATCACATCAGTCATTCAGAAACAGTAACATACATCAGCTTTAGGACAACAAACTGGTCCATGCACGCCAGCCTTACCTGTCCCAGTAGCGGCACAGGCGCACAGGTCTTTACCCAGCAGGCCCACAGGGACACAGGCCTTCTGGATGGGAGTGGGCTGTTTGAAGCCCAGAGCTGTGATGGCCTGCAGGGACATAATTTGAGGTTACAGACAAGTATAGAACCACAGACCCTCCTCAGACTGGAGCTCTCCTGTTTCTGGGCTTGGAGCTTCTTTTCTGATGAAGTCTTTTTTTGCTCTATTGTTGGTTGAAGTGTGGGGGACGTTTGGGTAGAATTTCTCTGTGTTTTTCATTTCAGGTCTAGTAGTTCTGGTGACACCTAGTGAAGGTGACTAACGCAAACTACATGATGCACGACTTTTCATTTAGACTGAAGATACGAGGTGACTAAAGACACCTATGAAGGTGTTGTTTATGGGATACCATCAGTGCAGAGCGACACAAGAATCCCAGATTTCATTTATTCTCAGAGGTCAGAGGTCAGGCTTACCTTCAGAATGGGCCGGGACAGGTTCATGTCATCAAAGGTCAGCTCATCGTTAAACTGAGAGGCGTCTTCATGGAACGACTCTGGAGCCTGAAAACACACAACTGCTGTTACTATGGTAACAAGGTATAAACTGTGAATAAACTTGTTACATACTCTGCGTCTTCTCCTCACCTCCTCCTCTGCCTTCCTCTTCTTCCCTCGTTGCTTTTTGTCTTTCAGGGTGTCTGAAAAACAAAATCAAATGTATAAATAAGAAGAAGTTAAAGTTTTAATTTAATTTGTTTATTATTAAAAATTCCAATTAATCAATCAGGAGGTTTCAACCCGACTGTTCTCACCTGATTTGGTCAGAATCTTCTCGTCATCCGAGTCAAATTCATCCTCATCCTCATCCTCATCATCATCATCGTCATCCTCATCATTGTCATCACTGTCATCTTCTTCGTCTGCCTCTCCTGCAGGAGGCTTCACATCCTCATCCTCATCCTCATCCTCCTCCTCCTGGTTCTTTCCTGAAGAACCCTCATCAGCGTCTTCCTCGGCTGATTTCTCCTGCAGACCAAAACAAACTTCACCTTTTAAACACAAAAAGCAGAATCATACAAAACAGGAAGGAGAAAGTGACTCTGTCTGGACCCACCTCTGCTTTCCTCTTCTTCCTGATTTTCTCGATTTTCTGGTCCAGAGTGGTCACACACCTCTGCAAACATAGAAACAAATAAAAACACAGGCGGATAAGAGTTTGTGTGGAAGAGTGTGTCCACTCTCAGCTGGGACAGGGAAGCAGTCGACAGTCTTTAATGATGAAGAAACTTGAGTGTGAGCTGCAGTCAGCTGAGGAATAATAACCAAAGTTGCCCAAGAGCCATTTAGAGTTTAGAGTGTCATAACAAAAGGTTAAGTCCGTGTACAGCAAAAAAGATGAGTCCAGATGTTTTCACAACACACAAAAATGTTACTGACCACCCAGCCAAACCATAAGAAAATGAGCAGTAATCTCTGTTCAAGGAGGGTGGGAGCATGAAAGTTTAGAGTACAAAAGCTACACCCAACTGCTGCTCTCGAGTGTCAGTCATCTCCACAGTATAATCTGAGATAAAACAGTCAGCCTCAGACTGATATCCAGATGATTATAAAGAGAGTAGAGATGATTCTAGTTTTATTGTCATTTCCCTGTTTGTGCCTCTTTATGTCTTTTCAGATCCATTTTAATGTATCACAATAAAACCTCACTTAAACACTTCACTTTCCCTATTAACTACATTAACTTTTATTAACTATACTGTGTTAGATAACTGTATGCCGGAGCAAAGATACACCAACTGTAGCGGATGCAGTGACTTATATTTGATTTCATACCAATATAATGTAAGGGGTTGTGTTAAAGAGGCTTCAGTGCATCACATACTTTTTTACATGTTTTCAACTGTTTTCAGACAAATATAATCTATTTAGAAAGAACTTTTGAAATTCCCTTCACACAGTCTGTAAAATAAATCACAGAGTGAAGTGTCTTTAAAAATAAATGTGACTTTGGTGTTGAGAACAAGAGATAGGAGGCTACAATATATTTATTCATTATTCATGCGGGTATTTCTTCACACACATTGGCTTTGTTGGAAGATCCAAGCTGAGGTGTTTACAGGTCCTACCTTTTTCTTCAGCTGTTTCATGACATCAGCCATCACCCAGTCATCATTATCATTCAGTCCGTCCCTCTCTCCAAACTCAAAGTCAGCGTTGAAATCTTTCACTCCACGATTCCCCAACTTCTTCTTCCTGTTCAGAACGATGGGCTGATCCTGAAACACACACAAGCAAAAGACTAAGACACACACTCACAGAAAGCAGAGTACGAATACTCGCACCTGTCCTGCTGTGAACATTAACTGGTCTAAAGGACGGAATTACATGAATCCATTTTTTTGTCCAATTATGTCTGAACACTCTGAAACACAGTTTGGTGGCAGCCAGACAGTAATTCACCAAATAATCCTGTTTTAAGTTACATTTCACAGACAACATCCCTTATATTTTTTGTTTAATACATTACATTTACACTTTATTTAGCTTCTTCAATCAACATGTTATTTTTGAATAAACTTATAAAGTTTTCTTCTACTTTAATGGTAGGTTTTTCTGCTCATTAAAAGCAGTTTAAGTCTTATTTTTACCTAAAAAATCTTGAAATTGAAGATTTTCCTGGGCCTGTCAAGTGAATGTGTTCTACATTAGTTTTAATAAAACCTCTTTTTTGTAAAATAAGACGAAAATACTGCCTTATTTTTGCACTTTAATTTGAGTTTACACTGAGAACTATCTAGGTAATCTAGTCCGACATCATTTTATCAAATACAGATCAATTGTTATTTTATGATAATTCTTATACAATTTAATGTCTTCAGTGCTGGCATCAACATTATTTTTTCCTCACGCATGATGAGAGATTTATGAATAAAACGGCTCATTTATAAGACTTTCAAAATATTTACATGCACTTTAAAAACAAGAACAACACTGTAAACTAAGAAATGTATATCTTCAGTAAACATGTATCTTATACAAATTCAAAATGATCGTTCTTCAGTTTAGCGGTGATTGAAATTCCTCTGGATCTTTCAGCGGTCGGTCCGCTGGGCTCACGCCGGGCAGACTCACCTCGGGCTCGGACTCGCTGTCGGGTTCCTCCGGGCTCTCCTCATCGTCCCCGATCGTACCGATCAGACCCAGCTGCTCCAACATGGCAGACTGCACTTCGGTACCGGAGAGGTAACTATCAATGAACTGTGTACCGTCTTCAAATGGACTTTAATCGGGTTCTGTTGAAGTTGCCTGCTGTTTTTCCACCACACGTGTATTGGTGAAAACAGGAAAGGAAAACAAATGGACTTCCGGGTGATGTGTTTCTTCTTCTTCTTCAGATTCCAGTGTAGCTCACAAACACTGCCCCCTTGCGAGGTTAGTGAAACCATAGAGCTAAACCTCACTCATTAACCAGTGTTACAACACAATTCTTTATTAAATAGCCTCTGTAACTGTATTTTTTATCAGTTTTTAACATTCACCGAAGTTTTTATTTTTCTAACCTTGGATTTCGTAGGTAAGTACAAAAATTACGAACACCCCAGAAAAAACACATTTTTTTTACAGTTTTAAAGAGTGCTGCTGAATCAACTGACTGATTTCTGCGGTTTACTTGATTTTTTTCGGATAGTTTAGCTAAAATAGACATTTATTGGTAAAAATGACTTCCTTTGACACTCTGTGATGCATTTGAGTCTGGCACTTACTGTGCTCCTGTGTTTGACCAGCATGTTATGGAGTGGGTGGTGGATGCATACTACATCTAACTTTGACAACACCCTTCTCTCTGTCACCACCGTCAGAGAGTCCAGCTCTACCCCCACAATGTCACTGGCCTTGCGGTTGAGTTTGTTGAGTCTCTTGGCATCTGCTACCCTCAGCCTGCAACACAACAGCAAACAGGATCACACTGGCCACCACAGACAGGACCTCCACCTCCTGAGGAAGTAGAGACGGCCTGAGGCTCTTCTTGTAGACAGCTTTATAGTTCTTAGACCAGTCCAGTTTGTTATCCAAGTACACCCCCAGGTATTTGTAGTCCTCCACAATGTCCACACTGACCCCTTTGGATGGAACCAGGGGTCACTGGTGTCTTTGTCCTTCTCAGATCCACTATCAGTTCCTTAGCCTTTGTCACGTTGAGCTGGAGATGGTTCTGCTCACACCATGTGACAAAGTGATCCACCACAGTCCTGTAATCAGGCTCATCACCCTTCCTGATGCATCCAACTACATCAGAAAACTTCTGAAGGGGACAGGGTTCTGTGTTGTGGTTGAAGTCTGCTGTAGAGGGTGAAGAGGTTAAGGAGACAGGACTGTTCCCTGCAGAGCCCCAGTGTTGCTGACCACTCTGTCTGCCACACAGTGTTGTAAGCGTACAAACTGTGGTCTTCCAGTAAAGTATTCAGGACACCAGAGGAGCCTCTACCTGCATCACTGTCAGCTTCTCACCAAGTAGAGCCGATCTGATGGTGTCAAAGGAAGTCAAAAAGCATGACCCTTACAGTGTTTTCCAGTTCATCACCTGGACAAGCCAGTAAAAAAACCTGTATTTATTTACAGAGTGCAGAAAGTACCAGTAAGAAACACTTTCTTAAGTATTTTGTATGAATACTTCTTAAATTGACATGAATGAAATCAAAATTTGAGTTAAGAGATGATGTTATAGTTAGCCAAGGGTATTTTCCTTTAGTTTCCTGCTGCATATAAAACAAACAAGTAGACTCCCAGCTCTGATCTAAACATATTTTTCGGATAAAACAAAAACCTGTGTTTTGTTGCTAGCTCTGCCATGGCAATTTTTTCTCATTAGCCAGTTGTAGTGTTGTATTAACATTAAACATAGTAAAGTAATCAATTGTCTGTAGCAACGAAAACATGTGTTTTTCTGTGGTTGTTGTTGTTTTTTTTAGAAAATTACAGCAGCACCTTCATCAAGAACTGCTTGAATTTTTCTGTTGGAATTTTCTTTTCTCAGAGCCCACGTTCTCTGAATGTTTTTTTCCTCTTTTTTTCTTCAATTTGCTTTATGTCTGTTTAATTGTAGCCCAAAAGTTCCCCAACTGGGGGACTTTGATGTCTCATATACTCGTATTAACACATCTCAACAAATATCACAAATCTTTCCTTTGCTGTGACACTGACATTATTCAAATAGACCTTGTGATTACATATTTATAACCATTTTATTATGGGTATGAAATTTTCAAGCAGAAAAGCTAAAAAAGGCCTTGGGTATTAAGAGGTTAACTCACCTAACTTGAAACACTCTGGAAACAGACCAAAAATGTCGAGCTGATAAATCTCTGAGGATGAAAATCACATGCTAACCTCTCTCTGTCCGTGTGTTCAAATATGCACATTTATGTGTTAGAAACATGGTTTCAGGCTGTTTTGGTCTCAGTTAAACTATATCATCTGGCTATGACAGCAAACAGCTGGACAACACACACACCCACACCTACACACACACACACACACTGACGGTCTCTACATGTGAGGCCTCAGCCTGACCTTTAAAAACTAGGACTTTCTAGAAGGGTTAGTTTTTCTTGGAAAGTGAAGTGTCTGATCCTGTTTTCCTTTGAGTTTTATCCAGAGCCTTCAGATCATCATTAGACAGGATTATATAAAACTTTAAAGAGGTGCGTTAATAAGCTCGCTCACAGCATGCAAAGGTCTGGGACACATCTGACTGAATGTTGAAATCAGGTAAACACATCATCAGAGCAGGATGAGGTTTTGTTTGGTGACAGCTGGAAAACATCAAAAATAATGAAGATGGGATGCTGCTTCAATTTAGTTTTTTTGTGAGGCCATGGTCCTTGTGGTAGCAGCCACTCTCAAGCATTGCCCATTTTTCTGCAGGTATGACAACAGCATGACTCTGTAGTCGAGGAGTCCTGCTGCTAAACTTGTCCCTGAACTGATGAGCAGCTGAAATCCTCTATCAGTGAAAATGGGACAACATTTCACTTTCCAAACTAGTCTGCTGGGTTCACTGAGGTTTACCGATTTTTGGTAAAAGAAGAGCTGATGACACATGATGGGAAAGATGTACTTGTAACAACGTTTCAGAAACATGTCGCTGCTCTGTAATAAAGATGTTATGTTCATGAACGAGTCAATCGTTTGAACGGCTCTTTAAAGTGAACTATGAGAACCGGTTCACAGTGATGAGCTGTTCATTTGTGATCTGTTCTCTGTTCTCTATACTGCATTCAAGTGTCAACTGTGTGCCCCAAACACCAGGTAGTTATAAGTTATCGGTAGCTTGCATAGTTTTTACTGTTTTAGGTGAGGGCAAAATACAAAATAGTGACCTCACTGTCAAAGCATTGGATTATGGCACCACCATATGTTTTGTTTACAGTGAAAAGACAAGCCAAATGAAATTATATTGAATATTTCAGAAAAATTCCCGACCACATGTAGCCCTGGTTGATTTCTAAAAAAAGTAAATAAATTTAACAATGAGCTAGTCATTTAAATGTTTCTTTGAAAGAAACGTCTCCTCAAGATCCAGCTCCTTTTAAAGAGCCCTAAATCTCATCTCTGCTCTGTAAGGTTTGGATTTTTTGCCGTGTGTTGGATTTAAAACACTAGCATTCATTTTCAAAGGAGGTTTTTAACTTGTATAAGAGTAGTTTTCGCAGCATAATTTTAATCTTGCCCTCCAAAAACAAAGTCTTATTATAGGGATTGTGTGGAATTAAACATCTGTATTTTCCCTCATGACAGGTATATTTGGATAAAGCCAATGCATCACAACCATTGTGCTTCTTGGGTCACTGGCAGCATATTTTTTACAGTTTTAACACTTTCACCTAGGTGAAGCATCTAAATCCAGCCTCCACTATTTGTTTCACACAGAGGGGAGGAAGGAGGAGGAGTCAGTCCCTCGGGTTTAAACTCTCTACGGAGAGAGAGAAAGTCAGAGTGAGCAGAGACAGAAGGGAGAAAACATCAGCCAGGAAAACAAAGAGAATCAACGGGACTGAACTCAGACGGCTGATCTGTGAGTTTTACCGACTAATCTACTGTACTATAACTCTTAATGAAACCTGAGTATCCAGACATCATGAGTATTTAATTCATTTAAGTTTTAGTTAATCAGGAAAACCTTTTGAAGATTAGAGATCTGTTTTACAGACTGTGCTTGTCAAAACTAGTATGTGTCATCAAAATTACAGACACATGAATCAAGATTTAACTGTCAACATATCCTGGTTCATAAAACAGAAAGTCATCATTCAGAGCATCTAAAGCCATCTTTCTCCAACATCTTCAATCTGTTTTCAAACCTCTAACAAGAGACCGGCTCCTTAGAGCCAAATCCTCCTGCAGCAGATTCCAGTCTGCTGGAGCAGCAAAACCTTAAACGCTTACACCTGTTTGAAGCCTCACTCAAGGGACAGAAAGCAAAAATAAGTCATGTGACTGGTTCACAGACCAAAGACTGGAGCGTCCAGCATTTTTCATTCAAATTAAATGACAGAAATGAGAGAAGAGCAGCTTAAGGATCTCCTAAAGTGACTCAGGCTACATGTAGAATAATCATACATAGAATAGTTCTGGGTTAGAAAGACTGTACATCTGTAATGAACCTCACAGCTCCATGGCAAACAGTCTCCAGAGGATGAGGGCTTTGAGATGATGCAAGCATATACAAAACATCACCGTACATAGAAGAAGCAGAGACTTACCTTTTCTGTGCACCAAAAGACTTAAACATGAATTAATACTGGAGTTCAAACACCTTTACGAGACGCTTTGTATAAAGTTTATAAGACAGAGTCACCTTTTAAGAATCACAAGTGTTTATAAAAAGATAGACTCAACCACACACCCTGGGAGGTGGAAAGAGACGTCAGCTTTTCCTTTGAGACATCATGGTTTTGTTTGATCAGGATTAGGATGAATTTTAACTCACAACTGGGTTAAAAGTGTGTATGATTCTGTATTACACTTACAGCAGGTTTTAAATGACACTTGTTGGCAAGAGTTAGATCCTTTCAACATCTTATTTCATCCTTTGTTTCAAACATTTATTCTGCAAACACTCCTGTTTTTCAGGGTTTAGTCTTGTTCCTTCTCTGAATCTTACCGTGTCTATTCCTGCAGGAAAAAGAGGCTAATTTGAATATCACATTTTCTGCTCACTGACTTTGAATCCATATGTGGGTCAGTTTTTATGACTGCACTGATAACTGTGAGCCAAGAGTGGGGAAAAAAAAGCTTGGATTGCCCATAATAGCAAAAAATTTCACACCACTGTTTAACGAGTGCAGCACTGCTGTACAAATGTTCCCGCATTAGAAGTCACTCTTGACATTAAAAGAAACATACTAATAAGTGTTAAAGTGTGTTTTTTGTGTAAAACTTGGTAACTAGACCAGTAGAATTGGAGTAAGATTGATTTAGTCTTTCTGAAAGTCACAATTGAGAGTTTTTTCTGCTTTTATCTAATCTTGTATGCACTAAAACTGTGAACAGTATGAACTCTGTGTATCACGAATATGTAGGGGGTCAAAGGTTAGGGGTCGACCTGTGTTGATGCTAAATCTTCTTCCTCTTTGAACTGAAGCTTCTGATTAAAGGTTAGCAGTTAGCGGTTAGCCAGATGTCCAGATGTGGTTACAGCAGCAGCTGGATGCTGATTGGCTGTCGTCACAGCGCTGTAATTAAATACACAGATTAGAGACCGAGTGTGTACGTAGTCCTGTATTTCTATATTTGTGAGGACTTTCTGTTCTTCAAAGACTGTTTGAAGATTCAGATTTGAGGATTAAAGTGTGTTTGTGGTTGTGTGTGAGTGTGGTTGTGTGTGTGAGTGTGTGTTTCTCTCTGTGATTTATAATTGTCAAGCAAGCCTGGAGGTTTCTCAGCTGATGTTAAGAACAAAAGATACATCTAAAAATAGCCCCAGGTCTTTCCCATTTTCTCCAGTCGAGATAAATATTTATGTTATATAAACGCCATAAGGAGACCCTGAAAGGACATGGAGAGACAGGAAGGATATTTCGATGGGGGGGGGGGGGTCCTTTAGAAATTTTTGCAACACTCACAGTAAAATTTTTATAAGATTCTGAAAGACTTTCACAAAATCTAAAGAACCTTTTATGAGATCTTGCAAAAATATTTTATTCTGGTGAGTCACAACGGGTGTACTAATAAGTCACAGCTGACTGTGGACTGTAGTTTGTCCTGCGTGGAGGATGGCTCTTAGCTATTAAAACCAGGTGGCAGATGGTGGTCTACTTTCACTTGGTTGGGTGAAGATTTTGCAAATGCAGTATCAAATGATGAACCACTGGGAGCCCACCTACTGCCATTTCAAGGTTGGATATTTACTCCCTTTTACACCTCATCTGCAATGTGCAGTCTGTGGAAGTGTATGGTAGAGTTTTTCTTCCTCTTTTTTCCTTCCTGTGATCAGTAACAGACACAGGGGAGATGAAGGTGACAATTTGTAGCCTTGGAGCTGACAGGGTGGAACAGCAGTGTGTGTGCATGTGTTCATGCCACTGCTGCCTCTGTAGTTTTCATAATGGGATGTTTAATGACACACTGGGTCACTAATATCACACCTTTTCCTGATGCAGTTTGTATGTAGTGATGAAGGAAGTCCATTCCAGCACTGCAACAGAGTTGTCGCATGTAAGAGTCTCACAGCTCTAGATTTTGCAAATAAATGTTTGGTACCTTTCTAAAGATTATGCAAAGCATTTTTCTGGATCTTCCAAAAATTCTTCAGAGATTTGCAAAAGTTATAAAGGGTCTCAAAAAGTTGACTGCAAAAGGTTATGTTGGGAAAAATTTGCTAAAGTGTCTAAAGCTCTAAAAAACACTTCCCAAGGATCTTACAAAGGATTTTGGGGATCAATTTAAAATATCTCACTAAGTCTGGAAGGTTTTGAACAAGTTTCTCAAAGTGACACACAACTTTGTCAGGATCTTGCAAAAGCTTCCCAGAATCTGACCAAGTTTCAAATGATCTGGAAATCACACAAAAGTAATTTTGTGAATGTTTCCCATAATCTTACAAAATTTTCTTGGGAACTTGCAAAAGTTTTCTAAAACTCTTGCAAAAGGTTTCTGAAACATGTTTTAAGATCTAGTTGAAGGTCCTCAGGTTTGTACAAACATTTATTAAGATCTGGTTTAAGTTTCTATTTGGAGTTTGCTTGTATGTTGTGGACGCTTGTCAGTCTCTTGCAATATTTGATCTTACAAATGTCTCTCAAGTTTGTGCGAGTTTCTCAGCATCCTTTAGAAGTCTTCATGTGAAAAAAAAAAAGAATAAGAAAACTTGTTTAAGTGTTTAAGGATCTCACAAAAGCTTCTTGGCATCTTAAAAATAATTCCGTAAATCTAGCTCAGCATCTTTCCTCAGCATCTTGCACATGTTCCTCAGGATCTCGTAAAAATGGATCAGAACCTCTAAAAAGTGTTCTTAAAATCTCAAAGAAGTTTTTTTAAACAGGTTTTTGCAAGTTTATGTGGTGGAAGTTTGTTTTGATTTCCCCACATTTTGTTAGGATCTTCCAAATGTCTCTCAAGTTCTCATAAAAGTTAATTTGAAACTTAAAAAAACTTCTTCAAAATCTCACAAAAGTTACTCTGGATAGAGCAAAAGGGAAAATTTTCCCAGAATTTTGTAAAAAAGTTTTTAAAGATTTTTTTTTTTTTTTAATCACATTTTGCAAAAGATTTTCAAGCGTGTACCAATGTTTCTTTGGATTCATCTTGACTATCTCATGTTGATGGAAAAGTTCCTCATGATCTTGCAAAAACGTTTCAAGGACCTTCTCAAAGATTCCTCGTCCAAAGAAAAATTTCCATCCACAAAGTTTTTTGAAGGGTGACCTTCATTTTTTCTTTTGTAGAAAATAAGTAAATGGACAGCCAAATAAATTGATAACCTGAATGGCTGAAGGTGAACCTGGTGAATTGATTTATAACATGTTGTGCACGTTTCACTGTAACCATCAACACAAGATTCAGAACCAAACCAGAAAGTAAACAAAGTCCTCTGCCCCTCAGGTTCTGTTAAAAGAACGGGGGAGGACAGAAGGGGAGAACAAGTGGGGGGACAGAGGGGGTGAGTATTGTGAAAGAAAGGTTACTGCAGTTCAAGTTGAACTGTGTTTGTATGGACGACAGTCTGGGAATGTGTTCAGCTGTGAGACATGGAACAACAGGACGGACAAAAAACCTTTTTAGACCGTCTGTACATTGTGACATCTGACCTCAGTACAGCTTCTTGTGTACCCTGGAGGATTGTGTGTCTGTGTACAGTTTCTGTGTGTGTGTGTTTGTGTATGTGTGTGTCTGTGTGTGTGCATCACTGCTCAGGGTCCAAACAACCCACGACGTGCTGGATCTGTGTGTACGAATCCAGCACATCAAGACAAGAATGCCAAGTAGAAAAAACCCTCCTAATGACTCGGTGACACAGACGGTGCAGGCTTGTCCGGCTCAGTCAAAATTTAATCCTGAACATTTTTATTGAAATAAAGGCATGTTAAAAAAATACAGTCTGTCACTGAGTTTACTCAGAGGTGATTTAGCCTATGGCCAACTGTTGGGAGCCTTTTTCCCAGAATTCTTTGGTAAAACAAACAGGGTTTCCTGTTGACAAAAATGGCAGTCACCACCCTGTCTAGGTTTGTCTGATAGAGAGCCAACCTCAGAGTGGAGTAGGGGAGACAGGAGATGTTTTTTGTCTGAATCCTGATAATTACGACTCACTGCTCACGAAAATTAAAAATCCACTATTTTGAAATATTAGAAAATTACAAAACACCAATCTAAAAAGAAGGATTTTTAATACAGAAATCTGAATCTTCCTGATCCCCCTCCAGACTCTGGGACCTTGATTTCCAAACAAGATGCTAAATTGACTTCAATTCGAGAACAGGACATTGGACCACTAAGCAATAGTCCAGTTCTTTTTCCTCGTAGTCCAGGTGAGACTCTGGTTCAGGAGGAGTGTTTTGACAGTAGGAACTCGACCCTTGTAGTCCAATTTCCTGGACCCATCTGTGTGTAGTGGCTCATGGTGTTCAGACTCCAGCCTCAGTCCTTGTGAAGCTCCTCTTAGTTCTTGAATCTGCTTTGTTTGATGATCCTCTCAAGGCTGCATTCATCTTTAGAGCTAATGAGCTGATTGGAGCTCTTTTCTGGACTGATAGAACTGAAAAGAAACTGGACTTTCCTGAAATATTCCTCGTTTTCAGATGGAGGGTTTTTGATTTTCGTGATTTTTAAGCCATAATGATCAAGATTCAGGCAAAAATCTCTTAAAAGGTTTCTTTTTATATGTGATTAAACTAGAATAAATGGAAGTTTTACTTAGAATAAAATCAACTTAAGTACATTATTTTTTTTGCCTGAACTAATGAACTATTCTTGAGGTAACTAGATTAATGAATTTAATCAAATAAAAATTGGAATTGATCAAATGGCTTGATCAGTTTTGGAGTCAGGAACAGTTTTAGCAAAAACAAAATGGGCAGAATAAATCAAGAGAATCACATGGACTCAATATTCAGTGTATTTATATATGGAGAGAGTGAGAAGCTAACTAATCTCTTTTTATGTTTTTTTATGTATGTGGTGTGTTTTATCATATCATTATAATTCAGCTGGTGCCTGAGCTCACCATTAGTAATAAAAGACGAGTATTTACTGACTTAAAATGAGCCACTTTTAAAGAGTTGTCTTACATTGTAGATTCCCCTTCCAGACATTCACCTTTCACTCCAGCAGAAAATCCAGCATGGTCTGCTGAAAGGAGCTCTTATTTTGAAGGAACTCTCAAAACATCAAGCTATCACACCAAGATGGCATCTTTTGAGACTGCCTGTTCAAGATCTGTATGAGTTTTTCATCTTCTTATGTTCTTTGTGTTTCAGGTTGACACACTGTCTCAGGATGACCTCCTGTCTGCTGTCACTCCTCTTCCTCTTCCCTCTGGTATCAACCATTAAGGCTCAACCAGCCGGATGCAAAATTCGCATCACTGACAGAGGACTTGACATGTGTAAGAGCATTAGATACTCACCATGAACAAGAAATTAACTGAGACCCAAACCGGTTCAGAGTAAACTTTGATATAGATTTGATCTGTCACTAGAATATATTATCATTGTTGAAATGAAACTTAATTTTGAAACTTTAATTTCATTCCAATTATCTTTATTAAATAATTAAACGATATTTAGTATTATAGTTCTATTTCTATTCCTATTTGTAGTCTTTGAAAAATCTACCCCCTTCCTTCTGTAATAGTTGAATCTGCAACTCCATTTGATATAACTATTCTCTTCAGTTTGGAGCCAGATTGAAAATAAAGGCCAGACTTAAAATGGTTTCAAACCTAACATCTTTCCCACATATGTAACTATAATACTGCTTTAAATTTTTTTAATTTTTGAACCGTCATACATAAAAATATCTCAGATTGTTCAACTGTAACATATTAAACATGTACAAAACCCAATTCCATTGAAGTTGGGAAATTGTGTTAAATGTAAATAAAAACAGAATACAATAATTTGCAAATCCTTTTCAACCTATATTCAATTGAATACACTACAAAGACAAGATATTTAATGTTCAAACTCATAAACTTGTTTTTTTTTTCAAATAATAATTAACTCAGAATTTCATGGCTGCAACACGTGCCAAAGTAGTTTGGACAGGGGCATGTTTGTTTTAGGAGCACTGTGTTACATCACCTTTCCTTTTAACAAAACTCAATAAACGTTTGGGAACTGAGGAGACTAATTGTTGAAGCTTTGAAGGTGGAATTCTTTCCCATTCTTGCTTGATGTACAGCTTCAGTTCTTCAACAGTCCGGGGTCTCCGTTGTCGTATTTTAAGCTTCATAATGCGCCACACATTTTCAATGGGAGGCAGGTCTGGACCATAGACTGTGTATAGAATGGACAGCGTCTGCCTCTTTGCTGGGTGAAGCCCATAGACTGTATATACTATGGACAACTTGGTTCCGCCTACCAACTGTATACGGATTTGAAGCCAAAAAGTTCTTGGTATTTCTGGGATTTTTCTTCATTTCCTGAAACCTGCGCTGCGCAGTAGCGATGCGTGCATTCGGCCGCGCAGTCGCAGAGAGTCGCTGTGATGACGCTCGGTTCAAACAGCGTATCACCCGGGAGAGCTACGCAATCCCTGAACGCCCATAGGTTGTATCAGGTGTCAATCATAGAAAACATGAACCCCCTAATAACTTTTAAAAACGGAGCTTCACAGAAAAAAGAAGACTTGAGCACAAACCAGTCTTACAATAACTACATGTCAACATCGCAAGCAGTGGGGAGAAACATTTATATTCTGTGTAATAAATTTCTAAAATTTGTCCACAGCCCTATAAGCTTTGCTGGCGGAGGCGGGATTTACGACCTATACTGCAGCCCATCAACAGAGGGCAAGCAGTTGTTCACATAGTGGTGAACCTCGCCCCATCCTTGCTTGTGAATGACGGAGAATTTTTGGGGAAGCTGCTTTTATACCCAATCATGGCACCCACCTGTTCCCAATTAGCCTGCTCACCTGTGGGATGTTCCAATTAGGTGTTTGATGAGCATTCCTCAAATTTCTCAATATTTTTTGCCACCTTTCCCAACTTCTTTGTCACGTGTTGCTGCCATCAAATTCTAAAGTTAATGATTATTTGCAAAAAAATAAAAAATAAAGTTTACAAGTTTGAACACTAAATATCTTGTCTTTGTAGTGTATTCAATTCAATATAGGTTGAAAAGGAACTTTTTTTTTTAGTCAAAATTAGTCAACTTGTCTGCTGAGTCATTCATGCCACTGTTTTCTTGTTTCCAGTGAAGTTTGAGACTCAGAAGTTTGTTGCAGAGGAGCTCAGTAACATCAGTATGCCAGAGATGAAGGGGAAAGAGGGACGCTTCCAATACACCATCACTGAGTACATATAAACCCCCATTAACAGTAAAATACTGTGATATTGTCATACTCAGTACTCAACATGTGTACTCTCTCTCTCTTTTTGTCATCAGTGTGAAGATCACAGAGTTGAATCTCGCTAATGCTGATCTGCAGTTCATCCCTGATGTTGGTTTGTTGTTTGACGTTCAGAACTCATCGATCTCTCTGACCTTCAACAGACGGGTCCTCTACTGGTTCTTGTAAGTTCTCCGGCCCACTATCTATAACTTTTTTGTTCTTCCTACATGATGGTGAAGTGTTATGCTAAGGATGGTTTTGTTGATAGTTTATGATTTTGATGATGATCATGATGGCAGCTGTGCTCCTGGATGGTACTGTCTATAATTAATAACTATGTGTTACTTTGAGTGACAGTAGTAATTAATAAAAGAAGTAGTAATTCAGCCTGAAGATGAGCTTTTGTTATATCTCAGCTACGACACAGGAAACATCAACGCATCAGCTGATGGTGTGGACATGAACACAGCTCTGACCCTGATTAGAGATGTTGAAGGTCGACTGAAGATCAACAACATAACCTGTGACGCCAACATTGCCAAAATGAAGGCCAAGTTTAGTGGAACGCTCGGGTAATGAGTGAATCATTAAAAAAATTCTGTCAACTGGAAAAATGTACAAATGGTAATTGCTGTCATGTGACCTCAGCATTGGCCAATCAGGAGCAGTTAGTAATCACATCTTTTTATATTTTTCAGGAGAGTTTATGATTTCCTGGCCAGCCTTTTGACCACAGGCATGCGCTTCCTCCTCAATCAGCGGGTGTGTCAACTGTCTTACATTCAGCTGTCTCTTACCTGTCTGTCTTGTGTCTTCACCATCTATCCTCTATGTCTTATTCCAGTCTCTCACCTGTTCATCTCTCACCTGTCAATTTCTCAGATGTCTGTCTCTTTAAAAGGTTTCCGGCCTCTTTTCTCCATCACATGGTTCTTTTTACACATCTCTTATCTGTCGATTCTCCACTTGTCCAGCTCTTACCTCTTTTGATGGTACATCTCACTTGTAGAGATCGAACACGACTGTCTCTGACTTGTTTGACCACATATTACTGTATTTCTCTGATGTCTTTTACAAGTCTCTAACCTTTAAAAAGGACTGTATCTGTCGTTCACCAGTCTGATCTAAGTCGCCCTCTCTTATCAGACTCTCTGACCTGTCTGCCCCTGACCTGTCACAGTCTCTCTCTCTATGACCTGTCTTTCTCTACATCTGTTTGTCTTACATGTTGGTGTTTACTAACTCTCTCTCTCTCTGGACCACATTTCTCTCCAGTTTGTGTGCCTCTGGTGCTTTTGGACCTGTCCCTACCTCTGATCTGTCTCCTTCTTTTTCTCAGATCTGTCCTGCTCTGGATCATGCTGCTCTAGTTCATGTGAACCAGTTGTTGGAGACGATCCCTGTTAGGACAGAGGTCGATGAGTTTATCGGGATTGATTATGCCCTGATCGATGACCCAGTGGTGACATCCAGGAGCCTTGACATGTACTTCAAGGTCAGTCTTTGATTGAGGTATTTTGATATTTCAGGGACTTACACAATGTGACTGATGGTAACAGTGTGTGTTGTTTTTGTAGGGCATGTTTTTTGACTTGGCAAACCCGAATGAAACATTGGTGAATGATGCAGTGGATCCAGTCATCAAGGAGTACGACAGGATGGTTTATTTAGCTCTGTCAGAGTACTTCTTTGACAGTGGGATGTTTGCTTACTACAAAGCAGGAGTCTTCCAGATGCACATCGTCAATGAGAAGGTCCTGAAAACTAATGCAGACTGCTGAAACTTCAAGACTGTCATAAACAATAAAAAGAGCCCAAAAGCTCAGCGGACGTTCATTGTCAGACATCAGAGATTACTAAATACACAACTTTCCAAAACCATTAGAGGACCAAAACCCCCTTAATACCCCTCAAACTACTTCACATTACCCTAACTAATTCAAACCCTTAAACCACCACCAGTGGCATTTTGACAACCCCAAACCAACCAAGATTCCCAAAGAACATCATTGATAGAGACAACCCAAACCAAAACAGTCCATGAAATCTCCACGACACAAGATCTGACGACTAAAACTTTAAGTGTTGCATAAAAAAGACCACAAACCCCAACACCAGTGCAGACATACTAAAGTTGAACAGACCAATTAAACCACCACAAACTTCTCAAACCAGCAATGTCATCAAAACAATTAACTAGAGACCCTCTTTATCAGCACAGACAACCAGGACCATCACAAACTCTAAGGACTCATTTAGACCCTTCAATCACCCACAGGATACCCTGAGACCCCCAAAAAGATTACAGACACATAATGTGCTACTTAAAATCTACCTTCCAAATCATCCACCATCCACAACAACAATTCCTAAACCACCAAAGCCACCAAAACAACCCAAATCTAGAAACCACCAGTTCTTCCAAACCAACATGGTCAAGTAAACCCATTCCAGACCCTAATGTTCACATGAACCACAACTACCACCACCACCACTAACTATAGAAACCACTATGAACCCAACAAACCAGAGAACTTAATCTCAAAACAATCAACAACTAGAAACCACCATATCCCATCTAAACCACCGAAGATAACCCCAAATGCCACAGTCCCTGTAAACAGTCAACTCTGTAAACCACAGATCCAACCAACCACCAAGAACCACGCACACCCTCAAATGATCAACAACAACCCCAAAACCAGCAAAGACCCTTAATACCGCTTTCAGCAGCCAGTAGCATCACATACCAAAAGTGACCAAAGATTTCTCAAACAACCCAGTCCTCAAAAACACAGCCAACTCTATAAATAATTGAAAAGTCAAAAAATCACAGTCCTTACAGACTACACAGATCCTTCAAACCACCAACAACTTCAAAACACCAAATAAACCCATCACTTTGGATATCCAAGACCACCACAGACCAACCATCACACACTGCACAGACCACCTCAGTTCTTAAACCCTCTCTTAACACTATAACCACCCCACAAGCCCCCTTTATTACCATAGACAACATAAAACACCATTTTCATAAACTCTCTGAGTTCTCAGAAACCACCATAGAATCCCAGAACTACAACACAAACCATTACCAAACCCATAACCACCAAAGACCACAAGCACACCAAAGAATGTATAAATCACAAATTTTGATGCAAACTAATGAAATTTGGGAACCCAAAGACTTTACTACATACCCATAAGCACCACAAACCTTGATACCCCTACAGATAATAGCTAATACCAAAACCGATCCATGCACCCACTTCAGACCCCAGACACTGCCGCAAAACAGTTAAATGTGAGTACAGCTGTTACAAACTATTAAAACCAGACCCCAAAAGCTAATACAGACCCTGTGAAGCAAAACAGTTTACGTGAATATCTATACACCCCCATGACTCTGAGACCACCAAATGCAAATAGAACAAACATAACTCTTCTTCAGAGAAAAATATTGTCTGAACTTTCTTTGTCATCTTGTCCTTCAGATGTCTAAAGACATGGAGATGCTGTTGAGGACCACCTACTTTGGAGCTTTAATGATGCTGGTGAGCAAGAAAACAACAGAAATGTTGATACATTAAAAACTTAGAGACCTGGGGGTTGGTTGCAGAAAGCAGTCTGATCTTATAGAAGTCAATGAGAACATAAGTCTAACTTTCAGGTGTTTTTTATCCTCAGTAGACATCTTCCATATGAGTTTGTGGTCTTGATTTCTGGTAACAAGTCTTTTTCGGTGTGCAGCATGATGTGTATTTACTAAATTATAGTCCCATTCAGGGTTTAAAAAAAAATGATGAGACAGGGTTTCCTTGAAGGACTGTAAAGGAAAATACAGGCAATGAAAAAGGGCGCCAACCAACCTATCCAAATAAAACTACTCTGAGGCCCAAAAACAGTATGGGAAAGGCCAAAATGTCAGTCCGCAAACCAATGGATGGTGTCATAGGGATATATTTTACTTCTATATTCAGTGCATGCCTTTCACCAGGAAAATCACCTGCTTATTTGGCATTGAAATATACTGATTATACGCTATACTCTTTCCACTGTCTAATACTCATGTTCAGCAGGTTGTCTGGAGTCAGAAAGGGACAGTTACACCACTTCATTATAACTAGAAAGCAAACATTAATGCTGTTCACCATTTGATTTATACAGAGTGCAGACAGCAGTTTCATACTGCAGGATTGTGAATTAGTACAGTGCTTCATCTCCCTCTATACTGCGGAGCTTTATACTTTGACAGTTTATTTTACAACCACAGTGCAGAGTATAAATAGTGAAACCAGTTCTTCCTGTGCCTATTAGTGTGAACTGCAGTTGTGTTTATCAAACCACCTCTTCATTTTCACTCCATGTATTCCATGGTGGAGCACTGCAAAACTGCCATTTTTTTCTGCACCTCATTTTCTGCCAGTGTGATCTCTGTAGTTTTGAAAATGGTTTTATCTTCTCATGGGAAAACATGGTAAAATACAAAAACTCTGCAAATTACTTCAGTACCTCATATCTTTGCAGGTTCCTCTTAAAACAAAGCAGTGTTGAACAGAGTCGAAACCGAGTAATTTAATATTAGGTCTAACTTGAGGCCCAAGTTCTTAGTATCCAGGTTTGAGTCAAATTCTGGTCGCCAGAGAGAAGATCTGAGTTGAGTCCCCATTACTTGTGTCCGAGTTCCAGGGAAAGACAGAGACAAGCTTGAACTTGCTCACAGATTATGAGGACTTAATTTGAATTTAAACACAGAAAATGAGGCCTTGACTTGGACTTGGACACAGGTAACAAAGACTTGACTCAGACCATGACAAAGGCAATGAGGTCTTGACCTGGATAAGCTCACCGATAATTATGACTGCACTTGGACAAAGGAAAAAAGAACAAGACCTGGACTCAGAAACAGGTAATAAGAGCACATCTCGGACTAGGTCACTTGTCAGAAGTACTCAATCTGGACCAGGACACTGGTAATAATAACTCCACTTTGACGTTAAAAGTCATGAGGACTGAACTTGGGCAGGATAATAGCAATGACCACTCAGCTTGAATTCAGACACAGGTTATGAACACCTGATATGTTTTCAGGTGCAGGTGAAAAAAATTTGATTCAGACTTGGTTGTAGGAAATCAACCTAAACTCAGATACTGAAAATAAAGACTAGACCTGGACTTAGACAAGAATATTCATAATTCATCTTGAACATTGACACAGATAACAACCACTAGACTTGAACTCAGGTAACAAAGCTCTGACTTGGATGCAGACATAGGTGATGAAGACCTGACTTGGACTGGGTCACATAGTTAGGACTCCACTTGTACTCAGACACATGTAAAAAGGACCCAAGTCAGAGGACTTTGAACTTGGACCTGGGTGCACAGATGGTGAGGGCTCAACTTTGACTGGGACACATTAAATGGCTATAGGTAATGTGGACTTAGCTTAGACCTGAACACAGCTAATGGACTTGACTAGGACTGGAGATTTAGTGAATTGATTCCAACCCTGGTCCCTGGCAGAACATGGTTAAATATGACTGTGTTTATCATTTTTGTCTGTGGGCTGTGGGGTGAATCAGGGTTTGTGTTCTTGCAGGTCTTGGTGTGATGTAGCAGCATCATCATCTATATCTGTACCACACATATTTTCTCCCCTGGTAGTAACTGGTGTATTACTGCAGTACTGTGTGTTCCGACAGTTCTTCCTCTGTCCTCTCCCCTCCATAGAACCCGGCGTGGGTAGAGTCTCCGCTCTCTCTGAGGATTGCCGTCAACTCAAATCCAAAAACTACCATTAAGACATCCGGAGCGACAGTTCACATGACAGCCATTGTCCAGGTGATGGTGTTGCCTCCAGGTCAGCCCCCGGTCCAGCTGAGCAGCATGACCATGGTATATACACACTGATTCATACACACTAAATTCATGGCAAAAAGAAAAAATCCGTCAGTGAAAGATGCAGTTAATTATGTTTTATTCTTGATCTGACTCTTCTGTCCTTTTGCAGGAGGCAAAGTTTAACGCTAAAGTCTCTATGAAGGGAAAACGTCTGGCTGTTCATGCTGACCTTCGCAGGTACAAACACACACAGACTTGAGTCTCATTGGAATCATGTGTGATGATCAAACAAACTCTGATTGGTCAGCTGGATGTTGTGTGGTGTAGGAGGGTGTAGGGTAGAGGTGAATGTTGGTCTCATAAACTGGTTTTGGACTCTTGTTGAAATTCTTGGGTTCTGGATCAGGGGTTTACCAGCTGAACACAATGAACTTTTGCAAAAGTCTTGGAAAAGCTTTGAAAGCACATGGAAAATTGCTCAAAGTTTTAAATATTTGAAAACCACAGACTCAGAGGAATAAATCAAACTCAGCATTTTCCATCTGAATGGCAGATTACAAACTGCAGAGGTATTTCTTTTTTGTCAGTCAGACTGAAACAGCTTTTTTGTGTTACAGGTTTAAAATCTACTCCAACCAGTCAGCTCTGGAGTCCCTGGCAGTGAGTGTCTTTTTTAGCATTAGCATTGAGTCTATAGCATTGTAAAGACTTAGAGTTGGACCTTAAGTACATTTTATATCAGCTTTAACCTTCCTGTTCTCTCTGTCTGTCTGTCTGTCAGCTGATTCCTCTGCAGGCTCCTCTGAAGGCAATAATGCAGATGTCTGTGGTTCCACTAATCAACAGTAAGAACTTAATTCTGTTAATGTTTCCCTATAACTTCTTTTAACAACAGAACATATTTTGTACATTCGTATTTTGCTGCTTAATTTTCTTCTGTGTGGACCAAACATTCACCTTTATTCAAATGTCCTGTGAGGAACTTTTAGTTTTGTCACATTTGGCGCCTCCCTGTGGACAGAGGACACTTTGCTTATTATGTCCTCTACATGTCTAAGTTGTGATGTATGACAAACTGTCACCTGTCCAAAAAAATCCCATCACCCTGATTTTGACATTCAAATTTGTCATTCATCTATAGTATAGGAAAATGTAATACAGGGCTATTTCTTTGGCCACATGGCTGACTCCCCCTCACACCCATTACAGGTATAAAATTTAGACTCAGGTAAAAACTACAACAGAAAATTTGTCGAAGTTGTTGCTGATGGTCTTATTTTCTTATGTAAAACAAAAAAAGGCATCAGTATGAATTTCAGCCTGTTTCATGAATGTCAAAAATTTCTTACTGGAGCTTCCAAAGGAGACCTATTATACTCATTTTCTCCTTCATTCTTCCTGAGCAGCAGCAGGATGATTTGCAGCTCAAAAGTTTCACTTATTTATCTTATACGGATGTCCATGAGAACCCAGATTTTAATATCATTAAGCCTCCACCTGAAATGCTTCATTTTGGCAGCTTGGCCACTGAGAGAAAAATTTGACATAGCTTGAGGGTGTTACTTTTTACACAGCTTCACAGCCATGAAACAGGCCTAAAGTTATACCTTTAAGGAAAACATCTGTGGCAAGCTGTTACTGATCACGTCCAAAATTTAATTTAAGACAGCCATTTGATACTGAAGCTCTGAAGTTTGTTTTGTTTGAGTGAACCAGACAGCTTCACTCTCAAGTTTTAAAGCTTGTGTCAAAGATGAAATGTCACTTGATGGCTTTTGGTTGATTTCTTGAGATCTTTACTGATTGATTTCAATATTTTGAGATATAAAGGCTGCTTTTTCCATGATGGAGGGTTAAAAGTTGTTTTCTTGAGGTTTTCTGAAGATATTGAGTTAAATTATCAAGATTTCAAGGAAAGTCTTCCTTGTTATCACTGAAACATAAAGTCCTTAAAGTGATCAAATGCATCATCAGTAGAAGTCTTATTGTGTCTTTGTGCAACAGTATCTTATTTGTCATATTTTGAAGTGCTAAGTTGTTCATTAAGCTGCCAAATTCGACAAAAATGTAGAGAAGCCATGTTGTGTTGTGTTGTACTAATCACTTCACTGATTGTGTGTCTGTGTGTGTGTTCAGACTACACTAAGAAAGGGGTTCAGATTCCTCTGGCTGATGGGATGGATTTTATCGAGGAGGTGGTTGAATATCACAACGTAAGTCAGTTTACCTATAAAGGCTTTAGGTCAAACATGTTTACGAGTAATGCAGAGTTTCGATTCGTCTCTTCTCCTCTAACAGTTTCATATGTGTAAAATCTGATTTCACTCAGTGCTGCCCCCTGGTGTTAACAGTTGTGCTGTTCTCTGCAGGGCTTCATTGTGATTGGAGCAAACCTTCACTTCACCAAAGGACTGAGAGAGATGATGGCAGCGGGCATCCCAGCAGAGCAGAACACTGTCTAAATATGTATTTATGTAGAATATTAACAGTATATATACAAGTCTAATAATCTTTGCTCAGTTATTCATGCTGTATATGACTCCATGCTGTAAATAAAGACAGGTGACTGACGACAACAAAGAAATAAACCAACGATAAAAATATCTTCATCAAGTCGAACTTTCTCAAGGACAAACATAGATCTTCTCTGTGAAAGCCAGTCACACTTGGTCCCCTTGTGGACTGATCAAGGAAAACATGAATTTTCACTTTTATTTTATATTATATTTTGAATATTCACAGTGAAACTGAGACTCAGATTTAGCAGAGACAAACCAGGATACAGTGAAACTGATACTCAGCACGACAGGATGAGAATACAATAAAACTGGACTGTGGCCTTAATTAGAGGAGGTAAACTGAAATTAAGTGGAGACGTATGTAAATACAGTGAAAACAGAATTAGTGGGGGCAGAAGTGGGTTTGATAAAACTGAGACTGAGAGATAGGGATGCATGAGAACTGAAACAAAGCAACGACAAATGAAAATATAGTGAAACTGAGATCCATTGGAGATAGCAGGGGATATAGTGAAACTCAGACTCAGAAGGATGGGGGTACTCTGACATTGAGGGTCAGGGGGACTAATGAATATACCATGACACCAAGGCTCAGCTAAGATAAATAGGAATACAATAAAACTAAGACCTAGAAGGATAGGAATACAGTGAAATAGAGGGTCAGAGAAGACAGATGGATATACAGGGAATCTAAGACTCATCAAAGACAGAAGAAGGTAAAGTAAGACCCACATTGCAGTTGTTATATGTGGCACTCCAAAACTGTAGCACAGGAGCACAGAGCACAAGTTATTGGTGGTGATGTATTACTGGGATTAGGATTGGGCAAAGGTCTGACTTTGAATCATTCCTATAACTGAAGAATGCAAATCAAAAATATTCCAAACTTTTACTGATAGAATTAAAATCTTTTTTTTTTAGGTTTCGGTAAAACTGAAAAACTCCAACTTTGTTTTACTCACTTTTAAATATTTCAGTGACAGACTGAAACTGAATCAATATTAAAACAAGTAATCAATTATTGAATAAATCAACAAATAACATGTTTCACTTCAAGCTTCATTCATTTATTAATATGTTTCTTATTATAAAAAAACTTGTTAACACTACACTCATTGATTCCTCATTCAGTCAACTATCATTCAACAGACCTTCATTTACAGGCATTTCACAGTAATAATATTAGCAATTGTGTCATAATGTTAGAGAAGTAACAATTAAAATACAGTAAATTATAAGTCCCTCTATGGTGACAGTCCTTTACCACCAGCTAATGAACTATTTCACACTCTTTAAAATGACAATCACCGCTTTCACTCTAGTTTTACATTATTTTAACATCCCTCCTCATGTTCACAGAGTGAGTAATTGCAGATCATCATCACAGTATATATTCAGGCTGTTTTAACTCTTTGGAGAGTCATTTCTGAACTTTTCCGCAATCCCATCATAACCGTGAAAGCCACATTTCGCTCCAGCAACTCTGCAGCCAAATGTCAGAGCGTCCTGCAAACTTCCACCTGTGGACCAAAAGAATTTTCATTTATGAAGTTTAAACGTTGTTAAAATTAAGCCTGAGTTTGGAGAACTTTAAACTGTAGATTCATCAGGATCAGATTGTATAAAGCTGAGTGATGTGCATACAATCAAACAAACAAAGTAATCAGAACAAATTTTTGGAAGCTGATAAAAAAGTCAAAGCTCTAAAACAGATCCCTGTGGTACACATTCAGAGATGAGTGATCTGAATGTGATGAGGACAAACACGGGTGACAGTTTGTCTTATGAGAGGAATATACAATAGTTAATTAAATAATTGCCAACACTTAATTCCAACAATTCCAATACTTCTGATAATTCTGCAGCATGGCCATCATATCACTGATGACACGTTTAAAGTACTGCATTAACTGTTGTGATGGAAAGGTTGTCATTTTGTTTCTACAGCTAAAAAAGTAGATTTTACTGGATCAGAACCAAGTGTTGAACATTTCAGGCCAGACTCTTTCTGACTAAATAAAGTGAATGAGTGACACTGTACCAGTTTTTTTTCCTTCCATTGATTTTACTCTGTTTTAAGCATCTAAGGTGCCGTATTCCCATGTTCATGTATAAGTAATCAAAGCTAATGTTGCTTAAAATTAACATTTCAGAGAGCCAGGTGGTGATTATTATCATTATCAAATACACTGCAACTCTTACATCCATATTTTTATGATTTACATGAACATATTTAATTTAAAGTTAAAAGCTACAATAAATCTCACCGTTGGACAGCGTGAAGATGACGGCTGAGTTAAAAGTGTCTCCGGCTCCGAGAGTATCGACTAGACTTTCAGGAGGAAAAGCATCTGAATGTATGAGAACACCATTGGGACCCAACGCATCTGCTCCTTTTTCTGCCCAGGCACAAATCAGGACAGCCCTGAGAGAGAGAGGGAGAGTGAGAGAGAGGGGTGACACAGGTGAGGACAACAAATGAGGGACATCAGACAGGTCAGAAGGAAAGAAGCTTTAGTGGAAGACAGACAGGTCAAAGAAACTTCTCAGAGGGAGCCAACTGCATGCTGACCTTTGACCTCTACTCACCCCTGTTTGACCCGACTGTAGAGTCCTTTCAGAGCAGCTTCAGCAGACAGGAAGCCAAAGTGTCGAGCAACGTCTTTGCTGACAAACACCTGGGACCAAAAGAACAAGTGAGAAGTGAACAGACCTGAGGACCTCTCGTGATGAAGAAAACCCTCAGAGTGATCTGAGGACTAAACCAAACCTGGAGACACCTGAACACCTGATAATTTTAGGGACTTGTTGATATTATTTGAATATTTTTACTTTTTAATCACGTAATAATCATCATTTCTAGTATTTTATGATCTCATAATTTTGATTAGCTAATATTTTTTAATTTCTTCCAGTCTGTTTTTTTTATCTTTGAATCATGACTTATTATTTCTCGACTGAAACATTTTATCTCAAATTTCTATTTTTGATCCCATACTTAATCTTTTTTAATCTCATATTTACGACTGTTTCGTAAATTTGACTTACTGTCTCATAACCAAAATTTTTAATCTTGTTATTTTGAGATTTTATCTCATTTTTTGGCTCTTTATTTCACTCTCTTGACTTTTTATCTCACAACTGCCTCTTAGTTTCATGCTTGTGGCTTTTTATCTCATAATTATGCCTTACTGTTTTAGTTTTGAGTTTTTATCTAATAATTTTGATTCAGTATTTACATTTTTTTCCCTTTAAGGCCAGGTCTTCCTTTAAGAATAAATGCAGGAAATAGTCACCTCAATAAGGTAATCCACAAAATAAGGTTACAAAAATTATGTAATACTTACAAAGGAGTGTAGATTTGATAGAGTATTTAAGGAAAACATCAGACACAGTGCAATCTAATGTGTATAAATGAAAAAAAAATTAAGACTTTTTAAGGATCGGCAGAAACCCTGTGGAAAAATCTACCAAAGACTACCTATGATACAGAGAGGACACTGAGAACAGATGGACCTGGGGACCTTGTGATTATCTGAGGACACCAGAGCTGAAAGTCTCAGGTTTTATGACACAGACACTCGTACCACATCACCGTGAGGAAAGAGCTGATAGAGCGGCTCTCTGGTCTTCTCTATCTCCACAGAGATGGTGATCCTCTGCTCCTGAGGCAGCGTGCTGTTATACTTCACTGCCTGCTGGATCATCTTCACCTGTTCATCAGCATTTCTGCCCTGCAAGAGTAGAAAACTCGGTGATAGTGACAACATATTCAAGGTGAAAATATGTGTCATGTCTTAGGTGTCAGGGATATTGTCTGGATGACATTTCTAGATCTATAAATTTACCTGAGATACCCTCAGACTTTTGGCAAAATCTTTCTCTTTGGTTTACTGTTTCTATCTCGGACTCACAAAGAACACAGAAACATGAACAATGACAACTTGACAGACAAAACATTAAAAACCTTCCAAAATTTAAACCTCCAGGGAGGAACTTGCACTTTTGTTGACTTTAGCGCCCCCTGTGGACACAGCAGCACCTCTAATATCTTAGCTGACTTTGGCCTGTAGATGTATATGTAATATTTTAACGTCTTTTTTTTTTTTTCAAACAAATAGTATCTAATTATTAAAATCTGTTTCTCAGCATGATTTAACCCCTTTCTTCAGTCTCTACCCCACAGCAGAGCTTTCTCACATCAAAAATTAATTTATAGTTATAGTCCATTGCTTGCTGATGGTCCTGTTTGCTTTTGCAGCTCCTACAGAAGCAACAGTACTCATTTCAGTATCTGTCACAGCCAATGAAAACACTCGTCATGTGAGTTTAAAAAAAAAAAAGACGAGGTTATGAACTCAGACCGTAGACTGTTTTCAAAGAGGGACAACATGGTGGCTTCATAAACATGAAACCAAAAAAGTTAGAGCTCCCTCTACTGGCTGGTTGCAGAGGAGGTCATAAAGCTCGTCTCCTTCATGATAACAGAAGCTTGAAAACCAAAATAGGCACCAAATATCTGATTTTTAAACATTGTTTCTGTTACAGCAGGGCAATTTTGATTTCTATGACAAGTATGCCCCCCCTCAATCATTAAAATATGATCATTTAGACTGAAGAATTATTGAACCATCTGCTGAGTTGCAGGTGGTTCAATAATTTACCACCTGCAACACAGCAGGGTCAAAAGGATCAGCAAATTACTGTATTCAGTTTTTATTCATATTCAACACAACTTCACTGAAACTGAGGTCTATAACATCAGCTCCGTTGGTTCGATCCCTCAGGTCAGTCTGGCTTTTAAATTAAGACCCATCAGTCAGATTAGGAGTGTCTTTTATTGATCGGGTTTCTGTTCAGTCAAATGTTTACTCTCGGTTTCTGCAGGTGCAGCTCACCTCCCAGTGGATCCACTTGAACTGTTGGAGGTCGACTTTGGAGAAATCCTCGGCTGTGACATCTGGAAGGTTCCTGAAGAGCATTTAAGGCCAGAGTTTATGCTACTGATGATGAAACACAGGAGGACAAACACAAACAGAAACTCCTCCATTAATCTGATATTAGAGGTTAATGTTTAACCCTTCATTAAGCCCGCCAAGCCTGACAACATCATAGTGACATCATCAGGCTGAGATGGGCTGACCGAAAATAAAAAGATAACTGAGAGGTAAATCTCAGTGTTTGTCAGGAGGAGCTTCTGTGTTCACAAGAACTTTTTAAGAAGTTCTTAACAAGTTAAGAATGAGGGGGATTAAAACTTTTTAACTTATAACTTGATATACTGAAGTATGAAAGCATGTTACATTCACTGTAGAGAAAGAAAATTCTGCTCTGCTTTCCTGTATTAAGGAGTTCTGAACATTTAAACACCTTTTCAGTCCTGTTTGTTTGTTTTCTTTATATAAATTTTGATTTCAAATTTTTGATTTTTGAGATAATTACTACTTCCGAAAATTAGGACATATTATTTTTTTCATTTAAAAACTACTTATTTCATACTTCTGAGAGGAAAGAGCAGATTTTTTTCTCAGGTAAACATAACAACCTTCCACACTAAGGTGTCTGCTGGACTTTCTGAAAAATATTTTAGGTCTTGAGTCAACATGACAAAGAGCAACTTCCACGGGTGAGATTGCTGAATGCCTTTGAAAAGCTGGGAATCTGGGATCGATGTGGACATCGAACTTACAGCTACAGAGGTTTGACATGCACATGTGCTTATGGAGATGATCTGCTGTGTCCGCAGCCTGGTCTGTCTGAAAAGTGGCTACACCTATTTTTAAAAGAAAAATTTCCAGGTTGAGAGCTGCTCTTAATTACACAGCTACAAGCTGTTTTGAGGTTTTCTTCAATTGCTGCAGAATAAAAGCAAATATGAAGCACAAACGCCACACCAATTTTGTATTTGCAGGCGAAGACTGTTGATGTCTCAGAAACAACCATATTTTGGACTGCAGGGGCATGGGAGTGGCAAAAGTGGAGCCTGTTTATCATCCAAAGATGTGTAAAATGTGGCCAAACAGGGATGAGTAGAGATAAAAGGTACCATGAGGTCAGTTGTATGAATGCTTAGTGGCAGCTCAGCTCACAGCCCCCTTCAGCAGATAATACAGAGTTCTCGAAACAACTCTGATGATGTGATACTTTACTCTTTTTTTAAAAGATGAGCAGTTTTGTCAATGCAGACTGTGGAAATTGTGTCTTCAGAAGTCCAACAGTCACCATGTAGCACAGAAAATCTTTATTTTCTTACAGTCAGGCGTCCACTGTAGCTCCTGGTATCAGACAAAATTACAGACTCAAAACAATCTGTTTCAATTAACACTTTTGGTCAATTTGAGTGTGAAAAGTTTACTTCCAAAATGACTCAAAGAAATAATAAACTTCCTGCACAGGCAGGAGGTATTTATAAGATAACAGAAAGCTCTGGTGGTTAAGTCTTAAAAAAGCAGATTATGTTTATTTTCTTAATCCTCCTGAGTGTCTGTAAGAGAACTGAGATGAGAGCTTAGATTGTTTATTAGATAGATTTGAGCATTTTGGAGTGAAAATCTTCACAAACAACATTAAAACATCTTTCAATTTTTTCTATATTTCAGCATAAATGAGGTTGCATTAAACATCAGACAGAAATTAAACAAATCACTGAAAATTAACCCTGATTAATTTTCACAAACACTTCGCAGAGACATGAGCTGATTGAAACTAAACTGAAGAGTTTGTGTTGAAATTCAGTGAACGAAGTAAAAGCTGCAAACAGATTTAGAACTCTTCTGAAATATTCAGAGAGTTAGAGCTGTTAGCCTAGTTTAGCTGAGAGGCTGTGTGTATACAGTGTGATTGTCTTTACTGTCTAAATACATTTTTTTAATGCCATGGATTCAATTGAAAACTTCATTATGTGAAAGGCCTGCAGCAAAAGCCACAACTTTTATTTTTATTATTAATATACAAAGAATTAGACAGTCTTTAAGTAGAGATGTTTAATGTACATGTCAAGCTAACTAAATCGCTAGTTAACATCTATAAACCGAGAATTGGTGGAATTTAACGAGAGTAACTTCTTTCCACTCTTCCATGAAAAATGTATTTATACATGAAGGAATAGTTTTTACATTTTTATTTTGTATATTTTTCTTTTTCTGTCCATTTGTCAGTCTGTTAGTAGGTTTATCTCTCTCTTATTTCAGTTCACTTTAATTTAATTCTCTTCGAAATTACAGACTTCACTCTGGATTTCATCAAATTCTCCATCTCTTTGATGGAGGTTGAGTCTGAATGTCCCAACCAGGGAAATTATTGGAAAATATTGTTTAAATATTCACTTGATGACCCAGTTATTTTCTAATCTTTCACTCTGATCATAAAAAAAAAAAACAGATTTATTTTCAGAAACTAAAATCAGGAGATTCCAGGAATGAACATTTAAGCAGATTTAAGAAGCAAAACTGTTTTAATTCCTAAACAAAATAAATGACTTGAATTAAATAAATGAATTTTAATTATCAGAGAAAACCCTCTCCTGATCTACACTTCATCTGATTGGTCGATCAAGGATTCAATTTCACTCTGCAGTCACCAAGATCAGGATCAGAGTCAATTGAGATCAAATTAGATCCAGATTAAATTTCTTTGAAGGCAGATAAAACAGTGTTCACCAAACACCTCTGCTCACTTCTTTTTTACACCCGCAACGTCAAGAGAGAGGAGATTACAAGGGATGGTTGAAGCTTCTTCATCTGAAAGTTTTAACCAGAGCAGAGGTTCTCTTTGGACCAGAACTGGTATTTCCCAGTTGGTGTCTTTCCCATCTTAAGTTGAAGTTGTTTTCTTTCCATAGTTCCTTAAACTATGCTTTTAATTCTAAGCTACTTCAAGAAAATTGTGAGGAACTGGATGAAAACTGTTAAATGAATGGTTGCAAAGTATTTAATGAATCAGTAACCTGAAGAGGCACAAGCTTTATATTTTCAAAAGTGTCTAATCGTCTCTTTAAGAACCTCTCTAAGACCGTTCACTGACAGTCTGCTGCTTCTTTGCTGCTGTTCATGGTTGTATGGTATGTGGCAACCTGCGTAAAAGACCTCAGCCATGATCTCAGCGTAACACTGTTGGCTTATTTTCAGTTTCATTACAATATTAATTATTTTAGTAATGATGGTTACTGTCAATACTGTGTACTGGAATACTGAGCCAGCAGTCAGAGGGTTAACTGGGCACTTCAAACTGCTTTTGTCCTATTTCAACATATAAGTTTACTTTAATTTGATGCTGGTTTGAAAGGGGATGCCACACATCTCAGCTTTGTGCTCAGTCTTTTCAGAGTCCTGGTTCTTATAAATATGTGGTGCGGAGGTGACAGAACAGTAAGTATTTCTTCATTAGTGAAACCTGCAGTAAAGTTTAATTTAACTAGAAACTCCATGTCTTTTCCTTTGGTACACACAGCTGGCTGCTCACCATAAACAAAAAGTACCACTGTATCACTTTACTCTCACAATATGATAATGTGATTACCTTCCAACTTTACTCCTTTAACATAACAGCTTCTTCTCCCCAGAAATCTTTTTTTTATTGTGGCCCTGTTGCTCTACTGAAGGTATAATACTATAATATTGAGGGTTAAAACTGATGGTTAGCGGTGAATTAAATGGTAAACACTGCTGTCTGGCTGTTAGACTACACTTATTATCAGAGTTATGTACATACCGAGTTAGATAAGCTAAACGATGAGTTATTATCTCTCTGATTTCTATAAGTGATGACACATTTCTACTGTAACTCAGTCTAAGTGAAAAGAAAGAGGTGTTTAGTGAACATTGTTTGTCTCTGACTGGTCGTCAGGTCGTCTTACGTGTCAGAGAGAACGACTGTTCGAGATCCGCTGGACGGACAAACCACGCAACATGCACACGGAGTTTGACCTTCAACCTGCCAGGCCACAGCTGACACATCGATCTTACGCTGCGAGAAGTCGGCCATGATGAAACTGACAGAGACAGATACAGGAAGCTGTTCATATTAACTCTCTCCTACAAAATAAAACTGCAGACCCACAGGTTACTGTGACCTGATTGGTGGTACAGGAGGCAGGGCGGCTCTGTGGTGAGTGACGCTGATCCTGAAACAGAGGCAGTTAATAACACACAACACTCACACACACCTGGCCACACCTGTTCATGTGCAGGATGGTGCGGCTTCCTGTGCTGATGTTGCTGATGACCATGGAGGCTGGGAGGAAACACTGAGCGTGCTCAGGCGCCAGAGACACATCGATGTGGAACTTCTGAAAATCCTCCAAAATAAAACTACAAATGGGAGAAGGTTTACACCTCCCTGTCACTTCAAAATCCTGAAACCCTTCAGATGGGAAATTATCCTTAAATGATATTAAAATAGGAAGAAATACTGGACACCGAAAGTAAAACTAAAGAGGAGGGCCCTCTCTCTCCAAGGATTAAGAAACTTTTAAAGGACTTCAGTTAAACTTGTCTTTATCTGACAATGAAATCAACATCTCACTCATTGATGACTGTATTTAAAACTGTGTAGTGATGTACGTATTGATCGGCACTCACTCGGCCACAGGTCCAGCAGCCAGAGAGCCCATAAAGGCACAGGGAGCTCCGAGCAATGACAGCACCGTGCACGAGTTTGAGGCGTTCCCTCCTCGCTGCCACCGCTGAGACAGACACCTGCAGGATGCCAGAAAATTATACTTTACTGTCAGTGCACTGTTGAAGGGGTTAAGATATGGGGGAACTAGAAAAGCACTCGGAGAGCGCAGACCTCCGCCAAGCAGCTCATGTCCCCCCTTATATTGAGATTCACACCAAAACTTTTACTGTTACGTGTCTTTTATTAACTTTTATTTGTGTTTAAACTGGTATGTTCACTGTTCATAATGTTCCTAAAACAAGAAATGCCCTAACCGGGATTCAAACCCAGGACCTTCTGGCTGTGAGGCACAGTGCTAACCACTACACCACTGTGCCGCCCATTGGTTATCTTTCAGCACTGAAAATTCCAATGAAACCCTTATTTTTGTGTGTTCTGGATCACAGTATCCAGAATTTTGTCCGGATCACCACTAAAATTTAATGGGATCCTCCTGGGGCTGAGACGCACCTCTGGTGAAAACTTCAGGTCAATCCGTCTGTTACTTTCTCTGTAAAGTTGCTAACAAACAAACCAACACTACCGAAAACATAACCTCCTTGGCGGAGGTAATTATGGATATTATGGACACTAGGGATGCACAATATAATCAGCATGATGTCAGTATCAGCAGATAAGAAATTTCTGCAGATTTAACCAACCAATTATCTATTATTAATTGATATAGTAACAATGGGCCAACCATGGGAGCTTACATATGTTGGCTGTAAGGAAGTGGCTGAAAACAAACAGCAGACACATAACTAGATGACTAAAAAGAATTATCACATGTGGTAGAACCAGATGCTGTTTGTCCTGTTTGTTTATTCATTCATAAGTTATACAGAGCTGCCAAGCGTCACGCTTTGAGTGTGAGTCACGCAATTTGACCCATTCTCACACCACATGCCACACTTGACATTCCTCATGCATTCAATATTCTGAATTTATTTTTTCATGATAATAAACTTGCCTTGCCGTAGTTCGAGTAACTCTGATTGACTGACCGAGATAGCCAATCCCAGACCAATCCATCAGTCCTTTGTGCCTAAATCAAACCAACCACGAAAGGCAATATAAACCAATCAGAAGCAACGTACGGTGGGTCTTGGCTTCTCTTACTGTCTTGTCCCCAGCTAAATGATGGAGAGTTGGTTGAAATGTAATGTTGACGAATAAATGTATATTTTTTCAAAATTCTTGTTACAATTTTCATTTTTAATTTCTGGTCAATTAAGACTAGGATTTGGAGGCCACAGTGCAGGTAGAGCAGCTGGCATGGTGAGGATATCAGTCTAAAGGTCCTTTCACACCGGGACCGTTTTTGTTGTGCGATTATTTCAGACGTCAATATTTTTTTTTAACCCGTATCCTGTCAATACAAGTGTTCACATCAGTGACGTTTTCCTGTCCTGCGATATTGCGGTTGACTTTTCTAAAGTTTTGCACACTGTGTGTCCACTTCTGACCAATCAGATTGCGTGTTGTTGTGACGTCTGATTCACCGGTATATCCAACATGGCCGACCGGCTGATTGTTTATGCGTTGGAGAACAGAATGCTTTTTGATAAAAGACACAAACATTACAAAGATAACGACCTGAAGGACAACTTGTGGAGAGTCATAGTGTTGGATTTCTCATATGACGATGGTTTGTGTACTTTAACAGTTTGCTAAACATATTTGTTTTAACTTTCATCTGTGCTAAGTAACTTGAGCTCGTAAGCTAACCTGTTCAGATACAACATACCATATTTTCACTGTCTGAAAGTCTCACTCTTGTCATTTTCTAACTTGGCAGCCCTGAGTTAAGGTTAATGAATGAATTACCACATGCAACATGAGTCCTACTTCATGCTGTACAGTGATGTCATCACATAGGTGGCCAGTCAGGTTTTAAGGGGGCAGTACCACCTCAGGCCGCCCATGTGGACACACCCCTGCTGAAACTCTGCAGCACAGTTGTTATCAGTAACAACAGTCAGTAAAAATAATAATAATACCTCTGACATTCAAAAAGATGAAGTCAACGATCAGGTCTACCTCATAATAAAGCAGTATTTATCATTCATTGGCGGATAAGCACTGGTATAAACACTGTCACCTGTAAACTGAACACCTGCGACCCTCTGACTCTGTTAGCATTAGCTCGTCTTAGCATTAGCCCGTCTGCTAACCTGCTGTCAGTGTCTTCTTCGGGATACCTGTCCACCACGTTAATGATGTCCAAACACACCAGACCGACACACAGGATCTTCTTCTTCTTTCGCTCTTCCATGTTCATCAACACACATCTACCATCAGACTGTAACACATAGCCACACACACCGCTGCAGCCTGGACTTTGACACACACTCACACACACACACATGCACACTCCACTCGTCTCCTTATCTCTTCCTTTTACAACAATAAGACATAGCACTTCCTGAAAGCTGGGGTTGTAAAATAAAAGCTTTAGAAAGCTACTCTTCACACACGACACATCTGCACAAGCGTCGGTATACTACTGTGTGACGTTCACGTGCTCCCCGGATTTTTCTGTTTCCATTAGTTAGTTGTTCCGACTTCCCCGTGTTTCTGTATGGAGTCACCGCAGTGAGAAATATATGTATTTAAAAAGTAGGAAGGTCAAAGCATTTCAAAAGAAGGAAACAAAATAAATCACTTAATAGTGATTACCTTCATAGTGAAATAAACTTATATGTAAATAGTAAAACGTAAAATATTAAAATGTAGAAACATAAAATATGAATTTAAAAAAATTAGGAATACAGGGTCAAGTAATTAAATCTGAATGTATCTAAATCTGATCCTGGAGTCAAAACATCACTGAAAAATAATCTTTGACGTACCTGTAATAATTACATTACAACAGTAAAGTGGTAATTTTCCCAGATGAATCATTGTGTCTCAATAATCCAAAAGTTTATACTTACTTATAATAATTCAAATTAATGGTGAATACATTTCACATAGGTGATGTCCTAAAACAATTACAGAATGAGTAAATTATTACTAGAATATTAAATTGTGATATTATAAACAGAGATATTTACATTAGTCAGCTCTTAGCCAGTGAGAAACATCACTTTGTGCAACTGTATCCACATGAATGACAATTTAATTGAGTTGAGAAAACTGTAATATTGTAATCTTTAAAAGTTAAGTCAAGAAAATAGCAGATTATTAAATAATTAAAGAGGATAAAAGTTTATTACTGCAAGAGTAAAGCCATATTTAAGAGAATGAACTTGCAGTCATAGCTAATTTAAGTTAAAGGGATGGTTATAAAATGATGATTAATAATACTACTGATGATAACAATAATACTAATGATTATGACTTTTTCTTTGATGAACCCTATTGGAAAAGGAACAGGAGCAATGTTAATAGTCAATAATTCTCTTTCTGTCTATCTATCTAGATATACATATAAAAAAACATGTTTTAGTGTTTAATTCTATGTTAACATCATACATGTAATATTTTAATTCCATTCTTACTATGAAACTGAACTATTCTGATGAACCTTTCTGCAATGACAGGCTGTTTTCGTTATTAGTCTTTTGAATAAGCAGTAAATTCTTGTTGGAATATTTTGTGAGCTGCTTTCTAATTATTGGCATCAGCCATTATATTAACAACCACTTTTCCTAATATTAAAAGTCAAAAATGACATTCACACATGTGTAAATGAAATTCTTTCCAATGATCATTGGGTTAAAAGCCACTCTTGCATTTTTTCGTAATTTCGGGGCTCACAGCTGACTGCTTAAAGCTTTAAATGTTTCAAAATAAAAGAAGAAATTTATTTTAAATTAAGAAATAAAATTCAGCAGTTTTAAAAGCTTATGTCTGTGCCAAAGTGAAACCCTGCAGAAGAATTTGGCAGAACTGACAACTGAGGTGAGTTTTTCTAACACCTGAAAGTTGATGAAATTCTCCGAAAGTGACAGGTATTCTTCTAATTCTTCAAAAGCCATCATTTTATTCTGATAAACCTCCTGTAAATGTCTAAATGGAGAAACTGGATGGAGACACTTTTAAAGCTAAACTTCAGACAGTTTAAAATAAAGAGGAGTACAGGTGATAAAAGATGGATGGATTGATGTATTAAAATTCGAATAAAAGTCATCATACAATAGAAAATCTGAACCAATAATACGATCAGACCACCAGCACCAGTTTGACAGCTGAACATGAATCTCAGCAGGTTACAGAGAGGGAAGCATACATGACAAAATAGAAATCTTTTCCAGCATGCAAAAACAGAGAGAACACAGCCACGCCTTTGAAAATAAATGAACGAGATAGAGAGAGAGAGAGAGGAGTCTGGAATGGTTCAATTCATAAACACTATCTATGTCAGATATACAGCCACAGGACGACTCAGGAGATTTAGTCCGTCTCTGCCGCCCGCCGAGCCTCGTGCTTTTAGCAAAATCAAAAACACGCCACATCAGTCCAAAGCTGCGAGTCGAGACCAGCAGAGGAGCAGGAGGCAGCCGGCGCAACGTTCCCATTCACTTTACAGTACAATCACTTTGTATAAAACCAAGCAGTCCCAGTATATCCATATACACAACATCTGATAAAAAGGCAATAAAATAGACAAATAAAGTCAACAAGCATATAAACACAGCTCTTAGATTTAGTGTTGAATGTTACAGGTTAGAGTACAAAGTTTAGAGCAGCTTTTACATTTACATCATCTCTCTGTCATGTGTTTCTTAGAAAAGGAAAAAAGGACTCAGAGCTTAAAGGGAGATCTGTGTGTTTTAAATATTAGGACATATTTTGGTGTCTGAATGTATAAAAACTTTAGAGCTGCTCCACAAACATGTTTAGCAAAGAGCAGGAAAACAGGCTGTAATGACTGCAGTATGATCCTCTGAGGAAAAAACGCACAAAAGTCAAGTCTATGCACTACAAAAACATGTCACATCTGCATGATAATGACACAAAAACTGATGTTTTACCCTCTGAAAGGCTCACGTTGACTTTTTTAAGAGTCTCATAATGTTCTGAGCCTGACACTTTCAATTTCTGTTTCTCTATCGCTGTGGGAGTAAGACACTCTTCTTGTAGCTGCCAGGTAAGCAGTCAGAAACCAGCTTATGGTGCATACATCAACGTCTTTCTTCAAAAATTTGTCAAGGGTAGCAAAACTGAGCGCTTTTAACAGGTTACTGCAATATATGCAGGATAGATCTAAGGGATAAGATGCTAGCATGCACTAACACAAAGATGAGATACTTAAAAACCAATAAAAATGGGCTACCTAAGTCCATGCAAACACACTTATTAATATTTTAAGTGACCGACAACATCTCAGTCAAGATCTCTGCAGAAGTAGACCTGAATTTTGAGATGTTTTTGCAGCAGAAACAAATGAGGCATTTGCTCTTTTTAAAGCCACCAAACTCCACTGACACTAAGAACATCTTTAACCTCACAGAAAAAAATGGAAGCTGCAGATCTGCTGCTGCCTCTGTCAGTTTGTATTCTTCTATTACTGTGTGTTACACAAGTATATGTTGCATCCATGCTTGGCATCTGGAAGACATCAGTCAAACAATGACACAAACTCACAAGCTGATGAATGCAGCAATAAACCAGCAAGTCCTGAGGTTAAAATTAGCATTTTCATCAATGGAGTCTGGTGGCTTTAAAGACAGCAATGTATCAGCTGCTTTTGGTTAAACTGTTATTTTTTCAGTCAGTTATAAAGAAAAAAACTTTGAAGAGCAAATTTTGATCACATTTGCCTTCAAGGGTTAAGTTAGAGCCACTGCAGCCTATTCCCTTGTCCCTAACTTAAACAGTCTACAGTAGCAGTTCAGAAACGTTTTACCTCTTGCTGTCTTTGACCCAAATATGAAGTAAGAAGTTGGTCTGGAAAGCATCATGATGAAAATCCAAAGCACAGACAGACCTTTATATTAAAAACTAAGTCATAACAAAAACACAAACAAATTAACGGATCATGGCAGAAATAGATCCCTAAGTTCTCTATTCAACAAGGCAAAATTTGTGATTTTGTCAATGGAGTATGGTGGTTGTGAAGAGAGCAATATAATAGCTTTTCCTGGTGTCAAAAAGTATCTCTCTCTATTTTAAAAAATGTCTTTTTCTGCAGGTATTCTTTCTGTATTGCAGTCAGACATTTAGAGTAACAATCTGAGCCTGTCAGGGACAAAAACAAGAATTGTAAGTGGATATATTTGGTCACATTTGCCCCTGAGGAACAAGTTGCAGCCACTGTAGCCCACTTCACAGTTCCTGGCTCAAATGATCTACAGGAACAGCTCCCTCATATCTTACCTGTTAGTCACTTTGACCCAAATATAAAGTAAAAAGTTGGCCTGGGTTAGATTTGCTGTGTATTGTTTACTTCAGCAGGAACTTATTCAAATCTGCTTCAAAGGAAAAAAGATGAGAGAGATTGGAGTCATAAAAGAGGAAGAGGGCAGAGGAGAAGTGTAGTGTTCTTCACTGTTTCTTTCAGACGGTACTCATAAAACATTAAAGGTCATCTTTCATAAAACAACATGGAAGTCTTTGTAGTCGCAGCGAGCCTCTTCTCTGCTCACTCTGTGTGTGTGTGTGTGTGTGTGTACGCGCGTGTGCATGCCTGCATGTGTCTGTATAATTCAGAGCTCTTCAATGTAACCATCAGTTAGTGTCATTAACGATCACGATGACCATGTGCTCCTCGTCCGTATTACCCACAGTCCTCTTGGCGGCCTGCAGGTACTGCTGTGAGAACACTCCAGGGGGGAAGGCGTACAGCATGGCCCCCTGACTCCCCTCTTTAGCAGCAGGCAGGCTAACCACTCCAGCTGCCTCTTTGTTGCGCAGGTAGGTCACCAGATGGCGAAGCAGGCGCACCTGCAGCCCGGGCTCAGGGGCCGGGGCTTGGCGGTCGACGGGGCCCTGCAGAGCCAGCAGGATGGCAAACCCATCAGGCCGGCCAAGTTTAATGCGGCGCACCACCTCGTCCAGGCGGGTCTGGTCCATGCGGAGCCTCTGGACGATCTTCAGCTGACTCGGCTGGTTTTGACTCTGCAGCTTCAAACTCTCCTTCATCACTGTGTTGAAGAAGGACACACCCCCCTCCAGCAGGTACAGGTCTGTGGGGAAGCTGCTGTTCTTCAAGGCGAAGAAGCCGTGCCAGATTTTGGAGAGTGACGCCTGGGCGAACTCTGACAGCGTGCTAGGGGAAGAGGAGGAGTGTGTGTCTGTGGTGGCGGCAGGAGAGCTGATGGCTTCACTGTTTCGATGGTGGTGGTTATTGAGATGGTCGCTGGAGGAGCGCTTGCTGTGGTGTCGGCCTGATGGGAGGTCTTCTTCATTGGTGGCGTGTCTCCCTCCCACTCCGCTGTCGGGGGAGTGGTCTCTGGGCTCCGTGGTGGAGTCAGGAGCTCGAACACGTGCTCTGTCGGGGCTTGCATCAGGAGAAACGGCCCCTCCCGGACCTCTGACCCTGGACCTCGCCCTCTCTTTCTCCCTCTCCCTCTCCTCCACCTGTCTGTCAGCGGACAGACTCCTGCTCCTGCTCCTCCTCCTGCTTCGCCTCTCCTCCCTCTCCTTCAGCCACCGCTCCCTGCTCCGACTGCGGCTTCTTGCTGCCCTCCCACTCCTCCCAAAAGCCTCCACGGCCCCTGCCCTCCTCTCCAGGCTGCGGGTGGGGCTGGTGGAGTAGTCTCTCTCCAGCAGGGCCCTGTCTCGCTCCCTCTGGGAAAGGAGGCTGTGAGCAGGTGGCGAGGAGCGGTCTCTGGCTCCCCTCAGCTCTCGTTCCAGGCTGCGATGGCGGCTGTAGGCTTCCCCAAGGAGGTCATAGTGAGAAGGGGCAGCGACAGGAGGTTGATAACCAGGAGGAAAAGGTCGGGAAGGGCTCTCCTCCACTTTGGCGAAGTCCACTCGCAGACGCCTCTCAGGCCCCCCTAAAGGGAAGCCCCTCATCTGACTGCAGGCGGCCTGAGCAGCGTCCAGACTCTCATACTGAATGTAGGCGAAACTGTCCCCCTTAACGTAGTCAATGTTCCTGATGCTTCCGAAGCGGTCAAACTCACGAGCCAGGGCAGCCAGGGAGTTTCCAGGCCCCAGACCGCCCACCCAGAGCCGAGTGGTGGGGTTAGCCTTACCATAGCCGATCTTTATGGGGTTTCCCCCGATTAGCCGCCCCTGCATGGCCACTTTGGCCCGGTGGGCCATGTCAAGGTTCTGAAACTTAACAAAAGCGTAGGCCCCACCCTGTCCACGAGCTGGCCTTTTAATGACCACGTCCTCAATGATGCCATACTTGTCAAACCCTCTCCTGAGTTCTGCCTCAGTCACATTACCATCCAGGTTTCCAATAAAAAGGTTACTGGTCGCCCTCTGGTCGTCCTCAGGCTTTAGATCCTCCACTACCGGCATGGGAGGGAAACCGTAGGGTCGCCCCCTCTCATCCAGCATCCCGTAATAATCCAGCAGCCTTTCCCTCTCCCTGCTGAGGGTAAGGGTCTCCAGGGCGTAGTGTCTGGCTCTCAGGTCTCTGATACTGCTCACTCCGGGTCCCGGTGGGGACAGGGAGCGCTGTCTGTAGGGGTAGGGGGCGTGCAGAGGCAGGTAACCGGCGTCAGGTGGGGTCACACTCCGCCTCCTCACGTACATGGGCTCAATTTTCAGCTGTCGGTCCCCTAAAACTAACCTCGAGGACTTGGCGTGCCTGGCCTCCTTAGCGTCCTCTGGATGTCTGAAGTTCACATAAGCGATCCGGCCCAGCTCGGGGGTGTGGGACAGCTTCACACTGACGTCCCCGAACTTTTTGAACTCGTGAAACAGCGCGTCCTCCACGTCCTCGTCAGAGACCTGCGAGCCGAGGTTACTGATGAGCAGAGTTTTATACTCCAGAGTGCCCGGCCGGGCGGCGGGGAGCTCCGCCGCGGTGGTCCTGAGCGGGGGTCGACCAAGGAGGCTGAGCTCATGTCGGTGATGGAGCTCCAGGGCGGCCGCTCGCTCCTCCCTCAGCCTCGGCTTCTCCCGCTCCCTGCTGCGGCTCCGGCGGTGATATCCACGGCTCTCTGCCAGCAGCAGAGCCAGCGGTGGCGGCGGGAGCTCCTCCCTCCGCGTACTCTCCCGCTCTCTTTCTCGTATCCGTTTGGCGATGGCCCTGGACGGACTGGTCTCCCTCCCGGCCTGCCTCTTCATCTTCACAGGAGGATGGAGCTCAAACTTTTCAATGCCTACAACGGGAATCCGGCCCGAGGAGCGACTTCCAGAGGGGTTGGCCGAAACAGCGAGGCAGGCGACCGGTTCGACAGGGAGATGGTATCACTCCGGGCGTTGAATGATTGCATAAATATCGAAATATAAGCATAAACTCCTTTAAAAACATGACAGCATCAGAGATCCTGCACCTACGCCGCCATCTTGGACAATAGGAATGTGCGCTCTCCCGTTGAAGGGCGGAGCGCGGGATGACGCATGTTCGGGGAACGTCATGACGTGGCACGCTAGATTTTGGAAATATTTAAAAACATACAAACGCAAAACACAACATTTGCATTTGTCTTATATTTATTTGAGAAAACAAGGTAAGAAAAACATATGGAAATTTCAAAAGGTAGATTATACAGAGATTACTTTCACCTGTTAAATTGACAAAAACTATCTTTGGTTGACACTTTCTAACATGTTTAAGAAATGAGCTCTGTCTCTTGCAGTTGTATTCGCCTTTAAATTTTACCATTACAATATAATTTTTTTCTTTGCATTCAGATACGGCAGGATCTCAGAGAATAATTACTTTTACGTTATTTTTTACACAAATGAATTAAACTGTTCAAGAGTATTTCTGGTCATTTTTAGCTTTTATGAACTTATGGTCACATGAAAACGTATGCAGCCACTGTTATTATAGATTTTTTTTTTGAAAATAGTCTGTTGTAATTAGTGCAGCTTATTTAACACTGTAACTTTAGATATCAAACTAAAAGATTTTGAATCCCCTTAGGTGTTTTTTTTTTCTTTCTAAAATGTTTAAATCTATTCTGCTAAAGTTTACTGTTTACATTTACTGTTTCATCAATAATCTAAAACCAGGTAAAAAAAATGTGGAAAGATTCTACTTATTTTGTCAAATTAAAAAAGTTTTAGTGGTCTACAGTTTAGATATCCTTTTAGTTTCAGCGAACACATCATGAGGTTGACTGTATGAAGGCCCAAGATTTTTAGATCTTGGGCCTTCTGTATCTTAGATCTGTATTTGTATCGTAAAGATCTTAGATCTTTTAGATTTTGAGATCAATATACAGATTATAAATATCTTCAAAAGTAGTTTACCACCAATTATATAAAACATAATATTTTAGATTAATAAAAGCATTACTTAACTTATAACTTCACTCTTTTCACTAAATGTTCTTTTCTGATGTGGATTTTTCATGCATCAACGTTTTAATTCCTGTAATTATTTCCCTAATTAATCAATGTAATTATTAATCAATCAACCAATTAATTAATTAATTAATTATATCTCAATGTCTATTATCATAATTTATTTCACTTGATTTGAAACATATATTTTTTTAAATTTTATATCAGCATTACGGCTACACACTGTACCCTGCACCCTCCGCGCTGAAAAATATTGTTTTAGTTTTACAAAGAAACAATAAAATTTTAAAAAGAAAAAAAATCCATAAATAAAACAGAAATTTTAATAATTAACTTTAATAATAATAATAATTAACCTTTTTTTTATCATTGGTGACATTTTTGTTAGATTTTGGCAGCTTTGGTCTTCATTTATATATATATATATATATGTATAGGACCTCTGGGATACACAGACCATGCATACACACCTGCATGACCACCTTAAAGCTGTTCTTGTTTAAAACAATAGAGGGATCTACATTATGAGAGTACATTAAGAACACTGTGCTACTTTTCAAAAGGTGTCCTTTGGCAGTGTTCCCTCTGCTGCAGTGGAGCAGCACAGCGGTCAACAGTGGCACACTCAAAATAGGTTATTTTTGGAAGCTGCCAGTTGCTTAGCAAAATTTCCTTTTTTTTTTTTATACTTTGTTTTCAGTTTTAAACTTTACAAAACTGTACAAGACAAACAACGGTAAAGAAACAATCAAAAGGACTGCCAGACAATTGTAGTTTTACATGAATTTTCAGAAAAAAGAAACAGTTGCATTTGTTGAACCAAGTTCCATCATATGAAAGATTAAGTCAGGTATCACACCTGACACTGAGCCAAGAAGGATCCCCAAGTTCTCTCAAATCTGTTCGGATTGTTGGGTTTGTGCAAGCGCAGTCTTTCCATTTGAACAGTCGACAACATCTCGTTGAGCCAGTGAGCAAAGTGGATTTGAGACATTGCACGCTCCCAAAGTTCTGCTGATATTTCAGAGTTCAAGTCCCTGGACCAAGCTTCCCTAATAAAATCAGAGGAAACTGACTCAGTAAATGAACCCACAAATTTCGGTATTAACTGTTTGGAGTCTGGAGGGAGCTGGAGGGTCTCAAGGAAGGGATGGGTGGTGGGGGTGGAATTGAGATGTGGCCAATTCTCCTTAACATAGTGTCTGACTTGGAGGTAACGAAAAAAGTGAGAATTTGGAAGATAAAATTTTTTGCTTAGCTGAGCAAATGATGCCAGTTGACCGTTAATGTACAGATCTGAAAATGTTTTAACACCCTTCTCCCTCCAGACCGCAAACACTTCATCCAACCGGGCAGGCAGGAAAGAATGATTTTGACATATGGGTGCATGTACGGAGACACTGGGAACCCGGCACGCTGCTTTTATTTGCTTTAAAATGCGTAAAGAATTTTTCACAGTGAAGTTATGTTTAGTAGTTTCACTACTGGGGCGGGGTCAGAAAACAAAAGTGCAGGAAGTGATGACATGTCAACCGCGGAGGCTTCCAACTGTAACCACAAAGGGTTCTCCTTTGGTTTAACACTTCAACCCTTCCAGTAAGAAAGGGCCCTGGATTTGGCTGCCCAGTAGTAATGTTTAAAAACAGGCAGTCCCAGACCACCATTCCTGGAAGGTTTTTGAAGGTGAGCCTTAGCTATCCTGTGTGATTTGTAACCCCACACAAAGGACAATACGATAGAGTCAAGCTTCTTAAAAAACGATGCATTTAAGAATATAGGCAAGTTCTGGAGGAGGTATAAAAACCTGGGTAGGCTCACCATTTTGATTGCGTTTACCCGGCCGATCATAGATAAGGGCAATATTCTCCAGGACTCAAGATTTGTTTTAAGTTTTTCTATGGATTCCATAAAATTAAATTTAAAGAGATACCCAGGACTTTTCGTCAGTTTAAGTCCTAAGTAGGTGAAATATTCCTTCATCACTTTAAAAGGCAGTTTTGTCAAAAAATCATCTGTGAGTTGGTCTGTTAAGGGCATGAACTCACTCTTCCCCCAGTTTATAGTATAGCCAGAGATGCTCCTGAAGTCATTTATGTATTCTAGTAAGACAGGAATGGAAACCATGGGGTCCGCTAAACAGACAAGGAGGTCGTCTGCGTACAGAGTCATGCAGGTCTCAGTACCGCCTGACCTAATACCTTTAATATATGGATGTCCTCTAATACCAATAGCCAACGGCTCCAACGCTATGTTGAAGAGCAGGGGGGACAATGGGTCTCCCTGACGGACGCCGCGTTGCAGGGTGAACGAACCAGATCTGTCCCCATTTGTTAGAATGGAAGATTTCGGATTGTTGTATAATATCTTGACCCACTCTATGAAAGTGTCGCAGAATCCAAATTTTTTAAGTGTTGCAAATAGATAGGGCCATTCTATCATATCGAATGCCTTACAAACGTCTAAAGACAGTAAAGCTGCTCTATCATCTTTGCTATAATCTGCATAAATTATATTAAGGATTTTGCGAACATTACAGAAGGAGTACCTGCCTGGGATAAATCCTGTTTGGTCAGGGTGAATAATACTTGCTACATTCTTCCCGAGCCGGTTTGCTAGAACTTTGTAATTATTTTCAAATCGTAATTTAGCATGGCAATAGGCCTGTAGCTGCCCGGGTCTGTTTCATCCTTGTCTTTTTTTAATAAAACACAAATATTTGCTTCACTGAGAGAGGGTGGAAGCTGTTTGTTTTTAAACGTGTCACGAATTATTCTCAACAGAGGGGGTGCTAGGATCCCAAGAAAAGCTTTGTAAAACTCTGGCCCAAACCCATCTGGGCCTGGCGCTTTACCAGTGGGGAACGCTCTGATGGCATCCTGTAACTCAGAAAGAGAGAAATCCGAGTCCAGACTCTCCCTGAAAACTGTGTCTAATTTTGGAAAGTTAAGCGAGTCAAAAAACTGGTCAAAGTCTTCCTGTGTAGCAGTTGATTTGGAGGTGTAAATTTCTGAGTAGAATTTTTTAAAACAGTCATTGATGCCCTTCAAGTCTGTAAGCATCTCTCCAGATTCAGATTTTATTTTATGAATAGCTCGTTTTGCTTGTTCTCCTTTTAACTGTCTCGCCAGTAGCTTTTGTGGTTTGTCACTGAGCTCAAAGTGTCTCCGTTTAAGTTTTAATAATAAATTGCCAATCTGTTCTCCCAGAGTGGAATTATACTCGTACTTTAATTTAATTATTGTGTTATAACCTGATTGGAGTAGTGAATTTCGACAGACCTGTTCAGCAGTTTGTAGCTCTTTGTCAATCTCTGCCAATCTGCCACACTTAGTCTTTTTCAGTGTTGCTTCATAAGAAATAATTTGCCCCCTAATATATACTTTTAGAGTTTCCCACAAAGTAGTGTCGTTCACCTCCCCATTGTCATTGGTCTCATGGAACTGTGATATGTGCGTGGTGATATGTTTTAAAAGCCTGATCCTCCAGGAGGTAAGGATTAAAACGCCAACTATAGGCTTGTCTACGGGAGCACAGTTTGAGGTTAATATTAACTGGACTGTGGTCAGATATTAGTATGTTGTGATATTTAGTGTCTTACGGTAACTACATGTCAACATCGCAAGCAAGGGGATCAAAACCAGTTCTGTGTGATTAATTTCTAAAATTTGTCCTCAGCCTCTTAAGGATGGCTGACAGGGATTTATGACCTATACTGCAGCCCATCACCAGAGGGTGCTGTTCTCAGAGTGGCTTCACCTAGCGAGAAGACAGACACTTTCCATTTTGATTTCCACTCCCCGTCGGGGAATCGAACCCCGGTCTCCCGCCTAACAGGCGGGGATACTCACCACTATACTAACGAGGAGAATGTGTTCTGACATGATATGATATAATATGGAACAATATGATACGATATGATACTATATGACATGATATGATATGATATGGTACAATACCATACTATACGATACGATGCAATACGATACAATACGATACAATACTATATGATATGATACTGTACAGTATGATACGA